CCTTATGGTTCGTGTTCAACCTCGTCAATTAAGTTTGTCATTGGATCTCAACCAACCTTCGAGCTAGACAGATTGCCTGTACTACTCATCGTTACCCCAAGCCGTCGTTAGGTGTTTCACCCAGGCGACTTACCCCTACTGTTCCAGAGCCAGAGTTCATCCTCGAGAACCAATCGAATAGTGCTTACGAGCTTTGCTTAAAGTACGACTTCAACAGGGATCTGGAGAGGATACCGTGACACAGTGGGAGCGTTCATGCAGAGTGCTCTGCGTGCTCTATTGCTGTACGTTGGATTGTGAGATCATTGAGAGCATGTATGCAGTCTGACAGCCAGCCTTGTTCCCATCTCTGTTTAACCAAGACTTGCTGCTGCTCTGGCGTTGCCTACATTAGCGTGAGAGTGATCCTTGTGAGTGCTACCTAGTGTACCACTGATTGTAACACTAGTGTACCACTGATCGTAACAGCAAGATCATGCAAGATCGCCACCCCGGTTGGTACTTCTGACCCGAAGCAGTCTGCAATCTCGGCTAGTGCAAAACGGTCCTGCACACGCTACGTGATAATCATCACGCTGTAACTTACTTTTGTCATCAGTCAGCCCTAGCTTGTGGCTCTTGGGCCTGTGGCTGTGCGACATTCGGAATAGGATGATCCGACTCCGAAGCACTCGGCAAGTTATCAGCCAATCTCGTCAGCCACAATGATAACAGAAACTGCTATTCAGCTGTTCCTTGTGACGCAGTCTCTACCTTTCAGCACATGCAAACTGTTTGCTGCAAGGGTGTGGCAAGTGCGGGTCGGCCATCGTCCCTGCTTGCGTGGCGGAACTAAGTGCTACACCGCTAAACTAACCATAACATATTACTTGTAAGCATGCTAACATTCAGTGTGCTTGATTGCTCTAGCACTAAACGAGACTGAGCACAACCGAGCAGGTCGCTTTAATTGAGATAATGTAGTAGTTATAGGATAGTACAATATGATTTTTCTTTGAAAAACCATCCACGCCCTATTCTCACGTGGTAGCACCTGTGTTAAGCAGCAGCCTCACTACTGCCTCGTGGCCTATAGCTGAAGCCGCCTGGAGTGCGTTGCCGCAGTATCCACCCTGCGCGTTGACGTCGGCGCCCTTGTCCACTAGCAGCCTCACCATTGCCTCGTGGCCTCCAGCTGAAGCCGTGTAGAGTGCGTTGCCGTTGTCTCCACCCTCGGTGTCCAAGTCGGCGCCCTTGTCCACCAGTAGCCTCACCACTGCCTTGTGGCCTCTGTATAAAGCCGCGTAGAGTGTGTTGCCGTAGTCTCCACCCTGCGCGTTGACGTCAGCGCCCTTGTCCACCAGCAGCCTCACTACTACCTCGTGGCCTCGCTCTAAAGCTGCCTGGAGTGCGTTGCCGTATTCTCCACCCTGTGCGTTGACGTCAGCGCCCTTGTCGAGCAGCATCTTCACTACCGCCTCGTGGCCTCTGTGTGAAGCCGCCTGAAGTGCATTGCCGTAGTATCCACCCTGCGCGTTGACGTCGGCGCCCTTGTCAATCAGCAGCTCTACTACCTGCTGACGCCCATTCTCTGCCGCCAACAACAGCGGTATCTCATCATCATCATTTGTGGCCTGTATATTGGCTTTTTCCCTCAGCGACTTTTGCGCCGTCTCCTCTTGGCCATATCGGGCAGCCCACAACAACGCTGAGCTTCCAGATTGTTGTACATTGTAGCGGTAGAGGTACCTATCTAGGAGATGGTAAAGGCGACGGTTGGCTTGTGCAATGGCGTTGATATGTCTCTCGGATTCTAGGTATTCTGATATATTTCGGAGCAACTCATTTGGTAGATCAAGCAGTGGCATTGCAGGTAGCGATGAAAACAACCGCCTAGTAAGTATTATAAGCAGGGGTGAAGCGGGCAAAGATTGCAATTCAATAATAGGCACGTGTTGTGAAGAAAGCACAAAAAGAGAGAGTTGAGGACAATGGTGGGGCAAGCGGCGGCAGGGTGACTGAGTCACCAGGGTTCAGCATCACGTGGTTGAGTAAGCGCGCTCAGAAGCAGAATCGAACAACGTTAAAGGTGATTTGGCTCTTGATGTCGCTAATGGTAGCACGGAGAGTGGCCGACCCGCACCTGCTATACCCTTGTAGCCGCCTCGCACTATATAAGTAGCTGAATTAACAAGAACAAAGTTAGCAAAGCTTATGATATCGCCACTTTTGAAACCGCTCAAATTACGTTACATTGCTCCATTATACATCAGCGCTACTGGTGCTCTCCAGGGCTCCGGCTCCTGGACATTGCTCCTCTTCGCTCTCTGCTTCTCGTGCAGACACCTTGCGCTTACGACCACTCTTTCCCTTACTCTTATCCGCGGCAGCCTTGTCCTTCGCAGCGCGTGCAGCACGAGCCATGTCCAGATCCTCGTAGCTCATTACCTTCGCCGTCCCTATAACCAGCGACCGTGTAGACCGTCGCGTCTTGGCTTCGCTATTGATCCTATACAATAGTCGGTTGTGGTCCTAAAGAAGGCTTTGTTTGGCAAAGGATATTTTAGCAGCGCTTGCGAGCTTCTGTACACGCCTCTGTAGACGTTGTCTGCTTGCCTCATCAGATGTAGCTGCATAAGCATCCTGTTTGATCAGGTTGTGTAGCGACGTCAAGGCCTCTACTGTCACCGGCGTCACAGGCGTTACGGGCGTTGGCGGAACTTCGTTCCGGGAGGTGGATGTTGTTACCATATCAGCGTTGGAACTACTATGTTCTGCGGGCGGCTCCGGCATAGTACGAAGCACCCTCTCTGGGTTAAGAGGAAATAAACCCGGCAGCAGCCCACCCAGCCAGAATGTTCCTCCTGGTTATGGCCCTGTCCCTTGCTGGCTTATAAAGGTATGTGAAATTCTCCTTGCCGATGGTTCCTACACCACCTCGATTCAGTCGTTCAACTTGATCGCGATACGCTGTCTTTAAGGGCGCAAAGACTGAAACGTCACATGGCTGGGGCTTGTGAGGAGTGTGGGAGGGCAGTCGACAAAGGACGATGTCGTTTTCGAAGCAAAACTCCAGGATCTCAAGTGTTTCGTGGTTCCCAAAGCCATCAGATATTAAGACCCGTGGTTTACCGTTAGCTATTCCTTTGGTCTGGGGGTCGAACACGCGCGTGAGCCACTCCAAGCTGATCTTGGAGTCATTGTACCCGTTTTCGGAGAATCCGTAGTGCCATCCAGGAGTCGGATGGGTGGTCCAGTTGCTTCGGTGGGTCGAAGCTGGCCTAGTTACAAGAGGGTGCAATGGCCTACCGTCTGCACTGATGCACTCTATAGCGGTAACCATTGTCCGCTTGACACCAGCACCTCTATGCTCTCGTAGGTCATCCCTGCCTACAAGAACCTTGACAGAGCCTAGCATGCTTAGCATGACTCCTGTCTCATCCATGTTATAGACATTCTCCGGCCGAATACAAATGGCCGGATCCCTTAGCACTTGGCTAATTACCTCAAACCACTCCACGACCTAGTTATATATGTGTATCGCGTGGCGTTTCCAGTGTATCGACTTGACTCTTCTCGCTTTAAGCTCAGGATGTCGTTTCCCGAAGGCTTGAGCCCAGTTCTTTCCGGGGGGCTTATTCGATCTACTCGCAGGGGATCGACGACGGGCAATACTGAAGGCTAGCGTTGGTATATACTTGATGCAGACAGGTTGATCAAAACTAGACATTAGTAGCAAGAACGCGACGAGAGCTTTCTCTTCCTCTACAGTAAGCTATTGCTGGCGTTGCGCCGTTTCCTCCTTTGAAGGCCGGCCACGGGCACGATTGTACAGCGTGGTGAGAAGGACACCGCTGGAATCGGGTTGGGCAGCCCATGTTCTAGTGTCACTTGGAGGTATGAGTGTGGCACCTGTCGCAGGCTGGGATCGAGCGAGGGGACGCGGACGTGGAGGGACAGGTGCTTGTTGCTCGCGATCTTGGTGGCCAAAATTTCCAGCCACAATTGGAAGGACACTTGGCACAAGACCACCCCGATGGCGAGCTCGTGTTGAACGACGCGAGGGGTTATGCGACAGTGGGTTGCGGGAGGGTGGGTAGTAAGGCGGTGTTGACCGCTTGGAGTACATTGGACGGGACTGTGCATCGCGGGCAGCTGTGAGCGAACACCGCGGCTGTGCGATTTTTCTTTTCACTCTCTTGATGCTAGTCCCTTCTTTTGGGCTTTTTTGCCGGGTATGTACATATGATCTACATGATGCTTCCTTCCCATGACCTGCAAATGTACAATACAGTCTCCCTTCCGTCCCCGAGCAGCTGCAACCGCGTTATTGATCCTCGCTCGATCGCGTCTTCCTCCATGTGCGCTCGACCTGTTTTGTAACCGACTCGCTTTCCTCCCCATCCTCCTTCCTCGTCATGCCCAAAACCTGCCCGACCAGGCCCGCTGGCTTTGGAATCGGACACTCCCTCTTCGGATTCAGCCTCCTCTCGATCATCATCCTGGTCCTGGCATCCTCGTCTAGCGCATCGTTGCCCACCTCCTCATCATCCTCGACCGGCCTCCTTCTTCTCCGCTTCCGAGTAGGATCGGCCGAGTCATTGAGTGTGCGCGGGTCGACGGGGCAGGGTATCAGATGCGGCGCTGTGACGACGAGAAACGAGACCATCAGGGTGGTGGTGAAGAGCGAGGCGGTCATGCGCGAGCGCGGGTGCATGTGTGGAGGCATCTTGTCTGTCTGTCGTCCGTCGTTGTCGATTATCGAATGAGCGGGTTCGTGTTAGAAAGCGAGGGTGGAACGAGGCATCACTGGTACCGGCGTCGGTGCGGAGCGAGCGCGCAAAGCGAGACAAGTGTTGTTGGGGGGGTGGGGGGGGGGGGGAGTACGAGGCCAATTGGTACGAGGCCAATTGAGATGCCTCGAGCGCGTGGAGGGGTTGTAAAGGCGCGGGACGCGGGATGCGGGGGAGAGGTGGTGACAGACTTTTGGTGGAGTGAAGGGTGACGACGCTAGTTGAAGGGCAGATGGCTGCATCCCGCGAAGCTTGTGGCGCGCGCGCGATCGACGGCGATCAAGCCGTCCGCGTTGACTGATTCGTTTAACGTCCCCATGTGAGGCAGGCCGTTCGCGTCATACTATACAGTTCGCCTTTGTACTATACAGTCCGCCTTGCACGTTGATTTTGCTCTGGAGGCGCCTTAGAACTCGCATCTCCCTTTGGATTGAAGGCCAGCGTGACGATTGCGAGCTCCGAATCTTCTGCCAGCCCAGCGCGCATCGCACGCGACGCCACCGACACCTCTCACGCCCGCCGCCGGACCCTTGAGAGAGCTGCAGGCACAGCAAAGGTCGCGTGCCTAGTGGCGAGTAGGAGCAGCAAGCAGGAAGCGCGAACAGGGAGCGCGCAGAGCAGAGCAACAGGAAAACGAGCCCAGACGCACACACACACACACACACACACACACACACACCCGCCGCCACCATGAGCATAGGCGGCAGCGACCTCGACAAGGCCATCCAGCAGCTGCGCGCCTGTCGCCCCATCCCGGAGAACCAGGTCCGCGAGCTGTGCTACAAGGCGCGCGAGCTGCTGATCGAGGAGGGCAATGTCGTCGGAGTGGATGCGCCCGTGACAGTACGTGGCCTGCGGCTCACTGCAAGGCACGCGAGCTGATGCGACTCCAGATATGCGGCGACATCCACGGCCAGTTCCACGACCTCATGGAGCTGTTCCGCGTCGGTGGTGATGTGCCGGACACAAACTACCTGTTCATGGGTACGGCAACACCAGAGCCAACACACACACCCACACACACACCCACACACACACACACGCGCGCGCACACACACAAGCTGACGATTGTACAGGCGACTTCGTCGACCGCGGCTTCTACTCGCTCGAATCCTTCCTCCTCCTCCTCTGCCTCAAAGTCCGCTACCCCGACCGCATAACGCTGATCCGCGGCAACCACGAGTCGCGGCAGATCACCACCGTCTACGGTTTCTACGACGAGTGTCTGCGCAAATACGGCAGCGCAAACGTCTGGCGCTACTGCTGCGAGGTCTTCGACTACCTCGCCCTCGGCGCCCTCGTCACCGGCGCAGCAACCTCGCTCCAACCCACCGACGGCCCCATCGCCTCCAACAGCAACATCGACTCCATCCCCGACCTGGACCAGGACATCGAGATCGAGACGCTGAACGCGGCAGGCGAGATCATGTATCGCTATGCGAGAAACTCCGACTCCCAATCTTCCGTGTCGGCGACCAGCGCAAACATCGGCTCATCCAGTCCCGTCGCTCCACCAACACCCACCAACGTCGGCGCTCCCGGCACAGGCGCCTCGTCCTCCGCCAATGGCTCGAGCCGCAACGACACCGGCGCCATCCTGTGCGTGCACGGCGGCCTCTCGCCCCTGATCGACAGCATCGATAAAATCCGGCTCCTCGACCGCAAGCAAGAAGTCCCCCACGAAGGCGCCATGTGCGACCTTCTCTGGTCTGACCCGGACGAAATCGACGGGTGGGGCCTGTCGCCGCGGGGTGCCGGCTTCCTGTTCGGCGCAGATATAGTAAAGTGCTTCAACCACAAGAACGATCTTTCTTTGATAGCGAGAGCGCATCAGCTCGTTATGGAAGGCTTCAAGGAAATGTTCGATTCCACCATCGTCACCGTCTGGAGCGCGCCAAACTACTGCTACCGCTGCGGCAACGTGGCTGCGATCCTCGAGCTGGGTGAGGACGGGAGCAACGCCGGGTTCCAGCGGCGCAGCAACGGCGACAGAGGGGGCGGCGGCGGCGGGTGGGTGTTGGGATCTAACGATGGCCCGAATGCGAACGGCGAACGAAGACTCAGTTCCATGCTTGGTGAGCAGAAGAACCGCGATGGGCCAGGCAGGCGGTATAGGGTGTTTGAGGCGGCGCCGCAGGATTCGAGGGGCATGCCGGCGAAGAAACCGGTGGCGGATTACTTTCTGTAGAATGAGGGCACCGAGGGGAAGATTGTGGATGGTGAGGAAGAGGTATATCACAGGATGGATGACCAGGTCAGACAGGCGGGACGTATGAGGGAGGTGGCGACGGTGGATTGGCCGTCGAGACCGGAGTACGACCAGAACGCAGTCAAGTAAATTCTTTGATGGTTGGCGAGCGGTCAGCGTTAGGCATAGAGTTTTGTAGATATGGATACCCAAAACATGAGTTCAATTGTAGGAGATGGGTTGTACTCTTTGATATTCGTAAAGCGCGTGTTGACTTTCTCACTTCACCGCTCACCTCACCTCCACATCGATAACAGCCTCCATCCCTCGCTCATTCATTGCCCCACACCACGCTTGCGCTATGTTCACTGCAGAGAGCATCGCCAGAAACATGGAATTGGAGCAGTAAAGTGACGGGCAATTAAATGCAGTTCCAGGGAACAAGGCTGCTGGCAGCTGACAAGGTTGACAAGGTTGACAAGGCTGCCAAGGAAGCCACCAGACGGAGGGGTAGCCTTGTCGGTTATGAATAAGAAGAAAACATATCCACTTACCTGACGCTTCTACCGCCGTCAGATCCCTCGACATTCTACCATGTCATCCGTTGCTGCTCGTCCGAAATTCGATGCGCTTCCGGTAAACGACGATCACGACCGGCCTCAAGGCTACGGTGTCCCATCTTTGACAGAGCAGCAGCAATGCCGCAGTCATGGGTCTACAGCAACCTCTAGTCTTTTGGTCCATGAGCAGGAGCTCGAGACACCTGATAACGTTGTTTCACCTTCACAGCCTATGCAATCGGTCATTGCGTGCGAGGATCTCCAATCTTCAAACTCGGCCTTGCTCGCATCGAAAGACAACACAGGCCCTAAGACAAGTCTCCACGGACACTCTACGGTCGAAACAGCGGAGGGATCGCAAAAGCTCACTGTTGGCTGGAAGACCATCGCCTTGCTGCTCGGTTTCTATCTTATCGGTATGATGGTTCCCAATATCTCAGCAACAGGTATATGCTAAGAACTCTCCAGCCTTACTCGTCGCCATCTTACACTTCGTGATGATGCACTATCTGAATGGCAAGTCAACGGACGATAGAAAGTATCTGGCCCAGCCATATGTCACCTCCCTCTCTCTACTTCTGGTTGCCATTTTCAAAGCCTCTCTGTGTGCTTCGCTGGCGGTCGCATTTACCCAGCACATGTGGAAAATACTGAGGCACAAAGCCCTCCAGGTATCGTCTATCGAGTCCCTACATGGCGTTCGCTACAACCCTTTGTTACTGGGAAAGTGGCGGCTCTTTCTAGCAACGCCTTTGTTATACTTGATGGCTATGGTGATGTGGTCGCTCACTATCGCCATCCTCTTTCCTCCGTCCGCTCTCACTATCACTTTAAGTCAGTTCCAGGAAAGCAAATCCTTACTGGTACCCACGTTCGATGCTGGATATGGCCGAGACTTCGAGATAAATCGGAACTCGATCATCGGAACGTCTTCCCTAAGCTCGTGGGCTCCCGGCGGCGTAGGCGTTACTGCAGATACCAACGGCTCCGCATCAATGTTATATTCGTGAGTTGAACGGCGCTTAGTAGATTGCGGCTACTGAGAATTGATACAGAAACCCCAATGCAAAATTAGTGCATCTATCGCACGTGGTGCTTGTTTCTGGCGCCATTCCAGAATCGGTCTCTCCTTGCGGCGCCAATTGCACTTATATTGTTGACTTCGAAGGACCAGTGTTTCAATGCATCAACACAATACGTAATCAAACTTCACAAGAACTATCGGGGCCTATCAGCGAGTATTATTCTGGCGCTTGGAGTTCAGTCAACTCGCATCACCGAACTTCACAAACGTTCACCATGAATCTTACGCGTATTTTGGGGCACAGTCGTGGGCTATGGCTGCAAGAGCTCCACATTTTGCAATGTCAACCTGCTTGGGCTATGTACCAGGTCAAACTGGAGTACGTAAATGGCTTACGTTCTTTCGTCTTCGACATTGTCCCGGGCGGGAAGCTGGTCGATACCTTCGTGAGCGGGACTTCACCTAACACCACACAAGGTGACACAGGCTGGACCATGGATCAAATTCGAAACTTGAAAAACATCAATCACTACAGCCTTCTAGATACTATAGCGACGGCATTGGGCGGCTCCTACGAGCAGATGCTTTTGGAAGGAGATGGTCCAACATTTCCCTACACGCTATCGAACGGCACAGTATTGGATTTTTCCCCAATCGAAGCGTCCTTCACCCTTCTGAGCGACTTCAACCTCGTCAACTCGCTTCCGCGCGTTTTTGGGAGTGACAATCTTGATTTACGTGAGTTTCGAAGCCATACTTTGCTAATCAGGACCGTCGCGCCCAGACTAACAAATTCCAGAACCAAACAAGACCTGGATCAGAGATACAGCTTTCAACAAAAACCGATACAATGTCACAAGTAATGGACCCTCTCTCGAAATTACAGGAGAGATACTCAACGAGATTGTTGCAAACGTCACAATAGCAGCTATGCTCGGCTACTACCCTCTCTCTATCTGGAACATCACAGCGATTGCTAACATCACTACGTACCGCAACACCTACTCGTTTTCCCGTCCGGCAAACCTCATACTCCCATATGCACTATTTCTAGTCTTCAGCCTGCCATTTCTGATCCTGGGATATCTCTCACTGCGTAGTAATCGTGTTGCTGCTCTCAGTGACAGCTTCTTGCAGCTCCTAGTGACGGTCACACGGAGCGAGAAGTTAGATCGAATCGCGCGTCCATGCGAACATGGTGGTGACGAGATGGCCAATACAGAGCTCAAAAACACACGGATTATGTTTGGAGAATTGAGTGCGGCAGATGAGAGAGAAGACAAACTTGGCAGAATGGGATTCGGGCTAGAAGCAGAGATCCTACGTTCCAGATTTCGAGAGAAGTAGAAGGTTAGGTAGTCCATTAGGAGCTTCTGATCGCTCGAATTCTACTGGCGAAATGCCTTAGGCTTCTCGTCGTTGCGTCCAAATGCAGTAGTTGAAACCCCTTCTGCCGTCTTCTAACCAGTCCACATAACGCCGTCACTCACTAACCTCTACTGCATGTAAGTCCCTTCAGCTTGGCACAGCATCAGCATCTCCAAATTGGCCTGTCACCAATTGTGGCAGCGGCATAAATCTAACCCCGGTGAAATGCTCATCAAACTTCAAATCAACGGTGGTGAAATTCGTGTCTCCCTTCCTTTCCCTCATAACCTTCACAGCCTTCGTATCCCGCAACCACGACACTACATCGCCGATTTTCACTCCTCTGTCTTTCTCCAGGTCAAAGTATTCGGCTGGCATATAGCCTCCTTGAACCGTGATCAGTACTCTCCTGACTGGCGGTTGTGTGAGGAACATCCTGTCCCAACTGGCTCCAGTCTGATCAACTACGCTGACAAGCTCGGCGGGCGTAAAGCAGAAGTCCAAGCGGCCAGATGATACGCGGTCTGTGAATCGCCAAATGGGCGGCTGTCTCCTCCTCCAAGGATCCTCGAGTCCGTCAAAGCTGGAACAGATGGGTTCACAGCCGTGCATGTAGATCCATGGGTTGAAGAGTGCACGGAATTCAGGGCGCAGGGGGATGCGTTGCTGGGCTGGCTGGAAGGCTGGAGGTAGCCTGGCTGTGATGCCGTGCTCTTCTGCGGCTTTGAAGGCGGCGAATGTTGAGTTGGAGGCCTCTAGAAACAGCGTCTGCCTGGCTTCGCGGGAGCGATCAATTACTGATTTCCAGGTGTGGCAGACGCGCTGGCAGCGCAGGAGAGTGTGGAAATCGAGGTATAAAACGAACTCGAAGATGACATCGGGGAGCAGCAATGCATGGGTCTCTGCTGCACCTGACGAGCCTGGAGTTGGAGCGGAAGGCATGTCGGAAATGATCTTTATGGCGCGCATACAGCTAGAATGCGCAAGTATATGCCAATATACGTCCACCCTTCGGGTGTGTTACACGAAGCCGCCAAGGTCGCGGGTGCCTTGTTGCTATGCTCGACAAGGCTGCAGCGGGTCTGCCTTCGCTTACTTCCAGCATGTGAATAGTATCGTGCGGCGATGTTGGACTGACCAATACTGTAACAGCGCATGACATTGGTTATCTGCTAAAGATAGGTGTTGGTCTCGCAGTGACTCGTGATCACGCGTCGCGCCGCGTGCGTGCGTGCCGCGGTACACGACTACGTCATTGCCAAATTGGACCCCAACCTTCACAACCACCAACAACAATCATGCCTCCCACAACCTCTCTCTTTGTGCGCTCTGCCAATCATCCTTCAGAATCCAATTTCCCACACAAATCTCTAAAATGCCCGCCCAACCCCTAACAAAAGCCCAACGAATGGCCTACCGCATCGCCCGCGGCGAAATGGGCGTGCTAACCTTCGAGCCCTACAAATCCGAAATCCTGCCATCCTGGCGTTTCAAAACGCCATCCATCGCCCGAAAATCCTCATCTGAGATTTACGCCAAATTCCTCGCTTACAACGACGCCGACGACTTCATTGGCATGGACATGAGCCGCAAGTTCCTGCAAATGGGCATGACGCGCGCGAAGCGGTATGCGAATCACAAGGGCGGACGAAAGTACGATAAGGTCACGGGAGAGGAGATGGAGAAGGGGAGGGATTTTGAGGGCAGGGACGAGAAGATGGAGAGTAGTCTGATATTCAGAGAGGTTTGGGAAAAGGCCAAGTCTCACGACGGGTATCAGGCGAAGAAGGAGAGGTTTATGAAGGAGCAGAAGGAGTGGGATAAGGCGCAGAAGGAAAGTGTGAAGACGGAGATCAAGGAAGAAGAGGTTGATGAGGTTGAGACGAAGCCGAAGAGGCAGAGAAAAACGAAGGTCAAGACTGAAATCGAAGAAGAGGAAGACGAGTGAGTGGAGACATGATTGCACCTCAAGAGGCAAAAGCACTGGACATTCTGCGATTCGAATGCAGGTCTCCCGCATTGAGTAGAGACCTGCGAATGGTCAGCTCTTCATGCAATCCGGTATGGGATGCGAGCCTCCCATCTCTGGCATACTTCAACGCTGCGGTCGTCTTACCATTGAACCACCCACCCTCGAATTGATGCCAGCTCTGCCACAGCTCCAACTACATGTACATCACGCATGTGCAGTGAGAGACGAGAGCTGCATGGGGCAACATTGAAGAGCAAATCGACCAGTACAATGATCAAGAAGACTGGATGCTCTGTGATTCGGACACAGGTTTCCCGCTTGACGAGGCAATAGGCAGCTGGTCGAGGCCACCATGGCCGTGCCACGAGGTGCCTCCGAGCCCTACTATTCCTGTCCGTTTTGAGTGGGTGTCTTACCGCTAGACGAAGCATCCGGAGAGTGGTTTTATGCCACCTTAACGTGGACGCATTTAGACACAATGAGGGAAACAACGAAGATTATCACGTCCATTATCAAATCGACCTTGTCATGCTCTAGCTACCAAGCAGGCCGTACTCATGCAACCCACCTCTTCTGCAGACTCCTCCTGCTCCACTGATGACTACCCTTCGAATCACCCTCCCTATGCTTCTCCTCATAGATTTTCTTCGTCAACTGCCTGTACAAGAACTTGCCACCATTGTTGTACACAATGCTGTGATCGCTATCCGTGAAGAACGTGTTCTGCATCTTCTCGGGCGTAACACGAGCACCCATCAGCAGATCAACAAGAGCAGCCGAGTTCTGGAAGTGCACGTTATCGTCACCAGTACCGTGCTGAATGACAACGCCACCAGCAATGTTCTTGAAACCAGTGGCGTCGTGCACGCGGGACTTGTTGTACCCATCGACGTTGTCTTCGGGCAGCTTCATGTAGCGCTCGGTATAGATGGAGTCGTAGAAACGCCAGTCGCTGACTGGGGCGGTGATGAGCGCGAAGGAGATGATATCGTCGCCGACTTCAACGACCTTGGAGGAAAGGTAGCCGCCGTATGACCAGCCGAAGATACCGATGTGCTCACTGTCGACCCATGAGTTCTTTGCGAGTTCTTTGGCAGCCCAGATCTGGTCTTGAGCTTCGATGTCTCCAAGGTTCTTGGTCACAGTGGAACGGAACTCGCGGCCCTTACGTCCGGTACCGCGGTTGTCAACAGTCAGGGTGATGTACTCCAGCTCAGGGTCGGAGGCAATGTAGGCCTTCCAGTTGAGAGCGCTGAACTGCTTGTGCACCTCCTTGGCGTTGGGGCCTCCGTAAGGGATCAGGATGAGAGGGTATTTCTTGCTGGGGTCGAAGTTGGGAGGCAGACGAAGCATAGCATCGAGAGTGAATCCAGAGGGGTGCTCAAGGTCCAGGTAGGTAACGTTGGGCAAGTTGTAGGTTGTGAGATTGCCGTACAGCGCCTTGTTGTCGACGATGGTGCGGAGTGGCTCGGTCGAATTGATCGAGTAGAGCTCCTGGTAAGGAACGTCGGGCCCAGCATAGCGGAGGACGTAGTAGGAGCCGCTTGAGGAGAAGGATGCGGTCCAAAAAGCTGAAACGCTGTCGTCGACAAGCGCCTTCTTCTCGCCAGTCCTGAAGTTGACAGAGTAGACGTGTGACTCCGTGCTGTGGTGCTCGGTGGAAGTGTAGTAGACAAGACCACGCTTGGCGTCAATCTTCAAGATAGCGAGAACCTCGAACTCACCAGAGGTCAAAGCGATGGGCTCGCCACCGCTGACGGGGAAGAGGTAGATGTGGTTCCAGCCGCTCTCGTCCGAAAGGTCGAGATAATACTCTGTACCGTTGCCATAAGTAGCATTGGCGGTCTGAATAACACCGAGGTAACGAGTGGCAATCAAATTCTCGAGCCAGCCGTCGGTACCGTCACGCTCACGGATGACGGAGGATGTGCCCGCATCGACGTCCACAACAACGTACTTCTCGAGATCTTGCACACGGTTGAAAGCACGGTAGATGACCTTGCTGTGTGCGTCAGTGAGCCAGTTGACTTCTCCAATGACGAGATCATCTTCAGGGAAGGCGTTGATAGTCACGGCCTCAACTTTGCCAGATGCTACATCGAGCAGGTTGAAGCCAACAGTGGGGTTCTTAGTGCCGACCTTGGGATAACGCAGCTCCAGCTCACGAGCGTAGACTGGGGCAACCTCGGCATCGTCCATGTAGTAGGGAATACGGAAAGTACCGACACCAGTCTCGTTGAAGCTCAAGAAGGCGATCTTCTCGCCATCAGGGCTGTACCACAGAGCATAGCGGTCAGCAAAAATCTCCTCTTCGTAAACCCAGTCAGGCACAGCATTAAACCAGTCTGGGCCACCGTTTTCGGTGATCTGGGTGATGTTGCCATCGTTCCAGATGTAGAGGTTGTTGCCCTTGACGAAAGCAATCTGAGACGATGAAACAGGGCTCCACTCGGCGTATTGAATGGTGCCGTTCGACTCAGGGTCGAGCGAGATGGTCTCCCCAGTCTCGGCATTCTGAACAAGGTAGTCGGCGTAGTATGAGTGCCTAGGAATCGTCAATCACGTGTTTCCAATTCTATGCAAGATTTGTCCTACCTGTACTCCTTGGTGTAGTTCACGGCCCACAGAATGTGGCTGGCATCACCAGAGATGAAGTAATCATGGTAATCAGCCGGAACCTTGTCGGCAGACAAGAAAGTTGAAGATTCGCCAGTAGCAACATTCTCGAACAGGAACGAGCCATCAGCGCCGGTGTAGATGTAGTCACCATCTGCACCTGTGTTGACCCAGCTGAAGGCCCTGGTCGAAGCAGCCAATCGCCCAGGCGCGTCAGTGGTGATGTTGTAGTTGAGACGGAGGGTGGAATTGCTGCTTCCAAGTGGTTGATGAGGCTGCCTTGGAGGCTCAATGGCCTGGAGCAGCGGCAGAACCGCAGCAATGACCGCGAACGAACGCATCGTGAGAAACAACACGACGTGTGAGACAAGAGGAGCGTTAGAGCACGCAAATCCCCCCTGCGGTGCAGCGGTTTATGTAGCCCTCGTCGTACATGTCCGCCTAATGAGCACTCGATATGCAGCTGCCGTAAGAGGAAGTTGTCAAGACATTCGGTCGTCGTTGCCAAGAACCCTAAGCGACCCGGCGCCCGGCTCGACGAGGCTTTCAACTGGTCTTCTCGTGTTTGCCGCGAGATTACGGGAAAATCACATCATCAGAGAGGAAGGTGGAAGTGACACAAGAGGGATCGCGTGCGTTGCAAGGCTGTGCACGCGAACGAAGTTGTTGATGGGTGACGCGATAGCGGATGGCGCTTGCTTGATCGCGCAAAGGAATGGCAGTGACGAAAGGCACTAAAACATCGAAGCTTGTCTTATCGGCTCCTGCGTTCATCGCCTCAGTTTCAACCTCAACTCTTATTCAGTCCCTACCTAGGAAATGGTGCATTGTGTTTTCCTGAACCGTACTTACATACCAGGGACACATGTGATGACGAGGACGATGTCGTGTGCGCCATTTCTTATGCAGGTACAACGAAACACAACCAAACCTTTCGTAACACAACAGGGGCAGAAACCAGCGGCTTGTACGTAGCCAGGCAGCTTCAAGAGTACTCAAGAGTCTCTATGTGGCTTTGAACGTGTTCGTCAATTCATACGAGAGCCCGCAAGTGTAAATGTAAACATCACGTGATCTTTCGTGCTTGGCGACTCGCGACGTGCGATCGGTCACTTGTGACTTTGGAAAATACATCTGTGGCTAATATAAGGATCTGGACTAAACTACCATCAACAAGGAAAACAGAGCTGAGAGTGAGGCCCGAAACACGCAAAGTCGGATTCAAAACAACAACGAAGCCATCAGCATCAGTACTATCACCTCCTATTAATCAAAGTCATCTGACCATAACGAGCCTTTCGCTCTCGGCTCTAAGATCTCGTATCTATCGGAATTTTTCTAATGTCTATAACGGCAGATGGCTGTATGAACGCTAGGCCGGCAACCTCACCATTTGGTTGAGGGGTATCGTTTGCCTTTGCGCCTCGTGGTCCTGTTCTCGTCCTTTTGGTACAAATCTCCCAGTTCGCGGCGAATTTGCAGTCGTGAAATTGCCCGTGTTGTCTTTTCTCTTTGCCTGTGCCGCCCATTCTGCTTCGCGCCATGGCTCTGGTAGGACGTAGTGCGTTTTGGTTGGCGACCAAACGTTCCGCCATGGAGGTAATCTTTCCGTCCTAAGCCTTGATTTTCATTCCTCTTCCGATTCGCATTGCGGTTTATTGGGGTATCCAGTGCGCTTCCATTGCCGTCATATCTTCTAGCTTCCTCCTCCATCAGTGCCCCAAGACCCCGGTCATACTCCCGTGGCGTTGTCGAACTTCTCAAGTGCGACCAGGTTATTGGAGGTTTACTTTTAGAGGATCTCTCGATATGGTTCTGTCGTTGTTTGCTACTTACTGGAACTATTGGATCCCCATTTCGCTCGACCCTTGACGGAGTATGCGATCCACTTCCCTCCTGTGGCTTGATTGTCTCGCCAGACAAAGGGGTGTGATTGGACTTCATGTTCTGCTCCTGAGCTGCATTCGTGGGCTTCGTCACAATGGGGATTGCTGTGCAAACCGACATGCTTTGCAATGGGAGTTCCGGGGTCTCCGAGTCCGTGGATAGTGCAGCTTTCCTTTCGGATTGGGCATATGAGAGGCTAGCCGTCGGTCTTAGATCTTCCGTCCTATCTACCTGTTTCTCGATCGAAGCCTTGGGAATTGTCTAGGCTCTGTCGTTGCTAGCAGACCCTATCTGGTGCCTAGGCCGCTTTCTCCGCGTTCTCCTTCTGCGGAGCTAATCTTCCGGTCAGCCTTTCTCTTGGTGTATCGGGCACACCTTCACATGGACTAGCATGTCTGGCACCCATTCTTTGCAGTAATTACACTGTCTGACCTTGCCGTCCGTAACGTGAGCATTGAATTAATCCCGAGGAACCTTGTGCTTGCAGGACTGGCAAAAGAGCGGCCACTTGGGACAGGTCTTTCCGTGCTCCTTGAAGTCTGACGCGAGTTGCCCGCAGTGACCGCATGGTCTGTGTTAGGTGTTTACATGCTCTTTCATCTTGCCTGCTGGTACCTTTGCACCGCAATATTCGCACGGCGGCTTACAAGCCTTTAAATGTCCATGAAGTTCGTTCTTGGTGGGAAACATCGTTTGACAGTTCCTGCATGTTGGCGGACCTAAAGCGGAGGGCTACTTATCATGCGGTTGATGCCCAAGTGATGAGTTTGCTTGCTTCTTCTCTGGCGTCCTCGGCGCCAGGTTTGGCGAGCTTCTCGGCTCGTCAATGGTTGCCGTATTTTCACCGTTGCTTGTGGTTCTGGTCTGATCGATTCAGGCTCCGCCGTAGGGTTCGAAGTTATGGCAGATGCTTGAGGCGAGTGGAGAGTTTTGGAGCCAGGTTTGAACTCCGTCGCATCTGCGTTTAGGCTGTCCTCCACCGGGGTGAATGTTGGCAGGGGTTCGAGATCTACTGGGTCTTGATAATGAAGATGCTGGCTTGAGCGTTCCAGCCCAGGGTTGGAGCGATCAAAGTCGTTCTCGAATCCTTGAAGGCTTGTGTCATCAAGTACATGCTCAGGTCGATCGTCTGACTATCCCGTAGGCTCTCTGGATTTATTGATTTTTTGACCAGCCAGGTCCGTGGATTCTTTCAAGTCTGGTTCTTGCTTTTGCCTCCGTGCCGCGTCGGCTTCAAGTTCTTCAATTTCTGACTGCTTCTGGTTACGCTCATCGACCAAACTACTGTTCCCGATTTTGACTTTGGACGGAAGCTCCTCCTTCTCTTGCCGCATGACTTCCAATTGGCTTGTTTTGTTAACATTTTTGTTGCTGGTCACGGACAATTCAGCATTGCGCGTGGTGACTGTATCGAGCTCATTCTTCGTATCATCGAGCTTTTTGGTAATGTTTGAGACATCTTCTTCCAACTTCGTGATCGTCTGGTACGACTCTAGTGTCATTTTCTCAAGCTTATTGATCCTACTCGTATTTTCTTGGATTGATCCACCAGATCACACCATGTCTTTTCTATCGCTGTCTGCTGCTTCCCGAATGTTCATAGTCGTTAAAGCCTCGGTGGTGTCTCGGGCATGCTGCCTTAGACGACAGGTAGTTTTTTTTAGATTGGTCGCGTTGACGGGTCTGTCGAGATAGCAAATCCTTGTAGGCCTTCTTCAGGTTGTCGTTCTGCTTTTTTGCGTGGTCGAGGTTTCGTCTAAGTTTTGTCAACACTATCAATACCTTGGTATATTCTGCCTCTGTGATACCTGCAGCTTCGTCGTAACTTTCTTCAGACAACGCAACAGGCGGTTCGGATAAGGTCGTGATGATACCATCTATACTCGTGCTCTGCGGAGCAGATTTTGAATTAGTCCCTCCCACTTGAACTGAATGAATGCACATGCGACTTTGCCGGCTCGTTCTTGTCAAGTTGACACTGTTCTGTCTTGCAACTGCAAGGCACTGGGCCATGAACCAGTCGCACGATGTTCGAGAGGCAAGAGGGAAGGCAACGACTCCCAATATGTGTGGCTGGTGTCTTTCGCGAAGTTTCCGGTCCTGGACTCCGTGGAGTTGCGTCGATCGAATCAAAATGCTGCTGCACATGCGCTGAGGCTTGTTTAACTTGGTTACTGATGTCAAGGAGAGCGCTCTTATACTCTTCACGTTCTTGACACTTGCGCAGCCACTCGAAGAGCTGTGAGATGAGAAGACCAAACAAGACAAGGACGGTAGCGAAGATGACGAATTGACCCCAGTTTGGGGCAGTCCCATAGAAGGGCCACTCATCCATGATGGCCGTGCGTGGTGCGAGAACTGGTACGAATAGATTGCGAAGTTGTGTCGATACAGTGAGATTTTCTGTAGAGGGTGCGAAGCTCGTTAGAAATATGAAATTTGACAAGCTGTAATGGTGTGTGCGTTAGTCGCTCCGCTTACAGCAGTAGATTCGAGGTGAAGGTAAACGGCAGTAGACATGACGTTTTGTAGCTATTTTGTCCGGCCGGTGTTACTATTTGAAGAGTGGGAAGTTAAAGAGGATGTACGTTGGTTTCGATCATTGCAGATGAAAGAAGCCGTAGGCTCAGTCTCATCCATTGTTCTTAGAGGCTGCTTTGTTCTATCCGTAAGCCACGATACGTCCCCCTAATTGCCAAACAAAGGTTTCAGCACCAAGTCTCGGCCTCTTCGCAACCCAAAGCACCTTGTCGTCCTGCACACGATTACGTGCAGTTTCCCAGTCGAACCTTGACCGGAGGGTAGAGCGCCGTTGGTAGTGAAGGTGCGTGCCTGCTGTGTACGTCTGGCGCGAACTATAGCACATAAGTGGCATTCACCTACCGTTGAGCCTGGAGTCATGCCATGCGCTCCTGCTGGATGGTGGTGATTATGTGATAGCGTCACCTGAACTTTCCTCGCGCCTGCTCTTGACTGCGCAAGTGCGGGAAGTGCAACATTGCACTTGACTCTCACCAGTAAACAAGCGCACGTTTCTCACAACTTCTCAACCCTCTCTAACCATTACATGATGGGAGATGCCGACCCTTCAGAGTTGCCGACGCAACCGCCCATGGCCATCAACACTTCGACGAAGCCGGCAGCCTGGCGCTTAGCCAACTCCACTCGATCTACGATCCAGTCTCGCCCTGATTCGCAGCACCTTGAGCACCACAATGAGCCAAGTCCAGGATGGTCCGCAGTCCAGCACGATTTCGAACGGCGGCTTAGCCGTTTCGGTATCAAGGTCTCTGAGGATAACAACAATCCAGCTTCCAACACCTCGAACAAGCCGATCGCACAATCACGCGCTGCCGCTCACGCGATCATGGACCGCTACAATCTTGACACGGCGCCGCGGGACATCGTCGCGTTAATATCCAGAACCGAAGAATTCCCACCCCTCGAGGCCCCGACCATGGCGTGCTTTTCGAAAAACAAGAAAGAGACCAAGGTCGAGACCTTAGAGCGACAGTTGCGGCAGGCACAAACAGAGGCTCAGATTTGGAAGGAGAAGTCCGAAACTCAGGAATGCGAACTCCGTGTATCTTATGGCGAAACAATGGAGTGGAGGATGAAATACGAAGACTTGTATAGCGCTATTATCCAGGCCCGCGAACTACAGCCACGGGACTTGCGAGTGAAGAGGGAGGGCACGAAGTCGTTGGGTTGAATGCGCAGTGCATGGACTGTATGCTCGAAGGAGGGTCCGGGTGAGACATTGTCAAAGAAACATATTTTCTCTGTGATCATTGACCAAGGCTCTGGTTCTCTGGGAGTCGCCAGATACCACTCAATAATTCAACGAACTTGTATGCCATCTTCTTTCCACCATCCTCATTGGGTTCGACCCTGGCAGTATAGTCCTTCGCTGTCTTCCCATCCAAGACTTCGTGTAACGCACAGGGCACTACTTCAGTTCCTTCAATTTTGATGTTCTGTGTCGCCGTCCTGTACAATGTACTGATCACCGTTTGGAGCTGGCCGGGCCAAGTATTGTATCCCAAAGTCTTGAGCTGAGTGTCCGCCCAACTATGCTGACCAAGACCAGATTCAAGCGGGAAGTAGATCATGCAGATGATGACAGCTCGTGGTCTTGTTTTGGCAGTCATACGGTCGACATAGTCCTGGATCTTGTTGCCAAACATGTGGTGGAAGTACTTGAGAGACGATGCGGTTCCTTTCTCAAGCGATGATCGGGGAGTTGCCCAGGCCAGCAGGAGCATGTGTCGTATGGTGCATGGGAGTGGTTTGAGGGCGATGTCGTTAGCGCCCACACTGACGATTAACACGTCTTCTGAACGGATGTTGTCACGGATGAACTTGTCGTGCGTAAGTAGCTCTTGATCTCGTTCACGAAGCATGGATTCTTCCACCGCAGTGTTGATGCATGTCGCCCGGTCGCCAAGCAGGTGGTTCATCCAGAATGTAACATCGGGTTTAGGTGTAGGCTTGTCTAGCGTGTGCTTGTATATCTCAGGAGTCTTGACTTGAAGTTCCTTATCAGAGCTCACCCAGTACTTGTTGTCAAGTGAGGAGTCGCCTGCAAGGTATACGATAGGATTGTTCGGCCTGTGCTCCGTAGTGATAGCACGAAACGTGGTGAGATCTTGTATCTGATGGCCTTTCCATTCGAAGTAGAACCTGGAGCAGTTGATCTTGCCTAGGTTTGCTGTCATTGTCGAACGGATCGATGGGTCAGAGCTGCGAAGCACGGTGGCTCAAAGGTCAGAAATGGTGTATGCTGTGTATCAAAGTATGATCTGGAAGCTGGTGGAATCGCGATAGCTTAAGCGAACCGCAGACATGTTATGTAAAAGATACGTTGCGCTGATGCTATGCTTAACCACCACGGCGGTTGAAGGCAGCAGCGGAGCTTCATCCGGCAACCCGTGACGTCACCCGCGCTAATGTCACCCTTGCTCTTGTTGGCTACGCACTCCTGGTCTTTTCCAATTCACGATGCTCAACTCAAGATTTATGTAGAACAGGAGGCGACTCCTACCTCACTAGAATGACTATCCTCAAAGGTGGGGTTTATCTTGGACCTTTCCCCCCGCCAAGAGGCCCCCGCCGCTAAGATACAAGGGGGGTGTGTGAGGGCTCGGCTCGGTCCCACCTGAGCTACACCGACCAAAAAGGTACAGTAACCCAATAGATATGGGTACTGGGAGCCGAACAGTATATACCCGTGATATATCATGCGTTCCAAAACCGTCCCAGATTAGTATCCGTGATTTCATATTAGCCTGTTCCTTAGTCTGGGGATCGAAAACAAGCTTTAGTCACTGTAAGCTGATGTAGGAGTCAGTGAATCCAGTATCTGAGATTGCATAGACCCAACCAGGGGTAGGATACATAGTCCAGTTGGCTCAATGGGTTTTAGCGGGCCAGATTATCATGGGATTGAGACACCTGCCATCTGCAGAAATACATTCAATAGCAGTTACCATGGTACGCTTAACGCGCGCACCTCTATAAGCGTGTGTGTCGTCCTTACCGACTAGGGCTTTAACTGAGTTTAGCATACTTAGCATTATGCCAGTCTCATCCATAATATAGACGTTCTCTGACAGTATAGCTGGGTTTTATAATTCCTTTCTGTGGAAGGGTTGAGATGTTGATTGATTCTTTTAGCTATTGGCTGGAATCGATCAGGACTATATAGTAGAAGGCAGTAGCAGTGAAGGGTGGGAAGCAAACTGAACTAACCAAATGAGCTGGACAGTCACTGCAGCGGACCGCTAGCAAACACAATCAGTGCAGTGGACCGCTAGCAAACAGATTGCAATCGGTGGATACCTTCACCCCTGCGACACTTTCCGATCACTTCGAACCAATACTTAACCTTATCATATATGTTATGTCGGTTTCAATCCTGCGACCTGTTCTTCTTCGCTAGGAGCTCTGAACAATGTTTCTCAAATGCCTTAGCCCAGTTTGGGCCGAGAGGCTTGAGTAGCCTGTCCGCAAGGGGCCAATTGCGAGTGGCACTGAATGCTATTGCAGCTACATGCTTCATCCGCACAGGTGTTCCGAATCTAAATAGTAAAGTCATCTCGTTACAGGGTGGTTCTCGTTACGTAGTGCAGGATATTACTACCGAAGATACGCCAACAGCACGGGTAGTGCCTGTGGCGCATCAGTGTACAACTGTACCATCGAAGCGTCGAGGATTGAAGCGGGGGTTATGTGCAAGAAGGTCCCATGCGGCGTCGTCCGTATGCGATAATCCGTTCGGGACAAACGACCGCCCAATCATACTTTATTACACGACGGATCCTTGGATACTATCTCGCTGCTCCCACATTTCCCCTTCGCAGGAGGCTATGATGGCTGGCTTCAGGCATCTCCAACCGACAATTTTATTGGCGGAGACATTGCGTCATATAACTACTCCTAGCCACGTGATTGGATCAACATCTCCGACTCCGATGTGTCATTGCGGCTGACTGGCTTCCAGTTCGATCCGACACACCACTGTTGTGCCGTGGATTGCTCTACTACTCATCTCGTCGTTGGTTTTGCTCATTCTCGGTATATCCACCATCGTTCTCCAATGCGTCACGTCAGTCCCCAATATTCTCAGTTACTTGAGCACAATGACGCAAGACAACCCGTACACCGACTTGCCTTCAGGTGCGACAGCTTTTGACGGACCGAAACACACTCGAGCATTGCGTGACTTGAAGGTGGGACTAATGAATATACGACCACGCGACGAAGTCGGTTACATCGCGCTGAAGTCGGTCGAAGACGATGAAGTGCGTCTCAGATCACAAATGATTCAGAAAGGTAGGCTCTTTGATTTGATTTCTAGAGCAAAAACTGGGTTGATGGCCTAGCTTAGTCATTTCGTTGTCATCCATCGTATCCTCAAAGTGGTTGCGTTCCAATGTATAGCCTCAACCCTGTCCTTCCTGCTCTCCGTTCACTCTTTTCTCTCAAGCTCGGATGTTCAGACGCTACCTATCCTCCATAGCAGCCGCCTTGGCCCTTAAGTCAATTGACATACCTTCTCATCGAAGATGATGTCCTTCTTCACACGCACAAGGTGCACACACGGCTCCTCGTCATACATGACCGGATTCTCAGCTTGTTTTTTGCGACAAGCGTGGCCACACTGCTCCGGACGTCCTCGGTGAACTACGATCTGGCGTGGACACAAGTAGACCTTTTTCTGACCTTTGATCTTCAAGTTTATTAGTCAGTCAAGCTACCAATTGCATGGATAGACAACGCAACTCACCACATGACGCTCTTCATCGATGGCGCTCATAAAGCCTGTAATGCCAATAGTAGCTAGGTCGTGGGTGACGCTACTGTGTGTGTGGACAGAGATTGCACTGAGGTACCTCTTGTCTTTGATCCAGTCGTGTAGTGCGTCGATCTGAAAGTACTTGGCCTCAACTGCAAGTCGGTTATAGAGGTTGTAGTTGAAACCATCGGTCTTCGTGTAGAACAGCGGGAACACTTCAGGTCGTCGCATGAATGCGAGGAGGTACTCGAATAACTCTGGGTCTGCGTCTAGAAAGTAAGATCCATCGGGCTCGGGCGTCCAAGCAAAGCGACCGTCCAGCTGGTGGCGGAAGAGACCAGACTCGGAGGTGAGAACGTCGGTAGAGACCTTGAATTTGCGTCCGCCAACGTCGAGAGTTAGGGTATTGAGGTAGTTGACGGCTCCCGACATGTCTGGTTTGTCGCCTGTAGCCGGCTGTGTAGAGGTTTTCGCGGTGCTGTCGCTGGGTGCAGGAGCTTCAATGTCCGCGGATGTGAGGCGCAGGAACTCTCTTTCGAGATCGATCATTTCTTCGTCAGGTATTTGCATCATCAATGTAAGGGGCGGATATATGTATGGCAGGAAGTGGTTGAGCTTTGTTACTGAGCAAGCAGTCGGCTTAACGAGCGAAGGGGGCAGTTTGACTGCGGTTTTGTTCACGGTGAGACTTTACCATACGCAAACACATCGTGAAGTGAACACAATGGCGCACGAGGATCAGGTGCTTACAATGTGTTGCTATGAAGAATCAATGTTGTTAAAGAGCTTGGGGTTACGAATGATGCTCATCGACCTTACCAGGACTTTCACTTCACCGGCACCTGCGTCTCTCCCGCGCCTGCACCTCTCTGACGTCACTGCACAGCTCGAACCCACACTGACGCTTAAGGTCATCTTTCTGACTCCTTACACTGTCAAGCTCAGCTCGCACATCCGCGATGCGCTCCTCCGCTACCTTCTTGCGTCGAACATATTCCTGTAGCTTTTCCTTATAGTTTCCCTTCTTCGCCGGCAATCTTTCTCTAATACGCTTGGTTCTCGCCTCCGCAAAGTCATTGGCAATCCTATTGCTTCATGCTTTTTCCGAATAATGTCCGAGGGTGTTATTTGCTGTTGCATCGATGGTTGCAAGCTTCCATGACAGATTCGTGTGCTCTGTTGTCGCAGAATTGAGCTCGTTTTTGGTAGGTTGGAGGTGACTGTCCGCCGTCTCCATGAGGTTGAGTGCGTTCAAATACTCCTTCACTCTTCTCACACGCTCCGGCGTCATGCCATTGTAGAGTCGATCTTCATGTCCGGGCTCGTTGTCGACAATGATGGGCTGTGACCATGAGCTAGCCTCTGAGACGAACAGACTCTGCTCGTCTTCGTCCTCCTGATCAAGTGCGATCATTTCATAGTTGACCCTGCTTCTTCGCCCTGTCCTCCTGCTCGATCGCGGACTCTCCTGATACCCACTATACTCCTTCACCCTCCTCTTCCTCCTCCCTGAATCTGGCGTGCGCGGAGTCTTCGGCGTCAATTCGGGCGATTGAACATGCCATAACCGCCACTGTTGATGTTCCTCGTCTGCCTCTCCGACATGTCGTTCTCCGTCGCATACCCACTATGCTTCGATGGACTGTCGACATCTGACTGTAGTGTGCTGTCTTTGCTGGCTTCACCGGTGTCAGAGGAGGAGCTAATGACGATTGCGTCGGCGTGGCGGTACGTTTGCATCTCAGTGGCATCGCTATTGCTTTCAGAGGCCGTGGGAAGGTGTCGTGAGCTTCCAAGTACCTTCTTACTGTGTTTCCGAGCTATACACACTCGCATAATCGAAACATGAAAGCTCGACAACAATATCGTAGTCAAGCTCAAGACAAAGAATTTTAAGTCAGCAGATCGCACGAATGTCCGTAGTCACCAGAAGAGCGAGGTTGAACAAAACAGTCACGTCCGTTAGAGGCGATTTCATGTGCCAACCATGCACAGTGTTGGAGAAGGGGCCAGAGGTACGAGCGATAGGCGCGCGCACTCACGGATGCCGGACACTCTTTTTTTACGTAACAACGTGATTACTGCTACGAAGTTTACTACAAGAAGCAAGCTTGCAAATAAAGTAAATGGATATATGGATCTAACCGATACGAAACCCACCCCTACTATCATGCAAATGCTCAAAACCTAGCGCCATTCACTATCCATGCGACATTCTTCGATATCAATCTAAGCCGAACGTAGAGATCTACGATTCAGCCTCAGCCATTATGTGCTCGCCCTCATCCAGCATCTCCACCACCCTCTTCAAATTTCCAACCATCTCCTTGGCCTGCCCCACAAGCAACAACTTCTCCGCGTTGGCCGGCAGCCCCAAGTACGTAGGCGGCTCACGCTCAGGCAGATCGTTGACCCACTGCATGAAGTCATTCCAGCCGGTGGAGCTAGGCAGCTCGAGGCCCTCACTGTGCTCAGTGTCCTTGACGATCTTGAAGTTGTCCTCGAAAGCCGCGGGCGTCATGCACTCTTGCACGATGGAAGTGAGAGTGCGCCAGTCGGCTTCGTTGTCAATCTTACCACCATACATCTCGGTGACGAGAGTGGTGATCATGTCCCATGGGATCTTGGCGGGAGCGATGTTGGAACGGCCTTGAGCGACGGTGTCGATCCAGGTGTCGACGATGAAGCTACAACATTCGTACTGGCATTCGTTAGCACTAGATCAAGTTATGGTTTGGGAATAAACTCACGTCGCTGTCGTTGAACTCCCAGAAGCCCTTCCAGCCGAGAGTTGGTGCGTAGCGAAGACGCTCTTGGACCACGGCATGCAAGAAAGACAAGATGAGGTAGACGCGCGCCTTCTCCACAGGCGGCTTGATGGCCTTCTCCGCTAGAGACGACAGTGAGTCCTTCATGTTGGCGCGAATACCAGCAGGTTGCTCGTAAGATAAAACGCGAGACGCTCGAAGCAGGTTGACAGGGATCTTCGGGCTCGATTCCATCGACAAGAAGAGACGGAAATCAGGGTTAGGTTTGAGCGCTTCCAACCTCTTCTCCAGTGACTGAAGCCACTGAGGAGCCAGGTGAACGTTCTTGACCAGCACCCAGTTGCCCGTTGTAGCAGCGTTGGCAATGGCCTTGTCTGCGGTGGTGGCACCTTCATTGGAGCCCATGGCAATGTTGGCGCACGATACGCGCTCCCTCTCGACGAGGTTGTCGACCTTGTAACTGGCGTCAAATCCAGGGCTGGAGCTGAGTGCAACAGGGGTGACGGCGTTAACTTGCTTGACAATGTCGCCAAGGTCACCACTAGCATCCAGGATGCCTTTGCCAAATACTTCCGTAACGAAGCGCTCGACTGCGGGTACGAGGCGATCAACACGGAACAACTTGACCAGAATGAGAGCCCGCAATTGCTTATCGAACTTGTTGAGGTCTTCGTGCCAAGCCTGAGGTACGTATCGTTCAGCAAGCTCCTCGGTCAAGAATGCATCCCAGGCATCATCTTCGATCTTGTCCAAGTCGTCCTTGAAGATGGACTGCCTGCTTGCGCGTTGTAGCGCCTCTTCCCTGCGTTCTGGCTGAGTGGAAACATCGACCGCTTCCACATCCACGTCAAGGATCTTGTCAATGAGGGTCTTGTCCATCTTGTAGGGCGCAGCTTGTACAAGAAGCATTGCAAAGGTAACACGGTCCTTCTGCAGTAGGGAGAGCGAAGTGCGACGGTAGGCATCGACAAAGAGCTCGGTAATGATCTGGTCGATACGAGCGGCATGGTTCGTGCTAGAGCCGTCCCTGACCTTTCGAAGCACAGCCTCGAAGATTTGCGTGAAATACCGCAGGGAGAACTGGTAGAAGTGGTTGAGATGATGCAATTGCTCCAGAACAGCAAAGATAGCCGAGCAGGAACGAGCAACGACAGTGTACTCCTTGGTGATGTTCTCGACCTCTGTCATGACGCCGGCGGTCTCCGAGACCTTGTCCGAGATCTCCTTTGCCTCCTTCTTGAGCGTCTCAAGGGTCTCGATGACACGGTCGTCGTCAAGAATGTTGCCACGAGACTCGTTGAGGGCTTGTAGAAGACGCTTCTCGAGTTGGCGAAGATGGACAGCAAACTCGCCCTGCATCTTGATGAGGTTGGATCGTCGCTCATCGACATCGGGTCTCTCGGACTTGAGGACTTCATTGAGAGTCTGCGTCTGCAAGCTGCTCTGCGTAACCGTAAAATTAACGAAGGTGGTACGACTGCAGATGTCAGGAGCGAAGTTGGCGGAAGGATCGCGTGTCGAGAGGTACAAGCGGAATGTTGGCGAGAAGTCTATCTCTTGTTTGCCAAGCTGAATGAGCACACGGCCACCAGTCTTCTGGTACTCCTTGTTGAGAACATGATTCAGGATTGGATCAAGATATTCAGCGTCCTGGATGAGGATGGGGTTACCGAAACGCAATGAACTCTCGAGCTGCTTTACGAAAGAATCGTCCAGGAAGCTCGTGACTGTAAGGCGACGGTCCTTGCATTCGTTTTGCAGGAACTCGGTAGTCCTGCCTGACGGGTCGATAATGAGAGGGTAACGGTTGAAGCGCTGGAGCACGATAGCGTTCTCGGTACACAGATCGTCAACGGGCAGACCATTGTGCTGCCACGTCAATCGATCATCGGCAGTCGAAAGATACTCCGTGATCGGGTTGGGCGTCTTGAAGCTAATGCCGGAATTCTTGAGCTGGTCATACCAATCTTCTGTCAAAGCCTTCCTGTACTGCTGGTCGTAATATCCGGCGTAGGCGATGAAGGCAGCAGCAACGAGTACGTCGCCAACAATGGTGTCGATCTGTGAGTCGAACGATTTGCTGCTCTCCTCCCATCGGGATTGTTCGGAAGACAGACTGTCAAGAAGACGTACACTACGATCGACCTTGAACTGGACGGTTGACATCTCAGTCTTGATCGCTTGCGTCTCACTGATCAATACGGCGTAGTCTTCCTCGTAACGCTTGATATTCTGGTCGAGCCTTTCAATCAAAACCTGGGTCTCGTGAGCACCCTGTTCAGTCTCTTCCAGCTTTTGTTCGAGCTCAGCGACTTCCTTGCGGAGAGGTTCAACTCGGTTAAGAATCTCGGAGTACATGACCTGTGCTTGGACCCACTGTACAAGGGGACCGCAAGCCTTCGATGCACGATTGACCTTCTCGAAAGTGAAGTCTTCCTTGGACAGATAGTCTGCCTGCATCTTGCGACGAAGCGGAGCGGTCATCTGCCTCTCATTGTCAAAGGCAACGATGCTGGCAATGAAGTCGTCACGCCTGACGATACCTTGGATGGTTTTCCAACTGTCTGGTTTGTGTCCAAGGAGCGTACACACAGCTTCCAAAGCGAGCTTGACACCAGCTGGTGGGTTGCCCATAGATCGAACTTCGGTCAAGTGCTGGCGCTTGATGTTCTGAACGCTCTTCTGTGCCTCAAGGACAGCCGGTTCCGCCGCGTCCAGGTCCCGGTTGACCTCCGTACTTCGCTCCTGGATTGCTGTGCGTTCTTGTTGAAGTTGAGCTTCTAGCACCTTTGCACCAGCCTTTTTCTCCTCGGCCTGACGCTGATCTGCAACCATTTGCTGCAGTTTCTGGTTTGCCTCTGTAGACTTCTGTTCAAGCTGCGTCTTCTTCTGAGCGAGGCTTACTCGCAGATCCCTGACCTTGTCAAATGTCTCCCGTAGCTTTTCCAAACCAACGTTGAGATGACGTTGTTGCTCCTCGAGATCCTCGCGCTTTTCATTGTAGAGTTTGACATATTGCGCAACGAAATCTAGGAAGTGGCGAGGCGTCAAGTACATCTTGCGGTTCTGCGTCTTCTGGAGCTTGTCGTTTTTGCTTCGCAGAGAGTGGTGGACAGCAACCATTGCATTGACCACACTCTCGCGGTGAGAGGGTGGAAGGCTGAGCCCGCGGTAAGCGATGGGAATGCTATCTGGCGCAACATAGTTCGATCGGTCCAGATCCACAGAGTGCGTCAGTTCGGAACCGACCTGGAACAGAGCCTGGTCTGACCAATCCCCGAACCAATTGAGTACGCAACGATTGAACAGAGCAGGACTAGTAGCAGCCTTGGATGAGAGGCCTTCCTCGGGCGGATTCATTGTGAACACAACGTGAAGATTCTTGACAATTTGCTCTGTGAACCACTTGTAAAGCTCCTCCTGAGAGTCAAGTATGATGCCTTGCCGTTGGGCGCCCTCCTTGATGGATGTCATCAGAGCAGCGTACTCGTCGCCTTCGAAGAGACCAGGAACCTCGGCATTGGCAAGCAGCGTGTTCATGCGCTCCAGGAAACCGGAGTCGAGAACGTTGGCTTCGTCGAGAATGAAGCAGATCTTCTCGCCCTTGCAACCACAGCGGCGGAGTACGTTGCGGAGATCATCATCGAAGTCATCGCCCGTGTACTTGCCATGTACCTTGATCTGGTACACGCTCAGGCCGTTCATCCAGGCTACGAAGCGCGACAACGTAGTTTTTCCCGAACCACTGACACCGATGAGGATGAGATGACCTTGAGGCTGACGGAATACACGGTCGATACGAAGGACGTGTTCGAGAACATCGTTGAAGAGAATGAGCGGGACATCGACCTCTTCTTCGCAGAAAGTGCGGAGACGGGCTTTGACGAAGTCTCGAAGCTGCTCACGCTCGACGGGCACGTAGTTCTTTGATAGCCAGTTCGAGAATAGTATAGGTCCACCGAGGGCTTTGTCCTCGTCGATGGTAGGGAATTGCTCCAATGCGATACGGTGTACACAATCTTCGGTCCACGCTCGCTCGTCATCTGCGATGAGACGATCTTGGAAAAGCCGCAAAGCTTCGTGCGCCCAGATCCTGATGAGACCTTCAACCGGCAACGTCTCAAGCGGTCGAAGGGCTTCGTAGATACCACGTACCCAGCGCGTAAGCTCACGGGGCGAGTAAACGTAGTGGGGCTGGATATCCGGAGTGAACCTCCTCTGAGATTCGGAGTACAGCTGTACCATGGCCCTGGTTAGAGCATCTGAGTACCCACGCAGTGTCGGAATGATCTTCAGCACGGCACTGGTGAATGTTCCGTAGATCTGAAGCAAGGACTGCTCGCCGGGGTAGTCGACCATGATCAGAGGAGCGTGGCGTAGGAAGCGCAGACCCATAGGCGTACGACCAGCGTCTGTGGGAGGGTTACAAGCACCAACAAACTGGATGCGATCAAGAGTGACCCAAGTCTTGTCCGAAGTCCGCCAGAAACCATTGTGTTCGACGAGCTGACGTAGGAAAGAGATCGCACGTTGCGTACCGTACTTGTCGGGTGCAGGTAAGTTGATCTCGTCGCAGAAGATAATGAGCCAGCGACCGATCTGGGTTGGGGTGAGCTGGACACCGTTCACAGTCTTCTTGTACTCGCAGTACTGCTCGAAAGTTTTGATGAGCAGATCGGGAGTTGTCGCACTAGAAAAGTTGAGGCCAACGACTTGCATGTGCGGGAGCTTGCGAAGGGCGCTAAAGAGCGTCATCGTTTTACCAGAACCTGGTGGTCCGCAAAGCAGCAGCGGTTTATGCTCAGCAAGCCATGAGTAGAGAACATCCTCATGACGGACAGTATCGAGTGTGGGGATAACGACGTCGGTCTGGACGATGGAGTGGGTGTTGACCTCAACATTAGGAACCTGATTTTGCCACATCTCCCAGTCCGGCTTCTCAGGCTTGGCGTCGTAGTCGATGAGGGAGGTAGATTCATTGAGAGGCGGCAGCTCAACATCGGTCATACCAGCCACGAGGTCACCGAACTGCTTGCGGTCTGACAGCGGGCAGTCGCCGACAAGCGCCCAAACGATAGCAACGAGCAGCTTTTTAGACAAATAGGCCTCCATCTTGTCGTCTTCAAGTGGAAAGTCCTGGTGCTGAACATTATACTCGATGACGTTGCGGCAAGCCTTGTTGAGAAGCGAGAACAGGGTGTGAAGCGCGCGGATGTCGGTGTAGTCCATAATGTGCTTGAATTTGCGAGCCATGCTGAGCGCCTTTTCGATAAAGCGATCCTGTGTAAGCTTGATTTTCAGGAAGTCTGCAATCAGTCCCTGGGTCGCAAGCGTCTGCTGTGTCATCTGTCCTGGTGCTACAGAGTCATCCTCAATGTCTTCAAACGCAGTACTCTTGAGGTTCTGAATGTAGTTGTCGATCATCATGTCCACGTTGACAGTGTCATCGCTGAACCACACCATACCACATCGAGACACTGTGGCCAGGGTAGCATACTTGAGCGTCTCGACCTCGAACATGATGCGCACATTGGACGGAAGGTTGAGACGTTCACCGTTGGGCAGCGTGAGAAGTTTGTTGTCATCGAGAACAGAGTTCAGGTTTTCAACCCACTCAGGGTCGACATCACCATCAAAGACGATCCAGTGGCGCTTGCTGTCCTCACCACGCAGGTTATCGACGATCTTGCGAAGGATGCCGGTGAAAAGACCATCGGTCCACTCGCGCGTCGTGTTGTCCAAAGTACCGTAGAGCTGCTCTTTGGACATGACCTTGGGATCGATTACGTGGCAGACACCTTCAACACCATCGGCTTCTTGCAGCGCGCTCAAAAGCGTTCTCCATGCGGCTGATTTGCCGGAGCCTGACGATCCTACCATCATGACACCATGGTGCAAGTTCTGGATCTGGTAAAGCTGGAGAACCTTGGTCATCCAGCCCTCACTAACAACGAGCTTCGAATTGGCTGCTTTTTTGCGAATGGCCTTGGTGAGCTTGTCGAGAGGCGCAGGAATGTATTGAACCCCAGGGAAGGCCTCATCCTCGATACTTCGCATGATTTCGACGTCGGAGCGGATGAGCTTGGGAGCGATGGTTTCTCGAAGACTCTGAACAATAATCTGAGGCTCCATGACAACTTCATCTGCCTCTTGAGCGTCAATGATGGCGATGCGAGCTCGCTTGAGTCCACCAGAGCTAACGAGCACACTCTTGAGGGCACGCAGACCAAAGTCGTAGTGGGCTTGCTTAGATAGGCTGGAAGCACAGCTGTCGAAGAATGGAACAATCTGCTTCGAGAGGTCCTTTGCTTGTGAGAAACCTTGGGAATAAAGCATGACTTCAGCAATAAGCTCCTTATCAGGCTTGGACATGGCAATGCTTCGGAACAACTTCTTCAAGTTGTCAGGCAAGTTAGATCGACCAGCATAACCGGGGTTCATCGTGATGAAAACACCTGTGTTGCCGTTGACCTTGAGCTGGCGACCGACTAGTTCAATCTGAGCCTTGTCGTCTTTGGCACCCTTCTTGAGGCCAAGCTGGATGTTTTGGATTTGTTGGGAGACAGCCGAAAGAATACGTTCTTCAAGACGGTTGAACTCATCGAAGCAACCCCATGCGCCGACCTGGCATAAACCAAGGAAGATGCGACCCATGGCTTGAAAGTCGAAGGTATCGTCGCAGCAGAAGACGAGAGTGAAGCGACCGAGCTGGACACCGAGAGCTTTGACTGATTCGGTCTTTCCTGTACCAGCAGGTCCGTATGGCGAACCACCAAGGCGCTGGCACATAGCCTGGGTGAGAGTAAGGAAACAGCGATCGGTGAGTGGTGTTCTGACGAGACGATCGGCTACACCCAGGTACTCGAAACCGTAGTCCAGAACAGCGTTAGCCATCTTGATCCTGAGGCGGTGCAATAGATCATTGCTGGGCTCGTATACGTATCGCATAGACAGTAGCCACATATGGTGGGTCGGTGAGCTCGCGCCGACCTTCTGCAGCTTGTGGATGACATCGCGCTGGTGAACGAATTCGGTGATAAGATCTTCGCACTTTCTACGATGGATAGGCTCGAGGTCGCCAAGAACTGCTGCAGCCAAAAGCTTGAGAATATTGACTTGCTTTTCGTACAGGTCAGGCAGAGAAGTGCCTCCAGCGGTCAGAGATGCCTCGACTGCCTGGGTCCATGCGATTTGAGTTCCGAGTACAACAACCTGGGTTGGATACTTGGCGATGTAGTTGTTGAAAGCGGATGGATCCATCGCATCGGCAGCCATGAGCTGGGCGAACTGCTCAAAGGCCTCATACGTCAACTCCGCCAGAGTGGTCTTCATATTCATCTCGAGCGCGCCAAGCCACTCATTGATTCGCGGTGTCTGAACAAGGGAAACGTTTTTGCGCAACTCGACCTCTTCGCCCTCCTTGGAGCTGAAGCCTGTGATGACACCGTCCCCGTCAGTGGTCAGACCACAAAGACCAGCAAACATCTTTCTCAGATGTTTAGCGATGCGAAGAACATCGTTGCTGTTTCCGATAATCTCAAGAAGATCCTCGTCACCAACGAAATAGAAGCGAGGAAATGCGACGCGTTCGCGTTCAAGATACTCTCCCAGGGCTTTCTGGATCTTAGTGAGCATGTCCGCGAGCCGATCGAGCGACTGTTGTACGCCCGTTATGTTAAGAGCTTCCATTACGAAGGGCTGACGCGCGACCTTCTTCATAACTGTCAGGAACTCGGCGTTGATATTGTTGAAACGTGATGATTCCATCGGCAGCAAATGTTTAATGTCTGCGTTGCCAGTGAACACTCCTTCCAGGTAAACCCATTGACGCTGCACATCGATCCAGACGTCGAACAGGACGTGGACGCGGTTGAGTCGATCTTCCCATACCGAAGCTTCTTCCTCGAACTCCTTGAAGTACGGGGACAGTCGCATTGTTGCTAGCCCACTAAGATTTTCACTACACTTGGCAAAAAGCTCGTCCCAACCCTTAATGAGGCGGCATTTGTTCTGGTAGTTAACCAGTTGTAGTTCGTAGTTCTGCCATGTTTCGCGGACATCTTTGACGTACACTTCTAGCGCCATCTCGGCAGACGCCTGTTCAAGCACGCCTCGGATGATCTTTTCGCTAGGGCCAAGCTTGAGATCCCACACGTCACCCAAGGTCATGGCAGTAGGTGAGTACATCTTCCCAGGCTTCAATTGCTTGAAAACCTTGACCCAGTGACGCTCGCGCACAGCATCAGAGCGCAGGTCTTCGATGATTTTGTGCTCTTTCTGGAGCTGCTTCAGTGTTTTCTGCACATACTCGAAGGCTTGGTACTGCCGAATTCTGGGCAGGGACTCCTTCGTGGTCTTGTCCAAGTCGTCGAGGTTCTTCCTCAGCCGTCGTGGCTGTATACTAGTCCAGAGTTGCTCGCGCAGGTCATCGAGAGACGCCCAGATGGTGCCCACCCTCGCCCAGACCTGCTTGAAATCATGCACTTCTTCGTAGAGCGTATTCAGAACGTTGATGGGAGAAGGAGGTAGTCCCAGAGCTTCTTTGGCTTTCGAGAGGTTGCTAGATTCGGTTGTCAATTGGTCGATTCTCTTGTCGTATCTGGTGAGGACAGCGGTTGCATCTTCCGGAGCAAGGTCCCCAGCGACCGGCTTCTCCGTAGCCCACTCGGCGGTCACGTCGGAAATTTTCTGGTTGACAATCTTGTCTTCGGCAGCGATCTTCGCTCGGAGTGCATCAGCCTGATCATCGGCAATCTTGGTCTTGCGAGCCAGAACCTCAGTCAACGTCTGCCACTCATGGTCGATTTGCTCCATCGGCAGCCAGTTCTGAGGAAACTGGTAGCGTTGGCGGTTCAGAGTAGCTGTTCCCTGTCGGAAGGTCGAGATCTCGGGTTCCCATTCCATGACCTGGCGCTTGCATTGCTGCACGGTAGTAATGAACGATACAGCCTGGGCTGTCGAGGATGCTTCAAGCGTCTGCACCTCGAGATCCTTGCGTGCTTTCGCAATTTCAACGAAGACCTCGTTCATGCGTTGGCCGAGCCTATTTGCAAACTTGGCAAGGATCTCTTGTTGCCATTGGTCGTACTTGGCATTAACCTTCACCTGCACCTGGTCGTAGTCTACCGTAACGTAGCCGAAACGACGGCTGATCTCAGAGTTGTCGAATGTAGAGCGGGTCTTGCGGATCTCTTGCAAAAGCTGCAGCCATCGTGAAAGGTCTTCTCCGAGTATATCGTACACGTGTTCGGATTGCAGATCCCACAAAGACTGGAACTGGAGCCATTCATCAACGTAGGCAGAGATATCGCCTAGCTTGCCCTCAACCGCGCCGTACACTTCGATCAACGAATCAGTGCACTTGCTCGGTAGATCGGAAAATTGATTGTTCGAGACATCCTTTGTCGATTCCAGTCGAATTTCGTATCGCGAAGCTTTGATCTTTTGGAGCGTGCAAACGACGGCAAGCCATTGTTGAAGCTGCTCAAGCCAGCTTGCCCGGGCGTACTCCACCGGTGGACTCAGATAGATCACCTGATTCCGCATAGTAATTTCTAATGTGAGCTGAGATAACGTCGGCTTGACTTCGTTAATTTCTCCGCCTGCGGGGTCGCTGGTAGGCCGACGATCGTCCTCGTCTTCGCCGCCGTTGTTGAAGACGTCAACCCATTGCGACACAGCATATCTCAGGCGCACGAGAAGAATGGACTCAATTCGAGTGTTCATATCTGATACCCATGTCGCAAGGTTGGCGTAATTCTCAAGATTGAGCTGATCAACGGACTTCTGAATAGTCTCCAGGTTCTGTTGGAAATTCTCCTTGTTATATGGGCATGTCTCCAGTTCCTTCAGCGCTTTGTCGACTACAGCGTTGATACTCACAAGAGTAGCAACTTTCGTTTGGAGCAGAGAGGTTGCGGCCTGGAAGTCCCGAACAAATTGCACATGCTTACTCTCGCTCCGGACACTTCCAGCTCCTGCAGGAAACCCGGGTTGGCGAACATGCAAGTCGTATGCATGAACAAAGGACTCCCACTTGAGGGGTACACCCTTCTGAATCAGGGTTTGAACATCGTTGGCATAGTTGTTGAGCAGAAGAGCAATCCCACTCAGTTCGGAAATCGAGCGAACGGTCTGGGTGTACGTTCGGACGCTCTCCATTAGGCTGACGGCGTAAGGGTAGACGCGCTTGGCTTCTTTAGAGATGTTGTTGATGCCGTGAGGGACTTGATAGCCACGCCATGTCAAGTTGCGCACCTCCTTGAAAAGAGCAATAACCTGGCCGTCGAAGTTCACGTTCAGCTCCAGGACATTACCCGCAGCCCGATTCCTGCTGACAAGGAATAAACGTCCAGAGATTGAAAGTTTATTTCGTGCAACTGCCTGCAGCCATGTCTCAAAGATGGGACGTGTGTCTAGCTTCTTCTTGAACATGTTGCTCTCCGCTTGGAGCTTCTGTCCTTCCGCGTGGAGAACCCAGTCTTTCCCCAGGATGTCCTCAACCTTGCCCATATACTTGTCGAGCTGAATCTCGATCTGTCGCGCCCAAATGACGGCGCCAGAAACCGGAGGGAAGTCTCGGAGTTGTGCCATCGCATGCGCTTCGGAGTTCGCGTACTGGCGCTTGAAGCGTTCGTGCAGCGCTTGGATGTCCTGCTTGACGCTCTCGATCAGTTGTGTCTGGTACTCCGAGATAGCTCCTCGAATCTTGGGTCGCACAAAAAGAGGATTAAACTTGGAGAAGACACGGAACATCTCGCTCGCGGTCTTGGCGGTGCCGAGACGGTCTCGAAGCCTAGCAATGATCGAATTCTCAACGCGTGAAGTACGCTCGTTGTACTTTTGCTCAGCCTGCTCGAACAGCCGTGTGCCCTCTGGCGATACATCCAAGACGTCAACATCCTTGAGAACGTCGTAGGCTTCCTTGACTTCCTTGACAGCGTCAACATCGCCGATCTCCTCAATGATCACTTCCTTGATCTGCGATCCATCAGATGACGTGGATTGAGTGCCAAGGACGTTGACGATGGTGCGCTGCAGCTGCTCGTGGTTCTTCCTGAAGGTGGTAACGTAACGAATACGCTCTTCGGTCTCTCGATGACGCGGGTTAATCTTTATGGGGATGAACTTCTCGTTCCTGCGCCTCGTCACTTCACGAGCAACGTTCGTGAACTCTTTGACGTCCTCCTCCCATGTGCGCCAGATCTTCTCTGCAACATCCATGATCGCCTGAAACTCGGGATAATCCATATGCATCAATGTCCGGCCTGATAGCTTCTTATGCAGCTCAGCATCGAGGTCAGCTGAGATAGCTTCGACCAAAGGTAGGGCTCGACGAATCGGGTACGGACAAATGCGCAGCTTCTTGTTGAGATGGTTGAAGATCTGATTGATGGCATCTTCGACAGCAACCAGAGATGTGGATGTGTGCAATTGGTCCAGTGGGAATTCCTTCATCAGCGAGTTGTACTTTTGTACCAAGTCGGTGGTCTCCTTCAAGCCAGTGTCCGCACTGAAACTGACTGTAGCCTGGAATCGCTTCGCATTCTTCAGCACGTCCAAAGTCAACCTGACACCTGCACTGCTGAGCTGAGTCTCGATGTCGTGCAGCCTGGACTCCATGGAAATCCAGAAGTTGATTTCCTGCTGTGCTGTGCCAGTCGAAACATCGCGAGAGGTCTTGGTGATGGTTTGTATAGACTTGATCCAGCCGTTGACAGTTCCCTGCAGCTGGTTCAGAAAGGTACTATCCTGCACCACGTTGGCGGGGATCAGATCCGGAGAAGGTTTCAAGTCCCGAGCTTCTGCATCCTGAAGTGCCAGCAGAATTTGTGGGTGCAACGGCAAGAGCAACTCGGGGATGTCAGCGTTATCTAACAAGTGCTGCATTGCCAATGCCAACTCGGCCATCTTCTTTTTCGCCGCCGAAATGCCAGTCCTTGAGTCGCTGTCGCCCTGGCTGTAAAGTTCCTTCGGGTTGCGCAAGCTTTTCGTCTTGTTGTAGCTGTCGAAATACGGTTCGAAGGCAGTCTGAATGAAAGAATGGATGTACTCAAAGGGAGCGCCATCTTGAGACGAGTTGTTATTAGAAAGTATAAAGCCGGGGAGTGTCGAAATCCGAACTTGTGCGCTAATGGGTATGGAAGAGTCTATGGGTATCGGTCGCTTCTGAAGGACAACAAATGCTGCGCAGTGAGGAGATGCAGTGAGTTCGGAGGAAACCGTGTATGTGTAGTGCTGCGAGACGCCTGTCAAGTGTCAGTTCGAACCCATGTTCCACGTTCGTTTGCACTCACCATTGGTCCCGTCCAACCCGTCTATAGAAGCCTCAGCACTTCTCTCCTTGACAACATAGAGCACCGACTGGTTCTCCTTCGAGAACTGCGCGCATCTCTGCAGGGTGTCGGTGCGCTTGTCGTCCGAGAGCAAGCTGCCAAGCGCATGGAGATCTCGCTCTGTAGCGCCAAGATTGACGTCGAGGACCTTTTCCAGGTAATCGACGATTATCTGAGGGTCGATAGTAGGCGGTGTGGGACTGGGCGCTCGTGAAGTGCCATTGGTGGCCCCTGGGGAGAGCGGTCCCTCCATCGTGAGCTGTTGTGTCTACTGACAAGAAGACATGTGAATCCTCGTTTCCAGCGAGGTGGGGTGGAGAGGACAAGTGTGTATTACGTCGAAGGCGACAGATCGGTGGTGAAGGGAATGTGAGCTGTGTGTTTTCTCCACCGTTGAGAAAGTCCAGGACGCGACGCGGACGTGCGTCTTGCCCGAACGGTCCCCAAGCTCCCGCACTTAGACAGCCGCAGGAATGCGGTGGGATCGCAGCATGATTGGTGCTTAGAGCTCCGCCAGATGCAGCCTTTACAAAGACGTGGCCAATGCTTGAAACACAAAGGGACGCGCTTCGTGACGGTTGCAGCTCTGACGCCTTGCTTTTATTTGTTTGTGTTTACCCCGCCGCCTCAAAAGTGGAAGGGACACTCGATGCACAGCACTTGACAGCACAGAGGCCGACATTATACTTATCATTGTTAATAGCAGCTATCTCGATTACTTGTAGTCTTCCACAATGGGAGTGATATGCACATATGCTGCGTGCTTTGTTTATTCTTCAGGTTCCCAAACCCCAATCTTCGTACGCCACTCCGGCTTCAGTTTGATAACGTGGATGGCCGCCTCGGTCTTCTCCCAGGGCACGCCAAACTTCCCGCTGTTGATCTTGCACATTCGAATCTCACTGATCTCCCCGTCCACTTGGCTGACCAACTCGAGCAGCATCTGCATGGAGTTGACGGTGTTCCTGATGATCTGATCTGGCTTGTCCTTGCCTTTGCCGTACCCAGCACTTGTGAAGACGCAGCCGATCCAATGTTGCTTGTCGCCGTCGCGTGGCGCCAGTAGCTGCGTCGTCCCAGTGGATACTGGATTAGACTTGGTATGGTCTTTGGCGCAGAAGTTGTGATGGTCTGTGTAGGCTTTCGGATACTGCTGCTTGAATGCTTTGGCGATACCGGCGCCCCAGTGACCTTGGGTGTTGCAGGCATGGACTAACACGGTGCCGGGCGGTACGTCTGCAAACATGTCGCCCTTGTGGTAGGTAAGTTGCAGCGACTTCTGGTCTGCATCTTGTCGGCCCGGCACATCAAGCCAGCCAGATGTGACATGTGTGTAGTCGAGATGCTGATGTTTGTTCTCGGTGGTGGTCTTGAATTTCTTGGGTGGAGGTGGTGTACCCGAGGTCGTCCTTTTGCCAGGAATGGCTTCAGGTACGGTGACTGGATTTTTTGCTTTGATATCGCCTGCACCTGTTGGTTTGAAGTAGGACCTGATGCTGGTGTCACGTTGGGGTGACATGACGGTTGTGCGCTGTTCGTGGCGGTAATGGCAGGTCGTGTATCGTAGACGTTGCGCGGGTGAGCGGGGTGGAAGAGTCAAAGAGAGCCTGCACAACTCCAACAAGAGATACTGAGTATGCAGCATTAAAGTGAAAGTGAGAAGGATGACTCCCTCCTACCTACCTTCAGCTCTGCTAGATGGCAGGCAACAAGAGATGGAGCCGCCCTTCCAGCTGCACCTACACCCGATACAGTATCATACCACAGCAACAGCGTATGCAGCTACTATGCATGATGATAGGACTACAGAGCGATCTCACTAGTTGAGTTGTGTCTTGCTTGCATGATTGTTGGTGTTGATGAGGTGCGGCGATGATCGGGAAGCGGCGAGGGCGCGCCACCAATCAGCTCCTGCCAAAACTAGATGATGCTGAGGTAACTCCTGCCTGTGCCAATTCTTCAGACCACGACCAACGACAACCATCACGCCCACCCGCACATCAGCGCCACGATGCCCGCCCTCGCCAACAGCGCCCGTGCCGTCGCACGATCATGGACAGCCCACCAGATGCCCGTCGCGCGGGCCGGCTGCACCGCCATGCAGACCCGTAACGCCTCGGCGTCGTCGTTCGACAGCCCCTTCAAGGGCAGCGCCGACAGCACCAAGATCCCCTCCTTCGCCGCCTACAGGAACAAGAACGGCGAGCAGAGCACCAAGGTCTTCCAGTACTTCATGGTCGGCTCCATGGGTGCGCTGTCCGCTCTTGGCGCGAAGGCGACCGTCCAGGGTAAGCCCACCCGCCTGCAGCACCCGCGAACAGCACGGCAAAGCTCCGGAAAGCGATGGGAATAGGATATAGGGCAGCTTGGGGGACACGAGAGGGCAATTGGCTGTATTGCGGATGATTTGGGGCAGCAATTCGATGAAGAGCACACCGGCTAACGCACCGCGCGACAGACTTCCTTGTCAACATGTCCGCCTCTGCCGACGTTTTGGCCCAGGCCAAGGTTGAGATCGATCTCGCTGCCATCCCCGAGGGCAAGAACGTGCGTCTACGGGTGAATCCAGGATGATATAAGGCGGGAGCTAAGACAACACAGGTCATTATCAAGTGGCGAGGCAAGCCCGTCTTCATCCGTCACCGCACCGAGAGCGAGATCAAGGAGGCCGAGGACACCAAGTGGGAGGCTCTGCGTGACCCCCAGTCCGACGGTGACCGTGTCCAGAAGCCCGAGTGGTTGATCATGTTGGGTACGGACGCTACATTGCATAGCACGGCGATCTCAGTATACTGACTACCACAGGTGTCTGCACCCATCTCGGTTGTGTGCCCATCGGCGAGGCCGGCGACTTTGGCGGCTGGTTCTGCCCCTGCCACGGATCCCACTACGACATTTCTGGCCGCATAAGAAAGGGACCTGCCCCGCTCAACCTCGAGGTACCCACGTACGACTTCCCCGAGGAGGGCAAGGTTGTCATTGGTTAAAATTCGCGCATTGTGTAAAGTAGCGAGACGAGATGGGCGGAGGGAGCTGGCTGTGTGAATAGGAGCAAGCATTACCGTTTCCTTTGGTTTCTTATTTAGATTCGGCTTGTGTGCGTAGGAATGTAACACCAGTTAGAGTCACCTCGCGTCACAGGCACAGGTCTAATGCGTCTTTGTTTGTTCGGATTCATGACTACTGCTCGTTCAGGAATGACTTGACGGCATCCACCGCGCCCGCAAACCTGCCCGCCTCGATCAGCGTCAGATGCCCCTGCGGCCTGACACCCATCTCCTGGAACGCTCTCTTGCTGTCACTCGCGCCCTCGTCCACCGGGGTATCATAGTCAAAAGTCGTGTGGCCAGTAGCGTGCTGGTGCAGCACCTCGTCCTCAGGATGGAAGTAGAACGTCTCCTCCTCGGCCTTGCCCGCCTTCTTTTTCTTGCTGGGCGGCTGGCCTACCGCCGGCAGGTTCGAGGCTACCTCCGAGTATGCTTTCGAGAGCACGAGGTAGTGTGTGAATGCATAGGGCTCCTTCTCTTCGACGGCCCATTGGATCTCCTCCATCAGCATGGTGTACATGGGCGGCACGATCTCGTGGGGCATGTTGATGAAGCGCTCGGTGAGGATCAGGCCGATCTGTGCGGGTGCGGCGGGGAGCAGCGAGGGCGCCTTCTTGCTGAGGTAGGCGTGCAGGTCGCGGATTACTTTCTTGTCCTACATAACAAGTGAGTTCCCCGACACAACGTATATACATATATATAGTGCATTAGCAGTACCTTGTGTGTCTCCAGATTCAGCACGGTCAAGAACGCATACGGATCTGTCTCGCTGCCGTCGACCTTCACCGTGCTGCCCAGCAGCGGCTGCGACAGGATCAGGTCGGCGAGTTCACTGATGTCAAACAGCTGGTTATCCACGTCAAGCAACTGACGCAGCAGCGTCTTCAGGCCGTGGAAGTCAACAGCCGGATTGGGATCGAACCACTACCAAAAGCGTTAGTCTATCCAAACAGCAGAACAGTAGCTAAAGAAGCTGGCCTATACCTCAAAGTCGACGTTAACCATGTCCATGTCCTAGACACGCATGAGCTGGGTCGCATGTGCGCGGGATAGAGATGCGCCAAACCTCGTCGCTGTCGGACTCGTCATCGTTCTTCTTGCCCTTGCCCCTGCTCTCTGGCGCATCGGGCAGCTCCTCTGGATCCTGCTTCCGCTTGGCCATTGTGTGTATGTGGTGTTGTAATTTTATGAATGTGCTGCTAATTCTTGCGCGTCGGCATCCCGCACGCGTGAACGCAATCGATAAGAAATTTTACACTAGAGTCAGCGGGGCCCACGAGCCCTTTGCACCATCGCGCTCTTTCCCCGCTTCTACGACTCTCTTTTCTCTTGACATTCCCTTTTCTTTCCTTTTCTTTCCTTTCCTTTCACACTTCAATTCCTCAGCCAACATGACGACCGACGCCAAAGACCCCATTCCCCCGCACAAGACCTTCGACACCATCCTGGTGCTCGACTTTGGGTCCCAGTACACCCACCTGATCACTCGACGCCTGCGCGAGTTCAATGTCTACTCGGAGATGCTGCCCTGCACCACCAAGCTGGCCGACCTCGACTTCACACCCAAGGGCATCATCCTCTCCGGTGGCCCATACTCGGTCTACGAGGACGGCGCACCGCACGTCGACCACGCCGTTTTCGACCTCGGCGTGCCCATTCTCGGAATCTGCTACGGACTGCAGGAGATGGCCTGGCACTTTGGAAAGAACGCAGGTGTGGCGGCCGGCGAGAAGAGGGAGTACGGCCACGCATACCTGAAGCTCGAGCAGCACGGCGGCCACGTCGACGAGCTGTTCAAGGGCCTCGAGAACGACATTGAGGTCTGGATGAGCCACGGCGACAAGCTGAGTCACATGCCCGAGGACTTTGTCACAGTTGCGACGACCAGCAACTCGCCCTACGCCGGCATTGCGCACAGCTCCAAGAAGATGTACGGCATTCAGTTCCACCCAGAGGTCACCCACACACCACAGGGCAAGGTTCTCCTCAGGAACTTCGCCGTCGACATCTGCCAGTCAAGGACCGACTGGACCATGGGCAAGTTCGTCGACCAGGAAATTGCGCGCATCAGGAAGCTTGTTGGAGAGAAGGGCCAGGTCATCGGTGCGGTCAGCGGTGGTGTCGACTCCACTGTCGCAGCCAAGCTGATGAAGGAAGCCATCGGCGACCGCTTCCACGCCGTCATGGTCGACAACGGCGTGCTCCGTCTCAACGAGGCCAAGCAAGTCAAGGAGACGCTCGACAAGGGCCTGGGCATCAACCTGACGGTTGTCGACGCCTCCGACCTCTTCCTCGGCCGCCTCAAGGGCATCACCGACAACCCGGAGCAAAAGCGCAAAGTCATCGGCAACACCTTCATCGAGATCTTCCAGCAAAAGGCCAAGGAAATCGCCGAAGCAGCCCACAACACCCCCAACGCCGGCGAAATCGAATGGCTCCTCCAAGGCACCCTGTACCCGGACGTCATCGAGTCGCTCTCCTTCAAGGGCCCCTCGCAGACCATCAAGACCCACCACAACGTCGGCGGCCTCCCAGCAAACATGAATCTCAAGCTCATCGAGCCGCTGCGCGAGCTCTTCAAAGACGAAGTCCGCGCTCTGGGTGTCGAGCTCGGCATCAACGAGGAGCTGGTCTGGCGCCACCCGTTCCCCGGCCCGGGAATCGCTATCCGCATTCTGGGCGAGGTTACGCCTGAGCAGGTCCGTATTGCGCGCGAGGCGGATTTTATCTTCATCGAGGAAATCAAGAAGGCGGGGCTGTATAGGAATATCAGTCAAGCATTTGCGGCGCTCCTGCCGGTGAAGGCGGTTGGTGTTATGGGTGACAAGAGGGTGCACGATCAGGTTATTGCGCTGAGGGCGGTGGAGACGTCGGATTTCATGACCGCAGATTGGTATCCGTTCGATGGCGAGTTTTTGAAGCGCGTGTCGAGGCGCATTGTGAACGAGGTTAATGGTGTATGCCGTGTTGTTTACGACAGTAAGTGTACCTTTCCTCAAAGCTCAAGAGTCACTCGCTAACCGATTTCTCAGTCACCAGCAAACCCCCAGGCACCATCGAGATGGAGTAGATGTTGGCTCACTACTGGAGAAGGCGCGATATATGCGGTACAGCTAGGCTAAGCTAAGGAGTTCTGGGCACGGAAAAGTACACGAATAGATGACAGAGACTTGATGATACCCTGCATGCAGAAGGCGATAGACGAGAAACCAATAGAGCTGCGCTTCCCCTCCCGAAGTGCTGTCAAAGCTACGGACGTGCCACTGCAGCGTGTGCGGAATGGATCGTGGCAATGGGTATGTTACTGGCCTGCGGGAAGCATTTCTTAGCGCTCTACGAGTGACCTCGCCAACTTTCAGAATGATGGAGCGAGCATTGCGTCGCGATGTGGCGCATTTTTGAGCAGTTTGATGCTGCTCCTCTTTGATCCAATCTGCCATTTATGAGCAGTTTGATGCTGCTCCTCTTTGGTCGAACCTGCGCGAGCCAACAGTCTTGCAACAGTGGCCAGACACACAACACAAAAGTAGAGTCTAGACTGATTTCCCCGCGAGATGGCCGTCACAGACCTTGACAGGGAGACTTTGACAGGGAGACTTTGACAGGGAGACTTTGACAGCGAGACTTTGACAGCGAGACTTTGACAGCGAGACTTTGACAGCGAGACTTTGACAGCGAGACTTTGACTCAATTTCCACACTTTGTGTTTGTCTTTCGCTCCACGATTGCTCAAGCACAGACTCACATAGGACGTTAAACCAATCAATCAATCAACCATTCAACCATTCACCCATTCAACCATTCAATCAATCAATCAATCAATCAATTGCTCAAGCACATGTCAACGCACGGACTTCCACCTCGCTCGACCATCGGACCTCCGCCTCTCTCCGCAACTCCAAAGACAGCCATAGCTCCCCTGCATAGCCACCCAACATCAAACGTCACCTCTTCGATAAGCCACACTCTCGCATCTCCCAAAGACACCACCCCCGCTCACAAACATGCGATGAATCGCCCTTCAGCCTCGCGTTCGCGCTCGCGACCATCCCGCCCCCACCAACCCCGAACCGCCTCCTTCGCACCCTCCCTCCGCCGGCGCAACACCTCCCAATCCGTCCAAGGCCACGACTACGACGACCCGGAAGCCGCCTCGGCCGTACAAGCCGACGCAGCAATCGCCAGCGAGATCGCCGAAATCAAGCGCTATGAAGACTTCACGACAATAGACTGGGTGCAAGACGCCGCCCGCGAGTCGCTGCGCCGCAAAGCCCGCCGGAAAGCGCGTCTCTCGCAACCCTCAACCTACACTGGCAGAGTGTTTCTAGGCCGGGGGAGAGGAAAGTGGCGGCGCAAGATTGCGGAGGCGTATGATGCGGGGCAGGCGTGGATAGTCGTCACGCTCGTCGGGGCCGCGATCGGGCTGAACGCTGCGTTCCTGAACATCGTCACAGAGTGGCTGTCGGACATCAAGCTCGGGCACTGCACCACAGCGTTTTATCTCAACGAGAGTTTCTGCTGCTGGGGCGCGGAAGGCGGGTGTGTGGAGTGGAAGCGCTGGAGCGGCGTGTGGCCGGTGAATTATGTCTTGTACATGCTCTTTGCGGCGCTTTTTGCGCTCACGGCTGCCAGGTTGGTCAAGAGTTTCGCGCCGTATGCGGCGGGGAGTGGGATTAGTGAAATGAAGTGCATTATTGCGGGGTTTGTGATGAAGGGCTTCCTCGGCGCCACAACGTTATTCATAAAGAGCATTGGGTTGCCGCTGGCGATTGCGAGCGGGCTCAGTGTTGGCAAGGAGGGCCCGAGTGTGCACTATGCGGTCTGCACGGGGAACGTGATTAGTCGCTTCTTCGACAAGTACCGACGGAACGCTGCGAAGACGAGGGAGATTCTGAGTGCAAGCGCCGCTGCGGGTGTAGGGGTCGCGTTTGGGAGTCCTATTGGCGGCGTGCTGTTCAGTCTCGAGGAGATGTGCAATCATTTCCCGCTCAAGACAATGTGGAGAAGTTACTTTTGCGCGCTGGTGGCCACCGCTGTGCTGGCTGTACGTCTCACATTCATATGCCCCCTCCCCCTCCCCCCGGATCTCCGAGTCGATCTTCCAAGAGCTACGCTAATCTGGCCGTCCAGGCAATGAACCCCTTCCGCACCGGCCAACTCGTCATGTTCCAAGTGAAGTACGACCGGTCCTGGCACTTCTTCGAGATCGTGTTCTACCTCCTCATCGGCGCCTTTGGCGGTCTCTACGGCGCCTTCGTCATAAAATGGAACCTGAAGATGCAAGTCTTCCGCAAGAAGTACCTGTCCGCGTACCCAATCACCGAAGCCGTGGTTTTGGCTGTCGTGACGGCGGTGATTTGCTACCCGAATATGTTCTTGAGGATTGATATGACGGAGAGCATGGAGATTTTGTTTCAGGAGTGCGAGGGTGGGAAAGGGTATGATAGGTTGTGCGAGTACGTTTCCCCTTTACTGATCCCCCCTCCCCTCCCCCACCCCCTCCCCCAATCGAAAGAATGCTAACGATCCCAGCCGCGACCAACGTTGGCACATGATCGCTTCCCTCTTCCTCGCCTTCACGCTCCGCACCCTCCTCGTAATCATCTCCTTCGGCTGCAAAGTGCCTGCGGGCATCTTCGTCCCCAGCATGGCCATCGGCGCAGCGTTCGGCCGCATGATCGGCATCCTTGTCGAGGCCCTCCACGAGTCCTTTCCCACATCGACATTCTTCTCCGCCTGCCTGCCCGACCAGCCCTGCATCACGCCGGGCACATACGCGTTCCTCGGCGCTGCCGCGGCGCTGAGTGGGATCATGCACATCACGGTCAGCGTGGTGGTGATCATGTTCGAAATCACGGGCGCTTTAACCTACATCCTCCCAACCATGATCGTCGTCGGCGTCACCAAAGCCGTATCCGAACGTTTCGGACACGGCGGGATTGCAGACCGGATGATTTATCTCAACGGCTACCCGTTCCTCGACAACAAGGAAGAGCACACCTTCGGCGTCCCGGTGTCGGCTGTCATGTCCAGCGCGATCGCCTGTCTGCCGGCGAATGGCATGTCGTTCCGCCAGGTTGAAAGCATCATGAACGAGAACGCGTACCAGGGGTACCCGATCGTCGAAGACGTCTCGTCCAAAATTCTGCTAGGCTACATCGGACGCACCGAGTTGCGCTATGCGCTCGATCGCGCGTGCAAAGACCAGTCTGCTACCGGCTCGAGCAAAGTCTCTTTTCATACATCATCTAACCCCGCTGAAAATGACAAGGTCGATCTTAGCAAGTTCGTCGACCCAACGCCGTTGACCGTCCATCCGCGCCTCCCTCTCGAGACGGTTATGGAGTTGTTCAAGAAAATGGGCCCGCGAGCTATTCTCATCGAATACCGCGGCCGCCTCACCGGCCTCGTCACCGCTAAGGACTGCCTCAAATATCAGTTCAAAGTCGAAGCCGCAGGACATGGGGGCCATGGTGCGGGTATCGGTGAAGATGATCGCATGGAGGGTCTGTACCGTGTGATCAGCAGAGTCGCTGTGGCGGTCGATGGCGTCTGGCAGAAGGGGCTGGGAGTGATAGGCATGGGTAGACGGGGTGGAGCGGTAAGATTGAATAGCCCGGTGGTGATTCGAACGCCCGGGCAGAGCGCGGAACAGGAGGCTTTCGTTATAGATGAGCATGGTGGGGAGGAGTTGGAGGATCGGGGGAGGCCGGGGAGTAGGTAGTGAGCGATGCTGCTCAAATACTTGAGATCCCAACTGTTCGAGTTTCTTAGATTCGAGTCTCTTGGATTCGAGTTTCTTGGATTGTCCGCCTATCTTTGCGACTACTATGATCCTCCCACCAGAGGCATTTATATTGCCCTGCCATATTGAACGTCCCGAACGCCTATCCGTATGCAATGTTTCCCCGATCGTCAACCAACTCCTTATCCGTACACGGCAGTCCCATCCGGTTTCTCACCGGCCGTTAATCGCTGTAAACCCTCCCGAACTCACCCTTGCAGTTGGCGCCGCACTCACAGTCTCCTGCCCTTTTTCCTCTCCGTTCTGACGCAGGGGCCCGCGCATCTCCATCTCGATCTGCATAGCCGCTGGATCCTCCTCGCCCTCGCTATCCGCGGGTCTTTCCTCGCCAGCCCCACCATCAACATCCATAGCCTCCGTTTTCAGCACGGGCGGCACGAGCTCTTTCCTCGCCAGCGGATCGAGCTGTGTGCCGTTCTGCAGTGTCGAAGCTGTCGCCGTCATCGTCGTTGTCGTTGTTGTCCCTTCCCCAGCTCTAGCCAGCAACGACTGTGCCGCCCCCGACTCAATGGGTATACCAGGCAGCGTCGTCTGCGTCATACCATTCCCACTCTCCACCTTCCTCGTCTCCTCGACCGCCTTCCCTTTCCCTTTGACATCCACCTCCTCGCCCTCCTGAGCCCGCTCCCTCGCCGCCACCTCTTCCTCCGCCGCCTTCCTCCTCCTGTACACACCGTACTGCGTCGTCTTAGGCACAACATCAACCAGGAACTCCAGATTATCCGTCTTGCTCACCGCGCCCGAGACGTCGCGATACTGGATGTTGCGGCGCGGCTTGCGCTCTGCTTTGACGACGTTGTGGGTTGTGACAGCGAGGTGCTGGATCATCATTTCCGTGGCGAGGGCGATGGCGAAGGAGGCATTTTTGGTCACGGTGAGGCGCTCAGGGTCGGCATTGATTATTTTTTGGACGCGTGCGACTAGGTGGGTTAGAGGGAGCGCGAAGATGGGGGAGGAGGGCTGGGGGGAAATACGTGGGAGGGAGACATGGCCTGTAACTTCTTTCGAGGGCGCGATCGGGGTGTTGTTGTAGGGCATCGTGATGGAGTGTGGTGGAGCTGCAGCAGTCGCAGTGAAGTGCAGCGAGAGGTTCGAGGTGGATTGCGGGGTTGTGAGTGTCTGTGATTGTCCAAAAAGTGGTGTTGTGTCCAATGACGCGTTCGTGTCGCGCAATGGGGCTGCAGTCGGTGTATGGCGCGTGTGAGGTAGATCGAGGTCGCGAAGTGGAAGGTAGCACCGCAAGGCAGGCAGGTCTAGCCGAGCTCGCGTTGTTATGCAGGTCCCTAGATGTCAGCACTTGACGTCGCGACTTCAGGCATCATTCATCACATATAAAGCCACTCTTAGCCTGAAGGTACTCAAGGCTAATTGGCACTCTCATCGAATATATTCAGATGAGACTTCTTCCCTTGTTGCTTGCGGCCGGAGCTGCCACCGCCGAGCTCTCCCAGGTACCCTTTCAGGACACCCCAGAAGTCGAAGGCTTCCAAACTTTCCAAAGCCAGTTCTCAGAGCATCATTCCATCCGCATCAAACAGCAACAGAACGACACTCTCTGTGATGCCCGCTCGAAGCAGTACACGGGCTGGCTAGATGTTGGCTCCAAGCACATCTTTTTCTGGTACTTCGAATCGCAGGACAAGCCGTCCGAAGACCCGTTGCTGCTATGGCTGACGGGCGGACCTGGTGGATCGGGCATGATTGGCATGCTTCAAGAGAATGGACCTTGTCTGATCAATGATTATGGGAACGGGACTGTTCACAATGAGTATGGGTGGAGCAAGAATGCGAATACCATCTATGTTGACCAGCCGGCGGGTGTTGGCTTCAGCTATGTCGATGAGGGTGTACCGCTTCCTGGAACGAGCTTCACTGCTGCTGAGGATATGCATCACTTCCTGCAGCTGTTTACGAGCGATGTGTTTCCGAAGTTGAAGGGGAAGGAGTTCCACATCACGGGAGAAAGCTATGGTGTAAGTCTTCTAAATGCTTTGAATACCTCCAGGTTGATGTGTGGCAGGGCCACTACGTCCCTACTTTGGGCGCACAAATAGTCTCTCAGAACCTACTCTACCCAAAGCGGCCTCAGGTAAACCTACGGTCAATCTTCGTCGGTAACGCCTTTGTCAGCCCTCTCGACACAGCCTTCGGCTACTGGGAAACGCTCTGCACGACAAACCCTGGCGTCGAGTCCCCCGTCTTCAACCAAACACGCTGCGACATCATAGCAACCCACCTCCCTCGCTGCCTAGAGCTAGCACGTGTCTGCTACAACCACCCAGACCCCGCAATCTGTCTTGCCGGCAAGGAAGTATGCTGGAACGGCGTAATCGTGCACTACGACGGCGAGTCCGGCGCAGGAGGCCGTAACCGCTTCGACATCACGCATCCTTGCGAGACAGGAGATGACTTCTGCTACTCCGAGATCCCACGGATCGGGGAGTATCTCAATCTGCCCTGGGTATACAAAGCTCTGCATGTGCCCAAAGCAGTCGGCAATTACAGTGTCTACTCCGAAGAAATCGAAACTGCATTCTCGCTAACGAACGACCTGGGTATTAGCACACAGCCGCAGGTTCTGTACCTGTTGGAGAACGGCATTGATGTGCTGTTCTACCAAGGTAATTTGGATCTTGCGTGCAATACAGCAGGTAATCTGCAGTGGGCCAATTCTATGCCCTGGAAGGGTCAGCCGGCGTTCGTTGCGCAGAGCAAGCAGACGTGGAAGGACGGGAAGCAGGAGGTTGGATGGTTCAAGGAAGTCAAAGTCGTGACTTCTAGTGGTAGAGAAACGACCTTTGCGCTCAGTACTGTTAATGGAGCGGGACATTTGGTGCCGTTTGACAAGCCGAAAGAGGCGTTGGCGCTGGTGGACAGGTGGTTGACCAAGCGCAGTTTCGCGTAGTCGCGTGTGTCAGCAAATGATGTAAAAAGCTTGAGATACTCAGAATAGCTCATGGTGGAGCTCAAAGATTTAGGAGGTTGTGTAAATCACCGCTAATGAGCGATGTCAGCTTGTATCGAAAGATCGTGACTTATGGCAGCAAAGATCGGCCAGGAACGCATTCCAGCCCACTTCGTCCCGCAGCTGTGCATCATCGTCCCGCATCGTCTTTCTGTTTCGATGCTCGAAAATTGGTCGTGCATTTTCCCCACCATGAGATCATAGGTGAATACGTCATCGTTGTCAGGTGTCGCACACGACCTTTATAAAGGGTTTGCACAGGACGAAGCATCACTATATTCACTCATCTACCACTTCAATCACCTCAATTACACCCAATCCACCTCAACACCCCCCCCCCCCCCCCCCCCAGAAAAAAACCTCAACACACATAATGTCTGGGACCTCCAACGTCGGTAACTCCCAGGTCTACGAGGCCGGTGACCAGCGCAACTACAAAGCCTCCGAGATTGAGGAGGCAAAGAAGGAGAACCGCTTCCACGAGGGCAAGGAGAACTCTCACAAGGCTCAGGATTCCAGTAAGCTTCCCCCATCATGCCCTCGTCAGCATTGTCGACATCCATTCAACTCCTCAATGCCTCTCACCTGATCGCGTCAAACCTCAACATACTAACAACACCACAGAGGATGAGCGATCCATCGCCAACAAGCTCGAGCGCGAGTCGAAGCGCGAGAAGGAAGACGACGATAAGCTGAACGAGGAGGACCGTCTGCGCAAAGTCGACGCTACCCTGCCCGCAAAGCTCCACGGCAACGAGCCCAGCGCTGGCGCTAAGCTCGACCAGCAGCTGAGGGAAGAGGAGCAGGCTGAGCTCGAGCGCAAGGGCAAGGCGTAAATGCATCGTGCCTGTGATAAGGTTGATGCTGAGATACCCTACGATATGAGGAATGACTAGCCACTGCAGCGGCATTGAATGAAATGACAGTAATGATCAAACCTCTAAAGACTTGTGTAACGTGACACTGCAGTTGACTTCTGTACTCAATATCATCTTACGTTTTTGGCTTCAACATTTGCGATATCGCTGCACTTTCCGTAATGACGATAGCCCCTCCACAGAATTCGTGCTCCGAACTCCAAGGCCCCGCCGTCAAAGCTCCCACTAGCCTACGGAGTAACATAGTCCGACTACATACCATGGCTACCCGCAGCTCCGCCTATCGCCCCAAGAACGCTTCATAAGCACCCAATTGCTTCGTCTTGACATCTGGTACCTTACATGATTTCTCTCGGCGCAGGAAACCTTATCCGCAACACCCTTACCCTATCCCGCTGTACAAGAGCTGCCCTTAAGCCCCGCACCCAGTTCCCGTCGCCCATTGTAGTTTCCAATCTCAATCCTTCCAAGGCCTTTGAGAGAATGAGCTCCTCCCAAGCCAAACGCCTCGCAGGCAAAACCATACTCGTCACCGGCGCCAGCTCCGGAATCGGAAAGAGTACCGCGCTAGAGTTTGCGCGCACGCAGCCCGATGATCTGAAGCTTATCCTTACAGCTCGTCGCGAAGATGCGCTGAAGGAAGTCAAGAGCGAGATTGAAGGGTTCGCAAAGGGCGTCAAAGTACACGTTGTCAAGCTTGATGTTAGCAATGTCGAGGAGATCGGGAAGTTTGTGGGAAGTTTGCCCGAGGAGTTTAGGGAGGTGGATGTTTTGGTTAATAACGCGTATGCTTCCCAATTCCCTGTTCGATTCTTATTCCCAAGGCTATCCCCCAAAGTCCCAAGTCAAAGAGACATGGAAGCTGATGGTGTACAGCGGCCTCGTCAAAGGCGTCGACAAAGCCCCCTCAATCGCCCAAGCAGACATCAACATCATGTTCCAAACTAACGTCACCGGCCTAATCGCCATGACCCAAACCATCCTCCCCATCTTCCTCGCCCGCCCTGACGGTGGCCGAGGTGACATTATAAACATCGGGTCCATCGCGGGCCGCGAGCCGTACCCGGGGGGCTCCATCTACTGCGCGACCAAGGCGGCCGTGCGGAGCTTCACCGACGCACTGCGCAAGGAGCTTGTTGCGTCGAGGGTCAGGGTTATTGAGATTGACCCCGGGCAGGTCGAGACGGAGTTTAGTGTCGTCAGGTTTGGCGGCGATAGGGAGAAGGCGAAGAAGGTTTATGAGGGCGTCGAACCGTTGACGGGAGATGATATTGCGGAGGTGGTGGTTTTTGCGGCGGGGAGGAGGGAGAATGTTGTGCTGGCTGATACGCTGGTTTTCCCGAACCATCAGGTGAGTCGGTTCATGGTCGTCGTTGTACGGATGAGGGAGATATTAACATGTTATAGGCTGCGGCGACGGTTATGCATAGGAAGTCGACACTATAGATGCACTGTCAGCGAGTTGTGCATATCGACCAGGATCGGACGGCTTCTTGCGGGAATCGTAGACAAAGATTCTCCGCACGACATCCTGTCCTCTCGCGCAATACCTGATTTTGAAATGTGTGTCTTTGCCGCCCTTCAAGAGTCTGCATAGTCGCTTCTATGGCCCACCTTTTCTGTTCACATAGCTTGTCTTATTGCATCGAGAGATGCTGCTAATGCCAGCTAGAGGTTACTTATTGATGATCTCAGGAGACAAAAAGCTGTTGAATCCTTGAGGAGGGTCGACACAGGTTTGAACAGCATCGACTATGAGGGTGGCTACTGAGGCGCAGGTACGCTTACGGAGAACTCACTTCACCGCTGGCTGGTACTTGTTGGGGATCTCTGCTAATGCATACTAGAAGGCCTCCCATATGGAAGTTGACAGCAGCAAAATAGGCAGGATACCTTCTTCGACGAAGCTGCATATCAGGAGTCAGCATTAAGGGTGTGCCTGCTGCGCCAGTGCTCACTGACAGATGCTATGATGGCCGCGTCACCCCCACAGAACAAACACTAGCGTCACATATAAAGAAGATTGAGGCACATATCGATCAGTGATGAGTTTCAATATTTCACTCGTCACCGCCGCCGTTGCTATGGCAAACACCAGAACATTCACCCGGGTGAATTCCGGGCATATGACCGCCGGTGGCAAACATACCCGCGGCGTTTGCGACCCTTCGAAGCGGCAGCGAGCGAGTGTAAACAGTAAACAAACTTGAGGTGCTGCTTACCGTCCGACAAAAGTCTCGAGTGGTCGTTTGCAAATACACCTGCATGCACGCGTGCGCATCAGCAATTTGTACCACTCCGGCTCACGGCAAGCTGCATCTGCTCACTACCATATTCCCGCTTTCTACATCTTTTCACAGCTTCTAGCTCAGGCCAGCCGGATTTTCTACAGTATTCCCGCTCCTTCAAGGCCTTTCAGTACGCACTTGCGCCGAGGAATTACACGATATGCTCACACTGACAGGTTCTTATATACCATCCTCGAACTTGCAACACTCCCAGTATGGCGCGTTTGTCAGCATCTCCTCGCTCATCCATACCAGCTCCTACCCGATTCCAGATTGCGCAGCCTCCGCCAGATAGCGAGGTCCTCCAGCACGCGAAATCCGTCGCACCATTGCTAAAGAAGTCAACTACATTGTCGCCACCGTCTTCCGAACGGACGTTTTTGTGTCAAGACAAACAATATTCCTTCGCACGGTCAAGGCTGCCCCGGCCTTCCCCAATATCTTCTGCTACCCCAAATGTGTCTGTCCACTGGCAAGGCAATGGGCATGCACTGTTCAAGCTGAGCCGTGCAGCAAAGCGCGATATCCAGCATTACCTCCTCACGCAGTGTGCGGCGCGGAACAAAGAAACAAACGAGATCACAAAGCCTACCGGCACAAAGTTCGTTTATGTTCTTCAGCTTGACGAGGATCAAGATGAAGAACAAGAGGCACTGTGCTTTCCAACAAACGCGGCAACTCTCGATGGTATATACAGGATTCGAAATGTTGCGGAGGATAAGAACATCATCAAGCCATCGGAATCGTCCGTTTCGGCTACCTACAACGTGCAGAATGTTACGCGCCGGCACCCTCGAAGCCGGGGTACCACGTCTTTCGCACGCATGATGGCGAGCGCGAACGAGGAAGGCTTCCCTCATGTCGACCAGGAACTTGACTCCGACTCTGAAGGCAGCGATGACCTCGAAGAATATCTTCCACCGCCGTACACCACAACCCTTGACACGATCACAGAAGCCAATGAGGAAGAGGAAGCGGACGGTAGCTTTGTTGAGGTTGTTGACTACGGAGCATCGAAGTGCTGCCGCAATCCACACTTCGCGGGCCACCCCGAATGCCATGGCCGCCACAAGACCGACTCTCATGCCCACAATGCAGTTGACGCCGAGCTAGACCTACAGCAGTGCTTTGTCACAGCGCACAATGGTGGTGACAGCGTGGCTCACTACCAAAATTGGCGCATCTTGAAGTGGGATCATGGCGAGGTTATGGTACATGGACAGTCTTTACTGCGCACCGAACTTGTCGTGGAGGATGATGCTGAACAAGAGCTTGACAATCCTACAGAGCAACTGATACGTCAGATCGATGCGAAGTACGGGCCTTTGACTTTGCAGGGTCAGTCGAGCAACAGCCCGGCACGATCAGAGGTGAAGTGCTCCGAAGAGTGCAACTTTAAGATTAACAAGTTCCTCGACCAGAACCCCGAGGACGACCCAAGATTTTCAAGTCAACTGTCTGTGGATGAGCACGAAGATGCTGTCTCCGAGCCGAGTACTTTGTTCGTTGGAGTTGCTAGTCTCAGTGACGATGATAATCCTGCGCCTGCGATGTCGCAAAGCCGCACCGCGCCTGTGATGTCCGAAGAGACGCTGCAGAAGGTAAGCCATCCCTATTTCATTACCGCGACTGATGCTAATCACATGCAGATACTAAACACCCCGCACGAAGCTTTCATTGAGCACTACGTACAGCGAAAGCAGGCGAAGAGGGAGCAGGCAGCACGTGAGAAGCGGCCTCGCGATGGTGCAGACTGTTCCCCTATTGCCGCTCGTTCAGCTACCGAAGCCCCTAGGGTGGCCATCAACGTCTTTCCGGAGGAGGTCGTATCGCTATCACATGTTGCAGTCCCTCCTCCAGAATCGACAACCACTCTTCTCGTGGAAAGCGCCCGTATGGTCCCTCCTGTCTTCATCAAACATGAAGCAGTGCCTATTGGGATTTCCATCCGTCCAGCAAGCGCCCTAACTTCTCACTCATCTTGTGACGACCTGTCCACACGCACTTCGGTGTTTTCAACGCGTGCTTCTGTGACAACAAAGCCATCCAACGAGAGCTTCGGGTCTGACTACCTGCGCCTTGTCGAAACGCTCGATCTTGAAGTCGACGTTCGAACGGCCTGCGCGCCTGTCTCTAACGACAGGCGTATGGCAAGCCTGCCCGTCTTGACTTCCCTAGAATCAGACATGTGCGACATGGCGGCAGGCGTCTCAGCCTTGAACCAGATCGCTCCTGAAGAACACACAAATGCTGTCCCTAGCACACCTGTTCGCACAGCCGAACCTATTAAATGTTGCTTGACCCCGATCATTGGAGTTCAGACTCAACTTAAATCTTCTTTAAACCAGCCAGCAGAGATGTATGCCAGCAATCCTATTGCCGATCAGACCGGCACACTTCCAGCGGCCACAGAAGAGCAACGACCAGACATCGGCACCTGGCCTGAAGCTGTGTGCCAGTCACAAGAACAGAAGCCGGCAACGCCCATGCAACCGCACATCTCGCCAGTGATCAACGAGTCACACCCTACCGCTACACCTCGGCGCTGGAGCAGCAAGATCAAGGCCTCTGTGAAGAACCGAGTTCAATCTGTGTCTGGTGCTGCCAAGCAAGGTACGCGTCGGATTGTGCGCTCCACGAAGAAGCTAGGCGCAACCGTTCGATACCTCATTCCGGTAGCTACTGCTACGCGCAACCCTTACGAGACTATTGCACTCGCTTGAGAGTATCTCGAGTCTATAGAAAGCGGGTGCCATTCTCTGATACATGATTTTCTTTGTTTAGATACCCTGCTTCTTTTCGGTATGCGCCACGAGGCACCCGTGCTCGACCCACAAAGTTCTTTTGTCTCAGCGTTGTTCGATAGCTGTTCATGATAGTAGCTTTCGATCTCAATCATCTTGTCTTTGCCACCTTTCGCTTGTTACCAAAATTGTTCTTGATGTCATTTTACGGGTGATTTCGATGTTCACAAGTTGTTCGAGTATCGATCTTTCTAGGCCCAGAGGTGAACCAGCGATTGTGTACATATATGCCTCAACCATGTCAAGACCGTCCGTGGTCACACTGCATCTCATACATCCCAGTGACTCCAGTATGCAAAACCGTTACTAGCATGAATTTTTGCTCATGCATGTTTGGTAGACATTGTGCGGTGAACACGTTGAACTGTGGTTCTGCTGCACGCAAAAGTTTGGTTCGCGCTACAGCTAGCAAACGTGCTGCTACTTTCACTTTATCTCTCCAAACTCCAACAGTCCTACAGTGAAAGATTTTGCAACATTTTCTGCGCTCTATCAAATGTTTATCCAGCCGCAAGACCCACTTTACCCAGCCGTTGCCCATGGTTATAGGCTTGCGCGGACCGCCAAGCCGACCTACACCTCGACCACAGCCACTGCCCTACAAAACTTCTGCGCGCTCGCCCCTCCTTCCACAAAACTATTGACAGCTTCAGAAATCCACTCACTTTCAGATATCACTCAACCGTGGCCACGCACATACACTTTCCACACTTCCCAATCACTACGTTCTCAACTCCCAAGATGGCTACCTACATGTACACCTCCCCTACCGGCAGCAATTGGGATGACGATGACGACGACTTCAGCTCCGACGTCTACAAGACCGCTACCGAGTTCTCAGCATCAGCGCCCACCATCGGCAACCTCGGTCCGCTGCAGCGAAAGCCCGCCGTTGAGGACGAGTCCGAGGTCAAGCAGTTCACTGCGCCAGCCTCAGGCAAGTTCGATGTTGACTACGACGTCGATCCCGATTGTTTGCCAACTTATGCGGGGAAAATAGCTGAGTTCTGGTTACTCGACGACCACCGCCGCCCGGCCTACGTCGAGTTAAGCCATGGGAACGGCTACGCCTATCCTCATCAGCGCACCAACTATTGCAGGAATTGGCTCGCAACTAAACTTCGAATGAGGATTAATATGGACTTTCCGATGATGAATCCATCCCCCCTTAATCTGTCAATGACCTGGGACGAAGATGGCGAGGGCGAGTATATCAAGGAAGGCGGGTTCTTGTTCCCCTCAATCCAGTCACCAACGCTATCGTACGATAGCCACTCGGAAGAGGAGCAGGATGAGGCGTGCACTCCGCCTGGCTCCCGACCTACAATCATCGTCGCTGACTGTAAGGATGAGGTTGAAGAAGTAAGTGACACCATCGAGATGTGTTATTGGTCATCTACTGACAGCGAGAAGTACGATCCAGTCACCGGTGCGATTGATCTACCCGTCCACGGCGTGGAGGCCATGAAAATCGCTCTGTCGTGCGAGTTTGTCAACTCCAGCCACATCTCAGATGACCTCGATATTGAAGATATCCTTGGTGATGCCGCGCGCAACATGTTGCACAGCAGCATCAACGAGCCCTGCTGGCATACTCACTTGTCCTCATCTGACGAGCCTGACGCCGGGCTGCTTCCCAGTCGCTATTTTAGACAAGGGTGATGATGTTACTAAAGATATTCATCATGACCAGGCTAGTAGCAGACACAAGATGCGGCTTGCAAACCAAAATCTGACTTGACCTCAGACGCTCTTGAGTCATATGCACCACCTGGCTCACCTTCTCACGGCAACGTTGATGAAAAAGTACGCGACCTCTCTACTGGAGCCACTCACACCACCGTACCCGGCGAAAAATATCTGATCGACGACGAAGTTGCCGACTACAATGAGCCTCAGACACACAACGATAACTGTATGTCTGCGCCTGGAGACTCCATACCTCTCATCAAGACTACGCTGGTCGCACCCAACGGCTCGTCACCAGACCTCAAGTACATTCGCAACCCTACGAATACTTCACTAGTTTGGAACACAGTCGCCGCAGGCTGGTTCACTCTCTCGTCTGTACCGTGGGCCCGCATTGCTGTCGCTGCTGCAGGCGCCCTAGTCGACGTAACTACGTTTGTGGCTCGGTGCTAGAAGCTACGGCGCTCTCGTTTCTTTGAAGCAACGACATTTTACGATATCATAGCGACTTCCACACACATGTCCGACGCCCTATACCCCTCTGTCAGCATCAGAAGCGTTCTATACCCACTTCGACATCGATAGCATAATCATGGCGTTTCCACACGGATAAGGACTCACAAGTCCATTGAGTCTTCCTTCAGCTACCATCCGTCTACCCTACATTCAGTCTCAAGTTCACATCCCTCCGGCTTCCCTATTTGTTTCGATAATTGCTAGAGCTAAGCTCCTTTCGGACCGAGTCCGTCCAGCATCGTCACCGCCCATTTTCACCCACCTCCGAGATTGCCGTCCCTTTCCGGAGAGCAGTCGATCCAGATCTAAGAGCGAATATCTGCGTATCATAACACCACCATTTCAACCAACACGATTTGACTCATCTTGCACGTATGCTCTAAAAGATTGAGTTCGGTCGGGTGGTATAATAGATTCAAAGAAATTTAAAGAAACCATAAATCAAGATGGGCACACACAGAAAGGGCTTAGAGGGAAGACGGCATACTAGTTCTTGTACACAGTACTGATATATTCATATTCTTTAATCATTCTCTTCCCGATACCTTCCTCAGTCACAGCGCCAAAACGTGCAACTCATGGTGAATCTCTCATAGAAACACTTCAGCAGTAATACTTACCAGAGCCCAGACACAAGCACACTGCCACAACCGGTGCTCTTGCAGCATGGACAGCACGAAACTGGTTCGTCGCTGATGCAGCACTTGTAGCCGAGCGATAGTATATCGAGGATGAAGAGACCGGCGAATACGCCGATGGTGGCATCTATGTAGGCTGTCCAGGCGAGTGTCGAAGGGGAGATGGTTTTCAAGGGCGCCGGAAGCGGTTGGGCTTGTCATTGGTGTGAATGCGGCTGTGTTTGAAGCACAGATTTCGAGAATTATGATTATGTTAGTAGGTGTAATGTAAGGAGGATGAGACTCGTACTTGTGCGAGCGTTGAGCGTCACGGATCGGTGTGATGAGGAGATGGGAATAACGGACTCAGGGGGTCTTCAGTACTGTCTTCAAGTTGATCAAATCGAAGTAGTCTATGTGAGTGCGGATAGCAGCTCTGAGATGTAATAGCTGAGGGACCTGGGTTTAAATGACGATCTGGTAGCGAGGTGGACAGAGCCAAAGGTCAGTCTCCATAGATAGTATGTCGGACCCTAGACTGCCAGGAAGAGAACACAGATCTCGGGACTATTCGCTATTCAATAATGGGACTCGTGTACGTGACCTCTGATTGAATTTCACACTCGGTGGTAATATGAACCGTAGTTTAAAGGTGTGCCCTCGAATATGCATCTCCGACTGGCTATTTCTGAGCATCCAAGTCCGGTTCGCAGAGCTTTTATCCATGGTTACAAGAACTCGATACCAATATAATTTTACAAAGTCCATTTAAAAGATCTCCCGGCTTTCTCTTCTCATCCTCATCACACCCATCTCTTAATCCAAACCCATCTACATACCAAACCACTTCCTGCCTTAAAGCACCTCCCACGTCACACTCCAGAACACATCACAACATCATCAAGATGCCTCGCCGCAGCCGTGGGCCCCCCAAGCGCAACAGGCACCATGCTGTCATCCTCTTCAAGGCAATAGTGGTCGCTTGTATAGGATGCATTTTCCACTAAGTGGACCTCTTCATTACAGTGTCGAGCAGCTCCCTCACCACGCTGACGACCTCCTCACCACGCACGACCGGCATCAAAGCCAACACACATCGACAATACAACACTATTCGGATTTGGCATTTTCTTTTTATGTTATTTTATTTGTGATCATGGTTTGTTGCGTTGTGCGAGAATATGATGGATTCGGTTTTCTTTCTCCCGGGATATTTTTTCCCTTCAGAGTTTCGCTTTTCAGGGTCTGGATTCGTGTGGTTAGATAAGGCTTTCAATATTGCAGCGAATTGATTTTTCTGACAACTTCTTGTTGGTGACCGTGACTATCTCGAGGCGGAGTTCACTTGCCTCACAGCCGTGACTTCAATTGTTGATATCGCTTCACATTTGATTCACTGCTGACTTCTCCTTCATGACCATGACTACCTCCAGGCTTCGCTTGCCTCTCACGTAGTAGATCGCGCCCTCCCCCTTCCGTCACCTCTGCTGCACACCATTGCTACTCATGTTCTTCGTAATTCCCAATCCCCAAATGGTACCGACAATACACGCCGATATAACCGAAGCATACAAGACTGTAAACCCGATACTAATCAGCTTAGCCCCAGCCCATTCGCGATCTTCTTCATCTGTGGCGTTGCGACGTTCCGCGATGCGTGCGAAAAGCCCAGCCCACCAGAGCCAGTGTGTGATGCCGAAAATAGAGAGGATGATGAAGAGGATACAGATCTCGTCGGTGGTGGTGAGGGCCATGTTGGCGGTTATTGCGGAATTTTGGTTGTGCGATGTTAGGCTGTGGAATATTTCGAAGATGGCAATAGGCGGTGGTTCGGAGGCAGCTGTACCTGCTTCCTTGATGATTTGGATGTATTGTGAACTCGATGTGTATGTTGCTTAAGTACTTTCATGGACGGTTGCCGGAAGAGTGCGGGTACAAGCCAGGCTCAGGATTGAAACATCGTTTGGTACTTTGGTCGAGTCGACATTCCCTTATGCGCAAAAGTGATTTCGCTGTTGAACCCTGCTTTGGGTATGTAGTGCGTGGTACCGAGAGGACAGCTCGACCAATAGAACAAGCGCAGAAATGAGGAGGGTAAAATAATCTGTGCATCTTATAGGGTCAAATGAATATGGAGTACTTCATCCTATTCATTCTAATCGTCGCAGAATGCAAAATCTGACAGTTTGTACGGAAGGCCATCTCGCATCAGCTTTGTGTTGCAGATCAGGGGATTTCAGTCTTCCTGAATTCGTCTTTGCAAGCCCGTTGGCCTTTGCGGCATGCTCTTGCGGCATGCTCTTGCGCCAGGCGAAGTTGCGAGCGCATGAATGATACAGCACCGCGAAAGGTGTTTGGCTCACATCCCGTTGAGCCGAAAATCCAGTTGTTGCTTAGATACGGCCAGTTCTTGGTCCACCTTATCGAGAGCGATATTGCGCTCTGCGATTTCGAGGTCGAACTGTTCCTGCTCCCTTCCATATCAATCTGCAAGACTTCCATCTGAACCTGCACGTCTTCCTTCAACTTCCTGAAGTCGTCCTTCTTCTCGACTCTTGCGTCTCGATCTTCCTCATAATCTAGCGACTGCTTCACGATCTTCCCACGTTGATCCTCCGACTCCGCTATTGCCTGAATGATGCTTACGAATTCCGTGTAGCTTTTTTTTGGATGCACTGCTTGCTTTTCCTATTTCTCGTAAATCGGCCGCACTACGTTTGGTACCTCGTGAGGTTTCGAGTGCTAGCAACTCGGTCGGAACCTTGACGGTTTGCTGAGGGGCGTGGACAGTATTACTGGCCTGCCCGTTGGGAGTTGCGTACTTTAGGCAAGAATGTAATCGTTGCCCTAAATTAGGACCACCACCATCTTTCCCCGGATACTTTTCCGCAAGAAAGTAGTATCGGCACAGCGTCGACAGATTGTTACGATTGGGCCTTGCCTTGTCGAAGTGATGACCCAAAGAACCTGGCACGACAGACTTCAAATGTACGTGCGTAATTTCCTCATTGCATCCTTGTTGCAATGGAAGCGAATGCAGTCATGACCCGCTTCTGACACTAGGTATGCACAGAGAGTTATGGGCCCCTGGGGCTGTCCTAATTTACCTACCACCAGTCTCGTTGGTTCTGTATTCAGAAGATAATCGTTTATACAACTGGAACATCCTCGACATTTTGGTAGATAGATGCGTCTCGACGTTTCTGCGCTTGGATAAGACGATCATGTACAGCCTTTATACCCATTCCTTCCTTGCGTATGGCGTTTGCTGCCGTATGACTTGTATCGTGGTTATCGTTACTGATTACGAGGACTGGAGTCTCCTCTCCTTGCACTGTCTCCCACTGCAGCGAAACATCATTCAGTGTATTCAGGGCATGCTTCTTAAATGTGCATAGATGTTTGAAAATTTCGGCTTCAAATTCCTCCATCGTCGCCTCCACCCTGTGATAGCGTGTGTAGGTTGCTGTAGGTTTGGTAGGATGCCGAAGGACACAGCTTTAGTGGAGTGGTACGAACTTAGGGTCGTTCCAGAATAAACAATGGGCACAATGGGCGCAACAGTCTCAGCTGCAAGTCGTACCTAAGCAGACCCAGGGATCGAGAACAACGGGGAGTTTGGGTGAGGCTAAGAGAGAACAAGCGATGATCTTAAATGCAACTGATGTCAGGTGCGTACGTGCAGAAGACAGGAGGGCATGGACGCATGAAGTTTGGTTCACTATCGACTTGCAAGCAAGCGTAGACGCGGATTTCTTCTCAAGGTTCTCCGATGCAAAGCTTCTTGGATCCGTAGCGTTATTTGTGCCGCGCGAGGGAAGGGCCTAGTTTCTTGGATCGATAGCTTAGTGGCTGAAACATTCCTCTGAATTCAGAACCGTTTCCAAGTATCTCCTTTTTGCATTGAAGCATATACTGTGACCTCAGATATCGCTCTACTTCATCTATTTCGAATCGCGCGTCACTACGGGTTGTACCATATGACGCGATTGCCGTATCAGTTTTTGGGCTGAGCTACACTGACTTGATGTTGTGGGTACCGGCTGTGTCATCTCCAATAGTCTCAACAAATTGATGTGCGTCAATGCCAGTTGAGGGACCGGTAGATGCTGAATCAGTTACACATGAACGTTGTTCGCGTGGCGCATTGACAGTGAGTGACTGCACTGTCCTTTTCAGGGACTTCGCGAATACAACGCAGTCACCTTCAGTGACATCGACCACATGATAAGTCATGTACTACCACTTGACTAGAGTATCGAGGTTACCCTCTACATTTCTGTCGTCTAGGACAGCCTTTTCAAACGGATGCCCCAAATTTCCACGCCTCTTCACATGTCTGCGAAGATCATCAACTGCCATTTGTCGCTTGGTCGTTTCGTTTCCATAAGTAATTTCCCATGGGCTGTCTTAGACAAGCTCGCTGTGATCGAGCGTGGCTCGTTGAGAGGACTGATGTCCAGGAGCCTGCCGTAATGATACTCGCTCCTCTTCATCCATTTCAGTTAACTTTCCTTAGGCATGGTGAGGTTGTAGATTGATGTCCTGAGGGTCCCGAGCTCTTGCAAAACGTTGCATTTTTTCTGTCCTATTTGGAGCCTGTCTTTCTGATGATAAATCCGCGCGTGAGTTCGGCATGATCCCTTATCTGCAAGCGATGTCCTTGCGGACGCTGATAGGTCGGCAGCGGCGCGGTCTGGGGGTAATGAGTTTGTAGAAGTTGAGACTGATTTCATAAGAGCGCTACGACAAGACAAACACAACGATCAATACTGCGCTTGCAACTCGATGGACACAAAAAGCAGATGTTACAAGCACGATGACGGGAAGAGAACGTGTGCAGGAACGCGCTAGCGTTGTGGACGATGTTTCAGTTGGGGGGGGGCTTGGCAATTTCTTGGCGCTGTTGATGATTAGCCCGGTCACTTTTTCGACGTTTGTCTGCCAAGCGCCACATGAAACACATTTCCCGTTGCTCTCTGCGGCAAACGCAAACCTCGAAGCAAAAGTGATGGTTCTCACATCAATTGATGAGCTCTGAAACCGTGTCTCAAAGTAGCGTTACGCAGAAGGCACAGAAACTGTACATTCAGGAGCATTGCTTTCCTTTTAAAATATCTTGTTGTCTTCTCGTCGTGCCCGTTGTTAGGAACATGGTGGGACCCTTGCCCGCATGCTTCGGTATCGCTACCGGATCGTCTCGCCCCACTGGCGATTAGTGTGCGTCGCCAAGCAGAAGAGGCACGACCCAGTGATAGTGATGCACGAGGCTGGGCAGACGAAACATGTGGAATTGTTGATCGCAAGAGCTCTGCTGCTGTGATGCCTTGTCTCAACTTTGTGCGTCCGCCGCGCGGTCGTTCGAATACGGGTACGAGCAAAGCCCCACCAGGAATGCCGTCTAGTCGTGGGTTAGGGGCTCGGAGGCATCGGCACCATCCCTGAACTGCTCCTGACAGCTTCTCAACGGCTCCAATTCACAAACAAGCCAGCCAACTGACCCAAGACGCTCGTTTCTCTTGCTGCTTACAAGCAGATGAGACGCATTCACTGCTAGCGACAATGCTCGCCAACAAACAACACCTCATGCCGCGCGCGGCTCGCCTCCTCATCTTCCTTGTGCTCGTATACGCTTTCTGCTGGATCAAGGGCTGGCCTGCGTACTACGACGACGAGGAGCTGCCCCCAAGCCAACGGCCAAAATCGACAACAGCTCTTGGTGGACACCGCGTTACTGTCGACCACCTCGTCGTTACTGTCACTACTGCCGCGACCGATGCGTTTACGAAACTTACGCCAGCGTTGCTGTACCTCGATAAGGCCTATCACAAGGAGCTGTTGCTGATGGGAGACCTGATGATGGACATCGGCCCGTTTCCAGTGTTCGATGTCCTGGCGAAGTACCCTATGAAGTACGTTGCTCAGAACGATGAGCTGAAAAGGTACAAGCGACAGCTGGAGTATGCGCGGAAGGGCATACCGCTGAGCAACCTGCAGGAGAAGGATCCAAAGAAAGAGCAGGAAGTCTTGAGAGCGCTGGCCAAATATAAGATACTTAGGGCAATGGAGAGCACATGGGAATATCGACCGAAGCGGGACTGGTACGTCTTCACGGATGAAGAGACGTTCATAGATCGCGGGAACCTGCTGGACTGGCTGAGCCAATATGACCCAAAGCTGAAACTTTTCTTTGGCAATCCCCCCATCGCCGATGTGCCCGATGCTTTTGCGGCAGGTGGTACGTCTTTTATCGTTTCGGGCCAGACAATGCGACTCTTATTTGAAGACCGGAAGACCATGATGCAGAACTGGAAGAACTGGGACCCTAAGATTCGGGACTATCCCTCGGCGATTCACCTGGTTGAGAGCTTCCTCAAGACCGAGCTCAGTCTGGAGATGGTTAGATTTTGGCCTGGTGTATCTGGCTTCAATCCAGCCACCATCTCCTACACGCCAGGAATTTGGTGCGAACCAGTTCTCATGATGCATCATATCTCCGCCGGCATTGGGAGTGACCTGTATAAATTTGAGAAAGAGCGAGTAGAAGACCACAAGATCGATAGTACGTTGCGATACGCAGACTTGTGGTACCGATTCATGGGTCCTGAAGATCTCAATCAGACTCGCCATGACTGGGACAATCTGTCTGCTGAATCCACGAACAACAGATGGAACATTCTGTTTGAAAAGGAGGGCGAGTCGGACGCCAACCGCGCTACAAGAGCAGAAGGCTCGTGGGAGGCATGTAAAAAGTCGTGCGACAGCAACAAGTATTGCCTGCAGTGGTCGTATTCGTCGATGGCGGCACCCAACTGGAACGAGAACGGCTTCACGAAGTGCCATTTGAGTAGCAGTATGCGCTTCGGTGCGCACACTGAGCCAGAAGCGGTCGAAGTCAATGGCGAGAACAAGCCCCGGACCTGGACGAGTGGATGGAGGAAAGACCACTTCAAGCGTTGGGCGAACCAGCAGCGGTGCAAGAACCAGCAACATTAATGAAAGTTCGATGTCCGCTCTAAGCCCATCCCCATAGTGCTTATGCCCTCGCAATGCGCTTTTTGGTACTCGGTATGGTCGGCGATCAAATCACCGATCCTCAATCGTGTCGATGCAGGTCACGATCAGAATTCTACCACTTGAGGTCGACGCACATCAGCTACAGGCGCCCGTTGGTGCAAGCGCGCCGCCGTTCTCTAAGCTTGCGTGATCGTGATCGTCAATTGAGATAAGCTTTATCTGATTGGCTCGTTACACTCTTCGGCCTGCTTATTAGCTTGCTTATGGATAGAGTATAGAGCTGCCTGCTGAATGCCTGTTGACAGCGCCCTCGATGTTGGCGTCCTTTGAAGGTAGTCTGCGCTGCTGTTCGGCTTCCTGGCACGCCCTGCGCGTTTTGCAGGTATACATCGATGTCCAGACGGAGAAGGTCGGGGCCTGCGAGGTTGCGTTGCTGGAACATCGACGGGTGCAGCTCGCGCATTCCATTTCGCTACTAAATCGTGTTACTCGTCAATGGTTGACGGAGTGGTGAGAGATGTGGTGAGAGATGGAGGTTGTCGTGGTGATAAGTGCTGCTTCCTCGAGCTTTCCAGTTTCGGCTACGAGATGTAAACAACAAAATGCCAACGGCGATACCAGCGGTGATATTGAACACCTGTATGCACCACATCATGGAAAGTCAACTCCAATGTTACATGTCCGACCTGAACTCGTCATTCTATGTGAAGCTTTTCTCAAAAGGAAAGTCGCCCTTGACCGCTCGTTCCTCCTGGCCGTGGTGAAGTGAAGGCATCCTTCACTCGAACACTTTCATCGCCATCTGCGCCTAGCGTGAAAGATCTTCAACAGTAGTGCACAAAACCAGCCTTCGTAACACTCCCATTTACGCACACACACTCAATTCCCCATCGGTTAGCCACCAAATATGCAGCACAACACCTACCTTATACATTACATCCGACAATCCCATGGCCCCTTACCATCACCAAGCAAGTCATTACCTCAGCGCCCAAAAATGCAACCGCCACTGCAGGGCACATTCCACGCCGGTTTTCACCCAGGTGCTCGCCTGGTGTACTCTACGAACTTGACGACACCACCTACGTCAAGCCCTATCCCACAAAACAACACCACAAATGGTCAGCAACCTTCAACAGCCAAACCTGAACCGGCACAATACACCTTGGAGGACGGACCGCGCGACGCGCTTGGCACAGCTGCGTACTACAAGAGCTGGGTTTTCCGCAAGAAGGTCATCGAAGGCACCACCCGGGTGACGGGACAAGAAGCTGAAGCTGAAGCTGGCGAAAACATCGATGACAGCGCCGATGAAAACTACCACAAGAAGTCCAAGCAGGTAGACAGGACGAAGTCACTAGTTTTGATCTTCAGCAGGACGAACGTGCGCCGAGCAAACGCTCAGCGCAAAGTGAATGAGAGGATACAGCGAGCAAATCGAAGATCGTAAGCCAAAGCCTAATCGCAATGCAGCAATGCAAGAACTAACGACCCGCAGGAAGTTTTTGAGGAACTTAGAACGCGCGGAATGTTGCTTTGGCTGGGACTAAACAGGGGCGTTGGGCGTGCTTTCCATGTCAGAGCCTTAGCGCTACAGCTACTAAGCAGGTGCAGACGATAATTCAGGCACCGACACAAAGCTTTAAGACATTGAGTTCGAGAAAATCCGAAATTCCAATCGACTACTCGCGCCAAGTGATGCATATTTGTTGTCCTGCAGGTACCCCAAGGATTCGCCCTGTAGCGCGGCAACACCGCCTCCGATTCACCTTCTCGGCAAGCCGGCTGACCTCTAGGTACCCGTGTCAAAGTTTCACAGCAGCTTACAGCTTCTTCCACTCTTTATCATCTTAATTCAGGCCTCACTCCAGCAATTCACTTCAGCAAACCAAGCGCTGCTCATTTTGCTATCAACAAGCTCACATCTTTTCCCGGCCATCACCCAACACACCTGCACGCGTAACAGCGCAGATCCCCCACAAATACCCAGACCCTCCCAATATCTCCATCTTGCCTATGGAGTATGAGAATGAACATAGCCTTACCTAGGAAGACTTCCAACCCAAACCCAAGGATGCGAACAAACTAGAACCTCTTCAACGAGACAATAAAGCATCAGAGCCATACTGGAAGCGCGTCGCCGACAAGGTCAATAATCCATGCACTCGGTTCGCTCAATACAACCCAAAACTTGGCAACCCAAGGTGCTGCAACCTCGACCGCTCAGCCGTGCTAGCTGTCTACCAGTAGGCACTATCGATGCAGGAACATACATCCAAGGTTGACTCCACCAAGATCCATCTGGAGGTAGTGAGCAAAGTCACAACTATCCTCGATCTTGGCACCGCAGAGCCTACCGACCCGGTCTTCACCAACAAAGGCACCTTCCTCACCCCTCTCGAGCCTCACTACGCTCAACCTAGACAGAACTACTACGATCGCAAAGATGGTCAAAGGGACGACACATACTACCATACTGGACTGAGACGGCTGAGGGAGTGGAGGAAGAGGGTTGGCCGGGTGTGTATCCTGCGAGGGCGGTTGAGCAAGAGAGAAGAAAAAGGAAGGAGAGGCGCAGGGAGAGGAGGACGGTGCTGAGAGAGCCCGTTGCAGAGGGGCTCTTGATGGCGTACAAAGCGGATCTGGTGGAGTGGGGTAAGGAGGTGGATGCCGATCCTGAGAGACCGTGGAGCTAAGCGGTTCGAGGGAGATGGAGGCTAGACCAACTGTCAAGACGGAATTTGGAGTCAAACCCCTGGAGAAGGAAACTGTGCATTGCCTGCTTAGATGCATATCGCGAAGGATTGGGATCCACGGAAAATCAACCTCGTATTCTACTATCAAGCAATATCTGTGTAGAGGTCTTGTATGAAGCAAATCTTACTACTATTGTGCGGGAATCTTATACACAATAATACGCTGTCTGAGGAGACGTCTTGACGATGGCGTTGAGCTGGAATGGAAGCAGTGTCCACATTAGACGATAATGTGTCATCACCCTGACATGTCAAATATGTTCAAATTTCAGGCGTGATAACGTCGAAAACCTTGAGCTGTTCTAGTCTACTTGCAATCTATAGAAGTTGAAAATCGCGCGGTCCTCTGGACTGAGAAAGAACAACTGACCACGGATAGATGGCTGCGGTCGCCCCATAGCACTGTTAGAGATGAGAGATGAACCGCTCCGCGTTGTGGTAGAGATGTTGCTCACACAGCTGGAAGATGTGTTCAAGGGTATGGTCCATGGCCGAATTTACGTCGCACAGATACACTGAGTCTGATAAGCATAACAGACAATGGAATGCGACATCGTCTCGGTGCACGACGCTTCTACCTGGTTTCAATAGCAGCAAGACCACACGCCAAGTGCAGAATTGGGTGGTGGTTCGTCGATGACGAATGTGAGTGGCCACCATAACGATTTCTCTGCGCCGCCTTGAAGTGCTCACCGACATGGTCTCGCCGTACTTCCCAGGAGTCCAGCATCGCACCACAGAAACCACAACCCAGACTGATCTGGATGAATGATGGGTTCGCACTGCACTACGCATTGATCAGAGCTTTTGCTGGGATCTCGACTCCATGAACACATTTGGCGTGTTGGATGGATTTGTCTTGTCTCCAGAAGACACGCTGCTGCAACTCGACACTCATGCAGGCGGAGAAGTGTTTCTCTACAAGATGTCAGAGATTTATGTTCTGCGTTTGACAGACAAAGAATTTCGGAGGCTCTAGAGGGCTAGCATCTTCATAGTAACATACCCACCGATACGGGCAGTAGTGTATGGCTTCTTCATGACGGGCCCATTCATATCGAGTGACGAATGAACTTTCGCATTCGGGCCACGTGTAGGCATAGTATCCGACAGCGCTGACACTGAAATCACCCAAAAGTGTTTCAACTTTGCGCGACGCACTAGCATTTCGAGAGCGCCGGAAGTAAGATTTCCATTGCCTCCTACCGCGACGGGATCCACGTGAGTCGACTGACCTTCGATTGTGTTTGCTCTGTTGAGACGAGCCAGAGCCAGCAGAACTGCGGGAGCCGTCTCCCAGCGTTACAGATGCTGGGATTGCAGCACCGGGCAGTATTGGCTTGCCGAGTAAACCAGAGGTCTCACGGCGATGCGATTACGGGAAGGGGATGCGGGTATTCAGAGCTTTCTAGCCAGGTCTCAGTGGAGCTTTTACTACCGGCAGCCGAGACGTGGCTCAGTGCCTCCAAATCAGCCGCAGAAATGCCACTGTTGGGTTCGACAGGTGTATGCTTGGGTGCTAGATACCCCTGTTAGCTATGTTTTACCAATGCCCATCGTGGTAATCATGTAAGACCTTTGATTTGCGCGATCTTGAGTTGGAAAACCACGGTTGAATGGTTTTAGCTGTAAGTTGTGTCGCCTGCCCAAGCACAGAGACCTCACCCTTACTCGGGTGCGGATTTTGGCGAAAATGCTTCTCCAGAACGCTTTTAGCTACATCGTAGATCTTGGTTCGCTTAGGTCTGGTCAACGTTGTTCTAGTTGCAGGTAGCGATTCGGTATTCGCGCTTGGCTCGAGGGTTACCGGCGATGCACCCGCTGCAGTGGGAACGATACTGTGTGCTGAATGCTCCACTTACAGTCCTCTCTCTGGCCTGTCGTCTTCGCATACTGGAAATTGAGGAGCATGCTCGTAGTCGACCTGCTGCTGTTGCCTTACGTCAAGTGACTGCGGACCTAGTGACGTGTTTTCTGTCGGATCAGGTTGGTCTGGGCAGATAGCAGATTCTGCAGTCTAAAAGAGAACTCGTCTCCAGTCTAAAAAGAAGCAAAAATACATGTGCAATGGCCACAGATGATACAAGGCAATGAAATGCCAACTTCGAAAGTGTTAGTACTGTCCGCTTGTTGTAGGGGGTCTCGAATGGCAGTGATATAGGGACGTGACGGAAAGAGCGTTATAAGTGGTTATCGCTTCCGTAAGCCAGGTGTCGTCCGTCCAAGGTAGCGTAATATCACGGCTGTCCAAGTTCTGGGACAATGGCTGCGTCGTTTCGAAGCTCGATCCTAGCGCGAAAGTTTCGCAATCGAGTAAGTCCATAACAAGAGGCAAGAATGTGATGATTCGATAGCATCGCTATTCTCAATATTGGAGCCCTTATATACTCACCGCTCCTGAGGTTGAAGTACTCGGTGTTGATGTGCAAGGTGAGAAACGAGGCGCGGCCTAGACCAGATCAGGGAAGGCGCGCACCCCTAGGAAATCAGGGGAAGTGACCTTCCGCATCATTGTCATCGTGTTCAATCGAGTTGGGATAGTGTTCAGATAATTCCTGCCTCATGAGAGATGATGTGGAAGCATCGGTGATGGATGGTCATCGAAGGTGGCACGACTGTGGTTGCGCTAAGGTACTCCCCGCCATGGTGGGGCATCCGTTATCGCTTCGCTGCTAATCGCGACAAATCACACCTCAGGCGATATAGCTGGAATCGACACCTTGCCGTTACGCAGAGTTCAGCTTCCCTATCATCAGTGTACACTGGTCCTTGTCATGGCATTCGAATCTCCTTACGAAAAGGCGCTCGCAGCCATCGACTCCGCGCACGCTCTCGACCCCAACAAAACCACCATCGCCGGCGCCGAAATCCCCTACGAACTGCACTACGCGCAAAAATGCACATCCTATCTCGAAAAGCGCTCTCCAGATGCGCCAGAACACCTCCGCCTTGCAATCCGCGCGCAACACTTCCGTCGCTGGGAAGTCCCACGCTCATCCTATCCCATGACACGCGTAGGGTACCACAGCTGGCGCACCTTCCTCAAAAAACGTCAAGCCAAGCTCGTTGAAACTATCTGCAAGGACGCCGGATACTCTGAGGAGACAACACAAAGAGTGGGTGCGCTGATAAGAAAGGAAGATCTGAAAGAGGATGAAGAGACGCAGGTACTGGAAGATGTTGCTTGTCTGGTATTTCTTGATGATCAATTTGAAGCCTTTGAGAAAGAGCATGACGAGGAGAAGATTATCAAGATTCTGCAGAAGACGTGGGGAAAGATGACGGAGAAGGGACATGAGTTGGCGTTGCAGATTCCTATGGGCGAGAGGCCGAAGGCGGTCATTGCTAAGGCTTTAGCTGGGTAGACTGAGGTTGATGCCATCATATCAATCCCTGGACAGTCCCTCGAGACCCTTGGAAGAACTTGTGAACATTGATAGTGCAAGGAGGAAGGCACCTTAAGCCCGAAGCCACCAATCGCGCAGAGCAGAAGCTTCCATCCATCTGCACCGCCACAGCGCCACAGCATGACGTCGCTACCTGGAAACCCATCTCACCAACTCTACAGCTCGCAGGTATAAGACCACCCAGGCTTCCGTGTACAATTTCCCACAACAAGATCACAATCATCTCTCTACCGATCCCTACTCTACACACCTCTGCCGCCAACTCTCAGCCAACCATAAGTCAAGAGAACCACGATGCCAGCCACTACCACATCTGTCAGCTCAGCAACCGCACATACGGCGCACGATGTCTCGCGACCGAACACACAAAGCGTAGCTAGCGCGAACACACAACAAAGCGAACAAGAGATAGAGAAGGATAGGGAGGCAGAGAAATTGTATAAAGAGAGGATCGAGGAGGAGTACGCTAAGCGTGAGGGCGGCGCGTAGATGGAGTGTGCCACCGACGCACTTTACTGAATGCACTCTGTGAGATACACTTATGGGCCCGGTGGGATGGTGACATCCCCCGGTGGGCTATGCAATGCTTCGACTGATGGCAGTATCTATCTCCTGTCGCCAAGACCATACCTTGTCAATACCACCATCTGTGTTACAACTGCAATCAAACCTCGTTAAACCCTCCAATCGCCCCTGCGCCCCCTCAGACCACAAACTCTATCTCAAAGTCCATCGGCTTAAACAGCGAGTCCTACCCCGGCCTTCTCCAAGAATATTCGGCTCTTGAGCGAGATCGACCCTGCAACTGCCCACGTGTACCCCTTAAAATGACAGCCTCGCCAACCACCGATGCCCAGCCCAAGTGCCGATTAGATCCCTGTCATAGTCAAACAAATGTTCCGTATTGCGGAGGAATACGAAGATCTGCACGCACGCGCCTCATTTCGGCATCTGGCAATCATGGCGTTTCAGCGGAAGCTGCCAAGGCAATCTAGAGTAAACAGCGGAAACAAACACCATAGACTCCATCTCCTTTCTTTGGTGAGCTTGCTGCCAAAGCAATCTGCTCAAGGTCCGCTGATACATTGCTGCACGGATGTGTAGCTTCTTGTGGAAGTCGAGTCCTGCAATGTCTCTACGAACGACTTTGGTCTCGAAGCAGGAGTGAATTGTATGATCGACGTATGATGAAGCCATTATATAAAGCCCATTCCATCGCAATATTCGTGTCGATTCAGTGCAGCCCATCCACCGCAGCTCACCCATCATCCGAAGCGCCCTTCGCCTCAGCACAAGTCCATACACAAACCGCAACCATGAAGTTCTCCCTCATACTCCCCGTCCTGGCATGCGCCTCCACCGTCCACGGCGCCATAACCTGGACCCTTGCCAAAGCATCGAATCCAACCGCAGACCAGAGCGACGCCTACGCGAAAATCGAAGCCGCCATGCGTCTTGCCGTCGCGCGCTACGGTCGCTACTCATCCGCCTCAAAAACAATCCGCGTTGCCTACTCACCCGGCGTGCCGACCGCAGAAGCAAATTTTAACGGCGACCTGCGCTTTGGTTCGAACAGGGCGTACATGAATGAGCGCACAGCCATGCATGAGATCAGCCATACGCTAGGGATTGGGCAGACGAGCGCGTTCAACACCAAATGCGCAGCTGGAGACTGGAGGACTGCGCTGCCACTACTGAGGAGCTGGGATGGTGCGAGTGCGGTGATCAACTGTGGTGGTGGGCACATTTGGCCGTATGGGTTGAACTATGATAATGAATGGAGTGAGACGAATGCGAATAGGCATGTGCAGCTTATTGGTGCGATGATCAAGGATGGATTGCAGGGCTAGGTTGCCACTAGGAAGTGAAGAGGGCAAGCGGTGTTTCGAGCGTTGTTCGGTTCTTGTGAATAACTTATGTTCGTTGTGGATGATGATTAGTGTTAGCTACTGGTATGCTATTCGGCAGTAAATATTGACCCGCTCGATTCTATCAATGAATTTCCTTTACCAAAAGAACATTTAATGAAATATGTTGTTACCCTTGTTGTCCATACTGATCAGCCTGCTCATCTGTTCATCAGCGGCGGCCACCGAAAGCATGCCTCGAGCATTTCCACGACAGGCCAACATGCTCCAAGGCTCTCTGTATCTTGCTTCCTTCATTGCTAGCATCATGGCCCAGCAAGGCAATGACGTTACACCCAATGTCTGCGCCGAATCCTCCTTCCCACAACCATATTCCCGAACTGGTTGATCTTAGATCTTTAGACGGACACACAGCTCAATCCAGCCATACTCAGCTCGCAATATACCGAAGTCAGAAAATTTTCGATGACCGCTAGCCACGTTGGCAACGATTAGGGTTTTACCCTTGCAACATTTCACCGCTTATCGACCGCCTAGAAAACAAGGCAGAGTGAATGTCCGATTGGAAACAAAAGTGCGTGCAGTGCATTTCAACGGCTTGACACTGACGGGTTTCCCTGCATTCACTGCTTGCATTGACAGCTGCACAACCGTTGTCCCAGGATCTTTGAGTTCAGCGATTTTACGCCCGCTTTTCTTTGCATTAGCACAACTGCACCATTATCCTGGAAACTTCGACAGCCGCGCACTGGCGACGGCGGCATTTGAGGCGTTCTTGAGGTGGCAAGGTGAGGGAGGGGGGATAGCGAGGGCGATTTGACGGTGCCGCTGTATGATAGTGTGGATGGGGTGGTGTTGGAGGCGAGAGGCGAGAGGCTATTATTTTGGGCATCCTTAGTACTGAGTGTTTGCTCCGGTGTTCTTTAACTATATATCCTATAGCCCGGTTATGTGCCTTAGCCTTTCTGGAAGGATGTTTTGAACCAGAACAATACCCGTCTGCTCTTGTGTTTACCCGTTACTTTGTCGCGCCAACTCCCTCGACTATGCAACGACGCACTATCATGTCGACTCCTGCTCCTCTTTTGCCTTTGCTCTCTGCCAAACCACTCTTTCAGTTCGTCAGGCAGTGTAACCGGCGTCGCCTCCATCGCTGGCCAGGCCTCGGAGTCCACAGCAGGCGCCACCTGCATCCCTGGCATCGGTGCAAATGCTGGCATCTCATCTCCCTTCTCATCCTTTCGTCTTCAAAAGCGAATCTTCTTGATCTTTCTACAATTATCCGTAGTGTCCACAGCGCTATCCCCGAAGTCCTCCTTAATCTTCCGATCCATAGCGCAATCCTGGCACTCTTTTGCTCTTCCACTCACACAACCCTTGGTCTTGCGTCTGAAGCATCGACAGGCTCTTCCGGCTGCCGGCACGCTGGAGGCAGTCAAGCTGCAATAAGTCCACTTCAGAAAGTGGGTGTGCGGACAGCTGGAGTAGTGGGCGTGGATCTCGGTACACATGCTGGAGGTAAACGGTGGAGTTTTGAGCGTGGTAGGTGTGGTCCTGGTGTGGTTGGGATATGAGATGCTGGAGGGAGTCGGAATACTCTTGTGACGCGGGGATTGGATGGAGAGTGAAGTGAATGAAGAGTGGTGAACAGGGGTTTGGTGTGGAGGTAGTCAGGCAGTGAAATAGCTTTGATCGTGCGTGTGAAGCGAACTGAGGAGGTCGTCAATGCATTGTACGCGTCGCTTTCACAAGCAAAAGCAGAAGTTGGAGGAAGTCGCAGCATCCAAGGTTCACAAGACAGGAGGTCTTCAGGTCTTGTTAATCTCTCATTCCTAACTACTTGACACCTTAAAACAGCTTCGTCTCGAAGCGCTTACGCAAGTCCTCATACTTCTTGACATCACCGACGCTAGGTCTAATGGTCTTGACTGCCTCCACAATGTCGATTTCCTCAACAATTTCGGCACGGCGGCGGAGTGCGTGCTGGCCTGCCTTGCGTAGTAAGGACTCAAGGTCAGCTCCAGAGAAGTTGTTGCACTCCTCCCGGCGTCCCACCTCCGCCAAAGACTCGCGAATGACTCCACGCTGCCTAATTAGGGCGCGCAGAATGTCGACGCGCTCTTCTGGTTTGGGAAGCTCGACATACAACAGTGTCTCCAAACGGCCAGGACGTAACATAGCTTCGTCGATCATCTCAGGGCGATTGGTGGCTGCAATCAGATATATGCCCTCGCGCATGCTAAGGCCATCCAGCTCAGTGAGCAGTGTGTTAACGACACGTGCGGACGCCTCATGGAGTTCGCTAGAGCGCTTGGGCACAAGAGCATCCAGCTCGTCAAAGAATATGACGCAGGGAACGGAGCTGCGGGCGCGCATAAAGACTTGCCGGAGGGCGCGTTCGGATTCTCCGACGTACTAGCGTCGAGTCAGTTAAGGTACTCAGAATGTATAGAAATGGGAAATAGTGTACCTTGTTCAGTAACTCAGGACCCTTAACGCTGATAAAGTTTGCTTTTGATTCTGCAGCAACGGCCTTGGCCAGCAGCGTCTTACCGCACCCGGGAGGTCCCCAGAGTAGTACGCCCGTGGGCGCAGAGATACCGACCTTGGCGTATCGCTGTGGATTCTGTATGGGCTCGACGATAGCCATTTCGAGCTCGTCGCGTACGCCTTCAAGGGCACCAACGTCACGCCATGTTGTATCTGGCACGGTGGCAAAGCCTTCTCTCTTTGAGGACGGAGTGATCGTAGGAAGCACAGCCTGAAAAGCTTCCATCGAGATGACTGAGTCTTCGAAACCCGCAGGACGTGTAGCATCCTTATCGCGTACTCGCAGGACTAGGCGTCTCCAGGATCGTATTGTCTCAGCATCATCGGCAGTAACTTTGGCAACGTCTACCTCCATCTCAGTCTCGTTCGCTGCAGCTTGCAGTTCCAGTGCCTCGCGGTATCTTTCCATTTCCCAGGTACCCGCCTTACTAACCAGATCCTTGAGGTCAGCGCCCACAAAACCGGCGGTCATTTTAGCAAGGCTGGTAAAATTGACATCCTCCGAAAGCTTCGGCTTGCGCGTAAGTGCTCTCAGAATGGACTCCCGCATGGCCTCATTGGGCACACCCATATTGATCTCAGTGTCGAATCGACCTCCACGGCGGAGCGCAGGATCCAGGCTGTCCGGTCGATTTGATGCTGCCAGAACGATAACCGGCTTGCCATCGTTGCCTTCCATGGCCAAGCTGTCCATCGAGATGAGGAGCTGAGCAACAATACGCTTCTCCATTTGACTCTGTGCATTGTCTCGCTTAGGCGCGATAACGTCGATCTCATCGATGAAGATGAGGCAGGGTGCCACCTCCTTGGCGCGCTCGAAGTGCTCACGGATCTGCTTCTCAGACTCTCCAGACATGCCGGACACGACAGATGGTCCGAGGATCTCGATGAATGGCACACCCAGTTCAGCCGCAGCCGCTCGGCAGATGACCGTCTTTCCGCATCCAGGAGGGCCGTGCAGCAGAATTCCGCGCGGGATAGGGATCTCTCTTTGAACATACTCCTCAGGACAGAGCAGCGGCAGGACAAGGTGCTCCTTCAACTGGTTCATGACCTTGCTCACACCACCGAGGTCCTCTAGGCTGACGCCAGATGGTGGTGCAGTGTCGATCTTGGCCTCCTTCGGCTCCTTTTTCTGTCTTTTGCTCTCCCTCTCCCCACTGGCCTTGACACCATCGCGTTTTTTGCTCTTCTCACCATTGACCGTGGAGGGAGTCACGGCCCCAGAATTGGCCCACTGACCGACGATTTGCTTGTTCATCCAGTCAGCTGACTTGCTCTCCTTCTCTTTCTGTGCCTTTTCCTCCATCTCGCCAAAGTCGCCCTCAATATCAGCAATTTCATCGCTAACCTCTTCGTCCTCTCGCATCACGTCGATAACGCGTTCGATGGAGTCCTCCAGCTGCTTCTTAGGCCGTCTTTTGAGGCTGGAATTGGACTTTTGAATGAAGTCCTGGATAGTCGAGATCCGAAGTTTGAGAGGTGACTCATTCTTGTCGTCAAGATACTTGCAAACAATCTGGTAGATGTCACGGTCGAGACCTTGCTGAAGTGAGGGGCGACCGCGGGGCGCCATGCTTGATGTACCACCTGGAGGTAGTCAGATAATTAAGACGCCTTCAAGCTTCAGGCAACGATTTTGCGACTTGGGTCGAAGCTCGAAGTTGGTTGGTGTTCCTGACAATCTCCAAAGTCCAGTCCACAAATATTTTGCCAGGCCTCGGACCAAGGTCTTAATCGATAAGACTAGCGCGCCCGGCCCATCTCCGGCGTCGGCAGTGCGCCTACGTCAATCAAGGCAGGCACGCGCTTCGAGTCACATACACTGATGCGCTGATGGAAATACAGCTAGCATGGGGAACTCAAGCAGCTCGAACAAGATCTCCGCCCAGGACAAGTGCGTCTGCGTGTCCCATGCTTTGGGCGCATTGTTAATGGCTGCAGGGCGATCCTGGATATGAAGAACCAGCGCGATAAGCTGCGACAGTACCAGAAGCGCATCACTGTGCTGACCAACCATGAGAAGGCGATCGCGAAAGAGTGCCTGGCAAAGGGCGATACAAATAGGGCCAAGTTGGCGCTCAGGCGGAAGAAGTACCAGGAAGGGCTAATCCAGAAGACGGATGCACAGCTGGCGCAGTTGGAGCAGCTCTCCAGCGATGTCGAGTTTGCGCTCGTGCAGAAGGACGTGTTGTATGGGCTGCAGCAAGGTACTGCGGTACTGAAAGAGATCCACAAAGAGATGGGCGGCATAGAAAATGTGGAGAAGCTGCTGGGTGAGAATGCCGAGGCGAGGGCATACCAGGAGGTGCGCATGACCAGGTCTCTCTCACTGATGCTAGGTTGGCTGACCCTGACATTACAGGAAATCAGCGAGCTGCTCGCGAACAAGATGTCGAACCAGGACGAAGACGAAGTCGAGGACGAGCTCGAGGCCCTCGAACAAGAGGTCAACGGCGTCACGCTGCCCGATCCACCTGTCAAACAGCCCGAGTTCACACCAGAACAGAAAGCGAAAATCTCGAGAGACCGGGCGCAAAGAAGAGCTCAAGAGCGTGCTGCTGAGCAGGAGCAGACGGCAGAACCCATGTTGGCATAATAGTCAGCGGGCATATACGTGCATTGAGCGAGGCGTTGGGGTTATTTTGAGTACAGCGATGGAAATGGATAGTTGGCATGCAGCGTTATAGAAGTTATTAGAAGACCAAACGATGCTACTTGAACTGTGCACGTGCCTACATGCTCCGTCCCGAGGCGTGACTTCCCAGTGGGCGATTATGGCTTGCATTCGCGTCATCTCCCGTTGCTTCTTTGACTACCAATACCCCCCACCTCACTACGACTCCTAATTCACATCTCCCAACGTCGCCGCTGAGCACCCTCCGAACAACCAACACCAAAGCTGAAGCTACCCCGCTACCCCGCCAACACCACAACCTCACCACCACCCACCATGTCGCACTCGCACTGCCACGACGAATCCCACAGCCACGACCATGGCGACCACGACCACGACCACAGTGACGACATAACGCCTGCCCTCCAAAACATCCTCTACTCACAAATCGACTTCAACGCTCTGCGCACCCTAAATGAAGACACCTCCAACAGCGGGCGCTCGATCTGCCAAAAAACATGGGCGCAGCGGCTCTCCCCCACACCCGAGCTAGTCTCCAGCGCCGACGAGCAACTCCTCATGCTCATCCCATTCACAGGCCAAGTGCGACTGCACTCGATCCTGATACGGACGTCGGACAGCGACGCGAGTCCCAAGACGTTGAAGGTGTTTGCGAATTTTGGGGATGATATGGATTTTGAGACGGCGAGTGAGAAGGAGGCTACACAGACGCTGGAGATTGCGAGGACGAATGAGGTTCAGGAGATCCCAATGAAGAGGGTGCATTTCAACAACACGCGGAGTTTAGCATTGTTTTTCGAAGATAATTGGAGTCAGGGTGAGGAAGATGAGACGAGAATTAGTTATTTGGCGTTTAAGGGGGATTTTATGAAGCTGAATAAGGAGCCGGTTAGTGTGCTGTATGAGGCTGCTGCGAATCCGGCGGATCATAAGGCTATTGCTGGGGTAAAGGAAGGGATGGGGAGGGGGATACAGTAGCAGAAGAGACGGAGAAAATGAGAAGCAACATGGAGAGTCGTGCGTAAACTGCAGACACTGTTTCGATAGCGTTTGTCCTATTTACAATTGTGTATGACAGATCTCGCAATCTGCGGTGTCAGCGAAACGAATGCCATGTCAAGTGAAGTAACGTACTCTGTGCTTAAATATTTTCATGGGTATCATCTCTCTGCAAGGCCGTCGTATCCAATCTTTCGCCCAGCCTTGCGTTCGCCGTTTTGTCTTCCAGAGTCATTTTTCCTGCAGATCCTGCTGACCGGATCGTCTCCGCGGCCATTGTGTCCTTCTCGCTGACCCTATAGTGTTCCATAATTTCGTTCTCTGTATCTGTGTCATCCCTTCAGACATGCCTCGTACTCCCCAGCACCTCGCCATGCACCTTCGTCCAATCAATCTTCTCATCAATATCCTCATCCACCCGCCCACACACCGCCACACTATCGCCCCGCACAATATACAATCCCAGCGGTACTTCTTCGCTCGGTACGCCTTCCTCGGCTGGTCGAATGATGCGTTCGTATGCGTCGGCGAGCACGAGGTTCATTGAGCCGTCGCACGAAAAAAGGGTCCCGACCATGGTCCGCCCGTCGAGGGTTAGGACGGATACTTTTTCTAGGAGAGGTTAGTAGGGGAAGGGAGTATTGGCGAGGGAGGAAGAGGTACTGTTGAGGTAGGCGTTTAGTGCCATTGTGGTGAGTGTTGTGTGGATGATTTTTGAGGTGAGAAGAAGTATTGGTAGGCCAAATGAGTAAGCGTGATTGATGTTCTAACCGCGAGCGTAGAAGATGGCCTAGTTTCTTCGAGAAAGAATGTTTCGAGAAGTGACTTGAAGCTTGTTGTGTAGGTTCGGTCGTGATACTGGTGCTAGAGAGCTTCAGCATCGACATTGTAGAAGTCCGTGCGTTCATCTCAGCCAATCAGATGTTCCTACCTCCGCAATAACGCTTTCACGACGGTCGCTCGTTTTGCTCCTGAACTTGTCCCTGCGATTCCAAAAGCAGAGTCCTGACGACGGCAGGCTTGCTGCGACATGCTCTGAAATTCTTGGACGTTACGAGCCTATATTTGGTTATGCGTATACTGCCGTATATGACCTTCGTATGGTTTCCAGGCACAAAAATGAACTACATAACTCAAGGTCTTATTAGCATCTCACTGGCAACTTGAAGGTAGGACTGACATCTGAAGCGCGATAAGCAATTCTCAAACTCTCAAGACGATGCTGTGCAGAAGTGGAGTCTGCCGGCGAGCTCCGCAATCAGCCATTGCTTGTGCACTAGCGCCAATGTGCGAGCGGCTGCACTTGCAGATGAAGTCCACACCTTCTCTTCATGAGGATCAACGTCTTCCACACATGTGCTGCTTAGCTGAGAGAATAGCATCAACACTGGCTGGCGCATCTCAAAGCATGTCGTTTCAGGTTCATTGATACCGATAAGAGCGTACCGATGCATGTGAAACGTCTCTGTAGAGCGCGACCTCGCTCGACACTCACAAGGCAGCTCGCAGGCTTCTTCGAGCAGGTAATTCTGGATCGCCTCACACCAGCCAGCCGCTCCACCACCCACATGGCATTGATATTTGACGGGTCGGCATTCATCCCGTTTCTGCACAACGGGAATCCGCACTCGGCAAGACGTCGAATGGCAGAGCCCTCGCGTTCGCTGTGGCGCAAAGCTCATACACCCGTGACTCGCATTGCAGAGAGCGGGATGTCGCTAATCTGATAAGCGAATCACCTTTCGCGTGCGATTACCACACATGTGCTTCTATCCCCGTCTTGGGAGGTGAAATGGTCATTTGTATTGTGCGCGGGACATGTGCAGCCTCGCCTTACTGGTTGCATTACGGGCGCATTCACACCCGCCTCCACTAACGGTCACCTCGAATTGCGCGCCTGTCCGCTCGCTATCTGCTCTCCCCAAGACGTTATCTGTAACCTTGTCGACCAATACGCTGGGAATAGATGTGTTCCAGCCTACTGGCACTCGAGACCTCCAAACACCATGCGTCCACCCTCATACTGATCCAAAGCTATGGCCTTCGAAGTCGACAATGATGCGCTACCGACGGCGAACATCACGCCGTTACCCACGGCGATGACGGCTGCTGCGTTTCTTGGGATTGCCTGGTACTTGAGTGTCGAAGTCAGCGTCCGTCTGCTGTCCAGGGCAACGTGCCGTAGCCTCTACTTCTGGTCTTGTCTCGCCTGCTCCTGGGGTATCATCATCCACGCTGTCCTCATTGTTCTTCTGGACTTTAAGATCTGGGAAAGCTATGGCGCCATCGTCATGATCCACTTGTCTTGGTGGACATATGTTGTGTCGCAGTCCGTTGTACTTTATTCGCGACTCAGCTTAGTCCTTCAAAGACTTGAAACAGGCCGTTACATCCTTTACATGGTCGTCGTCAACTCCATCGTCTTTGGTCTGGGGACCGTTGTGTTAGGCATGGTCGCCGTAAGTGCACTCCACCTTCTCCTCTGATCGTTCACTGACAATCTCCAGCGTCACCCAGCCATGGTCCACAAACTCGGCCCCGCAAACCTAATCTGGGACAAAATCGAACTCGCCGCCTTCTTCCTCCAAGAGACCATCATCTCACTCCTCTATATCCGCGAGACGGCACGGCATCTCCAAAACGTTGCTCTCCTCGGCACAAACACACGTACCACTCGGCGCGTGCTACATCACCTGATCTTCGTCAACGTATTCATCATCTGTCTTGATTGCAGTCTCATCGGCCTGTGCTATGCAGGCTTCTTTTTCTTGCAGGGCTACTACAAGGCTGCGGTGTACGCTGTTAAGCTGCGCACGGAGTTCACGATTTTGAATCAGCTGAGGTCCTCCTTGCCGGGGTCGTCGGAGCAGGAGAGTGATTTCAGGGTGTATGGGAGGTCGGGGAGCAGGCATTTGGGTGGAGGAGGAGCCGGAGTGCAGAGTGCGAGACGGGGTGTTGATAGCCAGCATAGTGAGATTCAGATGGTGGTCATGCAGAGTGGACGGCATGGAGGGATTACGATACAAAAGGATGTTGTTATCTCGTCGACGAGGAGGGATGAGAGTGATAGCTTTGAGGCGGCGAGGCCTTGAAAGGCCTGGAGGTCGTCGCAGAGACTTGGACGAGAGATTTGATACCCGCTTATAATGACAGCCTAATGAGTACTATAAACTTGACTGTCGTTTTGACATGGGTACTACACATGACGATAACTCTCAACAGCTCCGCTTTGAGATTCACTATCACGCGGCCACATGCCTCAGGATATCAACCTGCATGGCCCCCTGGATCTTTTTACAGAGCAGTAGCAGTCTTTCCCATGCCAGTCCTGGATCTTAGGAAAGAGGAGCCATTTGCCCTGACGTTACACAAGTTGCGGCCTAGACTTGCGATCCATCCTAGGTGTATGTGTCGTAGCAATCGAAGTCTGTTTGCACAGCCCAGTGATGTCCTGCATAGATGAATACGAGGTTCTCCAGTGATTTACTTACAAGTTGAGATGCGCGTTGAAGTCATCTAGCCAATGCACATTGCTGACAGTTTGTAGACTAGTCTGGGGCTCGGAAAGGAGGTATACTTTCGACTGCGCTTACTAGATGAAGCATAGTGCTAGGTGCGACTGTTAGCCCAGAATCTGTAAAATCTCCCTGCGATATTTGATTGCAGTTCACTTTTTACTAGTAAGGGTGTAGAGCATTTGTGTTGGGGTTGCGGAAAGATGCCGGGCAGGCACAAGCCTAGTGTGATTAGTAAGAGTTTAGCGGAGGTCGAGACAGGTCTAACATCGCTACCAGATCTCAAATGCTGTCACTTTGTCTACAACCCTCGTCTTAACACACCGACCAGGATTATAAAGCCTGCATTTACGTCGAACTCGTTGCGGTTACAATGTGTACGCCGAACGTAGTTGCCAGATGGAAAGATTCTGTGCGAGCGATATAGAGCTGAAAAGGATGGGAAAGCTTTCAACAATGCATCAGCCCAACGTCAACACCAACACCTCTGCTAAGCCCTACTATCAGCCCTATAACATGATTGTGAACGCCACGTCGAGGCTTGCAAAGCCATCTCATTAACGAGCCACTGTTTGACGCAAGTCAAGATCGTCTCCGCCCGCTCCGCTCACCTGAATTCGCAGCCTCAAAGGTGGGCTCCCGCAAGAGGCAGAAATCTCAGTTGAGGCAGAAATCTCAGTTGAGGCTGAAGATCCTGATAGACCTGCGCTGGGTACATTGCCCAACAACTTGTCACTCCTGTCAACCGTTCGGTGGCGACGGCCGTCAAGCCCGCATGACGCTGATTCGCTAGTGTCGATCAGCTCGAACAGGGAAGGATCGACCGAAAAGTAGCCGCATCTCCACCTTTTGTTTTTGATGTCAGCTGCAAGTCTTTCGCACAACATTTCTGGGCAGGAACAGAACGCTATCGTGGCACGAGTCGCTCAACATCTTTATCCGATACCTTCTACCGACACATCTCCCGACGTACCTGTGTTGGCCCACATTCTTACACTTTTACGGGAGCGACGGACCTACGGGCGAGCTGTGCCATGACGAATTAAGGAAGGGTTCCGGTGCCGCGCGAGCACTTCCTGTTGCGTCACGCGAAAGTGTGTCGCTGGGCTACGAAGATGAGTAGTATTGCACCGCGCAAGGGCACGCGACGAGCATGCGACCCTTGCTCTGTCAGAAAAGTGCGCTGTGACGGCAACCAACCGTGTACCCGGTGTGAAGCTGCAAGCTGGGAATGTACCTATTTAAAGACGCATGGGAAATCCGGCCCCAAAGGACCCCGTCGAACTACAGAAGCCGCTATCAGAAGGTTGCAGGAGCGCAGCAAGAGCAGTCAAGACGGGTCAAGGAGTAACAGTGAGGCAAGCTTCGATCTTGGAAGTCCGAGTCCAACCGAGTTTCCGTACATCGAACAACTGCCACCCATCAGTGATGTTGAGGTGGAGCAGCTGGGATGGTCCGACACGATCAGCCCGACGTTCCCAACGACGCAAAGTAAGCCCCAGCGGATATCGACATCCTGCATCTCTCAGTATCTGGACGTCTACCAATCACGAGGGTACGGCATCTGGCCCGTGGTTGATGCTGAAGCATTGACTGCACGTCTTCTTACTCATCCTGACGATGTGGAGGCGTACGCCCTGGCGACTGCTATATCTGCCGCCATTGTGAGCCAGTTTTCTATCGATGCTGAGCCAGGCAGTCCAGTCGAAGGACACTACCGTGTGTCGAGTGGTGTGTTTGAGGTAGAGGCAAGGCGTACACGCGACGAATCGGATCATATGGAACACACTACCGTCTTTTCGATACTGGGCAGCTTCTTCCTGCACGTATATTCTGCCAACATCGGTCGCATGAACGCTTCAACGGTTTATCTTGGAGAAGCAATCACGAAAGCACACATCCTTGGGCTGCACAAGACTTCCTACTACGAGTTCATGAGTATCGAGCAGGTGCAGCAGAATTTAAGACTGTACTGGCTTCTGTTTATTACTGAGAGGGCACATTCCATTCAGCACGACGTACCAACAACACTGAAGCGAGCACCAGACCTACCATCATTGGAGAACCTGGACGACGGTTCAGTTACGCCAGCTTTCATACAGCTATGTCGCCTCTTTAACATCCTGGACGTCACAATTACAGCGGATCCTTCCGCGGCTCGAGGAGCACTTGCCCTGGCTCAGCAGCAGCTCAGTAGTGACGAAGCCCCGCTGAGCCTTGAGAATGAACTGCAACGGGCCGATATCTCCATGACACAGCAGTGGATGCGCATATTCCTCTGGCAGCATGCACTGAACGTTACGAATTTGAGCAGCATGAATAACGACAACGAGTTTTCTTTCTCTTTCCCGGCGCAAGTTGCGCAGAATGTTCTGTCGAACCTCAGCAGTCTGAGCCAGCAGAGCGTAGAGGCACATGGACCAGGAATGGTACACGCTACATCCTAGTCGCTCACGATCTTTGTACTAACCAATGTCCAGGAGTCAAAGCTCTTCGATGTCGCCAACTCCTTAGCAGACGTTATGATCATCATGCCCTCAATGAATCACGAATCGCATTTTGGCATCGGCCCTCGAGATCTCATCCACTCCCTTTCGCAAGTCCTTTCTTCATTCCGAGGTGGAAACCCCGCGGTCATCAACATCCTCCAAGATAAATTGACGCAACTGGGCATGGCTGTGGGGTTGCCGCAGAGGCTGCTCGAGATGTCTTCGCCGGAAGAGGAGAAAAAAGAATGGTATGGCGAACGATCTATGTCTGCGCCTTCCAGTTGTGGTTCGTCGTATCCTTCCGCCACGCCATTATCACCGACATATCCTGCGGGCATGAACATGGATGGTCAGTCGCCAACGCTTCCGTCGAGTACGAGCATGGTCGGCAACTATTGAAGGGTTTGAGATCAACCAGATTCCGTCCAATATCACCAATGTGTCCTTCATGTCTATCACTGACGTGACGATATTCAGTAACAATATACGACCAGTCCCCATGCGGCGGAAAGGGTCGAACATCTGCGTACAAGATCTACAAGCCTCGCACATATGCACACACTCTACGTGACCTCGCAATCCTGATTGGCAATAGACCAGCCACGTCATTAACACGGCGGCCTTACTCTTGGAATATACCACCGCTGATATAAACACCATCATGGCATCATCGCCAGGACGTCAGATTAGATGGAAATTGAAACAGGCATCTTCAGGCTCTGCAACATGCTGCAGTGTAATCATCGCTTGCATGCGTCCAAGCTTACACTCGTCTCTATCTTTTCGAGCCTAGGAGGACCGGTCCAGTAGCGCTAAATACCCTTTGTTGCTTCGGCAAGTTGTCACTGCATGCTCTTACAGCTATACTCATCTTTAACAAGGTACACTGTGCTCGAGTCCCCTTTCGGCAACATGAGCGCATGTGCCACCATCCCGCGGCAGTGATGCTTCACTCGGTGGCACAGCAATGGTCTTAGCTGTACGTTGGATAGTTGCAATGTGGTAGTGAGACGTCGGTATGCAGTCGCGTAGATAGTGTTCGTGTTGCTGTATCTATTGGCCCCACAAGCCCTGACCCACACGGCAGTGGCTATACTGGGTTAGCACGTTACTGGGCATGTATATATCGTCGTCTCCTACCTAGTCAACAACTCAGCACAGTATTCCATCGACCCGATAGTCCTACGTTATCGTTTACCGTAGCTATCAGTATTCTACAGCGATCCACACCGCTACAGTTCGAGCTGTGGATGAGGCAAATTTAACATGTACAGACATCCACCATTGTTTCTTTCCTACATGTTTCTCTGCCTAAGAGTCCCATCTTATACATGCCCTGTTGGATATCATCTTCACTTCTACATTTAGACACTAATGCTGCCTTGCACAATTGTCCTATTTCTAGCTGATTTGTCAATATCCCATTGGCGCATTTGCCTGTTGCCATGATCAATACATACTGTCTTCTCAGATCGACAAATGATAGAAGCTTTGCAGTGAACTTTCGATGGGATCTCAAGGAGCGGTATATCACTCGCGCCTCAAGAGTGCAGAGAGCGTGATATGAGCACTTTCTCCTCGATTTGGGGGTACTTGACGTTAGTCTGTGCAACGGTGTGGCTTGATGAGATGTGGTAAGGCTGCACGGAGTTTTGAGGATGTTGTGCAGCATTTGTGTTAGTGCTGGGGAGTCAGCAAAGTGTGTGGGCGTTGATGTTCAAACGTGGAGTTTCCGATCGATTATTGAGCGGTTAGCGCAGCGTTTGGAACGAATTGGAAGTGGAGAGTAACGGATGACTTCGCGAAAGAAATCCATCTTCAATTGTTGTAAGTTATAGGGCAGAACGTTTGTAGTTTCTTTCAAGTCCAGTCCATACGAGTCTAGGTTTATGAATGAAGGATTAAAAATGGGGCAGCGAGTGTCAGCTTCCTGATGCATGTTAGGGTTATCAAATGTATTAGTATCGAGATTTTGGATGGCGAGTAGGGATTCTGAACGTTGTGAGAATTGTTTGTCATTAAGACCCTACATTTGCCATTGGCTATCCACATCCTGTGACGTCCTATTCCTTCCCCCCCCCCCCCCCTCTTTCTTCTCTTTCTGTTACGTGCCCACAAACCCCACACGCTCATTACCAAGTGACTGGGCTCAGAGCCTAGCAGTGGATTGCATTATAGCGGGTTGCGTTTCTGCCGCGTGGATAGCAAGATGTGAAGAATGTAATGCTCCAGTAGAGAAGGGGTTCGCTTGCCGAGACGGAAAGATCCACTTCAAGAGGGGCGAGGATCTGAAACGAGGGAAACAAATCCCCAATGTCTACTGACTTCCCGTATGAACAGTACTAGCTGACGCCAGGCGCCGGTGTTGCAGGAAGATAATTCCGCCTCTTTCCTCAGGTGTGTGTAGTTGAATGATTTCGTCCCATCTATGTAAGATGGCATCGCATCGGAGATCCTCCGAGGATGAGAGAGGCGCTCTGTGTCGAATGAAATATTGCTCCAGCCGTTTTTGTACGCCTTCCACTCTTGTAATGTGAAATGGGAATTTTGTTCAATGATTTGCTCCACGTCGATCGCTGGACCGAGATCAAAGTTTCAACGTATGTTGCCTCGCATTGCAGCCATATCTCGCAACAAGTCGGAGAGTCCCTCATATCCATAGCAACGCTGAAGCCTCCGAAGATGCCATATACCCAGACCGGACACACTGCTCGGAATCTTCGGCGGTCATCGCGACCAAACCACGCATAATGCACTCATCCAGTGCAGTCTGCACAGCCGCGCCTTAACGATTGATGTTGAAGACTTGTGTGGCCTTCTCTCATAGTGATTCGCCATCAGGGATCAAAGTGAAACTATCCTTGGGCATGCCCAGAGAAGACGGTGTTGCGGCCTCGAGAATTCCATCGAGATATAGATTTTGAAGCCCAGTAAGTGCCTACACGCGTGGAAAGCCCATCCAGTGTGTGACCGGGTTCAATGACGCATTTCCAAAAGTTAGCAAGTCGACAGATGCGGAGTTTGGGGTTTTCTTTACAAAACAGGATCAGGCCCTGCAAGTGACACTCCGGGCATGCGCCCAATTCGCGGTCTTCGATGAGTTCCATGTTTCCTATGTGTTAGCGTGTTGAAGGCGGAGGTGTCTCCAGAAAGGCGATCGCGGTCGTAGCTGCAGATATGGCGTGGTTCTTGTTTGGATAGGCCGAATCTCATCCGTTGGTGATCAAAGTCAAAATATGTGTTCTCTAGTATACGTTCGACGTCGTCCTATTTGAGACTGGTCCAAGGCTTGGAAATTGGACTGATGAAATTCTCCTCAATCTCGCTCCAGCCGTTGCTTTCCTTCATAGAATCAGGGTCCTCCGAAAGATGAGGGTTTTTCCTTCCAGTGGAAGTCCGCGCGTCTCTTCTCTGATCCTGCGGCAGGTACGCATAAGAGACAGGTTGATCCCCTCATTGCTCCCTTCGAACAACTTGTTGCGGCCTGCATCGTGGATATAACCGACGGGCTCAGAGACGTAGGCACTGTAAACAAGATTTCGAAGTTCACGAGACAGGCGGAAGAGTGGTTAGGCTGGCTGTGCTGATTCTTGGGCGTGGCGTGAAGAGACAAGAGTGGACACATGAAAAGTGGTCGAGTTCGGAGGCATGGTTGCTTGGGGTCTCCTTTGAGCTTGGCAGGGACTGAGAGCCTTGTATATTCACGGGAGGGTACCGCTGTTTTGGCGTTTTATGGATGCCAGAATGCAGACACAATCAAGGTATACAAAACCATGAGACGCAGAGCCTTGTCTTCGAGAATGCAAACATTGTAAGGATGACCACTTTCTTTCTTTTTTCGCAACATCGCCAGAACCTTCGGTAGCCGGCACTTCTTTTCTAAGGTGGATACCGGATCAGTGGAGAAGCGACGGGATTTTCAAATGGATTGACCAAGGTGACTGTATTGCCAACACAAGTAGCAGCGCCGTCGACTCCTGAGACGTTACATCGAGGTTGCAGCAGGCCGCGGCTTCTAGTTCGCAGCCTTTCACCGATAGATGATGAAGTGGGCGAGCCCTTTGGTCCAAATCATCACAAAGATGGGCTTTTAGATGCCGCGGCTATCTTCACCACGCTCGAAAAGACTCTTCAAAACCGTAATGTCCTACAAACACAGACAGACTTCAGTAATCCTAAAACTTAAATCCGAAAGTGGTCTGTCTAACAGTGCATGATCGAGGCCGTTCATATCCTACTATATTCTCAAGATTGGTCAACAAGATGCTCCATTGGCACCACACGCATCGCCGTGGTGTCCAGTGGTGCTTCCTCATCCGTCAGACAACATCCCAAAACCCCTTTCTACCACCCCCACCGTTTCCAAGCCCAACATCCACAGTTCCACGGCTTGCATATTGCACCGCCATCATTCTGCCATCGCCATTGTGATCCATGTCCGAATGTCTGTACAGCTGTGGTGAATCCTGTAATCCCAGCTCCTTTCCAACCCACGCCCGCAATTCTTCACCTCGAAACTTTTCATTGTTAGACAACTGCTGCAAAGCATAATCCACACCCATCGCAAATCCCTGCTTCACACCCACCCCCTCAGAAAGTCTCGGAACCGGCGCATAAACACCAGGTCCGAGCACGCGTCTCTTCTGCACTGGAGAGCTGCTCGCGAACTCCTGAGAATGGTTGGTATCATTGAAAATGACGTCGTCTTCGTACACACAACGCGCTCGCTTGCCACCCGTCGACGGGGTAATGTCACTTGACGATGAACGCGCGATAAAGGAAGAGTCCGGGCTGTGCTCAGCAAGGCCGAGGAGGGCGGCGGCGGCGGCGCGGCGGTCTTCTTCGTCTGTTGCTAGCAGTGGCGTAGTGATTGGAAGCTGAGCTGCGGGCTTGGTGCGAGTAGTGCGGGATGGGCGTTTTTTTATGCCTGCGATAGTGGAAGGTTTGCTGCTTGGTACGCGCTTGGTGATCGTGGTTTTCTTCACGGCGGAGGACTTTCGAGTGGCGGGGTGCTGGGAGGGCGCCGCTGGGGGCGTTGTGTTTTCTTTACCGCTGTCGGGGGTGCATGGTGTGCGTCTTGGTGCTGCATTGTTCCACATGGAAGGGTTCAGTGAAGGGTGGTTAATGTTAGCTGCGGATGAGTGGAGTGCACTGTTCGCGGTGTCTTTGTTGGCGTGCTCTTCTTGCTCATCGATCTCGTTGTGTCGCTCATGGATCTCCACAATACGCGCCTCGACTTCTCGTTTCAGCTGCACAGGAGTTGCTGCGGACGCGCCGCTCATGCCAGCACGAGCAGCGGTGAGCGCGTTCTTGATGACTCGTTGAAGATTTTGGGCACGTTCAAAGTCCTTGGAATCTGGGAACTGAACTCCGACTGCGCCGTGAAGTCGTTCAAGGCTGGTGACAAGACGCTCGTGAGTCAGTCGACCGTGGCGTCCCATCTTTGTAATTTCGAAATTGATCGTAGAGGAGTTGATGGTGAAGACGTGGAGAATATCACGTTACACGTCGAGTGATTGCTGATTAGCAGGAAGCGTGGCAAGTCCAAAAGGCCAAGGTGGAGGTGAGGTGAAGCGAAGCGTGGAGAGCGCGTTGTTATGACGAAAGCTGCGCGTGACTAGGTGGGAATTGCGTAGCGTGTGGGAAGCGAGTTGTGGCGAGGGCTGAGCGTATTGAGGTCGAAGTAGTGTAAAGTGAAAGCAAGTCGTCTCCAGGACGATAGAAGCAAAAGCGCCAGCGCAACATACAAGATAGTACAGGGTAAAGGGGTGACAAGGAAAAGAAGATGATGGGACATTGAGAAGCTTGAAGACGGGAGAATAGCTTCTTAAACACCAGAGATAGCTGGGAGACGCAGCTCTGTTGTCGGGAAAACCAGCACATACCACTTTTCAATTGTGTGGCGTGCACAATAGCAAGCGGACCACCGGACAGCGCGGTGTGCCATGGCATCACGCACCGCAAAATCTTCTTTTCACCTCGCCATCCGCATACCAGCCATCCGTAACCCCCTCATCACCTCCCGCATCCCATATCCGCCATCTTTAAATTCTCCCCATTCTGCGCCATTGCATACCTTACCCTCATCACCAGCTCACCCAACAGCTTCGCATCACCCTCCCCACCACCCTTAACACTGTTCATATCGATCATCACAGCAACCTGTGACTGTGCTACGATTGCCAGCCCCTTGGCGCTGGGGCTGTTCAGTTCGTCGGCGAGTCTTTGATTGCGCTCGCGCACGGCGATGGCTTTTAGTTGTGTTATGGTGATGGAGAATTGATTGAGTTGGAAGTCGGATTGTGTGCCGTTGGCGGGTGGTACGAGAGGGGTGCTTAAGGTGCTGAGGGTTTGGAGGGTTTGGAGACTGGATGAGTCATTAGTCGCTGGTTGGGAAGATTGAGTACAATGAAGCTGTGTTAGGAGTGCGGATTGAGGTATGTGGTGGAGGTGAAGGACGCACCCTTGTAATTCTTGCTTCTGGATGAACATGTTCTCTTGTATGCCTCCTATCAATTGAGTAACTTTCCGCGCATCGCAGGTACGGTTCCCTTGCGCCTGCCACGAAGTCACTGTTGGCAACGCATATGTGCAGCCAATCGTCATAAACAATGCAATGAATTTGAGCAGCATTTTGTGTTCCACCTCACCAAAAGAGCCGATGGTCAGAGGACGTCAAGTGAAGAATGAACGGAATTGCAAAAATTCAGAACGAGTGGTCATCTTACGGCTACATGCTGTTCCGTTGAAACGGCGTTGAAACATGGTGTTCACAGGGCCGTTCCGCAAGCTTGCTGAAGCTTAGTATGCAACGGCTGAGCGTAAGCCGTTTCAGCTACGCGGTGACAGGTTGTCGTGGAAACATGCGCACTACAGCATTTGCAACCTGAGCTTCACAAGCATTTTCGAGCAAAGCCAGGTAACGCCAATGTGTTCGATGTGATGGTGAGGGTTGACGTGCAGAATGATGTTGGATTAGGATTGTTGTGCGATTTTAGCGTGCAGATCTGGCCAGGTGTGCCTGTGCAATGGTTGCGGATCTGCAATATAGCGTTCTTGCACCGCATTCGGAACGCACATGCAGCCTTACAATTGGATTCCGCACCATGCCGGAAGCTTCAGATTTCCCTATTCTGGTGGCGGTGAAGGCCAGTTCACGCAATGTATAATAACAAGATGTGATATTCGAGTTATTACATTCAAAAGCGAGCATCGCTGCAAACAGTCTTTTCTTTGATTCTTGTGTGTCCCAGTTTTGCGAAAGGTTTGCACAGCAGCACTTGCCATCAAGATTCAGGCCTCTTTCACTGCTTTCTCGATCTGCATCTCGGTCCATCGTCGCAGCAAGCGCAGCAAACATATCACGACTTGCGCCTCTGCTCCATCGCGTTCCATCTCCTTGGATTCGTCTTCTCCTTCGTCAGGCTCAATCTCGTCATCGTCGTCGAGTTCGTCAAACTCGATCGTCCCAGGAGCACGCCCCGACCCCTCTGTCCCTAAACCTCTTTCAGACTCTACTTCGTCTTGAGGTGTGCGGTGCTCTGCGCCATTATTTCGCACATCCTCAGTTGCTCTGTCTTCGCCGTCTCGATCCATCTCCTCTGCGTATCCATGCACCTCATACCCCCTCCTACTATTGCGTCTGTCTCCCGCTTCGAGACCGACTCCATCGTCATTTTCCTCCTCCATAAGATTCTCACCCATGATCACCCCCCAACACTCCCTCACAGCCTCATACACCCACTCCGCCCCCTCAAGCACACACCTCCTCTCCCAATCATCCCTCTTCCCACCAACAACCGGCATTTTATCTCCCAAATCGCGTATCACTCTAACAGACTCATACCTGTGTTGCGCAGGTAGTCGTCGAATATATTCTCTAGCGCGATTTGGGCACCTTTGTGGAAGGGTGCGAGGTCGCGGGAGGGCATGGAGGGGAGGACGGGGTAGGTGATGGCGCAGGTGACGGAGGACAGGGAGAATGGTTGTGTTGAGGTTGGTGAGCATGACAGGAGGGAAGCTGGGGGTCCCTGGGGTCGGTGAGGTTGGGGTGGGGTGTCGGGTGGTGTCGTTGGATTTTGAGGCGCGTTTGTGAGTGTGAAGGACGGCGATACAGGCCTCGAGGTGCCGGCTGTTGACGAATCCTGCGTGGAGGAGGATTGAGTTCTCTTGCGTTCCATGTTGCGGCGTCTCTGGGGCAGGGGGGCCAAGTTCGAGGGTTCGACGGCGAGAGTAGACGGGGTGTCGTTGTGAGACTGCTGTGGGTCGGGTACCGCTGTTTGATCTTTGCTGCCTGCGTCTTTGCCCTTTCACTAATGAGATTGTGCAGATCAAACTTCGCTACAAACATACCTCTTGGACTGGGTTAGAGGCTAGTTCCGTCTTTGGGTCTTGCTCACCATCTCCTCTTAATGACTTTCGTTGCTGCAAACAGCTCTCATGCATCGGCCAGGAAGACGGCGCCGATTTGTTGCCGTGCGCCTCGAGTGGGTAGCGAAGCTCTTATCGTTTTCTAAGCTTCTTGCTCAATGAACAGGTCTCCAGTGCGCGATAATGCGCTTTGCAATATACGCACCACCAAATCGCTTCGGCTCGAATTTACGTGTGAGCTGGTCAAGATGGCTGTCTTGAGGATTGCGAGCGCGCGGCGCCGAATGTGAGGTGTAAGGTCGCATCTCAGACGAGTTGCGCGTTTGCGTTGACGAAGTTTGGTCAGTGCCTCCTCGTCAGTGAAGCTGTCAGTCCAGCACCTGATAAAGGTCATGACGACAGAGGAAATTCGGTATAATGATCGATGGAGAGACTGAACATTGAGGTGTGAACCGCGAGGTGAAGACTTAACCGGTCAAAACTCGCTAGGCAGCCGCTGTTCCTATTGGTGTACCGATGACCCGTGGCGGAGGTGAAGGCAAAGTCCCCTTGATCGCGGCTGCAGACCATTCGTTCTTTTGCAATCTCAAAATTGAAATGTGTGCGTTCCGGCGTCGGTGAGGCAGCTCGCGAGTGTACACCGATTTTACGAGAACGATGAAGTGTCAACATGAGTGCTCTTCCTATGCCAAACTCTCTGCCTTGATACAAGCATCAAAATCAGATGCTGTTTCGTGGGAAATGTAAAGAACAGCTTGTGAAGATCTGTGCGCAAGTGGTCAAGGAGCTCATAACGTCTGCGACTGAAGATAGCAGTAAGGTGTCATGTCAATAGGAACGAAACACATGCGCGGAAACTGCACGGATATACATGGGATGACAATGGCGAAGGAAGGCGCGGCGCAAATAATAATATTTGATTATACATGTTGGCGGTGCGCTCAGACCTGCTGTGCACATCCACCTATGAGGCTTCACACCACTGTTGAGCCTCTCCTTCGATACAAGCACATGTGTATCGCGCTGCTGTTCTTTTGTGCTGGTCACTACAATGTAGCGACACGCTCGAGGCGAGGCTACACACGCGTCATATTGTATTTCCGTCTACGGAAATACGAGGAGCGGCGAAGTTGTGCAGCGAGACCCCAGTCTGGGGTGGACCAGCCTCGCCACAGTAAGTGAGCTGGTCTCGAGTCATGCGCAACTCAATTCGGCACTCCTTGGCCAAAAATGGGCTGACCCCGGGTGGAGATCGCCCGATTAGTAACCGGATCCACAGCCTTACGAGCGCCACCGGCATTTTGCGGCATAATGCGCGTGGCTGACGAGCGACGTTTCGGAAAGTAGCTGCCTCCGTCGGATACGAGTCGGTCGGAAGTCGCTAGGTCGTCGCTGAAGTTTCCTGCTGGGGCTATATTCATCCGTGAAACATACTCCTTCGCGGTGGTACATATGACTCCGCAGAATGTTTGTTGGGTTTTCAAGAGAACGTCTGCAATTGTGGCGGTATGAACAGCTGGTGGCTCTGGTGGATCATCTCCTCGATCTTGCTTGTTTCGTTCATCTCGAAGTCGTGCATGAGCTGCATCTGTTGCTGCTGGTTGAGACCATTAGCTCTGGCCTCCTGGCTCCATCCTGGGTTAAGGTAATCAGCCATCTCGTAGCCCTGGTTCGCCGCATAGAATTCATTGTACAGTGGCGAAGTGAGAGGCATTGTCGGTGCATTGTATGGGTCTTGCTGAGGCATTGTGAAAGTTGAGTTCCACTGAGGCAGCTCGGCGAATGTCGTTGGAAGCGAAGTAAACTGTGTAGTAGGCGGATAGCTGAATATCGGCACGTTCGCATCGACCGAGGTCTTCGGGCTCGGATCGTAGTGCTGCTGAGGCTGCTGGGGTGGCTGCAAAGACGAGTGTTGACTTGACGGCGAGCTTGCAAAGTTCGAAGAGCTAGCTCGCACATGTTCGTGGCCGAAGAATTGCTGTCCCTGGTTTGGTAAATAGCCGAACGGCGGTTGTACGTTGTCCGAGGGCGTGCTCACCGATGCGGTGGACGCTGTCGCAGGGCTCGTTGTCCGAGATCTGTTGTTGCCATCCACAATACTGCCTGAGACAACTGAAGCGCAGTCGGATGGCGAATTGGCCGTGATGGGCACATCACCGTCCTTGTTGTAAATCTCCATACACGCCCCAATGAGGTTATGGTACAGCTCCATGGCTGACGCAACACCGGGCCATCGGTCAGAAGCAAGTCTGATTGATTCCATTGCTACGTTCAAATGTCCTTCAACCTCTTCACGGCTGTGTAGAAGACGCACTTCCTGGTAGGACAAGGTCCAAAGCATGGTGTTGATGCACATGAAGATCGCCTGTACGAAAATCCATGTGACATCAACAGATTTTGTATCGATCTGCCTCTTACTCATGTAGATGTTGTACTGGCATGCATCGTAACAACGTATGGCAGCTTGCAGCGAGGGTCTTGGTACCTGCGGCGAAGGACGGTAGATAAAGACAACCATGGTGTTGTAGCGTCCAATGAACCTGAATCAATCAGCAACAATGAGTATGGAGAAATTACATACTTACCAGACTTTGTTCAAGCCGGATCCACCGTCCATTTCAGGGCTTGTATCTCGCCACGCCTCGATCTTATTTTGTATCTCCGCGAACCATGGATGCTGGTCGTTCTGTGGTTCGTCTGTCTTTTTCTGGTATAGCTTCTTGCGAATCTCCAGCTGCAACAACCGCATCTTGTAAAAGTGAATGCCAATCCACTTCTTGAGCGAGGCCTGTGGTGCCGGCTTTATGCCTTCCCTGGAGATGTATACATCGTCGACGAGCTCAGCAAAATTCACATCAATGTGTTGACGTCTCGCAGCGAAATGGGCCGGTCTTCCTAGACTGTGCGAAAGACCGTAGTCCATGGTGAGTAAGCTCCAGAAGAGCCGCCGCCGCATGTCAACCTCAAGCGGATCAGCGGGCCGACCACCGGGCCCTCTCGTGACCGTCTTCTCTTCGTGCAATCCCAGAGCTTGGCAAAGTCGCATACCGAGACCGATGATGTAGTAGACTGCAGTTCTTGTAGGCGTGAGAAGCGAGTATCCAGCTACCAGGCCGAAGCATTGCAGTGTCTTAAGGTTCATTGGCTTGATCGCAGCTTCGAAGTACTTCAGGGCGGCAAGATAGTAGCTGTCGGCGAGACCAGCATATTGCGTGTCCATCTTTTGCAGGCTGATGGCGATGACCATGCGCAGACAGTAGTTCTGGTAGGGGTCGGTGGAGCCATTGTATACATCCTCGACGTCCTGGGTGAAGGTTGGCTCGTGGAATATGGGGTACATGGGGTGCACTAGGAGGACTGTTAGTAGACTACGGCTGGGCTGAATGCAGGTCATACGTGCCTTTGCAGTAAAACAGCTCGACTAGCAGATTGGTGAGATCTCGATTTGGCAGCTCTTCAGCCGCAACGTCGCTGACCAGGGGGTACACCTTTGACGTTGGGCGCTCGTCTTCCTGCTTGAACGTGGCCTTGATTGACTTTTGCCGTGCGTGGGGCACAATCTCAGATATGGTTTTCGACTCGGTGAACTGCTTCGCCAGCTGCATTACCAGCCGCGTGATCGTGATGCCACTCGAGGGCCCCAGGAACTTGGACTCGTCGGTGTCCTGCACACGCACCGCTGCTGCCCCACGCATGACGTCCTCGGCATCAGGCTCGACATCGTCCCTCTCGAGGTCCGCCAGCTGCTTCTCGAGCTCGCGCACCTTATGCTGCAGGTGCACGACGTAGTTGCGGGGGATCTTCCTGCCCTTCGTGGGGTCGTAGTATTCGCAGTGCGAGTTGGTGCGCTCGCAGGGGCCGCAGCGAGGGAGTCCGGGGTCACATCGTGTCTTACGCTGCAACGGGGCGAATGTCAGTCGCAGTTCCTCAGTCACTCAACAACCACAGCTGTCACGCTGCCTACGGGGATCAGGGCGTCCTCACCGTCCTACACCTGCAACACGCAGTCAGTGTGTGCGCAATTCTGCTGCCCTGCACCCCGTTTGCGCCATCGGCGGCTTCCATGTTTCGGCGGTCACCTCAGGCGTGAAGGGTGACGTGCTGCTATTCTATAAGGCTCGGCTTTTGGGGTGGGGAGATCGGCACGCACGTCCATAACAGGAGGAATAGCAACAAGGGCACAGAGGGCAGTGGTGACAGGATTTGAGGCCTGCGACAGCACACAATGAGGGCACCGAGCCTGCGGCACGTCCCAGGGAAATGCAGCGGCCTGTCGGAATCCCAGCGCGGGTGTTTTGATGTACAAAACGTTTGCGCGTCCCTGACCGGCCTTCACAAGGAAAAAAACACGGCCCAAAGCACCGCTGCGCCAATCAGACGGTGCGATAAAGAACGCGGGAATGAACAAAACTGCTGCTGGCGCGGGCGTAGCTTTAATGATGACAGGTCGAGACTGTGCAGCAGAGGCAGCTAGATTTGGTCCTCTCTTGCAGCCGAGGCAACCACCGTGATAGGCCGCTGCTCATATTGGGCCTCGACCACTACCTACACTGCTTTCCCGGCGAAAGGGCACCGCAGCTTCCACTCCTGTCAATCACCAGTCCACAAGCTGTCTCACTTCGAGCGCCGCTGTGATTCTCGAAGTCACTTCTCTGCAGGCGGCGGCTATTCGAGGTTTGACGAGCCCTGCAAGGGTCCAGAACCTCAGCGGGCCAGTTCACGCCAGAAGGCGCGCGCAATCAACCGCCAACCCTTGGGAACGCCACCCGTTGGCCGCTCAACAGCACCCAAAGGGTCCACCGCTGCCAGCACAGCTGAAAGGAAAGGCGTCAACTTGCGTGCATCCGCGGACCTGCTTTGCGGCCTCCCACGCTATTCCTTCAGTGTCTTCTGTAGCACCGAGCAGGTAAGTGCATCTTGTTTATCGTAGCCATGGGCCGAAGCGTGAGACAGCTGGTGCCCCTCGCGTCCTGCTGCTGGCCTGAGTTCTTGGACCCCTCTCCATGTATAGAATCCGCTTTGCCCAGAGTCCACATACCACGTGGTTGTCGAACGGCCGTTCCCCATCATGATCACGTCCAAGGAAGCTTACCCCTCTGTTGAAGGCAACGACCTCATGGTCCTAGAGACACCACTCCTCCGAGTGAGCCGGCCTGTCGCCGCTTGCTCGCGGTGTCGAGCAGCCAAAGTCAAATGCGATGGCAAGCTGCCAGCCTGCACAGCATGTGAAAAGTCGAATCGTGCTTCAGAATGCTCAAGCACAAACGACCAGTTTGCAAGAGGCAAGGAAAGGAGCTATGTTGCCACACTCGAAGCACGAGTCGAGCGGTTGGAGAAGAAGATCCTGGAGTCGAGAAATAGGAGGAAGTCATCGACCGTCTTGATGTTGGATTCGTCTGAAATTTCCACCCCTCGGAGGACTTCAGTCGACACCCTGAAAGCACCAAAACCCATCAGCAAGCGTGCAGCACGGCGGAAGGAGGCATCACAGATCGATGAGCTGGTCTCCGATTTTGGTCTTCTGTGAGTGAGCCAACATGACTTTCGAGCAATTACTGACTTCACAGCGCGGTCAATGCTACCGCAAGAGACTTTTATGGCTTCACAACCGAGATGTCGTATGCTAGACTGATCTTGTCAGCTGCTGTAAAAGAGGCTCTGCCGACTGGGCTACACAAAGCTCTGCCCGCAAAGTATGCTGCCATACCACTGATCCAGCACTTCCTGAACAATATCTTCACTCTGGTGCCAGTCTTCGAAGAAGCTGCCCTGTATGCTTCGGTAGATGCCATCTACCAACAGGGTGATGTCGCAACTCCTTGGGACAGATGGATTGTACGCATGGTCTTGGCCATCGCCTGTTTGTCGCAATCTGAGCAGCGAGGTGACACTCATTACTCGGATGCCGTCGGCCATGTCAATGCTGCCCTCGAGAATGTCGAAGACGTGCTGCATCCTGGCTACGTGACAAGCATTCAAGCCCTGGTCTTGTTCACCATCTATGCTGCCATGGACCCGCACCACTTTGACAGCTGGACTCTCATTGGTGCGGCCTCGAGAGCAATGATAGATCTTGGGATCCATCAAGATCCCTCGAGGAACGTTGCGGTGTCAAAAAGCAAGCTCGAGGTACGAAGGCGAGTATATTGGTGTGTCTACGCAATCGACCGGTATGTTAAGCACTTATGCCAATACCGCTCCTCTACTAATTGAGTCGCAGATCCACATCCCTTGTGCAGACCAGGTCTTTCTCGTTTTCGGACGAAGCAACCCACGTGGTTTTCCCTTTCCACAACGCTGCTACATCACCAAGATACTCCTCACCGCAGGCTGTGGTCTTCTTGCAGAACTTTGATTCCGCGCTCGATCTGTTCAGGATTCGTGAGATCCAGTCCGAGTGGTACATGGACCTGTTCCAATCTGGACGTGAACCCTGGCCGGAAGCATATCAGTACATCTGGAAGCAGTACGCGAGAATGACGCAGTGGTTTGACGACATACCGCAAAGCACTCTGCCAGCGTTCAAAGCCGGATTTGAGCTGGAGCTACTCTACAGCTACGTCTACATCTTGTCGCCGAGTCCACGCGTACCTCACATTGACGAGTATGCCCAGCGGCTGATTTTCGAACATTGCATCTCGTATTCAATCAACTTGCTCGCCACACTTACCAAGCCTTCGACGACCACCAAGCCGCCTGTCACCTTCTACGACGCCATGCGGGCGTACATGACTGGTAGGCAGTTCGTCGATGTGCTCTCGCGCAATCTAGACGTCCTTCTCAACCCGGTACCACCCTCGCCTCCAGCAACGTCAACTCCGCCCATGGCCTCGGACGACCCGCTCGCTCCTCCTGCGCAGGTTAGCCCACCGCCATTTCCCACGCCTCAGATACCGGAAGGGCAGATCACGCCTCTTGATCCAACAATGCGAGCGATCAATGCCCTCAACGACTTCACGCAAATATTGTCCAATTTTGGTCTCCGTTTTGGCTTCACACACTGGCGAGACCGCTTCCAGAGGGAATCAGCCGCACTGTCAGCGCAACTCTATCAACGCAAGTCAACGTCGCCGCATACCTCCCCTCCACCACATCAGATGCCCACAACAGCCTACCCTCCTCAGTGGGTACCCATGCCGTCCGTCTCACCACACACGCCCGGAACGATGTACCCAGGCCCGACTACACCGCCAGCTTTGTTCCCGCAACAGAGCAGCCCCTATTCAGGGTCTATATCTTACACAGGCAACCCATTTGATGCGGCGACACAGAGTCCGTACCAGCAGACGCTACCTTACGACAATTCTCCCCAACCTCAGCAACAGCATCCGCATATGTACGCAACGCCTTCTCCGCAGCCGATCCCTGATATGCCCCAACCGACCGATGGGAAGCGTAGAGCCATGGTCTATGGTCAGGGTATAGCTCGGCAGCATTCAGGAGGACAAGGCCGAGAAAACGGTGTTGCACACTCGCATGCAGCCTCGCAAGACGGGACGCACTGGCCCCACGCAGGACAGGTACAGCATCAGCAAGCGCCGAGCCAGGTCGACAACACTTGGGCACAGGGTACGACTCACGATGGCGGCGCAGTGCAATGGAACCAAGGCGCCGGTCACGGAAACTGGAGATGAAAAGTCATGGATGGGTTTACAACGCCTCACCGGTGCAATTCACGGCTGCACAGACGAGTCAAGAAGCGAAGCTCAACAGCAAATTCTTGCTGTCGTGAAGAAGTTAGGCGCTGGTACCTGCAGCCGTCATACGAGGCCACGCAATTGACTAGCGAAACGCAGCTTTGCCGATCGGTCTCCGATCAATCCGTCACTAAAAGTCGGTATCCCCCGCAGTGTCAGTGTGGTCGACTCGGTCTAGAACTGTGGAGGTGGAGGATTTTTCGTAGACCGGCCTAGCGCGGCGCTAGGATATGCTAAAAGGCTTATCTCAATCACAGCAGTACGAGACAGAAACCGACAGTGGAGGCGGTGGAGGCTTGTGCAGCAGAGCCTCGTATTGCGTCAGGTACTGGTGCTGCTTCAGCGAAGGAACATGCAGCGGGTGCTCCACAAAGGATGAGAGGCTTACCGCATGACAGATCTGGACACATTTCGAGGGCTCCCGCCGACTTTCACAAAAGCAATTTGTTTCAGACGCACACACTCACACTGCACATCCCAAGTCTTCCAAACACGCCATACGATCCATTACCATATACTCCCCACCCGGTATTCTTCGTTCTCCACGCAACGCGATCTGAGATGAGAGGCTGTGCCGCATCTGTTCTACTCAAACACGCGCGTGGCATGGCCCTGCAGTTGGAGCGAATGCGAGTAGCATGATGCCGGGCAGTAGATAAAGGATGTACAGTGACGTTGTCCCATCCAGGATATTCGAGCGATGAGGAGCGAACCAGCAAGGTCTGCATGCGGGAGCAGGAAGTTGGAAGTTGCGAGGTATGGAACGCGGTGTTGATCGGTGATACAATGGCACCAAGACGCACAAGTTTGTCAGGCGTAGGATAAGCGGTGTATAGCAAGACGGCTCGAATAAGCTTGGATATTGCAGGGACGTGGTAGAATTGGCACGCGGTTCATTGTTGAACTGACCGAGCTTGTCGCATTGATCGTTGTTGATAATCTGCTTGCTTGCTATATGCTCACGTGCTATGCTCCTCTTCTCGTCCTTCTCCGCGCATCAACGACGTCGCCGGCACTCAAGGGTTTGCGAGCGCGAGACAGGCATCAACCGCCAGTCCAACCCTGCTTTCGGTCAGCACGCCTTGTTCACAGATCTTGTCAATTGGGGTTTGGACTTACCGGCCCTCCTTCTCCCGAACGACGTCCTCGATAACATCCCGATCCAACTGCGGGAACATGCCCGTCAGCGTCTCCACCACCACCCTATGCTCCTGCACCTGTATTCTCCTCACCTGCTCGGCCTCCGCGCTCGCTTGCCGCGCCGCTGCATCTTCAGCGCTTATCCGTTCGCGCTGCCGCCATTCTTCGGAGGGGAGGCGCGGTTTCTCGTTAGGCTGTTGATGGGTAAGCTGTTGATGGGTAAGCTGTTGATGGGTAAGCTGTTGATGAGTAAGCTGTTGATGCGGATGGAGCTGTTGGGACGAAGCAGCGGCGCCGGGGAAGCGCTCATGCCCCGGCTGCTGCTGGTGATTCGCATTAGGGGAGAGCGGGGTGGAACTGCTCCTTGGCATTGAACTTCCTGAAGAGGAAGTCGCGTGCGTGTCGGTGTCGCTGAAGATGCGGCCAATTGTACTCAACGGCCGCTGGATCGTGCGTAACAGTCCTGCCACGGCGGCGTTCTCTTCCTCGGGGGAGTCGTCAGATTCCTGTTTGGAGCGGTTGCGCAGCGAAGTCGAGCGCCGTGGGCCTGCGGTCTGCGCGTCCATCGAGTTCCGGGTTATGACCTCTGGTCGCGAGGGCGAGGACTTCTCGCTGATGTGGTGGTAGTGCGGGGACGGCATTCTGCGATGGTTCGATGTACTCGGGTGCAGATGCGCCGGCCCGGCAGCCGATTCTGGATGGATTTCCGCAGACTCAGGGGCGTGTTTCTCGGCGATTGCGCTCACGGCTGCTTCGACGTTCTTGTCGAATTCTTCGTCTGTCACGGTGAGCGAGGTTTTGTCGAGCCCTTCGATGAATTGCACGGCGCCCATGAGCGAGGAGATGTAGTAACCGGCTTCGCCGCCGAGTTTGTCCTGGTTCCGGAAGCGGAGGATGTATTGTACGTTGCTGACGAGGTGGTCGGGGTTGGCTTGTAGGACTGTGTATATGAGTAGGGGGACGAAGGCGTCGGCCGACTGGTCCGATTTCGAGGTTCGTAGGAAGCCGAAGATGACTTTGCAGCAATTGAGGATGCAGATAATCTTGTCGCGGGGCGCGCGGTACGTTTTGATCTTGAGCAGTTCTTGTTGTGCGAGCGCGAGGAACTTGCGGCCTTTTTCGCCAACGTCTTTGATATCGAGATGCTCCTCGCGCACCCACTTGTAGATGCGCACCTTTTGCGCAAGGACCTGGTCGCGCTCGACGTCTTCTTGGTGTTGGCCCCGTCGCCCGGGTCCGGCTGGTTCTTGGCGGCGTCGCCCTTTGCGCGGTGAGGCTGGTTCTGGAGGAGGGATGGCAGGAGAGAACGTCTGGTTGTACAGCCTGTTCATGACGAGTTTCTCCATGCCTTCTCGCGCGTTGTCGAACTCGGCGTCGGAGACGGTTCGCCAGACCTCGCATTGTGCCATCTTCTTGCTGATGAACTCGAGGAAGTCGCCGATGATCTTTACCTGCTCATGCACCATCCACTGCTTCTTGCCGAACTCAAGCAGGAACGAGCGCAGGAACTTGGCGACGGGGTCAGCGGTGCGGTGGCGGAGTTGCTCGAGGAAGCGGTGGAAGTCGAAGGGCAGGTCTGGCTCGGGCTCTGGAGCTGGCTGCGCGGGCTTGTACTGCGGTGCATGTGCGCTGGGCGACGTAGGCTCGACGAAGGATGTATTCGTCCCGACGCGATACAGCGACGACGCCCTCGGCGGAGGTGATTGGAGAGAGTGCACTGAGGCTGTGTCATCGGCCGGGGTTGGGAGTGGCTTGTCGACGGGTACGAGGCTCGATTGGCGAGGAGGGAAGGCGGGGGACTCGAGCAGCGGGCCTGCGAACTCTAGACGGGGCGACGTGATCTCCTCTGCGCCTGGGCCACCGCTGCTGTGCTCGAACTGCTCCATGATGCTCTGGATCTCCGACTGGTCGTCGTTGGCGACATCTGCACCACCGTCCAGCTTGGACGTGTAGTCTGCCGCAGCAGCATCTTCCGAGTTTCTCGCGCTCTTGTCGTGCCGTGCCAGCGGTGACGTCGAGCGACTGGGCCCATTGCTTGTGCACAGGTACTTCTCGTCTTTCGGCGGCGGGGGCGGCGGGGGCGGCGGGGGCGGCGGTGACGGCGAGCGGACAGCTGTCTTGCCGGCTGCCTTGCCGGCTGCCTTCTCTGTGGGCGTTGGTGCTCGAGCCGGGGTTGAGTGGAGGGCGATCTCTTGTGTCTTGGCCGTGAGCTGCTCGACCAGCTCCGCAGACGTTCGCTCGTCTGGCTTCGTCTCCGCCGGCGCAGTCTCTGCGCACTGTGCCGGGGCAGACGAGTCTTGCGCCTCTTGCGCCTCTTGCGCCTTCTCGACTGGCTTGGTGTCCGCAGTCGCTACGCCATCGTCTGCCAACCTCTCTCCTCGAGCCTCTGCAGCCTGCCCCGCCTTGGCGCCGTCGTCTTGCTTGGCCTTCTTCTCCTCTCCAGACTGCTCGACTTGCCCCGCTGCAGCTCCAGTGGACGCGTTCAGGCGGTCTTCCTGCCCCTCGTGTGCGTCTTCCAGCGGCTCTTCATGTGGCTGGTCCTGGCTTGCGGCGGGTTGCGGAGCTGCGTTCGGGGGAGACATAGGCCGCGTTCGGCGATGCGAGTGCGGAGAGACTGGGAGTCGCGGCTAGCAGGTCCCCATGAATCAAAGGGTAGCTCCGGTACGCTTCGGTGCGAACGGTACTCGGCCTGGGCTTTGCTGTGTGGTGTTGTGCTGCGCCCGCGCTGAGAGTTGTCCGCATGGCCAAGCAGCCAGCGGCGTCTGGCACCCGACTGCCGCGTCAAGGGTTCTGTCGTGCACGAGCGCCATCCGCCTGAGCCAGGCTGAACCTGCCTGCGCCTGCCTGCGCCTGCCTGAGCCTGCCTGCGCCACAACACCACAGAATCATCGCCAACTCGCTCAGCGTCCTCCATGTGCGGCATCTTCTTCTCCCTCAGTCCCCATGGCTACATAGCTCCAAATGAAAATACTGCAAAACTCCTGCGCAACCGAGGGCCTGACCATACGGGGCTGCATCAGTCAGTCCTTTCACACCGGGCAGATGGCAGCCAGCTGCATGCGACCTTCTTGTCGACTGTGCTGTCGTTGCGAGGCACTGCAATCGTTTCGCAGCCACTGATTGACGAGAGCACACAATCTGCGCTCTGCTGGAACGGGGAGGCTTGGTCCATCCATGGTGATGCTGTAGCAGGCAACGACTCCAAGGTTGTTTTCGACCTCCTGTTGAAGGCGTGCGCCACAAGGTCGTCGCGTGGTTGCAAGTCTGCAGTGATCGAACTGCTGTCTGGCATACAAGGCCCGTATGCAGTCGTGTTCTACGACGCCGTGAACAATCACATCTACTATGGCAGGGACTGTCTGGGTCGACGGTCTTTGCTGAGAAAGTCCACCCCAGACGGTTCTCTTGTGCTGTCCAGTGTAGGCGACATGGTCATAGGTGAGGCATGGGCTGAGGTAGAAGCCGATGGGATCTATGTTGCCGATCTCAATGATGTCGAAAACCCTCTCCCCGTTGCACACATTCCTCACGCTCGGTTGGGTGAAACAGCAAGCTCTGCACTTTCTCTTGTAGGTAGGTGCTGCACATCGAGATGCTTGCTAATGTCGCCAGACCCTGCCATTTCCACCCATGAACCGCGGAACCCCTCACGGCCTTGGCCCAGATCACCAAAAGACGCTTGAGTTGGGAGCGTCGTTGCGTCGGTCTTTAGCCCTCCGCATACAGCATGTTCGGGAAGCCTTCGGCCCACCGCCAACCAGCACACACGACGACGCAGCAAGGGTAGCAATCCTCTTTTCTGGTGGCCTCGACTGCACGATCCTCGCAAGGCTTTGCCACGATCTCCTCTCTCTCAACGAAAGCATTGATCTGCTCAACGTCGCCTTTGAGAACCCACGCATACATGGCAAGCTAGAGCCCGGCACCAGCCCCTACGAGCTCTGCCCGGACCGCATCACAGGGCGATCGTCACACGGAGAACTCCAGCAGGTATGTCCAGGGCGCCGCTGGAGGTTCGTCCAAGTCAACGTGCCCTACACAGCAACGGTAGCACATCGCGCAACAGTAATGGCGCTCATGTATCCTCACAACACCGAGATGGACCTCTCCATATCGTATGCGCTGTATTTCGCATCGCGCGGCGTCGGCGTCACTACTTCCTCTTCTTCTTCTTCCTCTTCTTCTTCTTCTTCCTCTTCTTCTTCTTCTTCTCCCGGTCGCGCGACAGAGCCATACACGACACCCGCATGCGTGCTCCTCTCCGGCCTCGGGGCTGACGAGCTATTCGGCGGCTACCAGCGCCACGCCACCGCCTTCGCCCGGCACAGCTACCCAGGCCTGATCGAGGAGCTCGAACTTGACTTCGACCGGCTCGGCAAGCGCAATCTCGGACGCGACGACCGCGTCATCAGCAACTCGGGCAAGGAAGTCCGGTTTCCGTATCTCGATGAGGAGTTTATTGCGATGGCGCTGAGGCTGCCGGTGGAGGAGAAGTGTGATTTTGGGTGTCCGCAGCAGAGGCCTGAGGGCAGTGAGGATGTGGTGCTTGAGCCGGCGAAGTATGTGCTCAGGAGCCTTGCGTATGAGCTGGGTATGAAGCGTGTTGCGCTGGAGAAAAAGAGGGCGATTCAATTCGGCGCGAGGACGGCGAAGATGGAGACGGGGAAGACGAAGGGGACACATATTTTGATATGAGTAAGTACCAATTCTCTTCTCTTGGTGTGGGGTGGCAGTGATTATAAAAGGCCAAATGGGAGAGACACCAGGGCTCCCTCGGACAGCGTCGCTTGAAAGTGGCATGTCTATGGCTCGAGGTGTCGGTGAGTTTGAAACTTGTAAAAGGCAAGTCTGAGTCTTGCATCTCTTCATCGTAGCACACAGCACTAAAAGGCTTTGTTACTGACGCATTTCTAGAAGACATTCCTTGGCTTACCCGGGAGGACGCTGCAACGGCACAAAGGCACCTGCCCTGAACGAGGCATGCCGACATGGGGAGTTGGGAAACCTCCCCTCAAGGCCCTGAGTCCCTCACAATTCATTTTGGGTCTTCCTCTGCTCCTCCAAATCGCTACATCTCCCATCATTGGAGACCTCTGCTTTGACGGTCAATGATGTTTCCCCTCTGGCTCCTTGCGCCTACACCTGTACCCATGGTTCGCGATACTGTAGCCTCATACTTCTTTCTTGGATCAAGAGAGCAGGAAGATGCGATGTCCACCGTCATATTCTCACCCCCCACGTCTACCTTGGCTGGAAACGCTCATCACAACAATCTCATCCTTGCTGCCGTCCCACTAGTACATGTCAATCAGACAGCAGAGGACAAAGTGGCATCCGGTACCTCCGTCACATATAGACCCAAGTACAAGGCCCATCGGACCAGAAATCGTATCCTGAATATCGCCGAAATGATGCCCTCGAGCAAACTCCCTCCTTCCCAATGCCCGCTGGCACGGCTCAGACAGTATCATATCTCATTTGCACCATCAGTGAGTCCTGCAAGACCGAGTGCTCTCTACCTCTGTCGATTGCATGTTCGCCCATCGTTGGGCTTGCAGCTGTAGTCAGCCGCCAGCTGTTGTCATCTTCCAGGTGTCGCCGGCGTGCAGTTGTCGGAGACTTGCAGCGGTCCGGAACGAAGCATAGCAGGAGCCATGTGCAAAGACACAGCGCCCACATGAACCACGTCGACTACCGCCGCGCACCTCCACCAAACCTGCACAGCTATCCCTTCAATCCTCTCCCACTTCCTCTCTGCGCTCCCTCTCCTCGCTGCGCTCCCTCTCCTCGCCCCGCACTACCAACCGCACAGTCTCCCTCCTCTCACCCTCAACTCCTGCCTATCCTCAGTTACCGCTTCCTTCACTCATACGATCCGCCGCGTCTAGTAGCTGCTGACAAGTCATCTCTTCCTTCAGCGGACTTCTCGAGCAGCGTTAGTGGTGCGGCGACATGGAGGATGCGGCGGCGGATGAGTAGAGTGCTGAGGCGTGGTCGGGATCTGGTTGTGGAGACATGATGGTATGATGGTTGGGAGCGCATGGGTTGCGGCGTGCTGGGGAGTTATGGAGTTGGAATGGTTGGTGTTGCGTGTTTGGTTTGCCGCACATTTGGCGAATAAAGCAGGTAGCTCTTAGACATTCTCTTAGACATTCTCTGTGATTCAGGCATGTTCTGGTCGCAAAACACCGGAGCCGCGATCGCGAACAAAGCGGGAAAGTGGAAGCTGATCTCACAGCATGTTTCCATTGCTCACCAAGATATGTAGTAAGAGGGCGAATAAACCAATCCAATGCTTATACCTCTTTCACAAAGCCAACCTCAATGACCTTATCGATCGGCACACTCAAGCTCTGCACCTTGGCTCTGGTGTTATCTCTTAGCACGATGAAAGCCTTGAGCAGCAGCGACCGCCCGATATTCGTGCCCTCTTTAACGCGCATCTGTTCTTTGCCCATGATGTACAGGACTTCGTCCTTGAACGCTCGGTCTAATGCATCCAGCCGCGCAGCGGTGCTGTTGGTGGTGATGGAAGTGGAAGATATCTGACGAGATCGTTTTTGTGCTCGTTCCACGGATAGTGAGGATTGATCTTCTCTTTCAGAGACATCGGTTTGTGTGGCAGAGGCGTCGCTGAAGGTGCTCGAGTTCTTCAAGATGCCGGAACTTCTTCGCCGCTTAGCAGCTGATGCTGTGGCGCTTTCGCGCTTTTTGTCTGCTGCTCGAGTGACGATATGGTTCCAAACTTTCTCATATATCAAAGCGGTAAGGTCTGGGGTAATAACTTCGTCTTTGTATCCGTGGTTTACTACCAGACGATAGCAATTTGGTATTGCAAGACGAGAGACGTGGTATCGCTCTTCCAAAGGGACTGTGGGTTTCTCCTGTGGCCGCAGATGGAAAAATACCATGACTTCCGGTGCAGTGACAAGCTTACGAATGAACTGACTGAAGACAATGGGCGTAGTATCGCCATCTTTATCGAAGAAGATGCCGAGTCCACCCATGGAGCTGAGCTGTCTGCCTCCGAAGAGCTCAGTAAGTTCCAGCTTTCCATTGTCGTTTGTCTTGACGAAGTGTGTGGTGGGGAAACGATCCTCGGCTTCGGACTTCCATTGTTGCTCTTTTCCAAAGCGCCAGAGGATAAAGATACATGCCAAGAGACACGAAAGCAGGATTGTAAACCAGCCACCATCTGGAACCTTGACAAGGGCTGAGCTGAGATATGTGCCGTCGATGCTAGCAATGGCTACCAGCGGAAGAAATATGTAGTAGGGTTTGATGCGCCATACTAAGATGGCGATCAGAGTAACCAAAATGGTATCGAAGAAGGTCACAAACATGACACAGACACCGTAGGCGTCTCCAAGTGATGCTGTGTTATTATAGATCGCTGCGACGAGCACCGTGCCTATCATCAGCAGCCAGTTCACAACAGGAACGTAGAAGTTGCCATAATAGGTCTTGGAGGTGTGCTTGACCTGGATCTGAGGGAAGTAAGATAACTTCATGAGTTGAGCAAGAAGCTAGAGAAGTTTAGCAAATGAAACGCGTTCGAGTAGTATGAACTTACATGGAAAGTGGCTGTTATGATACATTGTGAAGCTACCATAGCTGCGCAGACGGCAATGATGAATGAAGGTATTAGCCAGCCGGGCGGTGCGCAGTTGTAGAACGGATCCGCAAACGCTTCAGGACGCTCGGCGATGAACGCCGCTTGGCCGATGTATGTCAGGAGCAGGCTTGGGTACACGAATCCAATCCAGCTGACTTGGATAGCTTGACGACTGAACGCGCCAATACCGGCGAACAGCACCTCAACACCAGTAAAGCATAAAAGAATGCCTCCAAGGCTGCGCCATCCGGCGTACTTGTTGCGTACGAGATATTTGAAGGCATGATAAGGGTTGAAAGCCTGCAGCATGCCGTGATCATGTCTGAGATTGTTAGTAGGGATTAGACCGACACTATCATGTCTAGACGTACCTGGCTAGATTGTACATCCCAAAAGCGGAGTTCAGCGCCAGCCAAACGATAACGATTGGGGAGAACGCCTTCGAAAAGCGATTGATGCCGAACGGTTGAGCTAGGAACAGCAGGACCAAGATGGTACAGGTCACACCAATGATCGTGGACTTGGATATATCACTGTTGATCTCGTTCAAACCTTGCACCGCACCAAGCACTGATTGTGCTGGAGTCAACACTCCATCAGCAATGACCATAGACACAGCGAAGACTCCTATGGCTTGCAGAAGGTAGCGGAAAAATGTGGTTTTCTCGATCGTCGAGCGAACATGCTTTTGTGATCGACTATACACCAGAACTCATTAGCGACCATCCGTTTATGTGATAGTGACAGCGCACCTGAATAACACTCTTGATTTGCGTGACCTTGTCGCATCACGAGGATCGCTGTTCGAGATGTTTGCCTGCTCAAGTAAGCATTTGATCAAGACAGTCCGTGTTGTAGTTACATTCCACTTACGTATCGAGACAGCAACGAGTATGTGCTAAAAGTACCACCCTCGCCGTCATTGTCGGCTCGCAGTATGATAAGAACATACTTGAGAGTGACTATGAGTGTAAGGGACCATATAATTAAAGAGAGTGCCCCACAGATATCAGCACGATCAGGCGGTGAATAGAACGTCGAAGAAAAGACATAAAGAGGTGAGGTCCCGATATCTCCGTAGATGACGCCTACAGACTCATAAGCCAGCATAAGCAATTCGCTCACGCTGAAGGCCTATAGAGAGTCAGCAACAGACTGTTAGTATATCGATCAAGGGAACACACCTGTCGGCCCTTGTAACCACCCTCGTCTCGGAGCCCTGCATCCTCATCTTCTGCAGTCTCGAGCTCGAGAGACTTCTCGATGTCAATCGATGTTCTTCGTATACCACGTGACCTGGAGCGCTTTCGTAACGCTGCGCCTTCTCCAGCATCGATAGATGGCTTCGACTTTGAGGGCCGAGATGACGTGTCTGAGGTTTCATTCGCAGCGGTCATCGCCACAGGCTGTGATATAGCTTGCGCCCTGGGGCAGGGGCTGCGAACAGCGTTGAGTCTGACGCCGTGTAGATGGTGAGCGGCCCGTGGTCAATAAACGAAGTTCCACGCAGTCACACGGGCAGGGAGCAGAGATCACCTTGTGGTTGGTCCTTCGAGAGCCGGGTTATCGGTCGACCCATCTTTCCACGTGCTGTGTAGAAGGGTTGGACGTCTCTTCACAGGAGGGGGTGGCTTAGAGGGGCGACAGCTCCATCCGGTATGGTCTCGGGTGTTTAGCGCCTTGAATGGACGCCATCGCCATCTTTCTGCAGTGGTGTGCGGCGAAAGCACGGATACCCGGGAGTTAACGCAATTGTTTAACTGGTGTGCTTATCATCGGTTGCTGGACGATGCATAATGAGGTTCAAGGCTGTCAATGAATGGTGCACAACGTGGTGAACGGGTGCCGATGATAGGCGCGTCAATGCAGCGGGTGGTCACAGCTCTGCATACAGGTATTGCGACATCTTCAGTTCACAAAGACCACAGGCTGTTGTTCAGAATCTAGAGGTATGCGGCGGTGAGCGCGGAGTGCGGGTGGATCGTGAAGTTGAATGCAGGGTTAACGTTTGGTGCGGGAGGTGTGGGGTTTTGCAGCGCTAGTGCGCCGGTCAAGGAAACACCACCGAGTCTTAGAAAGTCCGACATGAATCGAGGGCCAAGCTATCACACAGTGCCATCTTCAGTTGCGGACGCTCAGCTATGCTGTTCCTTACTCAATGGTCCTTCGGCATCAAAGTCATGCTTCATAGTAAAGCTTGAAAAGCGATTGCGATGTCTACATACCTCAGAAATACCGAACTTCGTAAGTATTCCGCAGGTCTTCAGGTCGCTCGCAAGGAGGCAGACGCGATGTATGCAGTCACGTTCAATCGAACCGCAGACTAAAAACCCACATTTCGGACAAGACCATGTGATGTGAGGATTGCGTTTTCAGTATTGCGGTGCAGGATCCATATTGAAAAGGCAGCCAGGAGGTCGTCAGACTACTGGCACAACGGCGGTAGATAGACTTTCTGGGGATATTCGATGAAGGTGATATTTCAAGTATTAGATTCATTGCAATATCATAGTACGTGAATGGGGTATTTGTCCAGAATATTCAGACCAACGCCACGCTGAAAACAATTTACTCATTAGCCCTGATGCCACCATAATTCCATATCGAACCCTTGCCGAGAGGCAGTGTACACTATGCTGCTCAGATTCGATGCTTAGACACCAGCCATGTCTGGTGGGGGAGCAGTGTTGCCGCGAGACGAGTTGCGGATGTGGAGAGCGGAGAGCACAGTAGTAGCGAGGAAGGTCAACCTACGATACGTTAGCAAATTGTCTACTGGAGCATTGGATACACAATACTAACCAGAGGAACGCTCCAAACACAATAGCAGCAATACCGCAGTTGTGGAAGGTGCCGTGACCGGCCCAGCCCCAGTAGATATCACGCCAGAGCACAGCCACAGCAATGAATGCTGCGAACCAGAAGAGCATGGTCAAGAATTCAACACCCGCGATGGCGAACTTGTGGGCAGCGCGAGGGAAGCGTGTTGGTGCGAGCGTCAGGTATGCGACTGCGAGGAGAGTCCATACTGAGGTGAAGAGCATGAAGTTGAGGCTGTGAGGAGACCAGCTAGCCCAGGGGTTTGTGTATTGGTCGACAACTAACAGCACTTTAGTATTTGATAGAATACACAGAAGTTTCAATACGTACGGTAAGCTGTGAGACCTAGTACGATAATAGAGAAGAGGACCTGGACACCGCGAATGCCCAAGACGATAGCTGGAGCGACCATTTTGATGTTGTTGTTACTGGATCCGCTTGGGGAAGGTTCTTGGTGATATTTATGGAGGATTTGCTGCTTTTTGACAGGTGTTTGCTGTCAAAAGAGGCTGGGATGAATGTGAAGCTTGCCGCCCATCACGCGCCCTTATTATACGTGTGATGCTCGAGAGCAATGATGAAAGCCACGACAATGACGTCGGCAGAGTGATCTGCAAGAAAACAAGAAGTGGCAGGGAGGTCATGTGCCACTTTGATTGGCCAGACACAGCACGCTATGCTGAAAACACGCCGTTAGTGCGACACGTCAAAGATCTGCCTTGTCACAACTCTTTGCTTCGTGTGCTTTGACGGTGAACGTCACGGTCTGAATCTCTTGCCTTGTGCTTGTCCTTTTCAACGGAAACCGGAGAGTTCTCCTGCCCGACTGCCTCGACGCTCGTTCCCTTGTGTCGTGAATTTTGGCAATACGGTGTTGTGGCGGTGCGCTGACACGTTTTCTCACTGCCTAAATCCCGACGCGGCTCCAAAGAAATGTCGGCAAGAACGGCAGACAGCGCCAGCCTCCTTGCTTCATTCCTCGATGATATCAACATTAGCACCCGCCTCGTCTTGCCTTCAACTCTGTCAGAAATTCGGCAAACTTACGCTTTGTGCGACCGACACTCGTTCTGCAGTTCTGAAATAGCCAGCTTCAACATACTCGCAGATAGTGCCTTCAAAAAGTCCACTGAAAGCCTTCAGCACGTGTCTGGCCTCCTTCCTGACTTTCCATAACCCACGGTAGTCCTTTTCCAATTGATTGGTTGACAGAGCCTGCCAACTAACGTTGGGTACCTCCCATCATTACGAGGATCATCGGCTTGCGTCCGGCTTTGTTCTACTACTCAAGAGCAGTGGCTTGGCCTCCCTCCTACTGCCTGTCTAGCAGTCTCTTACCTCATGTCCTTGTGTCTTCAAGGTATCCGCAGGACCGTCGCAGGCAAAATGTTTCAAGATCGAAGGTGAGATGTCGTGGGGTCGATCGTGTTTGTATAACGTAAGATTGCGCGATCTCTCCATAATCGGCATGTCCTTTTTGTCGACAAGGTAAGCCGAATGCATTAGCAATCATCCACCTACTGGACTATATGTCTTTCGGTGTTTCCTCTTCTTTCTAGTCGAGTCTGTTTCTTATTTTTCGTCGCTGCTCTTCACTCCTGTCGTTTTTGGGATTCTCCATTTGTTCCCTTCGGGGTCGGTACCTGCAATCTGTTGCTTCGAGCGATGGCCTTGAGTATCTAGTGAGTATAGCAATTCTCTCAGTCAGCCTGCATAATTTGAATTGCCCCTAGAGAGGGGCACCCTCGATGGCATCCCTTGTATCTCGACACACGGTTCACATCGCAATTAATACCTCCTACCTGCGCCGTATACCGGACATGACTGAGACAGCACGTGCATAGATCTTATTGTGGTGGCTTATGGGCCTCACCCAACACCAGCAGGCTTCCAGAAGTTTAATAGGTAAGATTGGCTTGGTGCATGTTGTATGCTACCAGTAACCACGCAACTGCCGTGTTTGCATGGTGCAACGGGAGCGAACGATTGTGGCCCATGGTCACCAGATGTCAGCGGGTTTGGCGAGGTCATCATCTTTAGCCAAGCCGGCTTAACCCCAACGCTACTGCCCCCGCATTCACGTTTCCACACTTTCCAACACCCGCGGAGTCTAACGGCCCGTTCATCCTGTCCACTTCATCAGTTCCAGGACGAATTCGATTGGCAAGAGTCAGCACTCAAAGGTGCCCTCAACTGCCATGGCTGTAAGCGCTATCCTTGTGAAGTATAATCGCTGTACGATGAGGAAGCGAGTATGCCATCTTGAACAGGCCTCTGCAACCCGAGAGGAACAGGAATATTTATTACAGATGACGACTTAAAGCTTCCATGTACCGGATTTTCGTTACCGGAATCCGGAGTCTTTCCATGGATCATCGTCTGTAGACGCACCAGAGCCGCAACACCATGCCACATCGCCACGTGCGGCTATCGCATCTGCCCAAGATCACCATCCCCATGCTCGGCAGACGAAGAGTGCTGTCCGCAAATAGCCTTGGTGTGCTTACCTGCATTTGAATCCGTCTTGGGCTGCCAACCTCACTTTTCGGGTCACAACCACAAACTGCAATATGCGACATCGCATGGTCTATATGAACCAAGGCGGGATAGATTAGGCTCAAGTAATACCTATTTCAGGCTTCTCGGGCACTTTTCGACGATCGTCGGTATGTGATTAGCGCGGCGATTGGAGGATTCGAGGACCAATTTACCCGGTACCGATGATCAACCTGAAATGCCCAGACGCTTAACCCATGCGAGGTGTTCTTTCGGTATTGCGGGCACATTCTCCGTCTCTGCCCACACAGACGTCGAGTAACCTGGGGAAGAGCCGAATATGGGGATTGGTACCCTTGGCGGGGTTTGGTTCTATAAGGTCAGGTCCATGTCGTTGTTGCAGATGTCCGCCAGCGCTGCCCAGCCCTTGCTCTCTCGACAACATGGCTATCATCAAGGCTCGAGATGGTACCTCCGATCCGATCATCACGCGCATGGTCGCGGAAGATAAGGTACATTGACTACGTCTAGTTGTCGCTGCTTGTGCTAATGAAGGCCAAGGTGCCATGGTACAAGAAACCTAACCTCCGCCTGATGTACATCTGGCTCTTCCTGTGTTGCATGGGTGTAGAGATGACATCCGGTTTCGACTCGCAGTTGATCGGCACACTGCAATTCTCACAGCCGTTCAACAAATGTAGAGTGCCCCAACATTGAGGCTTAGCGCGTGTGGCTGACTCCTGCAGACTTCGGTGATGGCTACCAGACCCTCAACAGCAAGAAGAAATTGCAGTGGGACATCCGACCAGGCATTCTTGGCTTCATCTCGTCGTGCTACCAGCTTGGATCCATTCTCGCAGTGCCTATTGCCCCATGGATCAATCAAAAATACGGAAGACGTTGGTCCATCATGGTGGGCTCTTCCATTATGGTTTGTGGAGCGTTACTGCAAGGTTTCGCTCAGCATGGTAAGCATATAGCATCACTCCTCAACGTATACTGGCACACGTACTGACTGCGGATACAGTTGGCATGTACGTCATCGCTCGTATGCTTCTCGGCGTTGGCATCCTCTTCGCCATCATCTCAGGATCCGCTCTCATCGGAGAACTCGGTTATCCTAAGGAGCGCGCAACCCTTACCTCGCTCTTCAACGCATCGTATTTCATCGGAGCGATCCTAGCTGCAGCCATCGCAACTCGAACCACCGGCATCAAGGGAGACTGGAGCTGGCGCCTTCCGTCTCTGCTGCAAATCGTACCCTCGCTACTCCAAATCTGCACCGTCTTCCTCCTCCCTGAGAGCCCCCGTTGGCTGATCAGCAAAGACCGCGACGATGAAGCCTTTGCCATCCTCACCAAATATCACGCCGAAGGCGATACCGACTCGCTCCTCGTGAAAGCAGAAATGGCACAAATCCGCTCGACCATCAAGATTGAGATGGAGCACTCCAATCAGTCATGGCTCGACCTCTTCAAAACCGCCGGTATGCGCCGCCGCGCCCTCATCGCCGGTTTCCTCGGCCTCTTCACGCAGATGAGCGGTAACACACTCCTCTCATACTACCAAAACCTGCTTTTCGAGCTCATCGGCTACACAACGGACTACGCAAAGACACGCATCAACATCGCCAACCAGTGCTGGAGTCTTTTGAACGCCGTGATCATCGCGGTGATCGTGACACGCTTCCGGCGCCGCTGGATGTTTATGCTGTCCGCAGGATCCATGATGCTAGTCTTCATGAGCATGACCATCTGTTTCCAGCGCCTCGGGCACGCAAAGGACCATGGATATTCCAACAAGTCGGCGCAATACGCTGCGCTGTTCTTCTACTTCGCGTACTCGCCGTGCTACAACATCGGCAACAACTCGCTCACGTACACGTACCTTGTTGAGCTGTTCCCGTACGCGCAGCGCTCTATGGGTATTGGGTTTGAGCAGATTTTCGGCAAGTTGGGTGGCTTCTTCAGCATCAATGTTAATCCGATTGCGATGAAGGCGCTGAGTTGGAAGTACTTCGCTATTTACTGCGGATGGATTACTTTTGAGTTCTTGTTCGTGTACTTTATGTACCCGGAGACGTACAATCGTACGTTGGAGGAGCTCACGTTCTGTAAGTCATGGCGAGAAGATTTGCCAGATGGATATTTGCTAATGAGACGACAGTGTTCGAAGACAAGGCGCTTGCGGATGAAGCGGTCAAGGCTGTGGAGAAGCAGGTCAATACTGCGCATATCGATGGTGAGGAGCATGGTGATAAGACGCATGTCACGGCTGTCGAGCGTGCTCTCTAAGTACATAGAGTTACACCTTGCGTATCATCGTGCTAAGCATGCTACGCTAGTGGCATCGTTGTTGACAAAATTGCAGAGGTAGATCCACGCTACCAAGTATATCGGAGGCTACCTCGCAGACTTGTACCGTCAGGTGGTGTACTTACTGTCCCCCAGACCCTTTCCAGCCGCTTGAATCGCCCTTATTGGAGCACTGGAGGCGCCAACACTGCTGCTGCAATTTGTCAGGGGTTTTACCGTAGGTGTTGTAAGCATCAAGTGAGCTTGAGGTGCTGTGGCAGTACTAAGTTTAGCTGCCGCTGCCAATCTCCAAGGTGTCGCAGGCTGTGCGGAAGACCCAACCGCTGGGGCAGGGAGGCAACCAACAGATGCACCTCCCGTTGCAGGTGTCGTATCAAAGTTGTCGTGGCAGCTCTTCGCAAGCTTCCCTGGAGTGTGTCGATGGAGCCGGCATCGTAGCCGCAGCAGCAGTCATGCCCGGCATAATGGATGCCGTTCCCACATTCGTCGCTGGCAGAACGGTAGTAGCCGCAGCCAGCGTCCCGGATGTTGCGTTTGAACTACCAACATCGCTGTGCTGGGTTGCCGTCGAGCCAGAGCCGGGAGTTGAAATCGCCGGTTCTGACGTGGATGCCGCATCAGAGCCGACGTTGCTGTTGTGACAGCTCTTCAACAAGTCCGCAGGAGCTGTGGCAGCTGATGAAGTATTTGTTGCAGCCACCGCAGCGGTTGTGGAAAGTGTTGCAGGATTCGTTGGTCCAGCTGCCGTCGATGAAATAGTAGTAGGTGTTGCGGTATCGGTTGGTCCGTACAGTGTCTGACTATACCCCTGACCACTACCCTGGACTAGTGTGTTACAGGTCAGGTATGTAGTCGTCTCTCCTAGCTAGATAGCAATCCAGCGCAGTACTCCATCGACCCAATAGTCCTACGTTATCGTTTACCGTAACTATCAGTATTCTACAGCAGTCCACACCGCTACAGTACACATTAAGACATTTGCACTGTTCGTAAAATCATACCTTGCTGCACTTTCTCGTCCTGGAAGCTTTGCTACCTCGCCTGTAGTGACTCCATCGTCTTCTCGGTCTCGCGTGCTACTTCCTCAATGCCGCCGACTTGGCTGTAACGTCTTTGATCTGCTAGCGCAAAACGGTGTTTTCCTATTCTTTGCTCCAAGGTCCTTTTAGTACCCTTCAGCATTTCTGTAAGTACTGTCGAAATGTTCTTGAGGTACATATATTGCTTATTGCTCGAATAGAGCTGTTGGTGCAACTCAATGTTCTCTTCATTCGCAGCTTTGAGGTGTTTTTCAGTGTTGTCTACGGCGGTGTTAAGCTGCGCCTTCAGCTGCATATATTGCTTTTTGCTCGAGAGGTGCTGTTGTTGGGATTGTTGGAGTTGAGTGTCAAGCCGCTCGAATTGCATGTATTGCTTGACCTTCGAGCGGACGTCTGCAGTACCTTGCCCCAAAAGACAATGAGGAGAGGAACGATTTCGGCAAGATTGCTGTTCTCGGCTGTGAGGTTCATGATAGTGATGTGATCTTGGGGCGGTTTTGTGCATGTGAGGTGCAACGCGACTCTTTGCCCACTTCAGCTTGCGCCTGAGAAACTTCGTGCTTCTTATGCTTAGAAGTTTTCTCCATTCACCACCTCGGTACGTTACGTGTGCATTGTGTGCCAAAGTCGCTCTCACCAGGTCAAGTAGACCCAGTAAATGAACGAGCAAGAACCGACTGGTAACTTCATACGAGTCGGCTACCATATTGTGAGCACCCCGGTCAATGCGATCGAAAGTCTCGTCTATATGATCGATCATTGGAAGAATGATGCAGCAGACGATGAAGACCCCAAGTGGCACTGCACTGAGCAGCCGCAGATTCATCCCAAGCAGACTCAGAAGGTCAAAGAATATGCCGTGAAGGATGCCGGAAATAATGTCGAATGACACAAGGGAGAGTAGGGTGAGGAAGGACCCAGACCTTGGGAGCAGGAATAAGAGAATGAGGAGCGGCGTCAGCCACACAGCCCTCCGGACTGACTGCAGCAACTCCATGTTGACGGGAGCTTTAGGATGAGGTGGCGAATTTTAGCCTCCAAAAGTCTTGTGGTCGGTAAGCGCGCGCCATTGTGTGTTGTGTTGGCGTATACAAGCGGCGGGAGAGTGCTGTGGTTGAGGGCGGAGAGTGGTGTTGAGAACGTCAAAATTCCTGAAGGCAGTTCGCGGTACGCAATGCAAAGTGAGAGGCAAGTCGCGTTGGGGGTCAAGTCATAGTGGTGCTGGCGAAAGTGAAAGTGAAGGGACGAAAGGAGCGACATGACAAACGGTGCCAGCAAGCTCCGCCACAAGACACCGGCGACCCAACGCCGAATGTACAAAACTGTATAGCTTGGCTTGAATGTATGGAGTCTCCAAGCCAATTTCATAGATCAGACAGCATTGAGTTGTACGGTGAGGCTATTCTGGCTGATTGAGATACCTGTCTTCACAGATTCGACGATGTACGTCGGCAGCAAAATGTCTTAGAAGTGAGCATATACTTCTCAATAGTAAACTATGGAGACTATGATGCCGTGAATGGGAAACGAGTGTGGCTCAAGGTTGCCTATCTAGTTCTTCACATGCACTGTGTCCGCTAGTCGTGTGCGCTGTCCCTCCTCAAGCACCTGCCCTTGAATAAGGTCTCCAGACCAGGAACATTCAGCCGTTCAATATCCCACTCGCACGCCTGACTCTCCAAATGCAGCACCAAAGAGCTGAGATGGCCGAATGTTTTCTTACAATTCTCGTTGCGGCAGATGAAAGGCATGAGAATGCCGCTGTGCATCCACTCGTGCACTTCACTGACGTTTATGCGCCCAGTGCGAATCTGCGCATGGATGTCCAGATCCATGAAAAGTGGCGAATACCACCATTCACCTAGTTCCTGGAGCAGAAGTGAAGGATCGTGAAACTTGGGGCATGCACCTGACTCGAGATGGTTGATGAGGCTCGAGAACGTGCGCATAGGCAGGCTGCAGCCCCAGCACGGAATCGCAGCGACTGCATGCTTCGTCATGTGCTGTTCCCCTCGTTAGCATGTATATTAGGATGCAACAACAATATCAGCGACACTCACAATGCGGAAATTGCCCTCATGTGGGGTATAAAAACCACATTGATCACAAGCAAAGCATTGCTGCAAGTGACGAGCAAGCCCACCTTGACCTGCGCACGGCTCTTCGCATTGAGGGCATGCGACTGGCAGGTTGCAGTCTTCCTGGTGCTGGAACAGCTTGGTCTGACTTGGAAAGATACGCCTGCAGCCGTCACACCTGAAGTGATCATGTTCGTAGTGTGCTTCTAGAGCAGCAACATCTGGTCCATCGAAGTCGCATCCAACCTGTAGGCAGTGCTTGTGAGCTGCGATGTGGGATTAGCATTTCGAAGGTCTGCATGCTTGACCCCGTAACCACTCACCTATAGTCGTCCTCCAATGCTTGTCGCGCTCATTCTGAGAGCTGAAGGGTCGATGGCAGGTCATGCACCAGGTGTGCTTCTTTGCTGTCTTCAAGTGTCTGTCCAGATCCGCCTGACTGTGAAAGCCAAGCAGACATGTCAGACATACGAATCGATGATCGACCTGGTAGTTGTTTTCAAAATGATTCTTCAGACCCCACTCGTCTTTGAAGGCGCTGAGGCATAGGTTGCAGAAGGTCTCATGACCCCTAGTGTTATCGACATGATTCTTGAGACCATTGCGGTCCTTGAACACGCGAACGCAAAGGTTGCAGTAGTGCTTGTGATCTAGCGTCTGCTTCACGTGGCTCTGAAGTGCAGTCTTGTTAGGAAATTTGATGTTGCAGGCGCCGCACCAATTCTCGTGTGGATCGTAGGGCTTGTCACTCGTCGTCGTGACATTCGAGATGGCGCGCGTGCGTGCTTGTGTGCTTGAAGTCCGGCAATGGAGTGGCCTTTGAGCATCTTTGATGACAAGGGTCCGAGGTGGTGCGGCGGCTGCTGGCACTGGAGGGGCACCACGCTTCTTGACGTTTTGCCATGGCAGAGGATTGTCTGCGACCTGGTTGAGGAATGGGTTTTTAAACGGATCTTCGACTGGAGGAGGCGCTGGACGATTCTCATTCCCTTCGCAAAAGACAGCGTATCGATTGACCTCTTTGGGCGCCATACCTGCAGCTGTAGCTCGGTGCGCCAGCGCTGGGTGGAATATGGAGAGAACGAAGACGAGAAAGCGAGCGGGCGGCGTCAATGGCGAGGCTGGATGGTTAGCTTCTTGTTCATTTACCTTCCCAGGTCTTTGGTGTGGTTGACCAATGAGAGGCTTGCTCCAGGCAGCAAAGCTTGGTGACACCAAACGGGCGCAGACATCTACGGTACTACCAAAGTGACGGTGAAGGCAAATATGGCGTGACGCGTCGATTCCGCGCGGTGAAGCATGTGATAAGTCGCATTTCAAGCGCGTGCGCACGTGCTCCGTCGTGACATGGGCCCGAGGAAGGTGCGGTGGTGAAGCCGCCGCAGGGTCAACAAACAGAGACTCAGTCCAGTCTAGCGCAACTTGCTCAACCTTGGAATGGAACTCGAAGGCGCCCTAATTGTCGTGAATGTTAGCGCATCTCGTTCTCAAACATATGGGTAGCGATGCGGGCAAAGACGGTCTTGGCCGTGAAGTGTGACTTTTATCTATTCCTTTCTACTTAGCTATTGGAACCTAGATTCCTAATGCCTTCGCGAGGGCCTCCCCAACAGCTGTCGCACTCGCTGGGTTTTGTCCAGTGATCAGGCGTCCAGAGATAGCGACCTTCTCGCCCCACGGCTCGGCGGCTTTGACGAATTTGCCGCCCGAGGCCTTCTGCAGCGCATCCTCAGGAAGGAAAGGCACGGCGTCTGTCAAGCCAGCCTGTTCCTCCTCGACATTTGTGAAAGCTGTGACCTCCTTGCCAGCAACCAAGAGGCTGCCGTCTGAGAGCTTGGCGTCATAAAACACTGCAGGTGCGTGGCAGACTGCTGAGACAATCTTATCCGCCTCCCAGAACTCGCGGATGAGCTGCTGAGATGTGGGGTTGTCGACAAGGTCGAACATGGGGCCATGACCACCGACGTAAAAGATTGCATCGAAGTCCTTGGCCCTTCCAACGAACTGGTCCAGCTTCTGTGTGTTCTTCCAGACCGATTCGTTGTTCTTCAAGAAGTTGACAGAGACATCATCCTTGGCAGCCTCAACTGATGATGGGTCGAGAGGCGACTCACCACCTTTTGGCGATGCGACTGTGATTTCGGCCTTGTTGTGAAGAATATGGTAGGGGTGGGCCAGCTCTGGCAAGTACCATCCGGTGGGCTTGTCGACGTTGCCCAGCTTGTTGTGGGAGGTAAGGACGAAGAGGATCTTGGGTGCCATAGTTGTTGATGTTTGATATAATGGAGTGTTGGGTATACGTGAGCTTTGGGGAGAGGAGAGGAAACCAGTTGACAGATTTATTATGCCTTCTGAGAGTACCCGAAAGAATGATGTTCAGAAAATGACATCACGACGGGGCGGAGCGGGGATGCAGCCCTAAACGGCTTCGTGGTGTGCGCGGGTAACTGCAACCGAGGCATCGCAGGACAAACTTCAGCCGTTGCGGCGTTACAAAGGTGTTATCTCGGTGCAATGCCTTGGATGATCACAATGACGACTGAGCAGGTCACCGCGAAGGTCGTGATCGCATGTGTGAGAGGCAAAGCACGATCGGACAACGATACGAAACAGAGTTTTCCTTCTATGTATCCAGTTTTATCATCCAATGCAAGCATAGTATCAACGTCCGAAGACCCTTGACTTTGTATGCAGTAATACTCGAGTCCCACATGTCTAGTGTGCGAAACGGAAGTCGAGCCTCTTGTTACCCTTGTCTTTTGTGGTCTTGATGTAGTGGTCCTTCTGTTCCACTGTCATGTCGTTCCAGACACGGTCCCTCGACTTATTCCTCCACATGAAGTATCCCTTGATGAAGATAGTCATTATGACGTTCCATGCGACGATGCCTAAGAGGACTTTGTTTCCGCGACGGTACAATGGCTTGTCGTCGTCACGGTATATTTGCGACGCAATGACGGAACTGGCCTGGCAAATCATGTTGTACATGGCACTGCCAATCGTACGAGTGCGCACGGAGCCAGCGTTACGCGAGACGAGACTGACTACGATGAGTGTTAGACTAGACACTTATACGAAACAACAGAAAGTACTTACCCATGATGGAGTGGATATACGGGAAGCCGATGAGCAGAACGGTGACCGTGTACCATGACCAGGGGCTGGCATTGCCTGGCAACAGCTCCAACGCCAGCAAGAGCGGCAAGCACCAGAAAGAGTAGAATAGCACAACGGCCATCCGGTTGTTGATCCACTCAGAGACCCTCGTCCAGAACAGCAGCTGGATCAAGAAAAGCACGTATGCCGGAATGGTCAGAAGGTTGGTTTGGAAGGTGTCGAAGCCATGATTGCGCAGACTGAGGGTCAGGTAAGCATTCACAGGATTCGTAGGAATCAACATCGTGAAACTGATGAGGTACATCGGCCAAAGGTCGTAGTCCATCAGCGAGTCCCAGAGCAACTTGAGCGTTAGGCCTTGGCGATTGTGCATGCCGCCCTGAGCACGAGGTTAGCTTGGATCACACCAAAGAAACAGCTAGCATACCTTCGCAGGGTCGTCTCTCAGCACGCGGTTAACCATGATGACCTCTTCGCGCTCGGTGAACCATCCATCCTTCCCTCTAAACCAACTCGCGGTCTGTGTGGGACTAGGAGGCAGGTAGAACCAAGACAAGACACCAATAAGCAACGTCAAAGCTCCTTCCAACGCGAAAAGCCACCTCCAGCCTTCCCAGCCTCCTGTGTCGCGCATGTGGAGGATGCCGAAAGCCAGGAACGCGGCAACGATGAAAGTACCGTTGGACGCACAATAGAAGTAACTCATCCGTACCGGCATCTCAGTGTTCTTGTAGAAGTAGCTGAGGTACAGTATCGCATCTGGGATGAAGCCACCCTCAATAAGACCCAACAGGGCGCGTGTGGCGTAGAAGCTCTTTTCGCCGGTGATGAGGGCCTGGCAAATACCGACGACACTCCACGTCACCATCTGGATAGGAATCCAGACATCAGGACCAAGCTTCTTCGATATCATCTGCGATGGGACTTCTGCGGACAGGAAGCAAAGGTAGAAGATCATCATGCCGTAGTTGTACTGGTTTGTCGACAAACCAAGGTCCTTCAGCATGTTGTCTGAGAGCGCTTGCGAGATGTTGCCTCTGTCGAGTTGCAATGCTTGTAGGAAGTCAGCGAACATGTACTGACGATATCGATGTCCACTTACCGAAGAACATCAGACACACCCAGGAGCAGATGCGGTAGTCTAGCTTTCGCACAAGTTTCTTCTCTTCTTCCTCCGTCCACTGAGCTTTGGGATCATAGCGGTGTCGACCTTCATATTCCTCAATTGGCTCGTAAGCCTCAATAGAGCCACCGCCGATGAAAGCATCTCTATCGTTGTACTCGGGCTTCCTCACTTCTTTCGAGACATCATCTGAGCTGGGATACTCGGACGAAATCTGCTTCGAGTCCGAATCGATAGTGAAGGTCGTCTGCTCAATGTCCGAGTCGCGGCCGCTTCTGACGTCACAAACCATTTTGCATCAATATCAAAGAGCTGGATTGGCAAGGACGATGCCTCGTCAGGAGCCTTATATGCAGTCTCGGCATATTGGCACGCGCTCAGGCACGCAACGAAGGCGAAAAATGTCGAATATTGCAATACGCCCACTGCTCTGTCGTGCTTATCAAGACCACATAAAACTGCTCGAAAATGCCCAGGATTCTACGGGGCTACGTAGTTCATGCAACGTACCCTGGTGTGGCTGCTATGGGCTTGCATCGAGGCGCGAATGAACGGCCACGGTATGTCAGCCAAGCACATATCAGCGGATCCGAGGACTTCGGTAAACAAGTTCGGGAAATATAGGACAGGCTGATTGTACATCTAAAGTAAATAGCACTCCTCAAAGTGTCGCGATGGTCGAAATAGTATGGCTAGCACGCCATCGTTAGTGGTTATGTTGCTATAGCCAATTGCCCCACAGCGCTTGTTGACATCTCCGAGACATGCGAAAAACTTTGAACCCGAGTTACTTGACATTACCCGGAGTGCTTGTGTTGCTAGTCGCAACGGTCTTCGCTTTGCACGATTGTGAGGGCGGGACGAAGCATCCAAGATCGAACGAGACCGCCACGAGCTGAAGTGAAGAGCAAAATTGACTGGGGCAACGGAATAGGATACAAGAGACGAAACGACATGTCATGTAAACACCCCAAAGACTGACGAAGGCATTAATGTACAATATCTATCCTGTTTGTGTAAGCTTTGTGGAAGATACCTGTGTTTACAATCCTTACTATATACACGAGCAACATCTACCCAGACGTACCATTGATGAGACGATTTGAATAGAAGCTATTTGCAATTGTCCTTAGGTTTTCTGTACATTGTCTTCATAATAGTAGAGGCGCTTCGAACAAGATGAGTGTCTGCGCGCCATTTTAGGAGGAGCGTTGGCTAAGTTCGGATTAGCTCAACTTGAAAAGCTTTACATGACATAGGGCGCATCATCAACCACTTTCGCATCAAAACACAAAGTAGCACCTTGACATTTACAGCTTCAGACCTAAACAGAATTCACCAGAGATGTCTGCTCCCGGAGAACTGTCGCTGTCAAAGCTCCTCGCCTCTCTCAAACCCGTGCTCTCGCCTGAAACGTTCGTTTTCGCAACCTTCGCCCACAACACCGCCATCCCAACAACACTTCCTGTTCAAATGCTCTTCCGCGAATCCGAGGGCACAACTTTGATCACAACGAAAGCTGCAGCCGATGCAGAGAAGATTCAGTACACGTTTGCGAGCCGAATGATCACGCTAGATGTACATTCTAGTCTGGAAGCGGTGGGCTTTGTTGCGGTTGTCACGAACAAGCTGAAAGAGTTAAGCATTGGTCTCAATCCTGTGAGCGGGTATTTTCATGATCATTTCTTTGTGCCTGAGGGGAGGGAAGAGGAGGCTGTGGAATGTTTGAAGGCGATTGCGAGGGAGGCACAGAAAGGTAGGGATGCTGAGCTGCTATTGCGACATACGCTGACTAGTTCCAGAGCCTATCTGATAACTGACGTGTGAAAATCTGAAGTCTAAACCGTTGTGTCTTCCTGGGCTGCTTGACTCAACTCTCATGTGTTGACGATTACGTTGCGCCCTTGTTCGCTCGGAACCGTTAGCATTTCTCAATATACCTTCAAGGCTATTCTTCTGGCCCGTACCCTACCCTATCTACATAGATTTCTACCCCCGTACTTACGCATATCGTCTAAGTCGGGATTCGGCTTCCATCAGCGTACTTTGCGTCTCCGGGCTCAACGACCACGGGATGCTGCTCGAAGGGCTCAACCGCAGTCCATCCCACTTCCAATCGACGGTATGGTAGAGCCCTTGTTCCCCGAGCACTTTGAACAGCTCAGCCAGCGTCCTTGTCTCGCCTTGGACCACCAGACAGCCCCTTTCGTCTTTCGAAATGGCGATGCGCGACTTTTGGCGCTGGAGCTTACGCAAGTTCTGCTTGATACGATCTTCTGCACTTATAGAGCCATAGGTTGGTTCTTCGTCGAAGTCTGGGTCGTAAATAGATATGTCAGTGTCAGCCAGATTGCTGGTGTCTGTCAAGAAGCGCAACTCGCCCATCATATGCTCGAAGCCATGTGAAGATACACGGAGGAGCCCGTTGGATGTTTGCTCTTTTGCTCGCTTAGCGTACAGATAGTCCAGAGTGGTAATTGAGGGCTTCTCTGTACAATTTATGGGCGCAATCTCAGCAGAGAAAACAACCCTCGATAGTGGAGTAGATTTTCGGCAAATTGACCGTGCAGGCCGAAAGACACGGCGGAGAGCCTTGCGTTTGATCTCTTGCAGAGCCTGCAGTCGAAGCCCGTCTTCTGTTAGGTCCTCAACTTTGCGCTTCTTGAAAGCAAGGCAAGAGCCGGCTGCGTCTTCCAGGCCTTGTTCAATGCCACGATCGTATTTGCGCTTTAGTCGAGGGGATGCTCGAGGTTGGTAAGGTTCATCGAAGTAGAACGGCTGTGCATTGTCTTCGATGACGGGAGGTATTGCGGGCTGCGGTCCAGATACTGGTACAGGCTGACGCAAAGGTGCTGCCGGGTCATCTGTCGTGGGTTGAGACCTTAGTGATGGCGCATGCTTGGGTGATGGGGAGGCTGACACTGCTGGCGATGATGTTGACTGCTTCAACACAGGATCAAGCCATACCAGTGATGAGTCCTGAGATCCTTCTTGCTGCTTCTCAGACTCTTCAGGCTGCTGCATCAGGGTATCATTTGTGATACTAGGCTGTTGCTGTGCAGCCGCACGTTCGAGAATGATCGCTGTGATTTCCTCACTGGTGGCCTTCCGATCTTGTAGGCCTTTGATGTCGAATCCATCATCTTCCAGCAAAAGAAGGCGTTCTTGGACGTTTGACTTTTGGTTCCAAGTCACTGCGCTCCACCTTTTGGTAATTAAAAGCTTCTTCTTGATGATGCCGTTGTGAGCTTTGACCCTCCAGTCGACGACCGGTGCTGGTTGAACAATCGGTGCTGGCTGAGCTTTGGGTGGAGATGGAACGTCCGCCCATACAGCAGCTTTCTGAGCGTACTCTTGTGCTGCTTCAGCCTGCAGTTTCGCATCAAGCTCACCCTTTTGTATCTGCAGAGCAACATATCGAGCAGTGTCCTGGGCGTTCAGAACGTCACGCTCGGCTTCGGTCTTGAGATGAGCTTCAAGCTGAGACTTGAGAAACTTTTGTCGGGTACGCCATCCGGAAAGTGACATAGTAAGCGATCGAGCCCACGACTCTTGGTGACCTGTCAATTTGTGATCCCTGCTATTATAGGGAACAAAAGTTTTGCGCTTCTTGTTGATCTTGCTAGGACTTTTTGGCCAGAGCTTCTTGCGCAGAGATATTTGCTTTCCGGTCATTTTTGTTCAATTTGTAGACCGTTGCTTGACTACGTAGGTAAGGAGGGGATCACCTGTAAAAATCAAAAAGCAAAGAACAGCCGGGTTATGATTGTTGCGCTTGTCTTTCGTGATGATGATTTGGGCAAGAATCTGCTAGTAACATCTGTGCCTGATCTAGGTGAGTGAATGGAAATTCCTTGTCGTGCAAACATAGGAGTGCGCGACATGCACTGTCGACAGAAGCTTTCACAGTGCTCCGCATAGCTCGATGATGCTCAAAATCGGTGAACAGTGCATCTGTGTTACAGTGACAATGTTGATGAAAGGCACTGAAACAGTGCACTGCTGAGAAGTGATTCTGCTTGGACAAAGAATGTGTTGTGCGAACTCTATTGGAAGGTTCTTAAGCAGAAATTATACGTTCCAATCGCTGTCTGTGTTCAGTAACCTAAAGCAAAATCGACTCCAACATCCAACTGTGCCAACAAGCATACTCAGAATGCTCTACAAGCGTGATTTTCACTCCCAAAATCAGTGCCGTCTTTCCCGGTAGTTTCTTCTCTCTTATTGCCGTCTGCAATGTGCAGCATTTTCCGCAATAGAACGCCAATCCAATCGTCGGCGCGTTCGAGGATTTATTCAGGAGTATAGGGTATTGCACACGCTATCTTGCGGAACAGTGCAACACACGTGAGTCATCTCAATCAGGCCGATCTCAAAGTAGCCTTTTTGCTGCCGTAGTTGGGTGACCACCGTCTCAAGGAACTTGACCGGCCCGAAATCTGACACAGAAGGGAAGTCGAGATTGTATATATCGAGATGCGTGATTTCGATCAGGTCAAGAACAGAGTCGATGACACGCGGAGCCCTCCGAAGTGAACCTGCTGCACGCAATGATCAGCATTGTGCATCGCCTGGCCTGCTCGTATAAGTTCAATTGTATTGATTCGCATCATCCTCGACCTTGACTGTAGGCTTTGCAGAACAAGAAGACGAAGGGAGTTTTTTAACTTGATCGTGCCAGATTGCGTGAGGCCACGAGAGGAAGTCTTGTAGGACTCGGCTCGCTTCAACAAGCAGACTGAGACTACGCAGACAAGTAGCTTAACTAAACATCAGATAGATGATGATGATTTCTGAAGAAGTTTGATGGATTGAAAAGAGGTGAGAAGTGAAGATCTGACGTCGACGCGACGCATACATGACTAAGCAGCGCCGGCTTTGGCGGCACCACTCATCATTTCATTGATATGATCAACACTGTGCGAAGCGGTAATTTATCATTCCAAATTGCGCACTGTGCCGTACAAGAAAGGCATTCGCATCGTGGACAAAACTGTTGGAAGGGGTCTATCTTCATACCAGAAAGAGGTACTATGACATGGCTTGTGCCTGCCACCTAACTTTACTAGTACACATACTTTCCTAACATTGGAAATCCTCCAACTCTCAATCAGTACACTTTTACCTCAACAGGTTATGAGCCCGGCGCACACCGCTGCCTAATCATTTACCCCACCTCAACAAAAACCATCTTTAATAGCACAAACGTGCCAATGAAGCAGCGCTTCCATTTCGAGTAGCAATAACGGTGTAACTGGCCTTCAGCATCAGATAGAGCTCGTAACCCCACATTACAGAGTGTGAGCACGATCCTACTCAACCACCATGCCTTCACCACCACAGGTCCGCCAAGACCTGGCCACCCTCTTCACCACCCTCGAAGAAAGCTTCACCAGAACCAACCTCGGCGGCAAACGATGGTACCTCATCGTCCTAGCCGCCCTAGTCGGCGGCACCGAGCCCGAGTTTACAGACCAACTGTATCTCCATATCATCAGCCAACCCTCTTACCAGTCATCGGAAGCACGGCAAGCACTAGTCCGGCGCCTACGCGAAGCTCTCGTGAAGCTCGTATCCATCGTCGGCGTCTGCAAACCCCTCGAGGCCATCCTAGCAATCAGCAAAGTCGAGCGCCCTGAGAATCGCGACTATACTTCTACGCGCCAAGACTGGGCCGCGGACTCTGCGAATCACCAAAGAGGTGCTAACTGGCTCAAGAAGATCTACGCAGGTAACACGGAAGACACACTCGCTCTCTTCGACGCTCACAAGGACTTCCGTTGGATATCTGAGGAGATCACCTACGGCCTCTACTTGTCCGATCGACAAGTGCTGGATGATTGGGATACAGAAGTCATCGTGCTTGCGGGGATCATGATCCAGAATCTGAAGTTGGAGACGAAGTGGCATATCAGGGGCGCACTGAGGGTGGGCATAAGTAAGGAGGATGTCGAAGCTTTGATGCAGTGTGTGAGGAAGGTGGCGGAATTCACTGATGTGAAGCTGAACAGGATACCAAATGTGGAAGAGGTTGAGGGCGAAGTCTGATCGCTGCCGTGAGTACGGACGTTTCGGGTATCCAGATATGTTCTCCTCTTTCGTATGAGCTCTATCGCCAATCCAAGTGGCTGCCTTGCTCTTCTGATGAGCATTCGCTTAGGATATCGTATGTGGACCCCAGTCGGGATGCGGGTCTGCACATCCTCAGCCTTGTATCAATCTTTTCTCACAGCCTGCGATCAGCGCCAGTATTTGCCTCTACATTTCTTTGCAATGGTACTATCGGACATTGGACTCGACAACATGCGCAAACAGGAACTCGGAAACGTTGACCCTGCTGACAGCACAATACTGGATCCTCCTCCGGGATATGTTACAGCTGATGATGTCGCCCCGGCTCGAGCATCCATGCCACTGAACGTCAATAGTGACGATGTCACGGTTTAGGGTGACCTGATCTATGGTAGCTCGATCACGAGCATCTACGCACACATCTGAAAGAGTATCACTGGATCGCAGATAGCAGGAAAATCTTAGCATCGCTGCTACTTGACATGCAGGGACTCGCAAAATGGCGTCATCTCTTTCATTGTGGGCCAGGGCCCGCTGAAGATCGAAGCCACTGCTCACATATTCAATTCTGCCGTGTTGATCAGGGCGGTCTGCCGAATCTCATTGAAATCAATAGACAACAAAATGTCTATGGCCATTGAAATATGGCCCAAGATTAAGGAGCTGAACAATAACAAGCCTGAGCGGCATATTGTTGCACGTATAACGTAAGTTGCTAGATAATTTCTGACCAATTCGTCTATCTAACTTCAACTAGAGTTGCTTGAGAACCGTCCACTATCCTCTTTGCTGCGCTGCACCATACACTGAACTATGCTTTTGACATGGACGAGCTATTCAGCTTGCTGGTCAGCACAAGGATCTCGTCAGCGCACATATTTCGTCGCTACTCAAAGGTTCCCAAAGTGTTGTTGCGGAAAGCGAAGATCATACCTACACACTTCCAACGATTTTCAGCAGTCAAGTGGAGAACGCCACAGAGTTGCAATGAGGGACAACATAATACTATCTGACAAACCCAGTTGAAAATAACGATGAAGGTATCGTGATGCGAACAGTCGATCTGAGCCCCATTCCAACAGAAACAAGAAGCGCATTCCCGTTTTAAGGTCTCCTTCAACTCAGTTTCTGCTCCTCTCTCACCTGCTAGGAATCATGCTGTTGGCTACATATCTATAGGCCCATGGAGAATCACATGAGTCTCCTTCACGCACACCTTGCGGAGCAGATAATGAAACCCTCTTCTAGCACTTCTAAAAACCCCCTGCGCGTAATGGCGGCCGCTGTGATCACCTTCCCCACTTCGACATTTGATCCCAAGCACATCGAGCACGCAGCTTTATTGCTTGCACGAACCAAAAGAGAGTGGCTTCAGACAATCTATAAACCACTCCAGCTGCTGATTGCAAATTGCATAAGGGCTTGGTTGTATTTTTGTGTGGTGTCGTCGCGCGCATCTTCTCGTTCCCACGCGCCGTCTTACTACGCTTTCTCTCCTACGGACATGTTGCCTACACTTGCTTGTTTCCAGAATCTTGGTTTCTTCCGTCCTGTTCTTATCGTGCAGAGCCAATCCTCACCTCTTTAGCCCCCGCTCCTAGCTATTCTTTACTCTGAAAACTCTCCCTACACCCGCGTCGCCCTCGCCGTATCTCGTGAGGCATGTCGAGTCTCGTCTCAAGAATCAGACGAAAACGCGCTATCGAAAACCCCTACACAACCCTACAATACAACCACTCCATCGAAGGGTGACATTGAATCGTGCGAGGACTTCTCTCTTGCGACCCGCGCAATGGACAGGACAAGCAGGCTGGACTAACATCCAGGTATATCATGCTAGCTGCGTTGGTGTGTCACGATCAACGACGTTGTCGGAAGGTACAGCTGTACAACATCCCGAGAACTGCGACCATAGAGGAAGATTATTCGTTCTCATGTCCGCAGTACCACCTTTCTCATCTGCGTATCGCTGTCCAAATCAACTTCCATAGGTCGTCCATCGATTCATTCCGCCCTCCTGTTTGACATCCACACTAATTCGCGCAGGATGCTCGTCAAGCATGGTCAAGACAGCGAGCGGTGCACAAGCAGACGAAAGGGGAACATTGAAAGAAGAGTTGTTCGTATTCGTAGCTTCGATGCCACCGTGACATTTACAGTGCGTTCCCATTCATTCCATCTTATCCCGTGTCTCGTATCCGTTTTACTCGTCTCATTTCGTCGGCATCCTCCATAAACCATTACCCCTAATCCATCTCTCGTAGATCATCTTTCGTGAGTCGTGAACCATACGCCGAACGCCAAAGCAGCCCCGTAGGTACTGCGAAATGCAAATGAACCGCCCATGTGCAAACATTGACGCGAAGTCGTAAAAGAAGAGGAGCGTTTGTACAAGCTTCAGCGCGAAGCTGACGAGTTGGAAGGATCCTATCGTCTACTCGAATGCCTCGTGTGCCGTGTGTGGCGGTCTGATGAACTTGCGCTACCTATGGAGTTGTTAGTGTCGTGTTCTCAAGAATTCTCAAGATAGTTACTTACTAGATGATGTGTAGTCACTGTAGTAGTACGATGACCCAGAGACGGTGGTACTCTTATCATCCCGCCTATCATGCTTCTTCTTCAATCCCAGCGCAAGCGCCAACCCGCCCAGCGCAGCCGCCATACCAAGCCCCTTCCCAATGCCCGACTTCTTCTCGCTCATCGGCCTGTTCGGCCTACTGGGTCCCTGGCCATACCATCTGCCTCCCGCCGCGGCGCCGCCAGAGTGATGGTGGTCCTCGATGTATGTCGTCTCTTCGTGCGTGTGCTTGCGCTTCTTACCTCCAATACCCAGGATGCCGAGGAGTGTGTCGAACAAAGCGCGGGCGCAGCAGAACAGGCAGAGGAGGAGAAGGAGCAAGATACCGAGGATGACGCCAATGACGATTCCGGCGATTGCGCCGCCGGAGAGGCCGTTAGAGGCGTCGGTCTCGGTGAGGGAGCCGTTTGCGCCTGTGGGGATGGGGGTTTGGAAGGGTACTGTTGCGGTGGGGGTGCCGGTATATGTGATAACCACCAAAGTCGAAGATGTAGGTCGCACGGGTGCGGACGCAGACACAGTAGGCACGATACCGCCTGAGCTCCCGCCGGCGATCAGCGCGCAGGTACCAGAGGCTTTGCAGTAGAATCCAGAGTCGCAGCAGACGCTCCCACACGGGTTCTGGCTGTTACCGCACGCAGCGGTTGTCGCAGCGCCGCTGCCACCAGTGTAGGAAGAGCCGACGCTCGTCTTGGTCACGGCGCCGACGGTCTCAACCCAGGTTGTTGTGTAGTACACCCATCCGCCGCCTGTAGCTGCGGCGCCAGCAGGACCGCACTGCGCCTGGTTGCTCGCGTCAGTGATGCAGGTCGAGCCTGAGGGACAGCAGAGCCAATTGTCCCAGCCGCAGCTCACACCGCTGCACGTAGCGCGTCTGTCGATTTGAGTCGCGTTGTGGAGTTGCATTAGCTCTTCATCGTGGACGGGGTATGGCTTTGCAAAGGCAGGGGATGTGGTGAGTGCCAGAAGGGTGAGAGCCTTGAAGAGCCCCATTGTGGGCTGGAGTGAGGCCAGAGAGGTCCTCTCCGAAGATGTTGTTTGTCGAAGTAACTCAGGAACCGTCGTTGTCGATCGCAGCAGTGAGTATGGTGTTGTAGTGGTAATACGATGCGGGGTTGCTATCTTAGCGTATCTGCAGGTGATAGCGAATCGAGGCTGCAGCGAGCCTCGTGGGTGCTTTGATGGATGGAATGCAGAATGTGGAAGTCAGCGATTGTTGTTCTCGGGGATGCAACAAACAAAGAACGAGTGTCAAACGTGGAAGGAAGGGTTGACGTCGTGCAAGGAAGGAAATAGGGCACTTAGATCTGCTGAGGCTGGCGCTTCCCGTGAGGGGGTTGGGGGAGGTTGGTAACACCCAAAAACTGGCCAATCAAATACACACGCCTTAACTCTTGAAACCTAGTCGCGAACAATCGTACTGATCGTGATGCAATTATTTGTGAGTCTGTCAAAGCAATTGTTCAAACGTATGGGGATTGCTTCTTGCGCAAGACATGCTGTGGGTGAGATGAGCACATGGTGTATACAAATGGTCCGAGCGCTATTGTCTCAGCAACCATAACCGCGACCAACCACCTCGTTCAAGCACCATCATCACCCATGCAACAACCCGCTATCAATGAATCGATTCGGTAACATCCTTGATTCCGCTACAAACGTGCTCGTACCTGACTAAATCATGTCGTGCGTCATCGTCGCGCAGTGGCTAATTCAGGACCGAGTCACTGTGTTTCGCGCCCTTCGTCAACCTTGCACCTTAAGAGTGGTATCGCACCATCTTCTCGATACCTACATTTTGGCCAGAATAATGCCCTTCTTCGCTCCCCCCGCTGTACCTAGCTCATACTCTTCGATGAGTCTCTGCGCCGCCTTGTACCCGACCAGGTAAGCCGTGGGCTGCGTGTGGTTATTCGTCGTCAGCGGACAGACACTCAAGTCAGCAACCCTCAGCCCCTTCACGCCGAGTACCTTATAGTCCTTATCCACACAAGCGCCCTTTTCACCCTCCTTGCCCATCATCACCGAACCATTGGCGTGCCACACGGTGCTTGCATTGTCGCGTACGAACGCATCGACGTCAGCATCGGACAGACTGGCCGGTCCACAGAGCATGCGCTTGATGGACGCCTTCAGCACCTCGTTGTGCGTGATCTTCGCCCAAACCGAGCGCACGGCTTCGCGCATAATGCGCGCATCGTAGGGATGTGTCAGGAAGTTGAGGTTGATGATGGGCTTGTCGTTTGGATCGGACGATCGTAGGGTGACCGACCCCTCGCTCTGTGGGTTCATCAAGAACGCAATGCAGGTCATGTAGCTGTTGCCCTTCTCGATCTGGACACCGGGCGGCCAGGCCAGGCAGTTGTTGATGAACTCGAAAGTCGGGACGTTGTCTTTGGCGAGGAATTGCTGCGTTGACGCTGGAAGCGCGGTGTATTCGGGGAACGAGCTGAGTTCGGGGTGTTTGAGGAATCCGCCCCATAAACACGAGTGCTGCAACGCGAAAGCTCCTGTCTTGTCCTTCTCCCAGAGAGCGACGGCTTCGCTCATCGAGTTCTCGTCAGACTCGAAAGCCCATCGGTCATTCATGGCACCGTCGACCTCTACGCTCATGAAGGCTAGTACGTGGTCCTGTAGGTGCTTCCCTACACCAGGTAAGTCTTTCTTGACAGTGACACCAACACTTTCCAACTCAGACTTAGGCCCGATGCCGTTGACGAGCAGCAGACGCGGCGAGTCGATTGCGCCAGCGCAAAGAATGACCTCTTTCGCAGCATGCGCTGGTGACTTGTCAGTTCATCACAACTTATCCCATAACCGCACCATCTCCACTTACCTCTCCTTCCACCCGCAATCTCAACACCCACAACCCTCTCTCCATCCCCACTCCACACAAACCTCTCCACACTCGCATCAGTCCAAACCTTCAAATTCCTCCCAGCATCCTTTAAATGCGCAATCGCACTCGTACTCCTCCCATCCTTACTATAACTGTACGGAAACACGCTCATGCCGATTGGATTCCCGTTGTTAGGATCCAGATTAACTTCCTCACCCGCATCAACCAGGGCCTGCATCGTCGCCAACACGCCCTTCTCCAGCTGCGGCGGCAGCCCGATCTTGACCTTCCCCTCCTTCCCATGCGCGCTTGGCTCCGGCCTAGCCAAATGCCTATACTCCTCCGCCCCATCAAACTCATACGTTTCAATTGCCGCATAATCCCTCATCACCGTCTCCCACCGCCATGCATCATCCCCGACGCGCTCAGCCCACTCATTGTAGTCCGCCGCGCTGCCTTTCAGATACACGCCGAAATTCAGGATTGAGGAGCCGCCGAGGCCTTTGCCGCGCGTGTACGCGATTGTACGCGAGTTGAGGGCGGATTCGGGCTCGGAGACGTAGCCGTGGTCGAGGTCCGGGCGGAAGATGGCGGCGTGGTAGCGGTGCGCAGGCGCGTTGAGGAAGTCGCCTGAAGGTTGGGCGCCGGCTTCGAGGACGAGGACGGTGGGCTTTGCGGGGGAGTTGGCGAGGTGGTGGGCGAGGAGGCAGCCTGATGTGCCCGCTGGGAGGTGGTGTTAGTTTCTGGTTTATAGAGGTAAGTTGATGACGGGTGCACAATGAGAAGGGGTTTTTGAGAGGAAAGTGAAAGTGGAATTCAGACTGAACAGATGCGATTGGAATAAGAAAAAAAAGGGGGGGGGGGCGGACCTCCAACGACAACAAAGTCAAACGTGTCTGCCATGTCGACACTCACTCAATCACGTCAATGCACTTCAAACCCGACAGCAACAGCTATAGGGTTCTATGTTGAGCAAATAGTGCCCCAGGGTCTATATATACTGCTGCACCTCGGCTACCCCTTCACGCGTCCGTTTCCTCTTCCGACAGCCACCAAGGTAGTGCATGGCGCGGAAAGCCTCATCACCCTGCATTAGCAATAGCTTACCCCTCCACGAGCTCCCCGCTGCTGATCAAGAGTCGGTCAGGGAACCAAGTGGGGCTTGCTTAGCTTCATGGGACCATTTCCGAAACTGCGGAGGCGGGAGATCTGGCGGCGCTAGTGGTCGGCAGCTCCTTTCGGTAGAACGTGAGATGCGGTTGACGAATGAGTAAGTGTTCATGTGCAACACCAAGACGATGATCGGTGCGTAGAGTGCACCTCACATGGTGGTTTGTTTGCTGCTGTTGCTGACGCAAGCGTTGACACTCGGTTTAAACTCGGACGCCTTGGAACTGACGGATCTGTCGACTTGTCAAAAGCAAGCAACACGGGATGGCGACCCAGGCGTGTACCCGAGGTTTGACATCTGTAGTCCTCACCCACGGCCTTCGCCGCTGGTACTCCCTTGCCTCTTCTTCGTAACGCGCTTGACCAACGCCCTAAGATCCGGCAAGCTCGCAGCAACAATCGCAAGACTGATTTGAATAGCAACAAGCATGTTGATCGCAGGACCGAAATACGTCCCTTGCTTCTCTCTTCGCACGATGAACGGAACCTGTACAAGAGCAACACCGCAGACAATGACCCCCAATGCAAACACAATGACCAGTGTAAGTCGCTGTCGCACTCGCACCTGGCTCAGGGAAAGCACGAACGGCACCGGAAGGACGAAGATGCAGAGATCGGTAACACAATCACCCACTGCGGCGGTATAGCTATACACGGCGGAGCTGAAACACTGCGAGCCAGTGAAGGTGCGCCAGTCTGATGTCCAAAGCTTGTAGATGTCGGAACAAGACACGATCAGCACGCTCAGAACAGCCGCAAATAGTACGATGGTCAGCACTAAAAGCGTATAGCTACACCGCCGAAGGATCAGCAAGGTTGGTGGGAAGATGCGCAGATACGAAGCCAGTATGGAGAGGCGGATAAGTGTTACGGCGAAGAGGTAGGCGAGCCGACGTTCGAAGATGTGCTGATAGTACAGCACCTCGCGTGCTTCGTCGGGGCTACACTGAGCGTCAGCATACCATGACACTAGGTGTAGAAAATCTTGGAAGTGCTCACCCTTTTCTATCGTAGCCCAGGAGGTCATCGGCACTGATGCAGGATATGACTGTACGTGTGACCGCGCAGCCCTTGTTCTTTCAGTCAGCATTCAGAAGCTGTGTGCTGATGCTTCACTTACCGTTCCAAGAAGGATGAGCGTATCATCAGCAGCGAGTCTGCCATTTACAGCAAACCTTGACCACACCCTCAGTATTACAGTACCGAGAGCTAGCCCCATAAGTGGTATCTCGACTGCATACGCTACATAGTTGAAAGGGGTGGACACCATGGTCAGTTAGCATTGTACTCGCCACTTTGAATAGAGGGTAGGTTGAGAGGACTGAAATTCGGGTCTGAGTGGGGCGTCACGATGTTGATATTACCCATGATAGCCAAGACTGGCATGATGTGAAGATGCTGACGTGCAGATGGCGGCTGACTGATCATAATACAAGGGTGCGGTCACCAATGAAATTACGACTGCGACTAGACATTACCTTGGATGCGAAAGACGACTCGCTACTGCCTCTGCTGTGAGATTGACGTTGCTAGTGTAAAGGAAAGGTTGTTAGCGAGCTGTCGGTTTGCAATCTGTGTGATAGGGTGGAGTGTACGAGTGATGGAGGAAGTTTACTGGAGGAAGCTACCTTGCAAGCACAGACTAGGCTCAATCAAGCAGTCACCATCCAGTTTTGCCAACGGTGTGTAGCGGCGGGTGCTGATTTTGACCAAACGACACTCCAAGATTCTCCGGCCGGCTCATCTTGCAACATCCCCGAAGATCCCTTCAATCCTATCGACTTGGTTGAAGTCGTACGTATTTCCATACGGCCTGTTCAGATAGCCCTTCAGCACCTCTTCGTCCGTCGCGAACGTTGCTGCAACCTCCAGGCCAGTCTTCTCTCTCGTCAGCCTCTCACGGAGCCCTTCAGCAAACTCGACTTCCATTTGATTCCTGTACCAAGGTGCAAAGTGAACTGCTCTTAATCAGCCACGAGCTCACAATCGTCTCATCTCAAGCAAACTTACTCATGGCAAGCATAACCCTCGGCACATCCCCCAAATTCGGCTTCCCACCATGCCACAACCTCAAGTCCCTTACAATCACACTTCCCTTCCTCACCTCTGGCTGACTCGGTCCCCTCTCCTTTCTCCTCTTCTCAAGCAAATCTTTCTTGATCCGTCCACTAGCTCTGTCCCCATGCTCGCCTTCCTGGTCAACGATGGTGGTGTTGCTGTGGGTGCCGAGCCAGATCTCCGTAGATCCGTTCTCGGGCGTCATAGCCACGAGAGGCACGTTGGTGACGAGCGCGAAGGGGATGCAGGGGTGGTCGAAGTCGGCGTCGTTGTGCGTGGGTTGAGATGCTGGTGGTGAGTCTGTGGTAGGTGGGAGGGCGGTGTTGCCGGAGACAATGCGAAGGGAGGGATGAGGGCCGAGGGTGGTGGATGTGACTTGAGTCACGATGGGGTCTGGTGGATGTTAGATAGGGTGACGAGCTCGTGAGGGGTGAGAAAAGGTACTGATGTAGATGGAGTCTTCAAAGTACTCTGAAGTCAAGGGTGGGTCTTGCTGAATGTTGCCTTTGTTGTAGTTGTATCTGTCATTTCATCAGTGTCCGTATTAAACTCGGCCTGGCAATCCGCTCACGGGCTGTCCTTCCGACTTTGAAGCTCGTAGGCATCTTTGATCATCTTTTCGTTGAGTCGGTCCAGCACAGCGTGATCGATCATGTCCTCAAGAACGATCAGTCCATCACGGAATAATGCACGTGTAGCAATCTCGAGGTTGCGCTGCTCAAGACGACCATTGCTCTTTTCATCCGCAGATACGGCAATCGAAATCGGGTTCGAAGAGAGGCCGGCCGACATGACAAGTAATGATGCAATGAGACCAAAGAGACGGTTTCAATGACTTGAAAGCTCTGAACAGTAATCAATGGAGCTCTCAAACACCTGTGTTTATCTCTTACCGTCACTTGAGATACACCAAAGTGGATATGGCAACGGAAGGAAAGGCAAAAGAGGGTTAGAGCCGGGCTAGGCTCGAGTTGGCCTTCCTTCCTTTGAAAATCAGCAGCCATCCAGGTCCGGCAAAGCTTGATGCGGGGCAAGGTTGGTGGATTGCGGGGAAGCTTGGGCTTAATTCTTGTTGTTTGGTGCCGGTTGCCGTGAGAGGGAGTGTTTACTGTCGATACCCATCGTGCTGATGACCAAGGCTCTAAGCTACCGTGAGGATGTAGGTTCCGCACCGTGAGGCCTCTTGCTTATCGCTTGAGAAGAGTTCCATGCTGCCCAAGAAACTGCACTTGTGTTGTCGCGGGCCTGCGGACAAGCTACCGTGCCGGTACTCTGGAGCGCCTCGGTTCACCAACACAGCTGAAAGACAGCCAAAGCCTGCCATGATGAGTTGATGATGACACGACAGAGTCGCTGCAGAGGATCCAGCGCCGCTGTAGTGCAAGCCACGAGGCGTTGTAATTGTGATGGCAAGGGATGCACGCAGTCGTCGCTCGTGCTGTGGGAGATGATCGCAGTGGAAACAACATCAGTGTGCTCCTAACTCAACAGAGCACATGCGGAGATTTTCAATTGCACAACGCGACAGTCCATCACAAATGGCCTCATACAGGGCCATGTCGCGAGTGTGTCGCGCATCAGACAGGAAACATTTGGCAAGGATGGCGGCGCAGACAGGGGAAAAGTGGAGACGGGAGGCTCACCTCGCACATGCGTTCATTGCCAAGTGCACCAGTGCATTCCGTCTCCAGAAGCTCTGAGTTCCCTCCACTGCAGTGACGCCCTCGCTGCTTTTACTTGGAACCAGTACATATAGCGAGCACTGTTCCTTTTTGCAGACATACTGCAACAGCATAAGCAGCATTACACACTCATTGCAGCCGCGCTGCATCCTCGGACGAACACCGCATCCTGCAATTGCTCGCCTGACACCTGCCAACAGCCGTCTTGACCACAACCTTGCATACACAGTCGAATTGGCCATTTCCAGTATTGGCAGCCCCTATTGCCATACAAACATCGACCAGACCGTGTTACATTGAGCACAACACCACGGCCAGCACCACATTTGCATATCGCACCGTCGACCCAATTCCAACCTCATCATGCCGTCGCACCGCCGCATGAGGCTCTTCGGCGTCCTCTTCCTCGTCACCGTCGTCGTAATCCTCTACATGGCCCGCTCGGGCACACAAACCCACGCCTCAGACTTCTACACCAAGACCCAAGAAGCCCTCCAGCAGCACGAGTTCGCCGAGGCCGCCAAACAGCGCGACGCAGACAGCGTAGGCACACGCCTCAAAGCCGCCGAAGAAGCTGCCAAGAAAGCCGCGGACGACAAGAGCGCAGAGTACCACAAGGCTGTCGAGGGCAAGGACAAGTCTGTCGCCGGGCGCGTCAAGATCGAGGGCGAGAAAGCCTCACCCGTGCCGGGCGTTGCAGCACAGGGCGGGCGACCGCGCGACCAGGCGGCGCTGAAGGGGCATCAGACGCCTGAGGACCACGATGTGGAGATCGAGCTCAATGCCATTCTCAAGAAGAGCCCTAGTACGCCTCCCCCATCCCCTCGGCAACTCCCACACCCATACTAACGGCAAGCAGTAATCATATTCTCCAAATCCTACTGCCCCTTCTCCAAACGCGCCAAACACATCCTCCTCGAAAAGTACTCGATCACACCCGCGCCCTACGTCGTAGAGCTGGACCAGCACCCGCTGGGCGCAAAGCTGCAGGACACACTCGCGCAGATGACCGGTCGACGTACCGTGCCGAACGTTTTGGTGCAGGGGAAGAGCATTGGCGGTGGAGATGATATGCAGGAGCTTGATGAGACGGATAAGCTGATTGAGACGCTCAAAAGCTTGGGTGGGAGTAGGGTGCAGGATGTTGTGCATAAGGGGACGAGGGAGAAGAAGGACGACACTATGCGAAGGAGGAGAGCCTAGATGGCTCTGATTGTCAGACTGGGACCGAGGTTTGTGTTTTTGTGTATTGTTATGATGGCGGAGACGGAGTTGCTTCTCGACTTGGCGTTGTGGGGCTCGGTATTTGGCTTGCCTCACATGTGGTTGGCCATGGCGATGAGAGTGCTTGAGTATGTATGAGCATTGGTTCCGGGGTGTTGTTTGGGTTGGACACAGGCATGGATATACCCTTGATAGTTTATCAGAATGAGCATCGCTGACATGCAAGCAGAATAGGCATGATAATATGCATCATCTAGAGAATTTATTCCATTGCAATTTACGATCTGCCAAGCTGACCACAAAGCTCGATTTGGGTATTCTCATCATCGATGAGCGAGCTGCCTCTACCCTTTGTTGTACGCTTGCATGGTGCTCGAAAGCCGTACCCGTACATGTACCCATGCCCTGTTGTCCCCTATGCTCCGCGCTGTCCGCCATCATTCCTCACTTCTTCGCATTCATGTCGTTCGTTGCATCTGTACGGCTGCTCAGGGTACCGGCAGCACCCTCCTTCCGACTCAGAATCTTCTTCGGTCCCCAAGTCCCAGCACGACCACTTGCGTCCACACCCTTCTCGTTCTCCTTCCACACAGTCTTCCCATTCTCCTTCCACGCATCCTTCTCTGTTACACCCACCAGAATCGAAGGACTGCCTGGACTCGCGGGGCTAGCAGGCACTGAACCCCTCCCCTTCTTCTTCTTCCCACTGCCAGCCTCAGCAAGCACCCACGGCCCACCCTCCTTCTTCGCCCTCTCCATCTCCTTCTCTCTCTCAATCTTAATCTTGTGCTCAAGCACCCTCTCCCTCTCAGCTTTTTCACGAGCCTCGCGCCGCACCCGCTCCTCGCGGGCTCGCTTCTCCATGTCGATCTTGCCCTTGGTTGCTATATCTCGGGCGATTTCAGCGGCTGTTGCGAGGGCGTGGGCTTGGGCGCGCTTTTCTTCTGACTCGGTGCGTGCGGACGCCTTGATGCATTGCCAGCATGGGAAGTGTGAGCGCCGTGGGGATGGGTCCTCGCCGATGTCCTGGCACACGATGTTGGAGAGGAAGCCTGGCCGGCACATTTCTATGTAGGGTCGGTCCGAGAGGTGCGTACAGGTGTGGCATTTTTTCCAGTATTGGCACATGTGGGCTAGAGGGCGTCAGCGGGTAGGAGGATGGTGAAGTGGAGTGTACCTTGAACCAGAGATTGTCGATGGGGTAAAGAGTGTGGGTGTGGAGAAAGGTTGGTACTGTGGGGAAGTTGCTTTGAGGTGAGCTATGTTGAGGCGAAATGAGGTGAGGTGAACGAGGCAAGAAGGTGAAGGTGAGAGGCGCTAGCTGCAATGGCTAATTACTTTGGCAGGTGCGAGATGGTAAGGTCGCTGCCAACAACTGCTACAGGGAAACTACACTTGAGCGGCTGGCTATCTCCACACTCAACCTTCGCTTTCAAAGCATCTTCAGCTTGCGGGCTGCTACCGTCTTTCTCTAACCCTCTCTTTGCTTTAATTTTGTCTCTCATCTCGCCTGCACCGCTAACCTAAGATGGCTCATGTAGGGTAACACCGCCGGCTGAGTGCCCAAAAAGCAATCGCAAAGCTGTAATATCGCTACAAGGGTTCATGACTGACACGGACAGCATGTAGACGTCTACTGATAAGTTCCACGATTCCTACGCGGACCAGCGAGCCACAACCACTGTTAAATAGACACAGTAAGTATATGTTCCCTCATTCCACCCACGTCCTGATGATAGATCCAGTTGAAGCTCTTCCATCACAGACGCTCGACAGCCATGGCCACGCTCAACACGCTTCTTCAGCAGTACCCCATACTCGATGGGATCTGCCACCGGCTGCGCCCAGGAAATTTCGCAGCTCTGGCACGAATCAACTCTGACAGTCGGCTACAGCTAAAAGGTCTCGGTCGCCCTGCGCACCTCGATATCTCATCTGGTATCATCCAGTTCAAAGATCTTGTACGTGCGCAGACAGTCCTACAGCATGCTGTCTCAGACATGGCACTCTCACCTTGCGTAACCTGCTTAACAGGACTAATCGCGCCTGCCAGGACCCTAAGCACGTCGATAGACCATATCTCTCAGACGACATCTCCCAGCTCTGGACATCAACAATATGCGATGTACTCGGTGGCCTCGGCAACATCAACAACTGTTATTTGCAATATAACCGTATAATTCACCTGCTGGTGGCCCAAAAGCACCCTGGACACCTGAACATACCAGGAAATGCCCGCAGAGAAATTGCGTGCGAAACTTGCTGGAGAAAAGATATTAGAACTCTTCTTGCTAGCGCGCAAATGCCGCTTAGGAGGTCTTCCATGAAATATAGATCTCATGAAGATGCTCAGGAGAATAACGCTTTCTGCGAATGCGGACCCGTCATTCTGTGCTACGCTTGCAGGTGCAATCTTGGAAGTCGACAGTGCATCATCACTCCCCGCACAGCTAGACCAAATTTTCGGCTGCCATACTGCACCTAGAAATGGAGCGTAATCCATGCTGCATAGGATATCCCACATTTCTAGACGAACTAACCTCCCGGAGATATTTCTGCCACTTTTGTAGCTTCGCATGCGACTGCGGGATAAAGAGCCCCCCATCCACCTCCAATCAAGTTCTTCAAAGCCATCTCTGGATAGCAAAGTCGGGATCGAGGATCCAGAAGAGCTTCTGAGCGACGGATTGAATAACGGCATTGTTCTGGTCAGCTCTTTCAAGGATGGGGCTGTGGTCTTGACTGCGAATCGCAGCGCGGGTAAACCTCCAAGACCTTTGCCGGCATACCATGAGGCCATCGAGAGCTTTTGGAAGGATAGATCAAGGCAATAGATGCTGGCTGTAGGGCTCATATGCTCAAGGGGTCGTCCTCGATACGACGATGAAGAGAGGTCTTGGAAGTCCCACGATACGGGTGCATATGGAGACCGCTTCCACCGAGGGGCTGGGAGCCATCCGAGGAGGACTGGTTAGAGTACGACGGCCCCATTTCCACAAACACACTTAGGCAGGAAGGCCACGATTTGTCGAAATTGGATCAGATACATCCGCCACGTGAGACGACGTTTGCTCGCAAGTCTCCAGCTGCGCGTTCGGCACCCAAACTCTTCGGAAAGCCTGCTTAAGACAAACTTTCCGGATACATGCATCTAGGAGCCTACTTCAAACCCATCTTGGAAACCAGTCTGGGGCTTTGAATATGCCTTATTTGACCTCGCTGAAGACTTGATGCCTGAAGATCTAGGTCCCACCAAGATGTCTTACAACTACTGGTGCGATAGGTACGAATTACTCTCCCTCTACCAGTATTGTCTTGTCGAGACATGAACAAGCTGGCATGGCCCACAGATTCGGAAGCTTTGCTATCAGTAATGGCACTCGAATGGCCTGGTTCGAACTCGCACACGCGGATGAAGCCTGGGAGGATGGATTGCCGAAGAAGTAGGGTGATAGGTTTCCGAAGGGCAGGAGCGACTACTTCAAACCTGCTATAAGTCCGATGTGGGAGTGGGAGTTTGCTTTTGTTTAGTCCTGTTAACGGTATCAGTCAGTCGATAGGCCTGAGGTTGCCACATATCAGACTATCCTGGACTAGCATGTTTGTTGGTTTCAGGCAGCTTCCATCTCATGTCTAAACATATTGTTTCTTTGTTGTCTTGCTTGTTGTCTAAGACAAAACAAGCTTCTTTGTGCCAGGTGCCTATATAGAAGCACCTCATCACTCGTAGATGGTATCATAAAATTCATCTCATCTCTTCCTCTGGCCTCGATCCTGAAATGTTTCTGGTCAGGTATATCGTCGTCTTCTCCTAGCTAGATAGCAACTCAGCGCAGTATTCCATCGACCCGATAGTTCTGCGTTGTCTTTTACCGTAGCTATCAGTACACTACAGCGGCCCATGCGGCTACAAGTCCCAAGGATTACGGAGGCCGATAGGAGCCAGGGCGAAGACTTTACACCGTGGGAGAATGCTTTCTGCATCATTTCTCCCTGTGGTATCATCGCGCATATACGTAACAGCCTGGGCACAGCAAGTGGCTACATAGATCTAAATACCCCACGTTATGTTCCCAGCTATTAAGATCTCCACATGCGCAACAACCCCAAATTCAGTATCCAAAGCCATAGGATACAGATGCACATTCGTGCAGTAGGTGCCGTGATGCAATTATGGGCACAAGCTCTGTTTTTAGTTTACCAAAATTGTCATCCGGGTCAAGCTTGACAAGGCCCAGGGTCTGTGATAGTTCGTTGAGCTCCAAGGCGTTGTTGGCAGCTAATTTATATTTTTGTTGCCGATCCTCTGCCAGAGCGTTTTTCGTTGAGATTTCGACACCTGTGGATGATGGCGATGACGAAGTTGAAGTTGGGGAGGAGGATTGCCATTCTTTGAGGTGCCAGTCAGGATTGATCAGTGGGGCAGGAAGAGGCGCCGAGCTCTGAATTGGGGTCTCGACAGGTGTGTGAATGTGCGTCTCAACATGATTTTCGAGAGATCTTCGGATTGTTGTTTGAATGGATGCTGGGCTAGGTGTTTGGACAGGCGTTCGAGTCGGCGTACGGTCCGGGGAATGTCCCGGACTACTTCGCTCAGACGCAGACCAACAGTCAACCGCGGACGGAGTCGCTGTATAGCGTCAGCCACGTTCCTGACCCACAAAAGGCACACTCACATGCTACCGAAGAAGGAGCGTACAAATTGTGATGGGAAACGTCATGTGTTCGCATCCAGCGGGTGATCTTCTCCTGCTCCACTTCCTGACCCCTGACCTTGAAGCGAAGACTGGCGCGATCAACCTCTACAAGATTGCGGTGCTGGGTTTTGCGGACGATCGCTTTCATCTCTTTGGGCTTTATGTTCTTGTCGAGCTTCCACTTGCTAATTCTTGTCCGATATTGTCGGATCCTGAAGGCTGTCAATCTTTTGCGCCGTTATGGAGCTTACGTAAGCTTACTCTGCGTTGAAACCATGGTCCCGTTGCATAATGATTCTCACATCTTTGAGTGGTTTGTTGTCAGTGATGTGAAGGTGTACAATCCGCGACTTATGAGGGACCCAATCAGCCTCGCGGAGAGTTGGTGCTTTTGGTCTGCGTGTCTTGATGGATGGCTCCAAAGAGCTACAGTCAGAAATTTTCTGCATGCTGTAGGTGACGAAGTTCAGACGAAGAGTCGACTATATCGATGTCAACACACTCAACGCTTGCAGGACCTCGAGACGTGACTGTTGGTGCGTGGATGGCTTTTGTTGGAGGACTTCAGGCGTGTTGAATCAATCTTTCTCCACACTGTGGTAGGGTGGAGAGGCGCACTTTGGTAGGTGCTCAGTAGAAAAGGTGATGTTGCAGGAAGAAGGAGCGAAGCATCACTTATACGTACGTGATCAGGCTGGCTTGCAGTGGGGTGGTTCTGCTCGCTGATTGGCTGCAGAAGTACTATTCTGCAAGCCACATTCTCGCTGGACAGCCTTGCCGCGCTGCACGGCAAACTTTAGGTGTAGATGCAGGTTCCGATGGGTATCCTGAAGCCTGAGTGGAGGACGTGCCACCTCGTTGATTGTGGCAGAAGTCCTATCTATTCTCAGATGGAAGCGTTTATAAGATTCTGCGCTAGACTTACTTCCTACGTCCGTAGCTTTCTCACAGATAGCATCGTACACGACTATATGGGCGAGAAGTACCGGGATCACAATGGCAATTTCGATGGAAGCGGTAGCAGCGATCGTCTTTGGAGTTCTTCAGCTGAGCATCAGCCTCATCGCGCTTTGGCAGCAGCGCCAACTCCGTCATGTGTATCGCAAGTGGAACCCACAGTAATTCATTGCTCGGCAACTACTAATATTGAAGCAGAGTTGCGGTTCGAAGGACGTCGATACACGATCTGAGGAGCACGCCCATTTCGAGATCGAGCCAAGACCGGGCGGAAAAGGGTGTGATGGAGTGGAGGAAGACTAGGTGGAACAGTAATGTCGATGTTCGCAGGCTGCTGAGGAGGAGGCAATGGAAAGGGAGAGTTATTGTGGAGGTATCCGGCCTGCTCAATGTTCCTCTGCTGGTGCTCAGTGTCGTCGTCCAAAGTTAGTGGCAGAAAGGCAGGGTGAGGAAAGTGTCGATACGCACTTGAGGTTGCTAAGTATTCAACATCTGAAGGAGGCTGTTAGGAAGAAGCATCGGAAGGAGTCTGATGCATAACCATGTCATGAAACTTCCAGTTTTCAAGTTAATATTAGACAATACACTAGCTTTTGAATGGAACATCTCATCTGTGAACACCCAGGGGCCGCCTCCAAACTGTTCATTCCACTCCGTCTCCCTGTCCAAGCGACAGAACATACTAGTTGTAGGCAAAACCACCATACTGCTCGTGTTTCGGTTTTTTTATGTGCGTGTCGAGAGCATACCACATCCGTACAGTCCCATCTGGGCTCTGAAAAAACTCCCAGCCAGGTAGTAACGGCAACGTGAATCCCATGGTTCTGGAGCGATAGTCGTTGTGCGGCGGTGCGGCAACAGTCCAGGGTCCTGCCAACGGTTCGTTGTGCATTGGAAGGTTGGTAATTGGGAAATTGCCTCCGAAACCCGAAGGATACTGCAGCTGTCCAGACGCAGGCATACTATGTCGGTCTTGCAATTTTGGATCCGAGAAACCGCCTGAACTATCGCACCGAGGAGACCCGGAGGATAGTCTCTGAGATTGGTTGGGCTGCTGGGTGCTGGAGCGCCTCTCCCGGAAATGGTGCGGCAGTTGACCGCAGATGGTGTTGCTGGGTATAACCAGTAAAGCGATGAAATGGACGCACTTCGTGGGCACCTACAAGCTACGGGACTCGGCGCGTACAACGCGTCTTGTGCGATATTGTACTCATGCATCCAATGAAATATCTTCCGAGTCTCCACCTCACAGCCCCTGACATCGAGGTGAGCTCTGGTTGGTCCGGCTACGGGATCCTTTGCTTCAGCATCTTCCTCACGATAGCTTGCATCTCCTTCCACTTGATCTTCTTGTCTAGCTTCCATTTACTGATCTGGAACCGGTATTGGCGGATTCTTGCCCATTGCTCGGTGAGTGTCCTAAAATTCTTGCAGTCGTACTCACTCAGCTCTGAATTCGTGTTCTTTCTCCATGATCCCCTTGACCCTTAGCAGCGGCTGGTTCTGTGTCACGTGCAGCTCATAGAGCAGACCTTTCCAGGGCCTCGTGTCGTAATATTGGTGCCTTTGGCTTCCGTGATCTACCAGGAGGCGGCATGGAATTGTTGTGCTCGGCCTGATGAAGCTCGACGCTGATGTCGCGGGCGTCTTCTTGTGCAAGTTGTATTTCGTTGCGGTGTATTATAGCCGAGCTTTCGAATAACATAGACTCGGATAGCTGCATAGAGGAGCTGAAAAGATCAAATGGGTCATCGAAGGTGGATGGGGGCCCCAGCAGGTTATGCGGCGGTTGAGCAAGACGAAGGAGTCGACCGCCGTGGCATCGCCATGATTCATATCTACTGATCGTTCATAGCTGCGACGTAGAAGAGATAGCGTTTGCGGAGACAGAGGCGCTCGAGAACGGAGAGAAGACAGGATCTGACGAGAGAATGGTTGCAGGCAACTCGTAGGTTCACTTGTATCAGAGCAGATTCGAAGGGCTTAGGGTTGTGTCAGATAGGCCGACGTGGCTGAACAAATGTACAATCAATGTTCAAAGGACGGGGATGCTGTGCGACGGCTTGGAAAGATCACGACCAACGACCAGAGAGTCTGCGGTAGTGTTGACCGACCTGCCTTCGACTTTGATCCAGCCTGATGTGTGTCAATGCCAAGTCTGCAAGCTGCATGTTTGTACATTCGTGCTGCAATCCGAAAGTACAATAAGTTCGACGTCGGCGAGAACCTGTGCGGCTATCCGTGTGCATCGCGCGTGAATGACCGCCCAAAACGGAGTTGGTATGAGACCGCGCGCAGGGTGTCTCTTCAGGACCACGTGACCTACACCTTGCTTACCCTGTATCCCACGCTTCCGGCTGATCAATAATCCATAGCTGCCAGACGCCGAAGCGGACTGTGTGCAAGCTGATGTGCTACCCAGTGAATGCGATGGCAGCGTTACCCGATCTTGGATCAGGATCGAGTATCAGTGTGTTGGTGAAAGCAGAAGAGAAGAGCGAATGGTGAGGACCAGGATGGTGCCTAGCGCAAGTGACCGCATACGCCAAGGCTAAGTGGGGTGTGCGACGGGCCTCGAGCTCCAGCACCTTCGGCGAGTGCAAGTCATCAAACCAATATATCTTTCACCGCCGCTGCTGCCTCTGCAGCACAAAACCACACTCCGCCACCTCCCACCACCCATCAGCAACATAAACAGCTCCTCCACCAGCTGTATTACTTGCGCATAGCTGCATACGTCACACCCCGCAATCCTCAGCTCCCCGGCGGCGGCATACACGATAGCTCCGTCTACTGCACCAGCCGGCAAGCTGTCGAAGCGAAAGCATTCCAGCGAGGACTCCAGTCCGCACAAGAAAGTCATGGCAGTGAGTGCGCGCTTTCAATCACCAAGCAGACGCGCCCCAAATGGGCTGGCTGGGATGTGCATTAGTAAACCACTGCATAGCTCATGTGACACCCATGGAACCCTACACTCTCGTCCCACTTACCTTTACACCTGCCTTTACACTGCACACTCAACACCACAACTATGACTAACACGCCTCAGGACAAGATGCAGGTTGACGACCCTCCGGCTGCGGTCGAGCAGCTCAGGGAGGCGTCCGGCAACAACGGCGAGATCGATGAGTCCCTTTACAGCAGACAACTGTACGTACTTGGCCACGAGGCTATGAAGCGCATGGGATCCTCGAACGTCCTCGTAGCTGGTATGCGAGGTCTTGGTGTCGAGATCGCAAAAAATATTGCCCTCGCCGGTGTCAAGTCGTTAACACTCTACGACCCCAAGCCCGCCGCCCTTGCCGATCTGTCGTCACAGTTCTTCCTCCGCCCAGATGATGTCGGCAAGCCTCGCGCGGCCGTCACCGTTCCCCGTGTCTCCGAGCTCAACCCATACACACCTGTGCAGGAATACACTGGCAAGGACCTGACGTCAGACTTATCTCAGTTGAAGCAGTTCCAGGTCATCGTCCTCACAGACACGCTGTTGAAGGATCAGGTCAAGATCGCAGACTACTGCCACGAGAACGGCATCTATGTCGTCATCACCGACACACACGGTCTGTTCGGTACCATCTTCACCGACTTCGGCAAGAACTTCACAATCGGCGACCCTACTGGCGAGAACGTCACAAACGGTATCGTCGCTGGCATTGACTCAGAAGGTCTGGTTTCGGCACTGGATGAGACACGACACGGACTCGAGGACGGTGACTGGGTTACATTCTCCGAGGTCAAGGGCATGGAGGGCCTCAACGACTGTGCGCCTCGCAAGATTGAAGTCAAGGGACCATACACGTTCTCGATCGGCGATGTTTCCGGCTTGGGCGAGTACAAGGGCGGGGGTCAGTACATCCAGGTCAAGATGCCCAAGATTGTTAACTTCGAGCCGCTCAGCCAGCAGCTGAAGAAGCCCGAGCTTATGATCTCCGACTTCGCCAAGTTCGACCGCCCACAGCAGCTCCACGTCGGTATCCAGGCTCTGCACCAGTTCGCTGAAAGCCACAACGGCGAGTTCCCACGACCGCACAACGAGGCCGATGCAGCGGAGGTTCTGAGGATCGCGCAGGGTCTTGCTGGGCAGGGTGAAGACAAGGTCGAGCTTGACGAGAAGCTGCTGAAGGAGCTCAGCTACCAGGCCCGTGGTGATCTCAGCCCCATGGCTGCTTTCTTCGGTGGCCTGGCTGCGCAGGAGGTTCTCAAGTCCGTCTCCGGAAAGTTCCACCCGATCATGCAGTGGCTGTACTTCGACTCTCTTGAGTCGCTGCCTACGTCGACTGCACGCTCGGAAGAGCAGTGCGCTCCGATTGGCTCGCGCTACGATGGTCAGATTGCTGTACTAGGTCAAGAGTACCAGAAGAAGCTCGGCAACATTAAACAGTTCCTGGTTGGTGCTGGTGCCATTGGTTGCGAGATGCTGAAGAACTGGGCTCTGATGGGTTTAGCTGCCGGACCTGAGGGCAAGATCACTGTTACCGACAACGACCAGATCGAGAAGAGCAACCTGAACCGACAGTTCCTTTTCCGACCTCACGATGTTGGCTCGCTGAAGAGCGCGGCAGCAGCCAAGGCTGTTCAGGCTATGAACCCAGATCTGAACGACAAGATCAAGGTTCTGTCCGACAAGGTTGGCCCAGACACCGAAGACATCTTCAACGAGACCTTCTGGAATTCGCTGGACGGTGTCACCAATGCGCTTGACAACGTCGAGGCACGCACATACGTCGACCGTCGATGCGTCTTCTTCCGCAAGCCTCTGCTCGACAGCGGTACTCTCGGTACGAAGGGCAACACCCAGGTCGTCCTTCCTTTCATCACAGAGTCCTACTCTTCATCACAAGATCCACCGGAGAAGTCGTTCCCCATGTGCACACTCAGGAGTTTCCCGAATAGGATCGAGCACACGATTGCATGGGCTCGTGAGATGTTCGACAGTTTGTTCGTCAAGGGACCGGAAGTCGTCAACCTTTACCTCACACAGCCCAACTACCTTGGCGCGTCGCTGAAGCAGTCTGGTAACGAGAAGCAGACACTGGAGACACTGCAAGACTTCTTGGTGACCAAGAAGCCTCTCACCTTCGACGACTGTATCATCTGGGCCCGCCAGCAGTTCGAGAAGAGCTACAACCACAGCATCGCGCAGTTGCTGTACAACTTCCCCAAGGACTCCACAACCGGCTCCGGCCAGCTGTTCTGGTCGGGCCCCAAGCGCGCACCAGACCCATTGAAGTTCGACCCCTCCAATCCCACGCACGCGACCTTTGTCGAGGCAGCAGCCATTCTGCACGCTTTCAACTATGGTATCAAGCCAAATGCGACCAAGGAGCACTACATTGAGGTTTTGAACGACATGATTGTCCCAGACTTCAAGCCCGACCCAACAGTCAAGATCCAGGCGAGCGAGAACGACCCCGACCCGAACGCCAACCAGCCTCCTGCGGACGACAACGACGAGCTGAACGACATCATCAGCCAACTACCGGCGCCGAAGTCGCTCGCTGGCTTCAAGCTTGAGCCCGTCGAGTTCGAGAAGGACGATGACACAAATCACCACATCGACTTCATCACAGCGTGCAGCAACCTACGCGCTGAGAACTACAAGATCGAGCAGGCCGACCGCCACAAGACCAAGTTCATTGCGGGCAAGATCATTCCCGCCATTGCAACCACCACTGCGCTGGTCACTGGTCTTGTCAATCTTGAGCTTTACAAGATCATTGATGGTAAAGATGATATCGAGCAGTACAAGAACGGCTTCATCAACTTGGCATTGCCGTTCTTCGGTTTCAGTGAGCCCATCGCCAGTCCGAAGGGAACCTACGCTGGTCCGGACGGCGACGTGACGATTGATAGACTGTGGGATCGCTTCGAGGTCGACGACATCACCCTGAAGGAATTCATTGACCACTTCAAGCAGAAGGGATTGGACATCCAGATGGTCAGCTCCGGTGTCAGCTTGCTATACGCTTCATTCTATCCCCCTGCCAAGCTAAAGGACAGGATGGGATTGAGGTAAGTAAAATTTTCTCTTCTTGTTGTGACTTAACTAACAACAATCCCAGCATGAGCAGGCTCGTCGAGCACGTCAGCAAGAAGCCTGTGCCGGAGCACCAGAAGAACGTCATCTTCGAGATCACTGCGGAGGACCAGAAAGAGGAGGATGTTGAGATCCCGTACGTTATGGTCAAGCTGCAGAAGTAGGATTCTTCAACTGGACGGTGGGACTCAGTTCTTGAGAATGGTAGATGATGAATTGGCACGGAGTACGACCACGATAGACGAATTGCATGAATAGACACTACTTCAGACATCCACCTTGGGCACGTGACCACCTTGGACACTTGACGTTCGCTTACCGTGAGCCGTTGCGGCAACCGAGTCCGAGTCCAGTCTCGGCCGCCGACGTGGGGCGAGTGGCCAAGCCGCCAGCCCTACAATGGCGGGACGTTGATTATCAAGCTTCAAGTGACATTTCTCCATCACGCAACCATGTGAGCCACACAACCACACCGCCAGCTACACAACAGCATGGCGCCCTCACTCGAAGAACCAACACAAGTCGATTTCGACGCGCCCCTCAAGAATGCGCCGAAACTCGTTGCGCCCGAGCCAGGTACTTACCCCGCCACTCACACTTCCGTCCATTCTCGAGCGTCGATGTGTGGTATGAATGCTAACGAACGTCCTCAGAGCACTGCCCCGGCCCCGAATCCCTCCAGGCAGGCAAAGCAGACAACTGCGCCGGCTGCCCAAACCAAGCCATATGCGCCTCCGCCCCAAAAGGCCCCGACCCAGACATCCCCCTCATCACCGCACGCCTTGCTTCCGTGCAACACAAGATCCTCGTGCTGTCCGGCAAAGGTGGCGTCGGAAAATCCACATTCAGCACCATGCTCTCCCACGGCTTTGCATCGAACCCCAATTCGACGGTAGGGTTGATGGACACGGATATTTGTGGTCCAAGCATACCGAAGATGATGGGTGTTGAAGACGAGACGATCCACGTCACGGGCGAGGGATGGGAGCCCGTGTGGGTGTCTGAGAATCTGGGCGTTATGAGCGTGCAATTCATGCTGCCCAACCGCGACGATGCTGTGATTTGGCGCGGGCCAAAGAAGAACGGACTCATCAAGAAATTCCTCATGGATGTGTCTTGGGGCGAGCTGGACTTTTTGATCGTCGACACACCGCCGGGCACGTCAGATGAACACTTGAGCGTAAACTCGTTCCTGAAAGCGAGCGGCGTCTCTGGTGCAGTCCTCGTGTCCACGCCTCAAGAAGTCGCGCTCCTCGACGTGCGCAAGGAAATCGATTTCTGCAGAAAGGCCAAGATCCCTATCCTTGGCATCGTGGAGAACATGTCCGGCTTTGTGTGTCCGGGGTGCAAGCACGAGTCTCAGGTTTTCCGCGCGAGTACGGGAGGCGCGAGACGGTTGGCGGAGGATGAGAACATACCGTTCCTGGGGGCTGTGCCGCTGGATCCGAGGATTGGCATGGCGTGTGATTTTGGTGAGAGCTTTTTGACGGCGTATCCGGATAGCCCTGCGTGTGCGGCTATCAGGGGGGTTGTCAGGAGAGTGGGGGAGGAGTTGGGGTTGAGTGGAGAGGAGGTGTTGCCTGAGGGGGAGGAGGAGTAGGTGGTTAGAGGAGGAGTAGGTGATTAGAGGAGGAGTAGGTGATTAGAGAGGAGTTGATTGCATGGGCGGCGTTCTATTCTTGCATAGCGACCTTACGGTTGGAAGATACACACAAGGTCAATAAACGATTTCGACAACTAAACCTTTCCATCTAGATTCTGCCTCTGTGAGTTTTCATGGTCGACTAGAGAGCCGCAACCAGACGAAACGATGGGCGAAGTCATCCAAACATCAACCTCAAATAGAGGGGTTCTGAACGCCAAGACGTCGAGACACCTGCACGAACTTATCATGGTCTTCCAGCGTTCATCCTAGACTACCCCGTTGCACACACAATGCCGCATATCCAAGCAGGCGCCTACTCATAGGACGTTAAACCAATCAATCAACGTGCAGGTGCCACGTACACAGCCACCTACGTGGAGCTACAATAGGATTACAAGGAATCACGACTTCAACGAGGCAGGCTTGCCTTCCTCCAGCTTCACGATACCACATCTCATGAGGCAGCAGAGACGCTCAATCGACAATCGAGGTCTTGCAGAGCTCAGAACAAGGATCTGATAGTTCACCAACAACGAAAGAAGACCACAGCGCCGCTTTTTGTCAGCAGCTGAAACGCGTCACGCACGGCCACAGCGCCAGCCACTCGTACCCAGCGGATCGCCATTTAGTCTTGGCGGGAACGGATGCAAAGCTTGGATCCACTGCGCAGACGGGAGCCAAAGTGATTTCGCCGGGACTTTGCGATGCGCCCGAGCCTTGCAGTAGCCACTGCTAGACTCGAGATGGCGTGTTTGACGTCTGATCTGCTCCACTAAAAAAGATGAAGGCAAGATTGCGATTCACATGGGCGACATCTGGTTGGAGCAAGATGTGAAAGATGTCATGAGAAGCTGAATGCTTGGCTTTTGGGACGAGGAAGGGGGGGATGGGTGTGGCTGGCTAGCGGCAAGCATCCCTGCCCGCAGCGCCATAGCAACCTTGGAAACCATATAGACAGTGACGCATCCACGTCTGCCGCCGTGCGCCTCTCCATCGTGCTCTTTGCGACCTTTGAGACACCCAGCACGATTGTTTCGTGCGATTTGTAGGAGCCGCGCAAAGCGCAACGCGCAACACGCAACAGTACACACGCCCCAGTACCACACGCCCAGGCGTGCAATAACTGAGCTTACGCAGGCCGAGCGCATTGCAGCTAGCAGGTGGTTGCTCGCTTGACTCAAGTCGCAGCACTGACGTTTGGCACAGAACAATTGTCGACGTGCTGTTCCTTCCTGACGATACCCATTGACCGACCACCATGGCCGGCGTCATCACCAACGAGCAGCAGGGCCTGTCGCCCGTCAACCAGCAGTACCAGAAGAATGGCGTGCCTGACGGAACCCAGCCTCACCCAGATCCTCACAGTGGCACCACCGGCGTCGGATACGGACCGCAGATTGTCAGCACCTCAGAAGGGCTGGACATCGTGGCTGGCCCGCTCCTCAACTACAGGCACACCAGCACCAATGGCGGAGAGACACTGTGGCACGGCAGCATCCTGATCGTCACCACGCCAGGACAGCATGATCCTGTCATGGTAGTGGCGCCCGCGGGCCCCGTCGACCCGAATGCAGGCAACGTCCAGTTCAGCAGACCCCAGCCCGTAAGAATCGGTGGAGAGAAGCTATACGAGGACCCCAAGCGCGCATTCTGGCGCTTCATCGTCGAAGTGCCGTTCCAGCAGTTCGAGGCGCGATGGCAGTACGAGTTCCAGCATCAGGTGTACGCGGACCGCAGCAAGGCAGAGAAGCCGCAGAACTTTGCCGTGCCTTCGATTCACCAGTCGATGCGCATCATGTTTCACTCGTGCAATGGCTTCAGTGTTGGCACCGATGTTGACGCTTGGTCTGGCCCAGCGCTCTGGAACGATGTTCTGCGTATGCATGAACAGAGGCCTTTCCATGTTATGCTTGGTGGAGGCGACCAGATCTACAACGATGGAGTGCGTGTTGATGGACCATTGAAGCCTTGGACCGCCATTAGCAATCCTCACAAGCGTCGCGACTTCGCTTTTGGCGAGCAGATGCGCGCGGACTGCGATGAGTACTACTTCCAGAACTACGTCAAGTGGTATGGTCAGCGACCTTTCTCCACAGCCAATGGTCAGATTCCGCAGGTCAACATTTGGGATGACCACGACATCATCGACGGATTTGGATCGTACACCGACCACTTCATGAAGTGCGCCGTCTTCAGAGGCATCGGTGGCGTCGCGCACAAGTACTACCTGCTCTTCCAACACCACTTGGCTCCTCCAAAGAGCACATTCACCACCGATGCGCCCAAGACGACAAGTGCGGACCCCAGCGGAACGACTCCGGCGGATCCTGTGCAGCTGGAGAAGACCTGGGTCATGACGGACGACAAGGGTGATCCGTCGTACATTATTGGACCAAAGCCCGGCCCATACGTCGAGGAGCGCAGCCGAAACATCTACTGCCAGTTGGGAGCACGTATTGCATTTGCTGGTATCGATGCACGAACGGAACGCACTCGTCATCAGATCAACTACCCGGAAACGTACAAGATGGTCTTCGATCGCTTGGACAAGGAGTTCTCGGCGAACACGAACCTCAAGCATCTCATCTTCCTGCTTGGTGTGCCGATCGCGTATCCGCGTTTGATCTGGCTTGAGAACATTTTGCAGTCTCCGCTCATTGCGCCCATCAAGTTCTTGAACAAGCGGTTCGGTTTGGCAGGCTCGTTCTTCAACCAGTTTGATGGCAAGGTCGATTTGTTGGATGATCTAGATGACCACTACACAGCGCGTCAGCACAAGACTGAGCGCCGCGAGCTCGTCCAGATGCTACAGAACTTCTCGAAGAAGCACTCTGCTCGCGTCACCATTCTCGGTGGCGACGTACATCTTGCAGCCGTTGGACGTTTCTACTCCAACCCCAAGCTTCAGATCCCAGCCGAGCATGACTGGCGCTACATCCCAAACGTCATCAGTTCCGCCATCACCAACAAGCCCCCACCCGCCGCCGTAGCCAACCTGCTCGCCAAGCGCAACAAAATCCACCACCTGGACCACGACACCGACGAGACCCTCCTCGAGATCTTCAACCGCGACCCCGGCGTCAAGGGCGAAACGCACGTCGTCCGCGCCGGCACGGAACCCATCTCCACCTCCAACGGCCTCGCAAACGGTGAGCACACCGACGCGCCCACCAAGGAAGAAGCGCATAAGGGCGCCGCAGTAGTCAACGGCAACAAGGTTGACCAGAAGACCCGCAACTCAAACCACGCTACCATGCCCTCCCGCAACTACGCCATCATCTGCGAATCAACACCGCCCTCAACCTCAACTCTGTCTGCGCCCGCCGCTGCACCTGGTCAGGCACCAAGCATCAACGGTGCCGCGAGCGCGATCTCTGCGCCGCCTGAGAGGAAGGGGAATATGCGCCATGCAATCCATGATGGTGAGAAGAATGCTGGGACTGGGCATCCTGCGGCCCAGGGGCTGACGCCTACGGGGCTTTGTGGGCCCTTTGGACTAGATGTTACGCTTAGAGTTGAAATTAGCAACTCTGATAGAGAGGGCAGGACGGATGGGTATGGGTTTAGTATTCCGGCGCTCGATGCGGGCGGGTATGCGCAGCAGGGGAGTAGTTGGTAGAATGAGGAAGGCAAGGGTCGAGGGGAGGCCTGGACGGTTCCGGGGCATGTGGAGGAGATGGGCGGTGGTGACGGGTAGAGAGAGAGCTTGTGAGAAGAGAGAGAGAGAGAGAGAGAGAGAGAGAGAGACGGATGGGAGAGGGGAAGATTGAGGGAAATAGAGGTTGGGTAATGTGTTTCATGCTTTGTGCTTGGTATACCCGAATCGTATAGTTTGTAGTCTCTAATTCAACAATCATGTGTCAGGCCTGGGGTGTTCTTGCGTGTCAAAACTCGTTGCGTCGCTCCTGCCTGCCTCTACTGGCGTGTCAACAACTTCGATTTCACTGCTCCTTCTTTCCATAACCAATATCGACCAGCGGCTCTTCCATCCCACCCTCCGTACCAGAAAACTCGTCAGATCGTGTATCTTCGCCCTTCGGATCGGGTTTCTACCACACGTTAGTTTTGGTTACAGAACACAGGTGTCGGTGCCACTTACGATGTAGGCGACTGAGCTGTCGTTGCTGCCAGAGTGCGACAAGACCGATGCTGAGCTGCAGGATGCCGAAGGTGATCGAGGCAAGAGCCTCAGGCGACAGTTGCGCTGCCATTACAATATGGTTCTTAACTCAAGAGGAAGTCAACTTGATGGTGTATACTGAGGCTCAGGTATATCATCTGTTGAATGTACCCCCCTACCATCTTATACCATATTCTGGCAGATGCACTGACACTATACCGGCGCCCGGGAAAGATCCGACGAGATTGTGAATCTGTTCTGTAGTACGGCCACTCACGCTCAGATGCATAGCCGCCCTGACCGGTCAGACGTCACCCAACGGCGCAGCGGCACGCTTCCGAAACAAGAACATTTTCTACATTCCAGTTGGTCGAACGTCTCGCCAAGTCATCTTTCCGCGTTCTCCTGTGGCCTGAGCGTGCATATTGTGAATTTGATCCGGCCAATCACAAGAGGTCTTTCCGGCGCCACCAGTATCAGGCTGGCGTTGACATGGAAAATTGGAGGTCCCCCTTACATATCTATAAGAGAGACTCGACCTACCGGCGAGTCAGTACAAGAAGCACACGATTCTTCTCATACCTTCACTGAACAACCCAGGAGTCTCCATGGTCAGTACAGAGCAGGCTGATGCGCCCAGGCTTGTACTGACAACGATACAGGATCCTCACGATCTACCTACGCAATGCGGTTGGCCAGTAAATACAACTGATCCTACAACATTTGACGCTGCGGATTTTGCACACTCATGGATGAGCTTGCCTGATCTTCCCTTCGAGACGACGACTGAGCCCCCTGACAAGACATTTGCTGGGTTTGCTGGTATACAAGAGCAGGGTGATCATTGCAACGGACTCGATCAGCCACTTGCGAAGCGTCGCAAGCCAAAAGCAACGACTCTGCGCGACATTGATTGGGAGCCTCACAAATCTCGCATCCTCGAATTGTACAGCCATCAGAAACTAGGACTTCAAACTGTACAGCAAATCATTTGGGCAGAAAAAGGGTTTCACGCTGAGTATGGCCTCTTGTTTGCCCTGATAAATGGTCTGCTAACTCGTCTAGGCTTCGGCAGTATGAGACAGTGATTGAGAAATGGAAGCTCGGCAAGTACATCAAGCTTCGCGAGATGGCGAGCATTGTTCGCAAGGTGCAGCAAAGAAAACTTATTGACATCGACCAAGGCGACCTGACTTTTAAAGTGAGGGGAAAGCGGGTCGAAACTGAGAGAATAAAGCGTTGGATGCGAGCCCACGGCGTTCCGGAAGATGAACTATATGTCCCAAGTCCTCCGGCACGTAAGTATCCGCCTCCGTTTAAACTCATGTGGGTGCTGATGATTGCAGCGACTCCCTCGGATGTAGAGTGTCAGACTACATCTGAGCGTAGCACTCCAGTGCAAAGCCCGGCGAGCTTAGCAAGCTTTTTCTTCGATGAAGACCCTCAGCCCTCTGCTACCTCTCCTTGGAGGTTAGGGATCGATTCAAATGACGGTGATGCCGAACAACCGCCAATGGTTGACTCCAGAAGCTACGACTATTGTATGGCAGGATGTGCTTTACATGAGCGTATTCAGGTCATAATGAACCCACACAGAAAGTTGGACGACGGAAGTGCTAAAACACTTACGGCGCGGGGCTGCATCTATCAAGCCATACTATCAGTCCGTATGGATGACGATGGGGAAGTCGCACGTCTCGGCGACGCTCTGAATGATACACTATGTGAGGTCTCGAATGCGCTGTTCTCATTTTACCAGGCTCGTTACGTGCTAGAACCGCGACTCGATCAGACTCTTACAGAGCTACTCTGCCATGGTGACGTTTTGAAAAACCTAGGGGACTGGTTGCAGAAGATGCAGAAGGCTTTTCGAGATATAGAGCAAGGTTTCAGGGAGGGTTGGGACCTGCAGATATGCTTCTGCGACGCGGTACGCAGGCTGCGTATGGTGCAATGGTGGTCGCAAGAGATGGAGATCAAGACTCTTGAGAAGATTGAGTCGTTGCGCACCGTCGACCAATCTCGGACAATTGAGTCCTTGCACGCCGTCGACCTACCTCGGACAATCGAGCCCATGAACTGGATTGCATGATGCCAGCATACGAGCTCAGGGTTCGATCAACCTCCTGGGGCATAGAAGTCTAGTGTTACCCTTCACGCTGCCACCAGCGGGTGAACCACAATAATGCTATTTTGGTTTGTTGTAGCACTTATTGCAAGTAACTCACTCTTTCAGATATGTATGTTTCCACTGACTTCGTGACACATTTTCCTCTTTCGTGTCGACAAATCTTTCACCAACATTTCAGTCTTCAGTCAGTCATATTTGGGAAAGCTCTGAGCACTCATTCTAACGCTGACCTTTGTATGGAAGTAACGCTTCTTCATCTACATCTTCGCGTTTACTTTTGGCTTCCGTTCTCGAAATCGTATCAGTCCATCTTGAAACGTCGTCGCTATATGCACTCCCCTCTCATAGTCCCACATCCTACTCGTATGCAGTCCTCTCCCGCCCGTCGCTCTTGTCATCCAAGCTTCCTGCACAAACCACTTCCTCCCATCTGCATCCCTATCATCCCCTTCGTACCCATCTAACGAGCACAGCGACAGCTTTTCATCCTTCCACAGCGTGCAATCAGCATTCGGATGATCGATGCGTGGTTCAGGCGGCATGATCAAATCTTTGACGCCGACGTGGAAAATTACACTATGTGAAAGTGAGGCCATTCGCGTAAATTCCCTCCCATGGTCGAGGTGGTTGGGCACGATGAAGAGCGAATTGCGGTCTGATGCGTACAAGTGCGCACACGCATGCAGGTTCGCCTCCCTGGTTAACGACGCTTTCCCTGGGCCGGGTGGAAAGGGAGCTGTCGGTAACGGCAGACTGCCTCTCAGGGTGTAAAATGTCAGCTGTCTCCTGTCTAGAGGATCGCGACTCGCATTGTACCTGCTCATATCGGCTTTACGCAGATGCAGACCACCGATCGGATTGAAATGCTCTGGATGCGCTGGAAGGTAGATTTCGCGGAAATACTCTGAGTCGTTACTCGGTGCCGCATCATGCATCATAGGTTCGTCCTGCTTCCCACCCAGCGCTTCGCTGTACTTTTTCTTCAGGTCGACGTGCTCTTGCACATCGAATGGCGAGACCTCTTCGCGCTTGAACGAGCACGTGCATGTGAACATAGCCTGACCCACATCTTGAACGACTGTGACGGAGCGTGTGCAGTAGTTGTATCCATTTCTTATCTTATCAACTTTGTAGATGTAGTGTTCGTTGGGCTTGCCGCCTAGGATGAACCAGCCCGTGATGTTCTTGCTCGACAATCAGCATTTATAGTGGTCACAATTTCAGAGAAACGCACGTGAATGAAGAACCCTTCATCAGCCGTCTGAGCAGCCGCCCATGCTGCTTGCGCAAATACATGGCCGCCATATGTCCCGTTCTCGCCTCCGGTGGGAGAGTAAGCTTTCACTATCGAGCGGAACGTCCATGCATCGATCTTTTCGAGCTCGATAACTTTGTCAAAAGGAAGAACGGCCTTGTCGGGTGTGAAGTATGGGCGGACTACCATGTTTGCTTGGGAAAGCTACGAAGAGATGCGGAGGCTTCGATTTACATGTTGAAGTTGAAGACGAGATTAGGGTTGAGGCTCTGCGAAATGGACCTCGGAACTTGACGAGCGCGGGGTTCCGCGCTACCGGTACGGGGAACGACGGCCTTGCCATCGAAATCGAGTCAGACCATGCATCTAAAGCAGCTGCTGGAGTTTCGACGGGCTCAATCTCCTCATGTCTCTTCTCTTGAAGCAGCACCTGATGGAGGAGTGGATCCACACATTGTGCTCAGATGATCGCGCTAGCACGCAATCCCCATCGCCGATTCGTCAGCCATCGTGAATCATCCCAGCCTCATTCTCACCACCACGTTCTCCCTTCTATCACGACACAACATGGCTTCATCAGAAACAACACCGCTGCTGCAGCGTGATGACACACCCCCTGTTGACATCGTACGCCAACAAGATGGCAATGAATCCGCATCACCCCGCGGAACATTCGCCCGCAACCTCAGCGCCCTCGACGGCTTCGCCCTGCTCATCAGCATCGTCATCGGGTCCGGCGTCTTCTCCTCTCCCGGCCCCATAGATGCCAACGTGCCCTCTCCCGGCGCAGGGCTTCTCATCTGGCTCCTCGGCGGCATCCTCGCTTGGACCGGCGCGCTCACCATGGCCGAGCTGGGCACCGCGATTCCAGGCGAAGGCGGCATCCAGCCCTACCTAACCCACATCTTCGGCGAGTTCTGGGGTTACTTAGCGGCCTGGAGTTGGATCGTCGCGACGATGCCGGCTACGCTTGCGATTCTGAGTATTGTGTTTGTCGAGAGCGTGTATTCTAGTCTGGGGATTAACAATCCTACGCCGCCGGTCACGCATAAGTTGTTGAGCATTGCAGTGTTGGCAGTTATTACGACCTTGAATTCGATTAGCACAAAGACTAGTACGAGGTTGTCGGGGTTCTTTGTTGCGGTCAAGTTCTTGACTATCTTTTTGCTTATTGTTGCGGGTCTAGTGGTTGTCATCAAGTACAGTCTTACTGGTAACGATGTTGGTGGTGTGGACTGGCGAAGGGAACATTGGTTTGCTCCGAGGCGCGATACTCCGCGACCTGATGGAGCACCGGGTCGATTCGATTGGACTAAGGTGTCGACCTGGGAGTCGCTTGGTTTCTACAGTGCAGCTTTGTATGGAGCGCTGTGGGCGTACTCGGGATGGGATAAGGTGAGCTGCTGAAACGTCCACAATGAGACGGAAGATCGCTTACATTCAACTAGGCGAACTATGTCGCTGCTGAACTGCGCAATCCCAGCAAGCAGTTGCCATTGTCTATCAACACAGCTATTCCGACCATCATTCTATGCTACGTAGCTGCTAACGCGGTCTACTACATCCTGCTGCCGTGGAAGCTGGTTTCCACTACAGATGCTGCGGCGGTTGTAAGTCAAGCTTTCTCTTTGAGACCCTCGTACACCGTGCTAACTTTCACAAACAGACGGCAGTGAATCAACTTTTGGGCAAAGGTGGAGCCTACGCTGCCACAATTCTTATCTGTCTGGTTATTGCAGGCTCAGCGCTTGGCAACTCCTTCGTTTCTGGACGCATGGCTGTCGCAGCTGCGAACAAGAACTGGTTCCCTGCAGCTTTCGGTACAGTGGGTCAGATTGGGACTTACAAAGTCGCCAAGGGCGCTGAAGGTGAAGAGAACGCTGAAGAAGCGATGGATAAGGGGGAGTCACCAATGTACGTTTTTATTCGTATAAGGCTTACTCTTGACATACTGATGGTTCTACAGCAACGCACTGATTCTCAACTTCGTCGTCTCAGCGGTCTACATCCTCCTCGGCAACATGCGCATTTTGCTCACCCTCAACGGACTCGCGGAGTACGCATTCTTCTTTCTCACCGTGCTCGGTGCCATCATTCTGCGTTTTCGAGAGCCGGAACTGGAGAGACCGGTCAAGCCCTTCATTCTGATACCAATCTTGTTTGCACTCATCAGCGGGTTCGTTGTGGTGCGGGGCGCGGTGTTTGCGCCAGTGCAGGCTGCGATTCTGATCGGTATTTGGATTGTTGGTGCGGTGTTCTACTATGTGAGGAGGAGAGTGCTGAGGTAAGCGAGCTGAAGACGAGGTTGAAGCGGATCATTACGATCGGTCGATGGCAGAGGAGCTAGACAGCGACTAGTAGCCTTCTGGATAAGCACCAAGACAACACGAGACTCGATCCAACCGACCTTTGGCCTTTCTTTCGCTAAGTCTGGTGGTTGATTGCTTGGATCTAGCGACTTCGTCACGAGCACTGGGGCACTAAGCGGTGAAGCGCCGGGTGCAAGCGAGCTGAACTTCAGCTCTTTGTTCCGAGCTCCAAGACCCACTGAGCAACCCATCAGCTATATAGGTGCAACGGCAACCCGATGTGAAGATGCCGCCGTGTAACTCAAATCAATCTTATTGATCTAGTAGACACAATGGGCGACTCATCGACACCCAAACCAACAGAGGGCTACTTCGACAACAAAGCCCGCGCGGCCGCATACGAAGCGTCCACAGGCGGCTGCACGCGCGACCTCGCACGGCACATACTCACACTTTGCCCTTCCATCACATCGGGCTCCGTGATCCACGACAATGCCTGCGGAACCGGCATTGTGGCCCAAGAAATTGTCGCGCGCAATGTTCTCACCAAAGGAGGCCCGGACGCCGACTACGCTCTGACTATCCACTGCACCGATAAATCGGAAGCCATGGTGAGCCTCACACAATCCGGCTACCAGGGCTGCGAATCCGCAAACTCCATGCTTGCTTCCTTCCTAAACGTGCGCGTCCACTTCACCGTCACACCTAGCGAGTCTCTCTCCTTCCCAGACGGAACCTTCAGCCACTCATTCACCAACTGCGGGATCCTGCATTTCGACAACGGCCTCACCGGTGCGCGGGAAATCCTGCGTACGCTGAAGCCCGGCGGCACGGCCGTAGTGACGAGCTGGAAGGAGCTCAAGCCGTTTGAAGTCGTGAGGGAAGCGCAGCGGGCGTGCGGCCACGAGGAGCCCTTGTTTCGGCCTCCGGTTGATGAGAAATGGTTCAAGGCAGAGACGCTGGAGAGTGTGTTGAGAGACGCGGGATTCGAGACTGTCGAGATAGGAGAGAAGACGGTGCATGTTGCAGGCAAGGATGTGGGAGAGTTGTGTGGGCACTTGATGGCCTTGTTGAGTAGGTATAGCCAGAAGTGGAGTGGGGAGGAGGAAACCACGTTCAGGAAGCAACTAGAAATTGAGGTGGAGAAAGCTGTTGTGCCGATCAAAAGGCCGAGTGCGGAAGAAGGTGTAGAGGAACTGGTAGGGATTCCGATGGTGGCGCTAGTCGGTGTTGCAAGGAAGTGATGTTGATAGCGAGTATGCAGGTAAAAAGATTGTTACGGTATCGGTCAGTCGGTAGGCCTGAGGTTGCACAACATCAGACTATCCTGGACTAGCATGTTTCAGGTCAGGTATAGCGTCGTCTTCTCCTAGCTAGATAGCAACTCAGCGCAGTAATCCATCGACCCGATAATCCTACGTTATCGTTTACCGTAGCTATCAGTGTACTACAGCGACTACGCCGCCACAAAGATGAACAAAGAAAGTCTTGCATTGCACTCGCAAAGATCTCAGTCCAGGTATGACTATGCTGCTAGGGTATGGAATGAAGTGCAAAAAGAGAAACCCAAAAATTTCGGACTCAAGGAGCCACTCTCAGGGAGGAGCCCAGAGTTTCGCGCATTAGGAGCCGCTCTCATATGCGCTTTCATGGTGATCCGGACCCAAGACCTCCAGGCTAGTGCAAGTGTTGAGTCGCCTGGCGACACAAATGTAATGAACAACTGGCAAATTAGTAAATATCTATACACCACATCATCGAACATTTTCTGTCAAGTGAGCCGCCGAGCACGAGCTTGACCATCGAAAACTTCAAGAATTGCTGTTGTGAAATCTTTACTTGCGCCTTCGAAGGCGCACTTCCTTTACTCTCTTCAGACAGACTGGCGGACCGAGATGGCAAGTGCGCGGCGTCCGCAGACACTAAGTGAACAAGAGTCGTAAACACTCTGACACCGGAATCCTTACTCCTTGCAAATATCCCTAGCACGTATGCTAAGACAAATAGATCAAGTTGCGTGTCGATCATACGTTGTATGTGCTTAAAATCAATATTGTCACCAGAAAACAGTCACGACAAGCATTAACATTATCCCACACGTCAAATCACACGTACCAATGATTACACAATCGTAAAGGTCTTTTCCTCGAGCTTGTCAGCTTCTGAACCCATAAACCTCGCTACTTGCCATTGCAAGCCGTCCCATTGACACAAGCCGGCGCGTTTGTGTTGGCCAGGCGTGGTTTCGTCCTCCACGAGACAGAGAGCTACAAGTTCCTTAGCAACATCGTCTTCGCCGAGAACGACGCATTCAAGGTTGAGAAGTGAGTCAATTGGGCGGTCAAGCAGCCATCTAACGGACCCAAGTTTCTTGGTGCCTACGGAGAGTGACTCCCATCTTCGCCCTATCAACGTCCGTTTGAAGTCTTCGGCCGTGAGTTTGCAGGAGAAAGACGGCCCAGACAATTCCAACGCAGATTGTGTGTGCGCAGCTGCTGGCTCATACTGAGTTATGACGGATATGTTCCTGACAACAGGCACGAGGTCAACGAAGGCTCGGCCGAACTCACTCGAGTCCGTGGCTTTGCAGTATGACACTGGGCCATCTGCATTGAGCCATGACCACGTTGGGCCGAACGATTGTGTGTTGGCGTCCTGAGGAGCGGCTATTGTGGTCCGATCCTTTCGCCACCAGATGAGTTGTTTCCACAGGTTCTGTTCCCACATGCCGGCTACTGATGGCACGTTAAGCAGACGTTCGACCGCTTGTATGATTCCTTGTATGGCAATCAGCTTGTCCATCGGGTTGCTGAGGAAGCGCGCCGAGTAGTTTTGAATCACGTGAAACCAGATGTCTGCAATGTTTTCTCGAAGACGTGATACGTCACCAGACCCTGCAGTTGCTCGACGCAGAACTCTGAATGCCCACGTTTCGTCCGGATTAGTGTCCTCCAGGAGCGATGCTGAGACTGGGGATAGTTCGGAAGCAGACAGTGTGACGCAATCCCAGTATATCTGATTCTGGCCGTAGTACAGTATCCGAGGCGAGAGGAGTTGTTCTTGGAGGATCCAACCTCTAGTGTCCAGGACACCCTTGGGTCGAACGCCACTTTGAACGCCATTTGTTGCTGGGAAAATATATAGCTCTTCTGCTAGATCACCAGAAAAGTCTAGATACTGCTTAAGGTCTTGACCGGTGAACCGCTCCACGTGACGAAATTGAAACGGTCTAAGCTTTTGAAAGTCACGCTTTCGGAACATCCCCTCATCCGGACTTGTCGAGTTCGCTGCTGCCAGGGTAAGAACAGCGTTGTTGTAAACAAAGCTCATCTCTGAGGCTTCGTGCAACCAGTCTTCGTCTGAGTCCTGTATAATGCACAAAGCATCAATCCATAGGAAGTGGTACCCGAGCCCTCGGACAACCGTGATCGCATCCCGCATCGTTGGCGATAGCTCTTCTGCGGGAAATGAAAGCAATCGCTGCTCTAGATTGCTGAGTGTAGTTCGAGATGTTTCATCGAGTCCCCAACGGTGGCTGAGTGTCACATATGGCTCATCCAGGCGTACCGAATGCGATCTGTGAACTAGTCGCAGTGAATTCCCGCCTAACAGCTCTACTAATCTGGTTGGGTGGTACAAACGAGGTCGGGCTCGACATACTTGATGTTTCTCGATGCAAGTATCCAGCCAATGTCGAGCTGTTGCTGTGGCTGCAGATGAGCCTGAGCTTGAATCATCTAACACAGCTATGGCTTGTAGCAGGCGATGGGATGCATCTGAAGATATTAGCGTAAGCTATATAAAAAGGCTGCCACACTATCATGTACAGAAAGCTTAGCTTAATTCCTAATTATGAAATGCAAGGCTCACATGGCAGCGGTCTTATTGGATGCTGACGCTCAACGTTGCCGAGTTTTGTGATCAGGCATCTAGTCTGTGCCTCTTCATCTCGTCCTAAAGCAAGGCCCATGACAGGTCCGGCTAAGTGGTGATTGCTAGCCAAACACTCTTTCTGGACGTGCAAGAGAGTGCAGAGAGAGCATAGCGATGGTCTGGTTGTGACACTGGCTTGCCGGTTCGATATGGCAGCGGCAGAATCTTCATGTTGGCCATGGGTGCAAACAGTAAGAGGAAGTCTGCTTGCCAGGGTCCAGACGAACTTCCTTGAATCGAATGATCCAAACCATTGTGGAGGACCACGGCGAACAAGAAACGCCGATGATGACGAACGCACTATGTCTCTTCTGTCGTAGTTCAGCCTTTCGAACGACGCGAACCTCCCTCGAGGAGGGCGACGCGCACTATTTGACTTGAGACGTTCAGCAGCGAGATGTCTGTCTTCTCTTATGGCTCTCTCCAGTAACTGCGACGCCTGATATCTCTCGCCATGACAGCCAACATTATACTCGAGTAGGAGGAATGCTATCGCATCTCGGGATAGTTCAATCGCAAGATCAAGAGCAGTATGAGCGTTCGCGAACCAACTGACCGTCAGAGGATTGTTCGGTATGTATCCGCCGGGAATAGCCCGACACGTTACATCGGTTCCAGAGCTCAGCAACAATTCAAGCATGCTCTGCGAACCATGCCAAACGGCAATGTGAAGTATTGACCATCCCAGGGAAGCGAACTGCTCGAACGCTTCGTCTCGTAGAAGCCGCCACTGACCACCCAGCGGCTGGGGCACACAGCGATTCCCCATAAAAACTCGAAACGATGGCCCGTGACTGTCTGATTTGGGTAATTCCAAGACGACGTCAGGTGGCTTTGGGCCTCGGAGTCCGTTCCTTAAAAGGCGGAGAGCGGTTTTGTCCGATTTAGCGGTCATCAGCTTCCTTATAGCAGATTGGTATCCAGGACTTGGATCGGCTCCAGCACTCAGCAGAAGTTGCGCCGCGGCGTCGTTCCCGTAGTACACAGCTTCCATAAGCGGTGTGACACCAATACTATCATGGGTGTCGGGATCAGCACCAAGTTCGATAAGACGTTGGCAAAAGGCAGTTGTGACACTCCCGACTGCAATGTGCAGAGCCGTGAGGCCACGACTGTCAGCAGCCGATACTTGGGAGCCATTCCTGAGGGCGATGGGAAGAAGACGCAAGTCATCGACTACTGCAGCCACAAGTGTTTCAGGTACACCATGCGAAAGTGTTGTAAGAAGAGTCGGATTGCGCTCGATGCACTGTATAGCCTCTTCCGGGAGTTCGAGAGGTGCCCGGCGAACCCGCTTCAATCGAGCGATTTGTTCTTCAGTAGTCAACAGGTAAGCGCAAAAGAAGCTGGCCTGTCCTAGGAGATGCTCTTCCAGAGTGCTTGTGACCCACCGTTGCAGTGGTCGATCCATAGGAACCTGCGATTTGAGCAACCGCTCGATGAAGCGCTGTTCTCCAGAGTCCAGGTATCGAGTACGTTCGGTCATGAACCCAGCACAGAGGTAGTAGATGATATCGTTCAATCGTGCGCCATGCCTGGCCAAGAGTGTTGTAAGTGCGTGGTCCCAGTCTGTTATGCTCTCGACAATCGGACTACACTGACGGGTCAAACCCCTAGCCACACTCTGTGTCCAGCTTCTGACGATGTAAGACGGTTTGTCATGTGACGTGCCATCGAGCCATTCGACTTTGTCCGCATTTGGCTCCAGGCGTTCCACTGTCAACCTATTATCGCCTTTGTAGATACCAACAATGATATTCGGATCAGCGCCTGCCTCCAGAAGTGACTTGACACGATTAAGGCGATCGCAGCGGTTGGCTTCAGGTAATGGAATACCGTATGCAGGTAGGTCCTGACTACGTACGAAACATCGTGCGAGCAGAAGTGTCTCCGCAGAAAGGGCGTTCAGAATTCGTATCTGATGTGGAGCATTTGATGCTCTCGATGGCGGAGCGATCAAGGCGTGCTCCATTGAATGTGCCCGCGATGGTAAGGCTGACTGCGAGATGAGGGTATCCTTGTCCTTGGGCGGCGACTTTCATCAATAAAGGAACAGGCTGTTAAGCTTGACCGTACGTCTGGACGATTTGCAGTTCTATCGAGCGATGCCAGAGGTATATCACATCGTTACACCTGATGTTGTGTCGCTTATGCCACTGTTGTCAGCTTTTGTGGCTAATCTTCGCTTACGTTTTCTTCTTAAGGACAGTCAGCCGCCCCCAGCATCGGTTATTATAGCTGTGTTAATGACAGCGATTGTAGGTCTAGCACCTCATCTGATTTTCTACCACACTTAGGATTTTCAACTCAATTCGGGCCCAAGTAGACAAGCGTTCAGTAGGACGTCGGCGCGCAGAACGTTGATCGGCAGAAGCTCCGTCGTAACCTCTTCGTAACGTCGCGAAACTAAACCGGATTCACATGGAAATGCGGGGACGCTCAGCATAAATGCGGCTCCCGTGGAGAAACTGACGTGGGAGGTCGGTCAAAAATCCAGAGCGTTCGCGTTCCTGGCAGGTACGCGAACTAAAAGGATCGTCACGAATACGTCATGGGAGAAAGGAGCTTGGACCATGAATGAAAGCGCCGTGTGCTCCCTCTTAAAAGGTTCAGCTCTCTGCTATACTATTTCATCATACAATCCCATTGCTTTTTGTCTTGAGATATCCAATTCACCTTTCCCTCACCTTTGCCATCAATTCAGCTCCTTCACACACATACTACGCAATGTACTCAAGACAAGCCATCCAGAACGCGCGCTTCGCAGCTCGCTGCGCAAGCCGCCCTGCTGCCCATGTCAAGCCTCAGTTCCGCGCACAGAAGCCCCGTTTTCAGTCAACAGAATCAGCTACATCTGGCAACTCTGGCGCTGGATCACACGCCGCCATTGGCGCTGTTAGTGGTGCCGCCGCCGCTGTCACAGTTGGCTACATCTTCTACAGACAGTCAGGTGCCCGCGACCTCGTAGCTGCATCGCAGCAGACCAAGAACTACATCAACTCGACTACACAGAAGATCAAGGAGAACACACCCGAGCCTAACGAGGCCCTCGAGTGGCTGCGCAGCGCTGCACAGAGCTACGCTGCCTTCATCCCCGGCGCCAAGGGATACGTTGACGCTGCTTTCAACGATCTCGATGCCGTCCGCGCCAAGCACGGTGATGAGGTAGACTCCATCGTCAAGGAGGCCTACGGCGAGCTCCGCGATGTTCTCAAGGGCGGCGACATCAGTGTCTTCACCGCACAGCAGGCATGGCAGGTACTCGTTAAGCATCTCGGCCGCATCGCCGATCTGTCTGGCGACGCCGCTCAGCAGATTATGGACAACCACCCCAAGCTGAAGGAGAAGGTTGGCGGCAACATCGACACACTGAAGCAGCTGGGTGACCAGTACGGCCCCGAGGCCAAGAAGGAGGTCGATAAGACATGGCAGCAGATCAGCGACATCATCAAGACCGGCATCAGCCCCGCCAACATTGAGAAGATCAAGAGCGTTGTTCAGGAGAAGGTCGAGAAGGTCAAGCAGCTCGGCGACAAGGCATGGGACAAGGGCATGGAGCAGGCCAAGCCCTACCTCGAGAAGAATCCCCAGATCAAGAAGCTGGTCGAGGAGAACAAGGACACTCTCAAGTCCGGCAACGTGCAGGAGTTGTACGAAAAGGTCAAGACCGCCGTTGAGAAGGGCGACACTGGCGACCTCGAGAAGTACGTCAAGGACGCCGCCAGCCAGGCAAAGGACAAGGCACAGCAGTCCGGCTTCGACGTCGACAGCGTCCAGAAGTATGCTGAGCAGTACATGAAGAAGATTCCCGGCGGTGATCAGATCATGCCCAAGCTCCAGCAGCTGCAGGAGGCAGCGTCGAAGCACGGCGACGAGGCGCAGAAAATCTTCAAGGACGCTGTTGCTGAGGTCACTGAGGTGCTGAAGAAGCACGGTGACAAGGCGCAGAGCCTGGCTAAGGAGGCCAAGGAGGACACTAAGAAATAAGTGCCTCGCCTCGAGCTTTGATACAAACTGGTTTGGAAGGAGTAATGACGATACGATATCACCTGTAGTATAGTGTAGCGCCATAGCGCACAATGAATGTTCAAATTTCCCGAATCTTTAGCGTCCCAAACGCCTTCATGATGCTCATAATCTCTCTTCGTGCTTCACGACCACCCAGCGAGCCCCCAAACTCCCCTCCTCACCCCCTCCACCCCGTTCCAGAATCCATTGCTAACTGTCTGCCCCAGCAGCGCTAGCTGACTCAAATCCTCCTTCACAGGAATAATGACCTCCTTGCCATCACCCGCTTCCACCGTCTCTATCTGATTTTCCTCAATACTCTCCACCTCAGCCTTCCCAACTTCTACATACTCTTCCTCCGCACCCGCGCCAGTCAAAACAGAATCTTTCCGGCTGCGCAGACGTTTTCGCTCAGCAGCCATATCGAGGGCGAGGAGGAGCGGTGTGGGTTCGAGCTCTGTCCTGATAGGACTTGTGTCTTGTGTAGTTGATGTTGTGGCGGGCTTGGTGGGTGTTGTGGGAGAAGTTGAGGAGGAGGGGTCCATGACCATGCGGAGGAGTGTGGGTTGGCGCGTGTGTAGGGACATCGTTGCGTATTGTGTCGTGGTTGGTTGGATGGTTGGTTGGTATAGGTCTGAAGAAAGGGCAGAGCAGGTAGAGCACCGTGCAGGTGGATTTGAACTGGTGAGGTTTGATGTGGTGTTGGACGTCGATCTTGAATACTCGTTGACTCCGTTTTCTGGTGTGAGGTTGTGAGGGTGACAGCGATTGTGCAGTGAGTGGTGAGAGTTGGAAGTCGAAGTATAGAAGCAGACTTCTGAGATTTAGATCAAAGGACTTATGTAAATGCTGATTCAACTGCGTTAATAACTGTCATATTGGTTGTTCAGATGAGGCGGGCACGCGGTGTATAGCGGTGTATATGCATCGTGGTGGGTCGACACGTGTCAAGGTGGGTCGAGGACGGCCATACGGAAAGAGAATCATCAAATTGGTAGCTGTCAGGGTCTTTGAGCTTTGGACCTGCGGGGATCTTATGGGGCTGATGCATAATCGATGGTTTCGCTGTCTGCAATCTGGTTCGTCTGGTCGTGCGCAGGGTTGCTTGCGGCTGCCATTTGGTCTTTCCCATCGCTGCGTGCCCTCGTAACTTTAGCCTGGACCAGACTCAAGGTCTATACTTTACTTTTTTTTTATCTCTTCACATAATTATGCGGCACATTGCCGCGTTTGATCCTAACCGGTGGCCGTGGCGTGCCCCTTTTTGCTCTATCACATAAGGCCATTGAACGACTCCACCAGTTAGCAAGACGCTGGATTGGGACTTGAACTGTTATCTCATCGAAATTTACAGCCCATTCAGAACCGTATTCGGTGCCTATCATGTCTCAGTGTTCTTCCTAGGTCAGCCTTGTTGCATCACAACGCCCGCGAATACTATCGGTTCTTCGGACATCCCATTCAGCGTACACGCAAGTGTCCTCAGACCAACTTCCTCAGACCGTATGTTAGCACACTGGTGACCAAACAGACCTCGCATAAACATATCCTACAATCGCTCGCCTCGATTACTTGGCATGCTAGCTGAAAGAGTGGCATACTATAGTCGGCCGTGATTGCAGCGCCTTCAGCAGCAAGCTCGAGGATGGAGAACACTTGATCGTGGAGGAGGCCGCACTTCGCATCGCGGCTCTCGTTCAGCCAATACATCAAACGATCTTTCATGCCTCTTGTATCTTCGTCCCATAAAGGCTCCAGACCTTGGCTGTCCGTCCATCGGATTCTCCTGCGTCTCATGATTTCTTGTTCCCACGCCAGAATCAAACGAGGTACTTCGGGCTTCCTGTAGCAGTTTCTTGTTCTATACATCTGCTTTAATAAGCAGTAAGGCTCCAGAACTCATACCCTCTCATGCGTATGCAGATCGTCAACTGTCCTAACAAAACGAGATGATCACTGAGCATTAAGTAGGTATGGCGAGCTAGCATAATCTCTTGGAATACCCAAGCCCGTGTCAATACTCATTTCTAAGGATGAAGGACATGTAACGTCGAGGAACTGGGACGAATGTCCAGGTCGAAATTTTTGCGTGCCCGAGTCATATGATGACACTTCTCGCGTTGAGATAGACTTTGCCCATCTGTGCAACCTGATGGTTTCTTTCGACGCTCGAGCTTTGATCGATGCAGACAGCGTCTATCCAGAGATTGGTTCTCATGTAAGATTGGTGCTGCTGACCTGCCCTTCGGTACTCAAGACCTCGCACGACCTCGAGGAAGTCATGGAGGTTCTTGTTGATGATAAGCTGTCCCCCGTTGACCGAGATGGTGTGCGACGAATCGGAAGATCCCTACCTGTAAGAACGACATTTGTACTGTGCATCATTGTGGTGTGGCGGACGCTGCACTGTACAAACCCTTCTGGCGACAAGTCAGAATATATTGAGATGTGGCTAATGGATGGTTGTGTGATGTCAAGTGGTTCGTGTTTGAATGTGGGGCATTGCTCGATCGTCGTCATTGTCGCGAAACACCCAAGATGGATTCTGAAGAGCTAAAGCCACATTGGGTCTCTTCAATAAGAAAATAAAACGGGGCTGTGCATATTGCTGTTCATTAGGCTGCCACGTTGCATTGCATGGCGGGCTTGGTCGTTTGAGCACATGCATCTGCATTATTGCATGTCAGCATTTTGATCCTCAAGTTCCCTGAACAGATCCTGCATTTCAGCTTCCTCAATGTGACTGTCTTCGAGAGCCTTCTGAGGCAGGTCTCCTGGTAGTCCTTCAGCCCACTTGTCCTTGAACTCGTTCCAGAACGGCTCATCGCGCACGAGGTGGTCTCGCCCATGGTAGTGTTTCGCTGGACCCGAATGCTGGATCCATGATGGCAAGCAGTCAAAAAGTTCCCATGGATCATAAAACGTGTTGGTATTCATATCGAGATCGAACTCCAAGCCATGGCCGTAGTCATAGAGTGCTTTGAGAAGAGCGTTCGCTTACTCGCAGAAGCCAAGGACAAAGAGGTCGAGCGCTTGTTCTTGTATCGCCTGTGCTGACTGTTCGGACTTCCGTGCGGTGGAGAGCACCGTTCTTCGCCATGGTATTAACGGTAGGGATTTGGGACTCATATCGTATTGATAGTGAGACTAGGGTTGGGCTGGATAGCAAGACGAAGCACGGATATTGTACTGCAGTACGCACTAGAGATCAGCAGGCTGCAAAGAGGGCTAAGGTAAGGCCATCCAGGCACCGGCAGATGCCATGACATAATTTTCTCCTTCCTCATCTGGAGACTTGCGATCTCGACTCCAATATTGGACAGCCCAGAAAACATGACCGGACCCTAGGCGGACCGAAGCTGTAACTCGTAAAGGTTGTATGCATTGCAGGAGAACTCGACTATGTACATCGGAGTACATCCAGGTAGGGTCTCTGGCGACTTACTCAAACATGAACGGAAGGATATCTAAAAGGGACAAACCAACATGATAGAAGTGAGTACAGAATCTACCATGTAAAAGAATGTTGCAGAGGCGTGGGATCGTGGTTGGGTGTTTTGCGAATGCCTGCGAAGATGGCAAGCAACTGGACTGCTTCAACACCGCCGTCTTCTTGCCAAAATGTCGAGGCAGAAGTTTGTTGCATGGCGAGGTCGTAGCACGTGTCGAGGAGGGCGTTGGTGCTCTCTGGGCTGTCTTTGATCCTCAGCTTCATTCCGATGGCCATTGCAAGGAAGACGTGGAATCTAGCCATCGACATAGAGGCGACAGGCATCGAGGGCGAAGCTTTCTGAGTATTTGGGTAGACCATCTCACAGAGTTGCGCGAACGAGCTGGCGGTCATACCGTACGCTTGTGGTGAATGGGCCTCGACATGCTGCATGAACTCTGTTGTCAGAGTGTCGGCTTCAAAGAGACTAGGCAGTGGTATAGTAGAAAATGCGCGACTCCGGTCTGAGTAATTTGAGCCTGTCAATGCTGGCGCTGGGCTGGGAGCGAATACGCCTTGTCGTGGTAAACGTGGGGCAGAGGCGGCGAACGACAATAGGTCATCGTCAACTTCGGGTATCGGTGACATGACCTGGTCATCGCTTGCAAGTGAGGCAGAGGAGCTGGAGGTATTACGAGAATGGCTTCGGCTTTTGGTTGTTCCAGCGGTCTTTTGGCCTGGCTGCATATGGGCCATAAACTCCCAAGATGGTGCCGTATGCGGTTCTAGTGGCGAGGAGCTCGGTTTGCTCCCGAGAAGGTGCGGTGGGATCGAAGCGAATTGTGGTGGGATGGAGGTGGGCGGCATGTCGGGGGATGATGCCCGTGTGGTACCTGACCAGAATGAAGGTACTGGTGAAGACGGCGATGCAACGTTAGGAACATGCTCACATTGATTTATCGCAATCGTAGGCATGCCTCTCTGCGCGAATCCACCAAGATTCATTCCACTCGTGTCGAAAGAGGTCGCAAACGTTGTGTCGAGATTTATTGGTGGTGGTGTGTCTTGCCAATTAAAGTCTACTGTTGCAGATGCCAGGATGGTTTCGTCAATGCCTTCCATACCATGCATTGGAGCATTGACATGCGCGGCGAGTTGCGCCTCGAGCTGGTGTATTCGACCTTCTAGTGCTTCTCTGTGTTCTCTTAACAGGTGTGAGTTATATGTCATCACGTGACAGCGCGATAACGCGGTCTACTTACGATGCGACTAGTTCTTTTGGTTTTTGCGTTCTCACACATTGTAATGAGAATCGTTTGCATGTAGCGCAAGGCGTGTCGCCGTCGCACCGAATCTTTCTTCGCCGGCATCGCTCGCAAGCATTGGAAACTGACTTTCTCCTTGGGTGCCAATCTCTGACAGCTGTGGGAGAGAAGCGACTAGGTCCCTCATTGGGAGGTAGAGAGGCTGCCTGTTGTCAGCTATAGATGTTGTAAATGCTGGATTGAACATACTAAAAGGGCACATGGTTGCAGGGTAGCAGTGAAGGATTCCGCGCCGGATGGTAAGAGTTCCGAGATCTGGCGCTCAATGCGGATACAGAGCCTACAATAGCTAAGGGAAGGAGAGAAAGATCAGGGCGAACAGGACGGGAGACGAGATCTGTGAATGTTTTACAGCCCGTCAGAAGTCACGGTGACAGTCCTATTAGGGTGACTAAACGTCTGTGCCTGCCGTGAAATGTGTGCGGGTAAAGAGCAGAGAAGCGCCGCGGACAAGGCGCGACACGAACCTCAGACAGTTCGCCCCTCATCGCCTTCTGCGACATGTGCAGCCTCGCGCATGGTGCACTGCGCTGCCCCTTCCTTGCGGCGGAACATTCTTTGCACCGTGTCGACTTTCCTTTGGTGTGTTATCGAGGTCGAAATGAGCCTCGCGACGCGGAGAGTGCGGAAAGCTACTCCGCGCGTGCATGAGAATCCGTTACGCCGCACTTCAGCCGCCAAACCCACACCAAAAACACACGGAGACCTGCGGAGTCGCCCGCTCACTCTAAACAATTCTAAACAACAGCAACAAGCCTTTTGGACTGCCGAGTTCCAGAAAAACGGCAGAATTGATCACGGGTTTCGCACTCGCCGATGTCCCACCAATTAAGCACTCTATCAGTTAGGTTCTCGAGAACGTCGCCGCAATCCTGAGTCTGTCGTCAGCGCATCGTTTCACGCGTCACATCTGTCTCTCGAGGCTGATTTCTCTTTCCCCGCTGTGAGTTACAAGTCGCAGTTTCTATGAACGCATTGTGGATGCATTAGATGCGCAGGGAAGGCATACGTGTCGACCCTCAAGACCGGCTTGAGGATGTTAATTTACCATCGCATTACACCGATTGCGTTGACTATGTACAAGAACAGAACAACCTCTGACGCATCACACACGGCATAATGGCCCATCGGTCGACTGCACGCCTACGATACCATTGTCCTGAACGACCCATCCCTCGCTGCCCACGCCGTGGTGAACGTAGAACAGCTCCGTTGGGTCGTACTTCTTTTTCAGCCCCACAAGCCTGGGGTAGTTCTTGCCCCAGAAAGCTTGCTGCCAGTTAGGCTCGCCGATATTCGCTTCATTGCCGTACGCACCACCAGTTGGTGTGACCTCACGGAGCGGAGCCATGGTCTCGATGTTCAAGGCATCATCGCCGGCCTTCCAGCCAGCAGCAGTCATGTCGGTGACACTTTGAATGGCAACAAGCTGAGCCTGCAGGTTACGGAAAGCTGGGTTGAGCGAGTTGATGCCCTTGTCGAACTCGTCAGCAGTGTGCTGATGGTAGAGGTTCAGCATCATTGCTTTCTCCACAGCATTCTGGACGGCAGCAAATGTCTGGTTAAGGACTGTCTCGTTTGCCCAGTTCTCCGTTGGTATGAAGCGGCTGCCTGGAATCGCACCGGCTCCTCCAATGTAGTAGTTATAAGTGGCGAACGTGGCTTGGTACGCCGGGTACAGGGTGTCGTAGTGTGTTGTGTTGGCTGCGATTGTGATATTGAGCTCAGCAGCCTTCTTGAAAAGGGGTTCGACCAAAGTCTCGAACTCTTCGATCGTCTTGTTCGTCGCGAAGAACGGGGTCATGTTCCACAGGTAGGTGCCGGGAGCAAGCTTCATGATTGTACCCCATGAGTAGGTTTTGGCGTCGTTGTACGTTGGGAAGCTCTCCCAGAAAAATGTGACAAGCTCCCAGAAGGCTTCGGCAGAGACTGTTTCGGAGGTCATAACAGTCCAGGAGGAAGTAGTGACAGGTACTTTAGGGTGGACTTTGACAACGGCAGAGGTGATGATGCCGAAGGTACCACCACCGCCACCAAGCATGGCCCAGTAGAGGTCGCTGTTCACTGATTGAGTAGCAGTGACGAAACGACCATTCGCGAGCACGACTTCGAGAGCGACGATCTGATCAGAACCAGCTCCGAACAGCTGCATCAGCGGACTGTGACCGCCTCCTGTCGAGTAGCCACCGAATATACCTACGGTCTTAAATCAGTCAGAAGATTGTTCTACAACTTTGAGTGCTTAAACATACCGGACAGATACCAGCAACAGCAGAGACTCCATACTTCTCAGCAGCTTGTAACAGTTCAAAGCCCTGTACACCAGCGCCCACCTTGAAAACAGGACCGGAGTACGCAGCGCTGTTGTAGTTCTCAACGTACTGGATCTCCTTTAACCCATGGGTCCAGATGCTCAAAGCGCCCTTGCCAACCGATCGACCATTGTAATCATGGCCAGTGTTGCGAATCACAAGACGCAGGTTCAATGAACGAGCGAAGTTAACGGCCAATTGGATCTGCGCAACGTTCTTGATCTTGACCGCGTACTCCGAGTATCCACCCTGGGTACAAGCACCATTGGCAGCATTTTCAGACGCCGGGATGGGGCATGTCATGCCGTAGTACAGTGGGTTCATCAAGGCACCATTGTCTTCGTAGCTGCATTGGTCAGCGCAAGCTGCTGCATCCTCGCAAAAGTTGACATACTAGATCTCCTCTGCATCAAGGTTTTTGACGAGGTACGTACACCTTTCCGCATCGTAGTTGTTGTACGTCGAGTTGGGGTAGCAGGACGAGCCGATGGGCACAATAGGTTCGAGAGCACCTCCAAGCAGCAGATCTGTCAGGGCCCAAACAAGCTTGCTGGGATAAAGCGCGTCACCAGGCATCGTCTTGCAGCGCTGAGCACTACGGGCATGGCGACTGCGCACGGCTGCCGTGGAGTTCGCATCACCAAACTCGAAAAGCGATGCATACTCGGCGACCTCAGGGTTGCTTTGGAGCTCAGCAACAACATTGTCGGTCAACTGAACGGTCTCGATGTCGAAAAGAGGCACATTTGCGGGAGTCGATACGGTAGTGACGGTCTCGGCAGCAGGTGCTACGGAAGCGGTGAACGAGGGGACAGAGCTCTGCGCTGCTGCGAGAGCAGCAAAGATCAGCGAAAGAACGAACGACTTCGACATCCTCACAGGTATTGCCGAGTACCAGAAGGACGGAGACGAGTTGAAACACAACCTTTGGTTGCCGGGCTCATGGGGCACGCAAAGCTTTTAAAGAAGCAACGGGCGCACGATGCAGCGCAGCACATAGGTATGCAAGAGAAAACATCCATTTCTTCGGCATATATGGACCGATGCGCAGTATTTGAGCGACAAAGGTTGATTGGCAGACATCAGGTACAAAGACGGAGGCTTGAATATTGCCCGCGCGAAGGATTCGCTTCGAGTCAGTAGGGTTACGCCCAGAGCACTGCAGGTAAGACGAAAATCTAGTCCGGCTAATTATTCTCACAGTAATGCTGGCAGCCGCCTGAGGAAACGGTCAGAGAAAGATGAAGGATTGACACCCATTGGCTTAGGCATAATTCCACAAACTGCTTCCTCGGTTGCGTGTACGGGTGGCCTGGAAGGGCATGGGCAAGGTCAGCACGACAAAATTTCGAGACCACGGATTGACATTGAGACACAAGCGATCATTCTGCGAACCATCTTTCCAGAGCCTGACCGAACGTTCAATCCTTGAGGTACGGAGAGGTACGGCCTGCTAGCCCTCAGGTGCACAGTTCGGGACATTTGGGCGGCTCGCTGGTGGCCGTTTTCCTTACCGGGATGTCAGACTTTGCGTCTGCAGCTCAAAAAGGCAGGTTATGGGGCCCCAGGCTCATGCCTACCCAGACCCGGCTTTGTGCACCAACATTTGATAGAATGTCACTCTCGCACTGTATGTAGTTGACTATGGAATGATGTGCGATTCTCGTATGCCATTCGTAGACCCAAGGTGGTCTAGACCTCCAATCCAGTATCATCCCGTCCCACTGCTACGTTCTTGAGATCCTCACACGCTAGTCTCCCTCTTTGAGCACCTTTTTAGAGAAGTGCATCAAACCACATATGCTTCTGAATGGTCAGACTTTACGACTCTGTAGTTTCGTGCGTAGGCTATCGATTGTGCAATTTTGGGTGCAGTTGATTAGCTCCTCATAGTGTTGTGAATTCTCAGGAGACTTGAAGAGCTTGCATTTTGAATGAACATACGAGGCACTATTTGCAACAACATCCTCGGATCGTGTTGGCGTGTCAGGCAGAAAGTGTACTTAGCCCACAAGAGATATCTTACAAAGAATTGGATCAGGTCTTGTAGTTGCTGGGAACTTGAATAGCGTTCGCTTGGTCTATGCTTACTGTCTGAAGCACCTTCGGCTCAAGGCTCAGTGTACGCCATGATGTCACAGCTGTACGCGTACCATCACATTTCTGCAAGCCGTACAATGGTGTATCGTCCTTCAAGTTCATGCAAACTTTTGCATTCGATATTAAGTCTATGGCAATGTCCGGTATCTGATGGTTTGCCGTGCTCAGAAGCCTTCGGCTATCAATGACCCGGCCTTCTCGCCGAAAGATGGGGGGTTATTGCCGCGGTAGCGCCCCCCTCAAATGCGCTCCCGATGGTTGGGCACTCGTTGAACATCTGAACAACAACTGTCAAGCGGAAGGATTGAGATCATGGGACATATCGACGGCGCTGAGGTTGCGAAGCACACCAAAAAGAACGATTGCTGGATTGTGCTGGATTCTCATGTGTACGATGTGACAAGCTTCTTGCCTGAGCACCCGGGCGGTGCGCCGATCATATTGAAGAACGCTGGAACTGTAAGTGGTTCAGGCAATGCGCAAACACAAACTGACGAACCATAGGATGCGACAGACGAATTCAAGAAGTACCACCCATTGAGTTACCTGAAGGATTACATTGATCAAAAGTCCGTCCTAGGACCAATTGATCCCAACACCCTTGGACAACTACGAGAACCGCAAAAGGAGGAAGCCAAGATGCCATCAGAGACAAACACATCACCTGGCATTCCGCATGTATCATTATGCGTATCAACACCAGATTTCGAGATTGCTGCAAAAGCTGTTCTACCGCACAAATCCTACATATACGCATCTGGGTCAGCCAATACAGGCGCATCACTCAAAGGCAATCTCGATGACTGGGGCCGCATTATTTTCCGCCCGCGCGTGATGCGCAACGTAGGCGACGTTGACACGCGCCACAAGATCCTCGGCCACAGCTCACCATACCCATTCTACATTTCACCAATGGGAACTATCGGCGCCATACATTCAGACGCCGAACTAGCGATGGTTCGGGGCGCGGTGCGCAAAGGCGCGCATATGGTAGTGAGCACTGCAAGTACCAAGTCCAGCGACCAGATTATGCAGAGCTATGTGGACGAGCAAGCGATACTGAAGAACGGAAGTCCGACGCAGCTTTTCTACCAGTACTACATGCCTGTCGACCGAAAGAAGGCAATCGAGCTGATGCATCTGGTCAAAAAGGCTGGGTATAAAGGTCTCTGGATCACAGTCGACACACCGGTCCTGGGGAAGCGAACGGCTGATCGTTACCTTCAAGCTGAAGAAGCGCTGGCTGTTGGATTGACAGAGGAGCCCACCGCTGAGTGGGAGACTGACAGTGCGCCTGAGAAAGATAACACAGCAGGCAGCGACAACGCTTTTGCGCCAGCGATGGGTGGAAGAGTTGTCAGCGGCCAGCTCAGCCCGCACACAACATGGGAAGATCTAGAATGGATACGCAAAGAATGGGACGATCCGATCGTGCTGAAGGGCATTCAGACTGCCGATGACGCAAAACTAGCACTAGACTATGGATGCGATGGCATTCTGCTTAGCAATCATGGCGGACGACAGATGCACACTGCGCCGAGCGCGCTGATGACGCTGCTGGAGATCAGGACTTATTGTCCTGAAGTCATTGGCAAGCTGGAGATTTTTCTCGACGGCGGGCTGCGAGACGGAAATGATGTGCTGAAGGCGCTGTGTCTGGGTGCGACGGCGGTCGGTGTTGGTAGGCCGTTCTTGTATGCGCTTGCGGCATATGGGACCAAAGGCATCGAGCGGTGCGTTGATGGTAAGTCTAATAATCCATACGCATTGAATTTGAGGCTGACTCATCGCAGTACTTGCCGAAGAGCTACAGACGGGTATGCGCCTTTTGGGTATCACATCACTAGATCAGTGCAGGCCGGAGATGGTGAACGCCAGCCGATTGCTGAACGAGATGTGGCGACCAGAGCATGCCATGCTGAAGAGTCGATTGTAATCAAAATATTGTTTCGCGTTCGAATCGCGTGTTGCAGGTGCCAAGACGCAGACGTTGCAACTACAAAGATCATGTATGCGCGGGCCTACACGCGCATCAAACACATAATCTAGTCTGGTCGTCAACGCCGCCCAATGTTGATGGAACTCCTCTCCTTTGGTATATATATTCGATGGGTCTCGGTGCCTCGCAGAGTCCCTAGTAGCCGTTATCTAGTGTTGCACAAATTTCGTTAACGTAGCCCGACACACAGCGCCACTATCACAGATCTAGTAGGTTATAACAAAAATTTTCGCTCTCACTTTCATCAAGTCACAACTGGAGAAAGGTGAGGTGGCCGAGTTGGGTAAGTTCCACTCAAATGTCACCATCTTCCACTTTCCTAACAAACTTATAGTTATGGCGCCAGGTTAAGGTTCTTCCTCCTTAGCATTGCTGAGCAATCAGCTTCCTGGTCACGAAAGTGGCGCGGGTTCGAGTCCCGTCCTCATCAACATTCGTCTAGCTCAGCTAGATACTCCAGGATCTTTTTTTGCGGTTGCGTTGGCCCTGTGGGTTGTGGGCGGACAAGCGAGGGTTTTGGGCCGATGTGGGGTTAGTGCCATGAACGCCAAGCCTTTTTTTGTTGGATATGATAGGCTTTCTAACACTACACTTCTTCTGAGTCGTAAACCTCGCACCATTTTCTTGTCCGCCAGGATATTATCGAAAGGCGGCGAAGGCGCGTAATCTCGAGCAGTTACAATGAGTTGCGTCTTCTGACCCGCCATCGTAACGAAGTCGGGTTTATGATCGTCTTCCAATGCTGCCTCAAGGTGGTAAGTCTCCAATACAGAGGAGCTAAAAGCAAGTCAAACCACGCTGGCAACTGTCGAAGGTCTTGAATGTGAAAGATAAACGAAGCGCTCGGGGCTCAGCGTAATATCAGAAAGTTGAGATGTGCGGCATCGAAAGGCGTCCCGAGCCTTCTATGTGCCAGCCCACCGAGTGTGGACAAGGCTGAGGTCTCACTTCTTAGCCGTCTGCGCAGCGCAATGCCAAGTAGCATTATGTCTGACAAGCCAATCTATGGTACAGCACAAGGGCTGTAGGGACCAGACCGTAAGCCACCCATCTTGCAAGCTCGATATGATATTGCCAGATGATCCACTTTAGCGTATCTGGCCTGACATTCAACGATAAGACGTATGATCTGCCAAATGAGATTCGAAGGTTCCTTGTACATAAGATATAACCCTTTTCGACGATGCCACACATTTTGGACCCCACGCGCCCTGTGCTCCTCCTTCACCAGCACGCAACCACCGCTAGTGTCAGCCGATCGCATCTCCACTCTTCCACTGCCAATACGACTGAAGTATTCGTTCTACTCTTGTTTGATAAATGGATACCCTCAGAACAAACAAGCCTGTCCCTTTGCTCTGACCTCGAATGGAAATCTTCTTTCGTCTGTTGGCTTACACTCCCCAACCCCTCTTCTTCACGAACTAACACACAACACTTCAATAGTCCATCCACACTTCCTCACAAGCCAGAAGCTACTTGTCTCTGTTTCCTCCATCGTTGAATCCCGCTCCGCTCCACCCGTCACCCGTTGCACGCTAAGTTGCAGCGGGCGTTGACTGAAGCCATCACGGTGCCACGAGTCTCCACCACAGTTCCAGTCAAGAATTTTGGGAGGCTGACGTGCATGAGAGAAGCTTGGAAAGGCTTGGTTTGACTACAACCTTTCGTCAACCTATCTGCGTGTTGTATGCAGGCTTATTATCTTTCGTTGGAGAGATGACTCGATGGGTGCAGTTCCCTCCGGATCAGGCGTTTGATGCATCCTATGGTAGAAAAGCACCACGCGAAAAGGTTCGTTTGCGAAGTGTCTGTTCGTAATCAAGCACAACGTCAAACCACAGAAACCTTGCGGAAGAATTGTATGTATCTCCATGGTGTTTGATTACTCTTACTACTACTACAACATCGTCGTCTCATCTCGTCATGATATCATCGCTAATCAACACAACACACATCATCTATAACTCATCGTGACCGCTTCCGCAAGGCTGGCCGTGGTGATCGTGTCCGCCCTTATCGAACCTCGCAGCGAAGCGTGCAGCACCAGCATCCCTCTTCCTCAGCGTGGCATTCGGCCTCGGGATACCCTCCCAGCTAATCGCGTACTTGGCAACCGAGTTGGCGATACTCTGCGTGTTGAGCAGATATGCCTCGTGGTTCAAGTTATTGATGTCGTCGCACTTCTGGTGGTAGCAAGCATCGAGTGCTACGCCGGCTTCGCCGCCGAAAAGCTGTGCTTCCTCCTCAGTTTTGAGGACCTCAGCACCCGTGAACAGGCCACCACTGGGGATACCATTCTCGAGGAAAGCGGCGTAGTCAGACCTTAGGGTGAAAAGCGAGGGGACGTGGGCCTTTCCATTCGCCTCATAGAATTTCTCAAAGTCCTTCTCAATAGTATCGCTCCCCGCGGGACCAGAGAAGTTAAACGCGCTACCATCGCCATCGTAAATACCATACACGTAGTTCGGGCTCGCAATCATGTCGAAATTGAGATACGCGCGGATCTTCGCAACCTCCTCTGGCCCCCCAGAAATACTCCCGTTGAGCGTCTTGAGGTAGTGGAAACTCCCCAACTTGCCAAACTCCTCGGCACCCCAGAAGCCCAGGCGCACGGCGTTCTTGACTTTGTACTTTGCGAGGGCTTCGGCGACGACGAGGACGCCGATGGTGCCTGAGCCGTCGTCGTTGATTCCGGGGCCAGCGAACACGGAGTCCGTATGTCCGCCGATCATGAGGACGTTGTTCTTGTCGCCGCCCTTAGTTTCGGCGATGACGTTGTAGTTTGTGCGGTTTTCGCGGATGGTATCAATGAAGATGGTGGCGGGGACCGTGGTGCTGTTGCCAACCTTGGCGAGAAGGTCGTTGCCGATCTCCTGGGTGACGCCGACGACGGGGGCGTAGTTGCCGTCGCCTCCAAGGGTTCCGGAGAGGGGCTGCAGAGGGGTGTTGTTATAGATGATGGCTCCAGAGGCGCCAGCGGTCTTAGCGTTGGCGGCCTTGATGGCGAAGGTGCAGGTGCCGCGAGAGATGAGCGCAACGTTGCCAGAAACAGCAGCGGGGTAGTCGGCAGCGTCACAGCCAACGTTATTGACCTTGACGAGGTTGCCTCCAACGTTGTTGGCAGCAGGACCGTAGGTGAGGTAGTCAGCCTTGACATCGGCACCAGCAACGGTAAGCTTGACGGTAGCGGCGGTGAAGAGCTCTACGAAGGGCTGCTTGTAAACCTCCCAGTAGTCGTCACCGTACTTCTTCAGGCTGTCGTAGAGCCACTCAGTTGTGCTAAAATCCGTTAACAAAGTTGATCGTGGACACTTTTGGGAGGCCGACTTACGCGTTGTGACCGCCTCCACCGAAAGCTCGGTTTCCGCCATACTTGTCGGCAATTCTCTGGAGCTTCTCAGAGCCCTTGATCAAGTTCTTGAGTTTGACCTCCTTGATCAAGTCCTTCTGGTTGACCAACTTGTTAGGCTTTCCCGCAGAAACAGAACCGAGCAGGCCGGCACCGGCAATGAGCAGATCGAACCTCATATTGATTCTTTCGAAGCTTGTGAGGGTGGAGCTGTACAATCAACCGGGGAGCACAGTACCATATATACTTTTTCCTCGTCGGCCCAAGCGACCTATCTCCAGCCAAACTGACGCATATCCCACCCTAACCCATACAGGCAGTTGGCAGTCCAGTTCTTTGCGTAACATCCCTCAGGAACGAGACGCAGCGGCCAGTGATCGAGTGATAGGTACGTCGTCTCTTGGCTGCGTGATGGCAAAAGGCTCACTGCGATACATGGGGAAGGAGATGAACGTAATTCCTGGGCGGAGACTTCTAGCTCACAGCGGACCATTCTCGGGCGGACCCTGATTGGGAAGGAAGTTATTAAGCCAAGAAAAACATCCCCGCTCTTGTGCTTGTAGAGGGGCTTGGCGCGTCGACGCCACAATCTGCGCAAACGAGGCACGAGGCTTTGGTAGGGTTTGACGCCATTTAAGGGTGTGGAGTGAGCGTTGCCGAGGTGAGTGGCGGCGGTGCAGGCGGGTTGGGGAAGCTTGATGGAAGGCCTTGAAGAATGCAGCAGGCGACTGGATGCGACAACACCGATGCACTGCAGATCAAAGTGTCGAATCTAGATACGTCTCAAGGGCAACGAGGAGGCGAACAATATTGGAAACAAGACGACCGGGTAAAAGACGATGATGTTTGCATTGACCAATGGCATGGTAGGTCGATTCCATCTTATCAATTGCGGTACAACGCGAGATGACGTCTTACGACACACATTACTTGCATTCGTGCCGTCCCTTATGCGGTAGCACCAGCCTGCAGCTTCAGGACGAATGCGCCACGCTCCATCGTGTTGACGAGGATGTAACCGCTCTTGAAGAGCGCATAGCTGGACCACGTGCCGACGAAGTCGACCTTTCCTCCACCGGTCACGTTGTCGTCTTCAGGGTAGACATCTATATTAACCGTCAGTGAGGCTCTAGAATGTAGGCTGTGTATGACTTACCGAAGAAACCAATTTCCTTGACGCCTTTGCCAGTGGGGTCGCTAGGGATAGATCTTACATCGAGGACGCGGAAGCCGGTGCCGTAGTTGGACTGGTACGCGAAGCCGTTGGCGACGTACTGGTTGTGGTCGACACCCTTGGCACCAGACTTGTAGTAGCCAGTCTGCTTAGGTGCCTTCAAGCTGGATATGTCCCAAATGTAGGTGATGGGGTTGCCGGGCGCAGCAGGGCCGACCTTGTCGTACTCATCGTACTCATCATCAAGCAGCAGGTAGCGCTGATCCTTGGGGTCGAGGACGACACCTTGGTGGGTGTATGCTGCACCGGTGTAAGAGGTGATCGAGAGGATCACGGGTGCCTTCTTGTTGGTCACATCGTAGATCGTAAGTGTCTAAGTTGCATGTCAGTCTCGCTCTTGCCAGGCAATAGAGCTTTTCACGTACGTCTTCGTTGAAACCGTAGCAGATCTCCTTGCCCTCGTAGGTCTTGTCAGGGCCGTGGTAAATCAGGCACTGGGCGTCGTGCACATAACCGTCGGCAGAAGCACAGCCGGGACTTGTGGGGTTCTTGACGTCCGAGATGTCAATGAAGATAATACCAGACTTGCATTTGTCGGTCCTAGGCATGGCACCGACGGAGTAGATGAAGTTTGTCTCAGGGTTAGTGACGACGTTGTGAGTGCGACCGGTGGGGAGGCCCTTGTAGTGACCAGCAAGATCAGCGCTGTTGCTGAAGGTCTTGGGAGCCGAAGGGCTGATGGTGAGCAGTTTCTTCATGTCGAAGATCTGGATACCGTGGTCTACAGCCTCAGATCCAATGATCATGTAGTCGTTCTGGCCACGGATCTCGCGCCATTGGCTGCGAACGGAATACTGAGGAAGACGTCCAAGGTAGGACAACTTGCCCATCTCGGTAATCTCGGCGAAAGCTGTACCATCAGACTGGCCGATAGCGACGAATTCACGGCCGGTGCTCGATGTCCAGCCCCACGATGAAGAACCAAAGCCATAGGTACTGCCCAGAGCGGAGTGAGACAGGAAGTGGTAGAGATCGATGTTCTTGCACTTGAAGGTGTCCGTTGCCGTCTTTGCCGTGCCGTTGGCACAGTTGGCGATGGACGCAAGTTCAGCGTACTGAGCTGAAGCGTAAACTCCAGCAGCTTCCTGTGCAGCCCATGTTTCCTGGGGCATTACTTAACGCCGAGCGCATGATATAACCAAGCAGGACTTACGAGCTTCAGAGCCTTGTTGTTCTCGTGGCGGATACCCGAGTCGAAGAGCTCTGCGGCCTTGAACTCATCCTTGGGCATTTCTTTCGCTGCCGCAAGGGCAGCGAGCGAGAGGATAGCAGCTCGACGAAGCATGATGACTGGGATCTGTAGTGAGGCTGAATGAGTGTGCCGTGCAGAGCCTTAAGATCGCAGCCGATCATCGCTTTATACCTCAGACATGGCCATAGAGGTGCTGAACACGACATCACCCATGAAGCACCGCCTATGGCTAACTCTGCAGGTAGCAAACGTACCTGCCCCTTCCTGATCCCAACATCCATGGCCGCCCCAATGCCGGTACAAGCACGAGATCATAATCGGCAACTGAGTGTGTTTCCAAGGAAATCGTAGATGAGGTCGCAGCCCATATCCGGCGCTGCATTGGTGGCTGTAAATGAAGCAAAAGCTTGGGAGTGGAAATGCCGACCGAATAGGAAGGAGGAACTCGTTAAGCTCGACTTGGCGGCGTATGGAGCAAACATAGCGGGAGTGCCGAGATGCAGATCGTTTCGGTGTAACGACGATAAGGTAGACCTAGCGAGGGAGAGTGCTTTGTTCGATGCTTGCAACCTTCTGCTGTCTCAGCAGTTGTGGTTGTCTTCGCGCGGTGCTGCGCACCTTTGGCTGTTGACCAGTGGATGTAAGACCGCCAAGATAGTCAACGAGGCATTCACAGCTGTCTACGGCTGTTCCTGCAGAAGTGTCTTCGATATCGACTGGGATCGTATATGATGTTTGTTTGTCCGATAACCTCATTGCAAGGGCTGTAGTCGTGTTGCAGCACGCGCCAGGTTGTCGTACAGACACCCACAATGCCCAGCTCTTTTCATTGTGTCGGTGCGTCGAGATATGAAGGCTCCTGCTCGAAAGGGAGTGTCGATAAAGTTCATATACGGATGTGGTGTAGAGTGGTTTCTTCCAATTGTATTGGTTGTGTCGTCGTTGTGATCGATTGAAAGCGCTGATGTTTTGCGGTGCTGCGGGGCTCCTCGCCGCGTGGGAGCTTGAGAAGGAGCCTCCAGCATTGAGTTTGAGACACAGCGCTTATGAACATGAGTGGGTACCTGAATTCTCAAGTCCAGTCTGAGGTTATCGACTGAGGTACCTAATCAGCTAAGATGCACAGGTTTGGGGCACGGAGCCGTCTTGTAGGTCTGACTGGTGTTACTCAGCAACTTGCGCAAATCCGCGCGCACCCGTGGACGCATCGTGCCTTCCATGAGGCACAGCACACACAATAGAAACACTAGGAATTATCGCAGGACATCGTGCACATGTTGGTGACAGCCACATCTTAGGAAACATTTTCCCTCGATCGATCATCACAATGGTTCCAGAAAATCACGCATCGCGAAACGGCTGCGAACCATGGAACACGATCGCGATGTGGGTCAACGGTGTGGGCCGTTCCTGAATATCGCTGGCAAGCCTCCACAATGACGTTATCAACACCCAAAACATCACAAATGGGACAAATGTTTGCAAATTGGACCGAGGTCCATGAAGAGTATTCTTTTCGATCTACCTGACCGTTCATGCCGTAATTTTCGTCATCCGTATCTCGTAGCTCTGGAGAGCTTGATGCCTTGAGCTTGCTGAAGCCACGGGCATCCTGAAGCACATCTCGATGCATCAGTGGGTATCTACAACTTCGCCTCGACCTTCTTCAGGCACTCCTGGAACTCGCTCCAGTCGTACATAATGGCGACGCACTTGGTCTCCTCGGTAAGAAGCTTAGCCATCTGCTCCATCTTCTCCTTGCCCTCCTCAAGGCCGTAGATGCCGACGTAGCCAATGCAAGGAATGCCAGCGCGCATGGCAGCAGTGGCACCGCTCTTGCTGTCCTCGACGGTGACCGCCTCAGACTCCTTAACACCGAGCTGCTTGGCGGCGTAGTGGTAGATGGCGGGGTCGGGTTTCGAGCTGGGAGGGTTGAGGGAGGTGGCAGCGGAGTAGACGTGCTCGGGAGGGAAGAAGTGGGCGATGCCAGCCTTCTCAATCGAGGCAACGACACGGCTCTTGGCGGAGGTGCTGACGACGGACATAGGGTAGCCCTGGTCCTTCAGCTTCTGCAGCTCCTTGGTGACGCCAGGGCACTCGACGGCCTTCTGGCTGAGCTTGCGGGTGACGGCGCCGAGCTCCTGCTGGACAAAGTCCTCGAGATCCTCGTCGGTCATCTGGAAGTTGTGTTCCTTCTGCAGACCCTTGAGCATACTACGGAAGTTGTGGCCGACATAGTCTTCGAGGAGCTTGGGGCCTGTGTAGTGAGGGGCACCCTTGACGTCGTACTTCTTCATCACCTCGTTGGTGAGGTCAGCGCAGGCCTCGAAGGCAAGGTGCTCGGACTGCACGAGCGTGTTGTCGCAATCGAGCATGATGTATTTGACCTGTACCACGAGTTAGCGTGAAGCGGGGTAGCTGCTGCACCTGGAGCTTACCTTGCCCATGGTTGCGATTGGTGTGTGGATGAGGTTGTTTGGCTGATTGAGTGTCAATTGACGTTTGGCAGGTGCAGAAGAGTGGTAGAAGTGGAGTGTAGCGTGGAGAAGTAAGGGTTGGGGACTTGGTTCTGTTGAGGGCGGAGGTAAATAAGTAGCCTTGCTGGGACTGGTGTGTTGTCAGGCTGCAGGAAGGCGCGCGGGGTGAGGGAAAGCGCGTCTGCCCGGCATGACGTCGCACGTGGGGCTCTCATTGGGTGGTCGGCCGGCGGACCGCAGCGCTCACTCTCACACCACCAGTTTTCACTCACCTGCAAAACTTTACCCGGTAATCACTCACTATGCAGGTACAATCAGATCAGAGGTCAATGAAGTCCGCTTTCCTCAATCGATTCTCTCGGCCGCGGTTCAATGTACTTGCAGCCTCGTCCTCCGTCCCCGAGTTCAGAAGTCCAGTACTCGTTTCGCGCTGGTACCACCAAACCTCACCTCCAAAGTACTGTCACGAGGAAGACTTTTCTACCCAAACGGATTCTTCCTGGAGGCAGTCGGTGAGCAAATGACACCGTTCCTGCAGACTGCTGTGATCAGGTTGCATCTTGCAGTCCAGATATCTTCGACGTCGAATAGCGCAGCCAGATAGTTTTCGTTGTAGTGTAGCACAAGGCTGACCACGTGTAAGATCTGTGCAACAGCATCCGAGATCGCCTTGTTGACAAAGTCTGGACCTTTCGGATACTGCATCGCGGCCACCTTGTGTGTTTCCCCATCCTCCATACCGGTATCTTGTGTCCATGTGCGAAATCGGAGAGGGTGTAAGCGCAATCAAAATATTCCCTCTGCAGAGGCCAGGCGGATCGAAAGGCTTGCCATTGAATAAGACATGACAGTACTGGTGTCGTTGTCAGTCACCGTGACGCCTTATCGTGACATACATGTCCACACGCGGTATATGAGCATGTAAACTTGGACCAACAGACCAGTTCGTCAAGTCGAAAATGTGGACCTTCACAGATCAGCAAGCAGTTTGCTACAGGGATCCTAAACACCAGCTCATACCTCTGCAATATCCGTGGGCGTACCCTGCCCAGTCGTGCCATCTTTAGACAAAGCTTCCTCAATAATGTGCAGCCATTGACAGCAGATATGTGCCGATAGATCCATCAGTCACTCCATCTTCTCCTGCATAGCTGAGGCTTGTATAGCAGTGTCTTGTAGCTTGAGCCACAAGACGAAGCCCAGACTGTGAATGTGCAGTACAAAGACTTGATAGGGTCTATTATCGAGTCAGTAATTGTGCGCTAATGCAAAGACCTACACTCGACTCGTTCCTTACGTGGGCCGGACCTATTCCGGCATTTCCTCATATGTCTTGGGAGATGATAAGAGCATCCATCTCGTGATGTACGAGAAGATATACATTGAGGCAATGCAAGTGAAATCATCACCTGCTGTGGTGCGTCAATCTTCGTGTCGCGGTAGGAGAAGGCGAAACACACTACCTTTGCTCCTGACGCTGTGCGCCATGCCAGCGGCCCATTGAGAAAGGACGGAGGCCTCCTTGAAGCCTTTCTCGCAAGACAGCGCTGTAACATTTGAGTGATTCCCAATGGTTACCTCCCACAATGCTTCTTCTTGTAGCATCCTGGTAACTTCGTTGCGGATATTCGTGAAAGCTAATGATAAAGATCCTGGATCGGAGCCGTTATTGCTACGCACCAGGGCTCATATTGGTATTGGCAAACATCTTGGCTGCTATCCCTGGATATCTTGAGGATAGTGGTAGCAAGGATGCCGCTGGAGGTGAGGAGATTGCCAAAGAGGTTCGCAAAGTATGCGTCAGGGTCATCTTGTGAGTCCTTTCCATTTCTTCTGCACACCTGAACGTAAGCAAAGTTCTTTCGCAGATTCGTATTGCTGCTACCGTTTTCCTGGGGCTGATGGGTTGATTGCGATATTGGTGAGTCGTTGCTTGTCGTGACAAGCATTCCGTCACATCTTAGCGTCGACTCGAGTCGTAAGTCGTTCATGCCGACCAGGATAGAAAGAAAACCGCTGTTCTTGACCACACACTCGGCCTGAGCAATGGCTTGCCCGGCAGCTGAGTGGAGTACGCCATCGCCGACCGCTTCACTAAGAAAGAAGGCCGCACCTTCTGCGCAGGCTGCACGATGTCCTCTATGCAATCTCCGAGCCTCAATCGAGCTGGGACGCGCTCCCTTGTACTGCCTCTGCATGAGCTGCTGTTGAGAATCCTATCGTGTCGATGTCCTTCTGACCTTTGTCTTTCGTGCTCGACACTCCCCACATGCCGGGTCAACTTTGCTCGTTTCGATCGTGGGGCCTCTGGAGCTTTGAATGAATTTGGCGACAAGAGCGAAGGAGGTCGGCTACCTATCGTCACAGTATCGCTTCACAATTTCACATTGGGTATTTTTGGGAGCCGAAAATTCTTGATTTTGGAGATGAATTGGCGCATCGTAAGAGGTCAATAAAATTGTTCTTGATAAGTAACTGTTCCCATAAATACTGGAACATGCAGTAGTAGTGTGTGGCTGAGTTGCGGCTGCCTTTGGTGGGTGAGACTGAGCAACTACTGCCTGCATGGCGCATATATATATATATATATACCTTATGAACCAACTGTGATGTAAGACACACCGAGCGCTCGATGTACAATACATCTGCTTTCGGTATATAATACACCAAACATCAATGTACAGTACATCTTGTACTCACCGTTTACATTGAGACGGATATTGAAGGGGGAGGGCTCGGGTATCAGAGAAGTGAGAGGGGGAGAAGGAAGGGGCCGGCTGCGTCATCCCCTCTGTTATCCCCTTCGTCATCCATCTCTAGTCTTCCAAACCTCACTAGCCCCCGCATACACATAAACTCACTGCTTGTAGGTATTCTACACTTCCTCCTACTACCTGCAAGTAGTGAAATTATCTACACGCGGGTAAGATTTGGCTGAATCGCCATAATCTTTAATAGTTGAGATGCGGGTATTGATGGTGGGAGGAAGGGGGGAGTGCTGTGAATCTCAGCGAGTGAAAAAGTGGTACTGAACATCATAGTTCTCGGCTACTATAGGCTACTATGGATACAAGGCAGTGGTAGGGGCAGCGGAGCGGAGAGGATGGGGAGATGACGCAGTACCCTACTCCGGGGCCCTCCTCTTAATCCCTATATCATGTGACTACCCCTTCATCGCTACTACCTACTCCTTCACTGCCACCCACAGGGCAGGTGTATTATATATTGTGGAAGGATTGAGATGATTTGATTCATTTTAAGAGCTATTGGCTGGAATCGATCGAGACTATATAGTAGGAGGGGATAGCAGTGAAGGGTTGGGGAAGCAAACCGAACTAACCGAATGAGCTGGACAATCAGTGCAGCGGACCGCTGGTAAACAATGCAACGGTCCGCTGGCGAACATATTTCGATATCCATGGGTAGATCGCTACGTAAGCTACAACGCTGTGCCAGCTAGTGGCATGCAAAGCTAATTCATATAAGTGTATCGACCAGACGAGTGAGAAGAATAAACAAAAACAAATCAACGCAATGAGCGACACCTATTCCCATGCAGATGTAACGCTAATTGCAGTTGCAGGGATGCTCATCATGGGTTGGCGGGAGTGAGTAGTCTTATTCGTACCTCAAAAAGACAACTCCACCTTGGCAATTGCAACCTCTATGAAATGTATAAACCTTTTCTCATGACTCTTGATTCAGTGGGTGACCGAGCTTGGACCTATCAGGAAGGAGCTCTCTCGCAACGAAGATGGTTCTTCACAGAACACGGTATTGTTTCTGGTGCAAGCCTCTGATGCGCCAAGAAGACACTCAACGCCCTTTGCTGGGTTCGGACAAGGTGCAAGATGATAGAGGTCCTATCTCTGATATTGTACCGATACACTGGTCCGGGCCAAATTAAACCTTACCACAGCCTGTCATCCAGCACCACTCGTCTCGGAAGATGACTTACGAGAAAGACGTATTGAACGCATGCTTAGGTATTCTGAAGGTCCTTGAAACTACACACTTCTGGGATAATCCCATCGAATTTAATGAGCCTGTAGGTCAATCGGATACCTCATATAACTTTGGATGCATGAACTCTTGGGAGATGGTATCTGAAGTAAATAAACCTGCTGCATCTAGCTATCGAATGAACCTTCTCTGGGGCAATGGAGGGCGCAAGCCTGAAGATCGTAAAGACTTTCCGAAATGGTCATGGGCAGGATGGATAGGCCCACCAATCTCCAGTAAAAAGGACAAGAGAAAGCGTAAGTTGAGCATAACCGCAATCGAAGTTCAGGTGCTGAGTATGGAGTGGGTGGATGTTCTGCGCAACGACTCACTTCGTGGAAACCTTGGAGACATCAGTTCTGGGAAGACGCTCCGAATCACGGGTAACATCTGCACACCTCGATTCTCCATCGATATCGAAGAGGGACTCGTTATCGCTCTTCAGAGTCTTTGTGGCGAAGACGTGTGTCACAAAGCCGAGTAGATCACTTTCGGTTTAGATTTGAGGCGTGCATGCCAGAGAACCCACATCGCATTGTGGCTCTAGAATTTGAAGGCTTGCACCCAAGCCGCGTTCGGAGCAAGCACAGACAGAAGGTGATTACAGGGAACTTTTTGCTCTTGAAAGACCAGGCGGGTTCTTACAGACGCATTGGTGTAGCTGGGTCATATCGAGGCCTTCTGGGTTACATGGAGGACCCTCCGGCTGACAACTGTTGTGCGGTTTCTTGCAAAATAGTCGATGAATTAGAATTGGGGCCTGTACCGAAGGCAGAGATGAGTACGCGGGCCTTCTACCTGGAGTAATATTCAACTGTTGACAACACTATCAAATTTGGGAAGACAAAAGCCAAGTGATCACTGCTTCAAGGACTCATAAAAGCCGGACAGCACATTGCCACCCTTGAGACCTCTTCTGCGCGTGCTTTGACCTTCAATTTTGCGTTGAAAGTGTATGGTCAAGCATCGTACTTCTCTATCGGGTCTAGCTACAATCTCAACATCGTAGGCCGCGAAACGTTGGACTTGACGCTTGAGACAATCTAAGCAATCATGGTCTGAAAATAACTTATTCCATCTATTATCAAAGATCAACCTTTTATTGGCAGATATCTGACTTGTGGGACATCTCTGGAATACGCAATAAGAGTCAGCACAGCCTACCAAGAATTTCAGCGAGTTAAAGACCCTGAATAGTGTAGCTCAGGGTTGTTGTGATATTGGATATGATTGAATTTTACCAAGGAAGGTCACAATCAGCCGACAGCCGTCGGTGGAACGTTCCAGAACATTTACGATTGTGTGTATTAAACAAGAGCTTCATTTGTCGTGTATCGCGACATCGACTCCGAGCGCTTCTCTATACCTTACTTCGCGGCACTAATACTCGTGCCAGTTGTTCCTGTCTTAGCGCCACTTTATCTCTCGAGCGCACAAACAATCCAAGCCAGACTGCCCTCGCATATTCATTCTGATTCTGCTCCGGCGCAGCTTCCTACTCCACGCCCTCTGCCTCAACTTCCCACTTCTTCAAGAAATTTCTCCTCGTCTGCTCGAGCTCGTCTGCCTTGAATTTCAGGTCAGCCATGCCCCTACCAAGACTGACAAGTTCGTCCTCCACGATGTCGCGGCTGTTGCTGTCCTCTAGAATGCGATTCGGCTTGAGGTATTCGGCTCGGATTACTGATTCCGCCTTCTTGAATACGTTCTCGAGTTCGAATCGCGCGTCGTCATGCAGAGTCTTGGCGGAGTGAATGAGGGCTTGCAATGAGGAACGTTCTGACGTGGTGACGTAATCTAGTACGGCGCACATTGTCGTGAGCAGCGCGGCGGTAGCCTGGAGCTGCGTGTTGTAGCGGAGGAGGCTGGACGTGTATGGGGCGTCGATGTTGTCTGTGTTGGGCGCCTTGTCTGTATTCGATATAGACATCATTGCGGGTGATCGTGGTATTGATGCGTAATATATCGTGGCAACGTTCGTTGAAGGAGTGGGTGTGGATGTACAGTTGATGGTTGTGTTGTTGGTTGTTATATGCTGAAGGTGGTATGTATGAACAAGCGATGGTGTTTGTACGGTAAAAGATGGTACGCTGTTTGCGCAATGGATGTTATACAGAAGTGAAAGGGTAATGAACGCTCTGGAGATCAGGCGCGGAGATGCATACCCTTGCTAGGACGTTCTTTCGCTTTCAATCTGAGGTCGTACAGCTCCTGCTGGGACCCTGAGGCCGCATGGGTCCAAGACGTAAGTCGCGATGTTGTTGGATGTATCGAAGGCATTACTTCTGGAAGTTGCGATGGAAGAGTGCGAAAGGGGGGGAGAGATACTGAAATCGAAACAGTAAGATACTGACAAGTCATGATGGGCTCAACTGCCCAGAAGTATGTACAATGAAGCCTCGTAAAGTATGAGCAAACCGCAAAGGGGTATCGTGCGCGCTGAACGCTCTTGTAAAAACAGTGGGTGGAGGTGGTAGGAGAAGCCTGTCCAGCCACCTAGGCAGACGACATTTCCGAGTTGTCCGAAGACACCGACCCTCCTGCGAACTTGTTCATGACAAGCTTCTCAATGTCCTTGAGTAGGCTCGTTTTCAGGTCGTTCAGCTCTTTCCTTGCAGCGGCAGCGTCCCTTTCCGCACGTTCAACTCGAACTTTGGACAGATGGAGGTCGATGTCACGACTGTGTACAAGCGCCTCGGCCAGCCTCATCCTCTCTTTCGTAGCGGCCAGTTTCGTTTTGATTTGTGCGCACTCCTGTTGTAAGCCGCTGTAAGCATGCTTGAGCATGGTTTCGTCGGCAAGTACCTCGTCCGTGGGGGACAGGATGCCTTCTGACAAGTTTGATGGCTGGGCATTGTTAGCTCTGGTCATGCGTTGGGCAGTAAGTCGTAAAGTACCTTTCGAACATGACTGGGTCGTCTTTTTGTAGAAAAGAACTCAACCGCCGGTGATGGCACGCTTTCTGATACTTGTGAAGCCTGCATTGATCGTGTAAGTATGTTGTTATCATGTAAGTTCGTGCAATGCCACGTACCTTTCGCGAATGATTAATGCGTTTAGGTTTAGCTACTCAAGGTCAGCAATTGCGATAGGGGAAGGGGTAGCCCTTGCACTTACGAGTTCCCTGTGGCGCGTACTCCTCCCTCTCCCGTTTAATCTTAGTTGGTAACTCAAAACTGCTGTCCTTGTCGCTTTCTCGACGTGCAGTACCAGGCCTTGATGCTGTGGATGGCCGGTCGCCGTCATTGCCGACCCAGTCACAAGCTTCTCTGAAGTTCTTGGCGAACCATCTGGAGTCGTTCTTGTGTCTTACTAGCTCGTTGACAAGTTCTGAGGCCAGAAAGTAGTACAAAATAACGGCTGAAACTCGATGAATAGCCTTGGAACCACCGGTGTCGTCACCGACTTTGCTGAAAGGCGAGTAGAAGGCCACGTTGCTTGTAGCGCGAACAGGATGTAATTCCGGTTTGCCTTCAACGATCTCTTCACTCAGGCGATAGAAGGTAATCTCTGTATCGTGTTCATGGACGTGTGCGACAACCTTGGAATCCTCGACATCGTCGCCTGGGGCGTAATCGCCAATCACGAGCAGTTTCTTGTGTGTTGAGCGACCGAGCGATCTCTGGATCACACGATTGAACGATGTGTCGTCAATATCAATATACGAGACTCTCGAAGCGCGTGGCAACGCTTTGAAGGCCTCTGGAAACTCATATCGCGCCCATGCCTGGACGTTGGCGAGGGTCAGAGGGGTCTTTTGTTCGTTGAAATCGGCCATTGTGACGATAAGCTTATCGATTGGGCTCAAAAGGGCAGGCGATTGCCGTCGTCACTCAAAGAGGACACTGGGAATTCAAGGCATCAAGGCGCAAATCGATCAGTGCGCCGTGGCGGGTGCCAACACGCGTGCAACGCGTTGTAACGTGTCGAGGTGAATGGTTGAACGAAAGTCGGTGGCTGCCGAAGATTGACGTCGCTTAGCGAGCGGGCGCGGCGGGGTAGGTGGAGACGCCAAAACCGGAAGGTGGAAGCCAAAATTGGCCAGGTTGGTGGTAACTTTATGCGGCGAAAGAAGAGTTCGAGACATGCTTGGGACAGCGGTACCCTCGGCTTATGAAGAATCTGAAATGATTTTTGGTTGAATGACGGCGCTGCAAAGAGGCGGAGAAAAGAAGAGCGGTCTGTGCAAACCTTCTGTAGGCTAAAATCGGCGCCACACCTGCGGCAAACCTCCTACTCATCAGATGTTCTTTGCACTTTGGATCTGGAGAACTCCTCCGACGCAAACGGATGGCAGACCGCCCTGATAGTGACGTTGCATCGTGTTTCTTCCACTGTCGACTTCGTGGTTCTAATGTGGTGGGCAGAGCAGCGGTGCGACGGCCTAGATCTGTGTGCAACGGCTTGTTGTGCTCCGGATGAAGACAGGTATCGTAGATGAGAGAAGAACGCAGTCTGGAAAGCAACAGGTGTTCGGTAGGGCCTTACTGATGACGTCCATGCCTCCCTTTGGTCATCTAAGATGGGTGCGCTAGCCGCTCTTGGCCTCTAGCCTGACGGGAGGCTCTTGCCGATCCAAGCTTCAATCGCTGCTGAGGCAAGATCTCGAACCTTCCTAATTCACCTAACCTTACCTTACCTTTGCTTGATTTCAAGTCCCTTTAGTCGACCATGTATATCAACTTCCAGCCAGGAAGATGTCCCACGGCTGTTGCATGAGGTGAGAGTACGTGGTCTGCCAGGTCACCCTCAGTAGGAGGGCTTTGTCACTCATCACCTCTCCAAAAGCCCGAGAGCCGTGCCAATCGATGAATTACCTCACGCATAGATCTTCTCCAACCGTACCAGCAGTAGATCAGTCCCGTTTCGCCTCGTTTATCCACCATACTGCGCCTGTGTTCCAGTAACGTCCTCTTCGACTCTCTGAAGTGGCCTTCCTCCAGCTGAACGAAGCTCATCTCTATACTGCAGAAGAATTACTATGCAAGAGCTCGATCACATCCTTTGACCACCAACATCAGAGCAATAATGCCTGGCTCAACGTGTTAAGCCCAATCCTGAGCAAGCTCGACTAACGCTCCATGCCGAATCGTTAGCAAACATAACATGGCTACCGCCTTTTCACCTGGCGTATCGTTCCCCAGTCGCTGAATCTGCAGTGTCTGCACTTGTGTCGATGATCACCGAGAGCTACGTTCGGCTGTGTCGCCACTGCATTGCTGGACGTTTCGAGATTGAAGGGCTGTGGAGCGCTCTCGGAGGATTCCTGAAACTGCACGCCATGCGCCTTGATCACACTTGTGCAGCTGAAATGTCATTCTGGCCTTCGACGATCCAGAACATCACCGACGGGATATCGACGAGATTGCAAAACGGAGAAACATCACTGTGTCGGCGACACCGCATGCAGATTGCTCTTATGTTCTGGAGTTTTGCCTGAGATTGCGTAGGGAGGCTGAAATTGGTTGCACGCGAGCGTTCGGCTCTTTCGCGATGCAATCTGCGGCGGCTCATTCCGCGGTCCATGCCCGACCGGCTACATTCCCGCGTCGTGTCAAAGGCCCAGGATCCCTTGCTCGTTCCTCGTTGTCTAACCACGATGAGACACAACAAGGTGGTTGTGCGCAAGCCGTAGCTGGGCGAAGCAATTTCGACGGTTGTCAGCCGGGAAAAATGTCGTTCCACCTTGCTGCCCCCGATGCGCGGTACACCAGTCTCTTGCCCTGGCTAACGCAGACGCGCCGAACAGCTGTTTGTTTTCTCAGCCCTCTCCACAGGCTTAAGCCTACTTTGACAGCGCGAGATGATCGCACTTTGCGTGTAGGATTTACAACTGCTTTCCAAGGCGCCACAAGTTTGCGGCGTGGCCCTTCGTTACGGGGCTTGTTGCCAGTTTTCCCGTGCGAGAACACTGTTAACGGCCACGAGGGCCGTCTCGCAGCCCTCAAACTTTGTGTAACCATATTGCTTGTTGCTATCTAACGCGTCGCCGGTCGTCGCAACCCCGCCTGCCCTCGTGGACGCTGTTTCAGGCTTTGCTTATCCCAACGTGCTCCTTATACATCAATCGAAGCCTCAGGCCTCGCTCTGTCACGACAAATGCCTCGCTCAAGCACAGTTGCGGCCAGATGTGCTGCACTAAACACTTCGATCGCTCAGGCAAGCATCTCTGTAGATTTGCAACTGTGCACTCGCTGACTCGGGTGTCTCGCAGGTTATTCCGGATATCAGCAGCTTCGCGAGACAGGTGCGCGAAGCCAGGACCGACCTCAACGCTATCAACAATGATCTGCAGATCATCAGAACCGGTCTTGGTGTTGCACAGGATGACTTTTCGACATTTGGCTCCAAGCTACCTACTGCACTTGTTGATGCATTCACCCAAATTCTGGACTCCAGCGATGACACCAGCGAGCGTTTGCACAAGACCTTCTTAAAGCTGTCATGCAGTACCTCGCCAAAGGATGATTGGCGAACACTAAGAGACGGCACTCTCATAATTCTACGGCAAGACCTCGAGGCTTCGAGGATTGTGCTCGACCTTGCTGTTGATTATCTCTCATTGTAAGATTGCACGTGACCTGTCCCACTTTGAGCTCATGCTGACTGTACCAGATTCGGTCGCACTGACACCATAGACTCGCTCGACTCACTCATTGAAAGCTATGTCAGTGGTCTGACTGAGTCGACCAACGAGCTCTTGAAGCGTACTGATATGGAAGAGATCCATGTCAATCAACTTGCCAGAGAAAGGCTCAAATCGTTACTGCAAGCAGTTCGTCTACTTCGATCGTGTATCACAGCCCTATCCCGAGAAGGAGTATCACCGGTATCAAGAACTTCTGGGCCTGAGCGAAGAACGACCACACCAAGGCCCGATTCACTGGAACCATCGTTAGGCGAGTCACGCCGCAGTGGAAGTGGCAGGAACAGCCCTTCGCAACAGTCGATATCAACCAAATCCTCAGATAAGGGAATTGGAGCATGGCTTGCAGATGTTCCTTGTCATCAAGATGCTCAGCCACTAACACACTCAATGATCATCAAAGTCACCGACGACAGGTCACACTCCAGAGCAACGTCCCACATCAACTTCCCGTCCTCCCGTGGTACATTCTACACAGACGATGGCGTCTCATCAAGTCGCACTCTAGTCGCTCCTGAGTCCAGGGAGTCGAGACTCAAGAAATCGCAGAGCTGGTGCTCAGAAGCATCGACCCGACTTGACGTCAAGATGAAAGCAAAGGCAAAGACAAGACTAGCTCGAGAGTATTCACCAACGGTGTCAAGCTCAGACGTCTCCATCATCCACAAGAGAATAACATCAGACAAAATCGCCGTAGCCAAAGGCAACCGAAAAGATCTCGACATCGGCTCTCGCGTCGGCGTTGACCGCATCCTCGCCAACATCCCCTCAGACGCCACATCCGCCGAAGTCGAGCGCGTCCTTTGGGAAGGTGCAAACCCCATGGTTGTCCACCCCGAATACGGATTCTTCTTCATCCGCGCCGCGCACGAAATGTCCTCCGACATACTCCGCGTACTGGTGGAATACGGCGCCGACATTACTCGCACAACATCCACCCGGTACTACTCCGCGATGCACGCCGCGGTGCTAGGCGGCCAGCTCGAAATCGTGAAAAGCCTTACCTCCCTGGGTCATTCCATCGACGCCACCAATAACCTCGGTGAAACGCCGCTGCACCTCGCCGCACGGACGCCTGGTGCGAATCTTCGCGAGATTGCAAAGTTTCTGGCGGATAAAGGCGCGGATGTTAATCATGAGGCGAACGATGGGAACACGCCGCTGCAAATGGCGCTAACGGCGAAGAGACTGGAGGGCAGGGAGAGGAGTTTGATGATTGAGTTGTTGTTGAGTTATGGGGCGGAGGGCGAGTTGAATCAGGATTTGGAGGGGCGAAGGAGTAATTCCAAAGGGTTGAAGGTTATGGGGATTACTTGACTTTGGAGGCTGGGGAGCTTGCACTTGCATTTGCATTTTGGGATTGGGGATAGACACTTTTGTATAATTTTTTTATTATTGGTGGGATTTAGATACTCGCCTGGCTGCGAGGATCAAGATTCGTCTACATCTTTGACCTCTCTGTCTATATCCTGCTTGTCTTACCCCATACCTTCGTTGTGCTGCATACAGACAACCGCTGCCGAGAAGCAGCAGCGGCGACAGCCCGAGCCTCGCAAGTATCGCAGTCCTATATTAAACAAAGCTGCGGTTTGACCGTAGTTCCTATGCGACCTGGCTTGCCTGGTCCGTGTTTGTATACAATGTTGCTGTCTCGGTAGTCACCACAGCGAAAGATGAGTCGTGTATAGTGGCACATTGTTAGTGATATCTTCACTTAGCTGTCCTAGATTGCAATGTATTGTTAAACACGTTGTTCTGGTCCAGTCGGTATATGTTGCAATAGATACAACAAATGAAGGTATAACGGCGCAGGCCGTAAGTCAGGGTAAAACCGCGCAAAGTCGTAAAATCAGTATATTCTGTTGTTCTTGTTGTTCTGTGATTTTGCCTCTCACCACCTCAACAGGGTCTGTTGACATGACGTATGTATCGGGCAGCCAAGGGCAGAAGGTGCTTGTTGGAATGGGCAAGAGCACTGCACAAACACCTGTGGCACACATGACCTCCTTACTCCATAAAACGTCACAGTGTATGCGTTTTGTGGTTGGGTTGTATGTGTGGGTTTTACGAGTGTCATTGACAGGTACATATACAATGCGGAAACGTAGTGAAGTACTTCCCAGTCACAAGGCGAGCTTTGAAAGATGTAGTGAACAACGATCAACCATCACTGCCGTGTATCAGTCTGAGGCTCATGTCATCATCAAGCAGATCCCTTACTACCTTGGTCTGTTCGAGTCTGTGACTGCGAGCAAGCATCACATGGGCGCCAAGGAAAGGGCACGAAATACTGGGTTGGCTTACGGCAATAAGGACCCGGATCAGGAGTTTGACAGCGCTGGGTTGTGCTGTCGAGATGATGTCCGCAGCTGAAGGTGAATGTTGTGAAGGTGCACATGGTGGTTCTAGTTGCTCTTTCTTCTGCGTATGAATGGATGTAAAGACTTGGACTGCGTGGAAATATATACTCTTGGAACGAGAGCACTGTGCGTTCCTCTGATTGGAACCAAAATCTGGCAAATCTTGTTCTTGACACTGATCACGTACAAGGAGTTTTTATCTTTGTTGAGTGGATTTATCGTAGCAAGACTGTCGTGTCATTGATATCTCGCACAAGTTCTTGTTCTGTTTGCAATCGTGAAGACTTAACGGACGTCCCGGTATTAACGGCCTATTGAAGTTGTTCTGTGACATATCATAGCGTTCAATGCATATCGAAAGGATCTTATTGAAGAAACGTCGTAATAAAGGCCATGTACAACGCACTCTCGTATTGTTAGCCAACAAACCCGAGTATAAGTATTCATCGAAACCGAACACGGAACACCACGAAGCATCAACCAATCACTCTCTTAGACCAAAACCAATACAGTAGTATGTGTACAGTAATCTGAAACATATACACATAGATTCACAAAGGCACTGCTGGTCCGACAGCTCGCAAGCAAACCAAGCATTGCGAGCAGTGGGAGCCCGGGGCACGTTGTCCCTTCAAACGTAAGGTGCGGCGACCCGTGGGCATGAAGTGCTCTGTCTGCGAAACTAGTATGTTGGAGGAACTGCTCAAGACTTGATGTGAAAAGTGGTCGGTAAGAATCTTGAGGGTGTCAAAGGGGAGAAGAAGAGTTAATTACCAGAAAATAGCCGATGGGAAGTGCATAACTCTCATACGCGTCTAAGCTTGCAGGTGACCTCGTCAAACACTACGCGGCCTCGGCCCAGTTCAAGCAGGTTCAGGGCGGAGGAAGGTTGAAGCTTGTTGATGATGTTCTCGAGACCGAGAGTGACACAACGGACGTGACGCTGATGAACCTTCTACTTCCGTCATCGGGGCAGTGTTTAACCGATGCGCTAGCTTATCGTGGGGTATCCACCAATCGTCGGCCACCTCCGTCATTACCTTGACACTTCAACTTTAACTTTCCTGTCTACTCCTTACATCATACCTCAACTTGTTTTGAATATGACCCAACAATCACACGAGACGTACAGCATGTGGGTGGAAGGGAAAGAAGTGGCGGGCAATGCGGAGCAGTCAGTCAGCTAGCCCTTCACCGAGGATGATCCCACCTTCTGACCTTCCGATAGACTTGGAATTGAGGATCCGGCAACCGGAGAAATCTTTGCCCATTGTCATGCTGCATCTGCTGAAGATGTTGAACATGCAGTGCAAGTCGCACAAAAAGCCTTCAGATCTGGTATCTGGTCCAAAGCTCCACGCCATATCCGCGCAGACACACTAGACAAGATTGCCGAGCTTCTTACAAAGAAGATGCCTTCTCTGATTGAATTGGAAGTAAGGCAAACTGGGCGAGCTATCAGAGAGATGAATGCGCAGGTGCCGACTCTTGTGAAGTGGTTCAAGTACTACGCCTCGCTTATCAGGACCGAAGAACGCTCTGTCCTGCCGACCATGGGCAAACTTCACAACTGGATCGATCGCAAACCTCTTGGAGTTGTCGCGCAAATCACTCCTTTCAACCATCCCATGCTCATTGCTGTCAAGAAGATCACACCCGCGCTAGCTGCCGGAAACTCGATTGTACTAAAGCCGAGCGAGCTCACACCACTCACCAGCATTGAATTGGGTAAGCTCTTCAAGGAGGCGGGTCTACCTGATGGTGTCTTTAACGTGCTTCCTGGTGACGGAATCACTACCGGTAAAGCACTTGTCGAGCACCCACTCATCAAGAAGGTTGATGTGACTGGTGGGACACCTGCTGGCCGAGCCATTGGTGCCATTGCAGGACGCAACCTTGCCGCATACACCGCAGAGTTAGGCGGCAAAGCCCCTTTAATAGTGTTCGAGCAAGTACACGTTGATCTTGTTGTCAATGGCATTGTATTTGCTAGCTTTATAGCGAGTGGCCAGACCTGCGTTGCAGCGACTCGCATCATCGTGCAGAACAGCATCTTCGATCAGATGGTTGAGAAGCTCAAGAGCAAAGCGCAGAGTATCGAAAGGAGGATGGGGTCACCAAAGAATGTCGAGTCGATGATGGGACCTCTCATCTCTGCGAAGCAGCTTGTGAACGTCCGAACGCTAGTCGATGATGCAGTTGAGGCAGGAGTGGAGGTCATCACCGGCGCTCAAAGGATGACATGGAATTCGGTACTAGATGGAACCGATTTTTCCAAAGGCTACTTCTTCCCTCCTACTATACTGGCGGACAGTGCCAGGAAGAAGATTGTCGATACTCGGATCTGGAAGGAAGAAGCCTTTGGCCCTGTCATCGTAGTTGTCGGCTTTGATACAGAAGAGGAAGCACTCGAGCTTGCCAATGACAGCGAGTTCGGTCTGGGCGCTGCGATTTGGACGCAAGATCTATCGCAGGCTTTCAGAGTAACTGAAAGCATCGAGAGCGGGATTTGTTGGGTCAACACGCATCATCGCAACGACCCTAGCAGTCCGTGGGGCGGTATCAAGAGCTCAGGTGTCGGAAGCGAGAACGGTATCGATGCATATCATGCGTATACCTCGCCGAAGTCCACTATCATCAACTACGCTACTGCGGAAGAAGGGCTGGCGAGCGACGACTGGTTCAGAGAGGGTACGGGTGAGGTCAGATACGGCTGAACGCATTTACAATGTCGGACGATTTGATGCAGGATGAACTGTTCAGATTTGCGAATTCTGTCGTGTCTTCAATTGCATGTCTACACTATTCACGGTATTTTGTCCGGGATGCCGCCCTTGTGAATGCACATTGTGAATGTTTTGCTTTATCCCTCTCCTACGCAAATGAGAGATTCAAGTATCGCCTTGCTCCTTCCATTCGTACAGTACTGCAAACTCTAACTATCACTAACAACACATCAGATTACCATCTCAAAGACTAAGTTCACTCCAGGAACGGGAACATATTGGAAGGCTGCCTTGATTGCAGACATTTCCCGTGAACACGACCATATCACTCAGAATCAAAGGACGTGCAGACTCCCCCTGTGACGATGGCTACAACAGTCCACAATCACTAGAGGCTTACGCTATCGCCGAATTGAAGAGCAAAGGATTTGCTGGCTACAACGGCTGGATTGACAAGAAAAAACACGCACAACCGATACCAGAGCAACTTGTGAAACAGAGAGCGCTGACGGCCGAGGCGACCAAGAAACGCGAAGCTGACAGGACTGGGCCAGGTACACTGGGAAAGTACGTCGATACCGTTAGTCATTTTGAGCCACTGCAGATTCTCTACTGCGCCGAAGAAGAGATAGCGCCGGGGGGGGGGGGAAGAACTTGCTCAAGGACCTGAGGGACTACATACTCTACCACCGCAGCAAAGGGGCTGATGAAGGATAATCGTTATTGGGAAGCAAAGCAAGAGGCCAAACGGAAGAGAGAGGACGAGGAAGCAAGAAAAGAAGGCCGAATCTGAGGCGAATGAGACGTATAGTAGGAAGCAGGCGGAGCTGGAGATTGTCTGCGAGGAAGGCAGAGGCTGCAAACAAGGCAGGCGAAACGTTCTCTTGACCCACTAACATTTTGCACATGTGGACCAAGAGTGTATATCAAAACAGTGCGTCGGCAGTGACTTCAGAACAGCATCAAGATAGAGGAGACAGTGGTAATGTTGCACTTACGGACATGATGTCACAGGTGAAAGCGAACAAGTCACTTGTCGCTACCGCTACTTTTCACCTCGGCCGCTACGCACTGAGGGATTACAATGAGCCCCCCAACTTCTTCCTGATCTACACCCAACGTTCTAACTCCACTCAACTTATCCCTATAGCGCCCTTCAACTCCTCCCATAACATGCGTCCAGAAGCCTACCGCCACCACCCCAACGATCCGCACTTCATCCACACGGAGCGAGTGCCCGCCTGCGACCACTGTATCTACTTCAAAGGTATCGTGTACCGCTCTCTCGCTCGCCAACACCTCACCAGCGACGACTTACTAGTCACACGCTACGACAAAATGGCCAACGAACCGCGATCCTTGCAGTCTGTTGCACTCAAAGAGGAAGCCATCGAAAGACGCGAACACGCGAAGTACGTGGCATGGAGCCGGTCTCTAGCTGCTGTTAGTATCGAAGCACAAGCAAGAGAGGCCGAGAAAATGGCGAAGAGCGTGGGCTTGTACACCGTGGCGAGCGATACGTTGATGCAGTGGATCGACACGAGTACGAAAGAAGAGCTGCTGGCGTGGTTGGAGAAGAATGGTGATGAGCGTGACAATATGGACACCTTACGCCATGAGGGCATTTTCGATCTGCGCGAGTACTTTCTTAATCGTTGTGACGCAAAGAGAGCAATAAGAAAGAAAGCAACAAAGAAGAGCCCTGCCAAAGCCAAAGACCTCTCTGTCCGCGCCGACTCAACTCAACCTGTTGTCAAGAAACCTGATCCACGCCGCGACGCGATCGAGCAACGTCTCCAAGCGCACAAAAGCCTCAAGCCACCTCAAGCAGCATTGCGCGAACGCGATGAGCTGAGGCGATGGTATGATAGCAAGAAGGCGCATGATTTGAAGGACGAGCTGAGGGAGAGGGGTATTCGGCCGGTGCCGAGTAAGAAGGTGGATATGATTGTATTGTTGGTTGAGGATGACAAGAATGGATCATAGATATGCGCACAAGGGTCGAAGCATAAGGAGGCTGGCAAGATATTAGTTGAGAGGACGACTTGCAACATACCATGATCATGCATGCTGCTTTGTGATACTTCCTGCGTGATAGAATCCATGTGGCTATCATCGACCGTTGGGGGTTCGTTACCAGTTTTGAAAAGACCTGAGGCGCACTTGGTCGTTGGCGTGGGTGGTGCTTGCCTGTGTAACTTGTTGCCTCGTGCTGAGGAGCAACTTCCAAAGCAAAGACAGTCTTGACATTCACCACACTTACCACAACCTTAGCCTGACCAAAACTTCTCCGCGCATCGCTCGAGGCCAATGTGCGCCCCTGTCATCTTCAGTTCTCTTATCATCGGAAACTAAACACACCCCAGCACTCGATGCATGCCAATGAAGCTGCAGAGGTTTAGAAGTTATTCTGCAGCTGCGTAGCAGACAGCAACTTAGAACACACCTCAGCCTCTTGCTGTTGCTGCTCTCACTTGCCTCTCAATAGGCGTTTCCGCTCGATCTTGCACGATTCTTTTATGTGGTTGCTCTTTCCGCGGCATTGCACAGCCTCCCCGCTCCCAAGCTCGATGCCCAGGGCGGAGAACATGCCAACTTACCGCTGCAGTCGAGCATCTTCTGTCCAAGGCTCCTCTTATCCGCATCTGGGAGCTGGATGTTGTCTTGGAGGTTGGCGAGCCTCACAGCTGAGCCAGACAAGCCACGCCAAGCTGATGGCGCAATGCCAGTCGCTATCGCGCCCGACTTCGGAGTCGCAGTACTTGTACTTCGAAGACCCCCAGGACTTTCCAGGATCGAGCTGAATGCCGATCACAATGCGGACAGTAGAATTCTCGGAGTTTAGCGAACGATCTTGAACGGGTCGTTGAGGGTACAGAGATATTCCAGCCTGATCGCAAACAACGGAGAGACGACACATGAAAGATGAGGAACGTACAAATGAAACGAATGTGGAGGGACATTGTTGGGAGAAAGACAGAAAAAGACGAAAATCATAGGAAGATGATAAAGTATGGAAGCTATGGATCGTGGAGGATATGTGTTGTGGTCCTGTCCTATTGCATCGACCTCTATGCTGTGGAGCTGGTAACAAGATGACGAGCCACGGGTACTTCTTCATAATACAGGCACGAAAGGACAGCAAGAGCAGGAGCCCCATGGATGAAAGGTATTACTACAAGGCGGCCACCATACGCTGCTCGACCTATCGATACACGATGGCAAAAGTTCGTATACCAGTACTGCGTCCTGCCACTCTGGGTATTAAGGTCCATCATACACATGGCGAACCGCAAGCCTCATGTGTTGGTGGAGTCGTGCGACCTGGCGAGCTCGCATGCCGCTGATGGAGGACGTTGAGATGGCGCTGGGATGACTTCCCAATTCGAAATCGTTCCCCGGCTGATGAATACGAAATGCGGCCTTATCGCGAGCGTCAGCGCGCTGCATGATTACGTCGACTCATAAGCTGCCTTGCCGATTGCCAGGTCCCTGGCACCCTACTGTGAGGGCGAACACGGGCGAACAAATGCCGCCCTGTAGACAACCATGGAAAGAGCAGCAACTGGCTGTTTTGCTGATGGATGAGTGTGCAACGGAGAGTGAGCGAAATTTCAAACCGCTCTGCCGAAATGAAACTGAACCAGGCAGAGGCAATCTTGCGCCCAGCCTTCTGCTTCGACAATACATCCAGGCGAACGACGATCTCGTAAACTCGCAGGCGCGAGAATATCAATTTGTAAGATTCAACATCCACAACATCGAAGTGGCTTTGCGCGCCATCAGGCACACGACTCGTTGATTCCGTACCTGCCTATCTTGAGATAGCTGTTCCGCACGCCACCACTTTTTCTCCAGGCGGCCTCTCTTGGCAACCGGCGCCACCAATCTGGGCGCAACCTCGAACAGCTTCACGTGATGTTGCACTCGCCAAGCCGTCTAAAATGGCGGGTCTGCGATTGCGGGCGCGCTGGAGCAAATGGCGATAGACGGCTGGGAAACACGCTTTTTGGCGGCCCACCTGCACCGAGCTTGTTTGTGAGCCCGCAGAAGTAAACTCTATCGGGAAGGAGACATCGTGAACTTGCTCACCCGTTGGTCAAAAAGGTCAAGGGTTCAGGATAGGATTCGCTCGGATGATGCCATCGATGGCACAACAGGCAACGGCCGCGTTGTGGTCGGCCAGGTACGACGATGACCCCGCGGGCAATATGCGGTTCCTGGTTGCCATCCCAGCATCAAAGGGACTACAAATATGCTCGCTGCCGTTCCCGGGCTTCTGTTGGTATCGACTCTGGTCAATTGAGCTCAGCAGAAGCAGGTCGTCACAATGGCAATGGCACGTTACCTCGGAATTGCATCGGCATTGGCTGCTACCAGCCTTGCTCAATTCACCCCAGAGTATGTTCCAAGCTTCAACCTGAACTTCAATTGAGACTAACAGTCACGAAAGGAAGCTGATCAGCGCACCCCGCCGTGGTGCGCTCAGCCCCAGCGGTGATGGATCGGTTGCTCTCCTGTCTGTCTCGCAGTACAACTTCTCTGAAACAGCCAGCCACTCAAGCTGGAGTCTTCTTGACCTGAAGTCTGGCGAGTTCAAGGACTCTGGCCTCAACATCAGCGAGGTCAGCGAGGCCGTATGGATCCCAGGTACCGATTCCGGCATCGTCTACATCAACGGCACCAACGAGGAGATTCCCGGTGGTGTCACACTCTGGATCGGAGACATCAAGGACCCATCCAAGAGCACCTTGGCTGCTTCCCTGGATGCGCCCTACACCGGTCTCAAGATCGCGAAGACCGAATCTGGCGATATTCACTTCCTGGTTAACAGTCTTGCGTATCCTAACGGTACTGCCGTTAACCCCGAGACTGAGGTCAAGCCCAAGCACACTGGACGCTTCTACAAGGATGTCTACGTTCGTCATTGGGATACATGGCTCACCAAGAACCGTTACAACGTCTTCGCTGGTGCTCTCTCTGCGAACTCCAGCTACGGCCTTGCCCACCCTGGTCTCCGCAACCTGAACCACGGTGTCAACTGGACCACCACTAGGTCTGAGACTCCTGTCCAGCCGTTCGGTGACTCTGGCGATTACGCCATTTCGCCTGATGGCAAGCTTTATGCTTTCTTGAGCAAGGCTCCTCAGCTCAACAAGGCCAACTACACTGCCAGCTACATCTACCTTGGTGAGGTTGCTGGTACCGCAGCCCCCGTCGCTTTCAACGGCCCTGACTCGGAGGCTTTCGAGGCCGGTCACCAGGGTGCTTCTGGTCTCCCTTCGTTCTCTCCTGACAGCTCCAAGCTCGCCTACGTTCAGCAGGACGAGGATTACTACGAGTCCGACAGGTGGCAGCTGTACACTGTCGATGTTGCCGCGGCCAACGGCAGCGTCGCTACCAGCAACTGGAAGGCTCTTTCCGCTGGTTTCGATCGTTGGGTACAGGGTCCTCTGACCTGGGCGCACGATGGCTCGTCTATCTACGCCACAGCTGAGGACTACGCTCGCGTCAAGATCTTCAACTTCCCCATCATTGCTGATGCCAACTACGTCCCCGAGCCTTTGACTTCCAATACCTCGGTCACTAGCTTCTCGCTCCTGAAGAACAACGACTTGCTCGTCACCGCCTCGGCCATTTGGACACCCGTCGAATACTACACCCTTACTAATGGCACCAAGAATACCATCTTCATTGCTGCCGAAAGCGACCCCGAGTTCTCTGACCTCAGTGCCGATCACGTCTCCGAGATCTTCTTCAACGGATCTGACCCCAATCTGAAGCAGCAGCTGCAGGCCTGGATCATAAAGCCCAGCAACTTCGTCGAGAACAAGACCTACCCTCTTGCCTTCTACATCCACGGTGGGCCTCAGGGTTCGTGGGGCAATTCCTGGTCTAACAGGTGGAACCCTGCCGTCTGGGCTGACCAGGGCTACATCGTCGTCGCACCGAACCCAACTGGATCCACCGGTTTCGGCCAGTACCTCACCGATGCTATTCAGGGCCGCTGGGGTGGATACCCATACTACGATCTCGTCAACGCTTGGGAGTACATCAACTCTGAGTTGACTTCTTTCGTCGATGTCGAGAACGGTATCGCTGCTGGTGCTTCTTACGGAGGTTACATGACGAACTGGATCCAGTCCAACGATCTTGGGGACAAGTTCAAGGCTCTCGTCACCCACGACGGTATCTCCCAGACCAAGGCTGCCTGGGGCACCGAAGAGCTGTGGTTCATTCGCCACGACTACAACGGCACTGTCTGGGAGTCTGAGGCATACGACAAGTGGAACCCCTTTGACCACATCGCCAACTGGTCCACCCCTCAGTTCGTCGTTCACAACACCCTCGACTACCGTCTCCCCGAGAGCGACGGCATCGCTCTGTTCAACGTCCTGCAGAATGTCGGTGTTCCTTCGCGTTTCCTCAACTTCCCCAACGAGAACCACTGGGTCACCAAGCAGGAGAATAGCTTGTTCTGGCACAAGGAGATCTTCAACTGGATCAACCACTACTCCAAGGGTGAGCCTTTGGATGATGAGCCCGCCGGCAACTAAGTGCGTGGTTGGGAGGTTGATACGAGGTTATGACGCGCCTATTGCGCGGTTACGAGATAGCACTTACCTTCAACGTAGTCACGTATAATGATAATGAGCTTGTTGATCTATAGTTTGTATTCCGATACATGTGCAGATATCAATATTCACTATGTCGTGATTGAAATCTACCAATCAGAACTCACTCATCCTTGGTAGGCACCGCTGCAGTGGGAGCGTACCATACGCCTGATTGAGGCAATGCTGCTGTTATTGGCTACCCTCCACGTCTGAACGACGTTGTATCTGTGCCTCTTACGACATATTAGATATGGCCCTTGTGAGACTGCACCACTCCGCTGCTCGATGTACACTGCTGACAGCTGGTCGTGAATGTCCCGATTTACTTCGAGGATCGCGACCGAACGATGCTCAACAACTATGGCATATCAGATCCTAAAACCTGGTGTCTGGAAGCACTTCACGAGTCATATCATACCCACACCAACATCTCCACAGGCACACATCCAGACAACAACACCTCGTAACCCATGATACGCGGAGCCCTCGTCCGCGATGAAAGCAACCGCTTGGCACAAGGCTGGGCAGGTTTGGCAGGCACGCGATAGGCCCCACTAGCACGAGCCCATGGTCTGATCATACACACGAGCTTTCAGGAAAATTCTCGCAGGATTCTTTCGATGCCCTAGAAGCTGTGGTTTGCGATAAGCACATAATCCTCTGGATGGCGGCATGGTCTTCGACGATGTCATTTCGCCACATCGAGCGCCAAGCCCTCCTGCTGATTGCGCAGACAAAAAGAGGAAGCAATACGGGCGGGGATCCATCGTCGCTGCATCGAGTAGTGCGGCCAGTGAATGAGGGTTGAGGTGTGTCAAGCAGGGGGCATCAGTGGTTCAATGGCGGTAAGTGTAGGCAATTTGCGCTTCTAATCCCTATCCGTTTTCAAACGGCTGCTCACGACTCCAACCAGACAGCGCGTTGCCTCGGTCGTCGAGCCGAAAACATGAGGAGATAAGCATGGGCGTGCGAACTCGCTGTGCATTCGAGAAGACAGTTGGGAGCTAGCTAAATTTGGGCGCCGAAACTACCGCGGTTGTAGACCTGCCTGTGTGCGTTAGAGTGGCCAAGAGAGAGGCCGTTCGTGGTGTGGAGGTTTCCGTCGAGCGTGAGCGTGCTTGGGGTGCTTCGATGGTGGAGAGGGGCGCGGTGTCTCCTCCGCCAAGGGACGGCGCTGGGCGCCCAGTCAAAGCGGCATTTAGGACTCGAGGAGAAGGGAATTGCACGCGGACACCTTGTACTCATAACGACCCTGCAAAAGTCTGAATTTCAACACTGGAGAGTGCAGCACACGTGACAGACAGAAAAATGAACGACTGACGACACCTGCGGACGTGTATGGTCCCACAACAATATCGATTGATGATGCCGCACCGCTACTCGCGTCTTCGTCGCGATAAGCCTGCCCAGCAGTGAATGGCTGGCACCCTGATGATCATCCTGCTCCGCCAAGTGTACCAAGCTGGAAGCTGTGTCGCCAGCTGGACCGCAATTCTCCCCTGGCCTTAGCATTTGCTAAGTGGCTGTCGTGCTCGATAACGCTGTTCGCGCGAAGTGGTGCTGTCCGCCGCCCATGATCAACAGCTAGCGTGATTGTAACGTCGCGCTGGAACTCACCTGCTGGATGCAGATGAGAGGCCAAGACGCGCTTTGCCTCGCTGTTTGCCGCCGCGAGCGTGGTGGGGAGTAAGGTATTAATTGGACTGTCTCCGCTCGTAGGGTTTTGGTTCAGCAGCAGCTCGTCCCCTCCTTCAGCTTGCCCCAGCCAATCACTCTCCTCCGGTGAACTGAAAAAGAGTGAACCCTCTCGAGTGTTAACGTCAACACTTGAAGACCACTATTCACTATGGCTGCCGCCGCTGGTCCCAACCAGGTCGATATGGCCCTCAGCAACGAGCCCAAGGTCGCTACACCTCTCTACGAGATGAACGAGAAGCAGGCTCTTGCTGGCGAGAAGCGTCACTCTTCTGCCACAAGTCAAGACATCAATGCTCCCCCTGTCGAGTTCGAGGCCGATCTCATTGGCGAGACACCCACCGAGGAGGAACTGAAGACACTACGTCGTGTCTCTGGCAAGATCCCGTGGCAGATCTTTACCATTGCGTTCGTCGAGCTTTGCGAGCGTTTCGGTTACTATGGTTGCCAGGTGCTGTGTATGTTGACATGTCGAGTTCATTCTTTATCAATCACTAATTGGAACAGACACCAACTTCGTCCAGCAGGAGCTGCCCGTCATCGATGGTGTAGTCCAGACTACTGGCAAGGACCCCCGTGCTGAGGGTCAGCCTGGTGGCCTCGGTATGGGCCAGCGTGCTTCGTTCGGTATCGGTACCTTCAACTCTTTCTGGGCCTACACAACACCCATCATCGGTGCCATTATTGCCGACGAGTACCTTGGTCGCTTCAACACCATCTTCATCGCCATCGCCTTCTCCATCATCGGTCACATCCTGCTCATTATCTCGGCTATTCCTAACGTGCTCACTGGCGGCAGTGCCATTGCCCCGTTCATTCTTGGTGTGATCGTTCTTGGTTTCGGAACTGGTGCTTTTAAGGCCAACATTTCGCCCCTCATCGCCGAACAGTACAAGCAGACAAAGCCTCGTGTGATCATCGACGAGAAGACTGGCGAGCGTGTCATCTCTGACCCTAACATCACACTTTCGCGTATCTTCCTGTACTTCTACATGTTCATCAACATCGGTTCGCTCACCGGCCAGATCTCCATGGTCTACGTTGAGAAGTACGTTGGTTTCTGGTGCGCATGGCTTCTGCCCACCATCATGTTCTGCGGCTGCCCCATCGTTCTCTGGGTCTGCCGCAACAAGTACCACAAGAGCCCACCTACCGGCTCCGTCCTCATTCGCGCTTTCAAGCTCCTCGGTCTCGCCACCAAGGGGAAGTGGTCCATCAATCCCGTCACCACCCGCAAGAACTTCAAGAGCGAACGATTCTGGGAGGATGTCAAGCCCAGCCATCTCGGCGAGTCTAAGCCCGCCTGGATGCAATTCGACGACGCCTGGGTCGACCAGGTCGCTCGTGGTCTGCGTGCCTGCTCTTGCTTTACTTGGATACCGCTGTACTGGCTGTCCTACAACCAGATGAACGGCAATTTGACCTCGCAAGCGGCGACCATGACCCGCAACGGTGTCCCCAATGATATCATCACCAACCTCAACCCCATCTCGCTCGTCATCTTCATCCCCATCGTTGACAACTTCCTATACCCCGCGCTGCGCAAGGCCGGCATCCGCTTCACACCCATCAAGCGCATTGCGTTCGGTTTCTTACTCGCGTCCCTCGCCATGGTGTCTGCCACCGTTATCCAGTACTACATCTACAAGACGGGCCCTTGCGGCAACGAGATGAACTCGTGCGATGACCCCGCGCCCATCAATGTCTGGACCCAGGCCGTGCCGTACGTGCTTGTCGGTTTCTCCGAGATCTTCACATCCATCACCGGTCTGGAATTCGCTTTCACCAAGGCGCCCAAGAACATGCGCTCCCTCGTTACATCGTACTGGCACTTCATGTCTGCGTTCTCCAACGCTATCGGCCAGGCACTTGTTTCGCTTTCTGAGGACCCACTGCTGGTGTGGAACTACGGTATCGTTGCGGTCCTGGCGTTCGCTGGTGGCATCCTGTTTTGGATCCACCAGCGCCCGACGGATAAGAAGGAGGATATTCTCAACATGTTGCCTGACTCCAACTATGTTGGTAAGGACAGGAGGCACAGTGTTGAGAACCCCGACCGCGCTGCATAAACGTGTAAAGGTTTCTGGTAACAGCTGCACTTGAGGTGCTTTGATGGCGTATGAATATGATGCTATGTAATGCTGGAGTGCATTATGTTTGGTACGGAGATCTTTCTTCGATGATACCTATTTGTTTTGGTAGTTAGTTACATGAATGCATGAGACGACGCTCTCGCTTCACCTGCACTTGATCTTCACTCGGTTGTTGGTGCCATCGTTATCATTTCACCTGGTTCGAAAGTTGGGAACTTGGTGACCGCCGATGTCTCGATGCAAACCCTTGTAGACATAGTGTACTGTGAAGTGCAGGCGCTCGTGAAGAGACATAAAGTAGCTGCGTTTGCCTATACTCCAGGGTCATGCGTGGTATTTATAGTAGCTCTGAGTTGCACAGAGCAACTGCCACTCACAATCCATTTTGTCTTCGACACCAGGTATTGCAACTGACTACGCGAGTCCTGCTCAGCACTGCTTTCAAGGACTTACAAGACCTGATTGTCGACTTTGAGATGTTCCGCGCAAAATACTTCGTGCCAGGCCAGATCTTCGAGAACAAGTCAAAAGGCGGGTACTGGAACAGAGATTTGCGGGCATTGGTGGCTGTGGTTGAGCAGCTGAGAGTGAGGGAAGAGGAGTTGAGGGTCATATTCGAATGACTGGGCGTTGCTGTAGACAGCTGAGGGAAGAGTTGGGTACAACAACTTGGCCCTATACTGCAGTATGTTGTAATCGAGCTTTAACAGAATGGGAGCTATACACTGCTCATCTCGGACTTTCAAACGAAGTTGATCTGTTCGATGTTCACGTTGATGCAAACGGTCATGATGTTCGTGATAGAAGCGTAGGGCGAGCGGAAGAAGGCAAGAATAGCCGAGGCGCGCCATCGGACCGCGACGGAGTGACTTCCGCAACATTCCGGGATAATTTTCGGTGCTGCTGGTGACGGCGACTCCAAAAGGTGCACGCAGGCCCCGCTTTGCATCTCCATAGCTTCGAAGCTCCGTAGCTCCATCTCGGTTTCGTGAACGTTGTGTGCTATAGCGGGGTTGTTTTGTTTCCATTGTTTTACGCCTGTTGCTAGAGCTGCGCGCCTTCCAGCTTCATCAGAAAAGTTTTCTCAGCCCTACCGTCAGCCTTACCGGCAATACACAGCATACAAAATGGATCCAGATCTTCAGTGCAGCACATGTCAAGCGTTATAGGAGGCGCTCTAGGCTACAGATACTCGAAGAATATTACGATGTACGTTTGAAAGGTGCTCTTTCCTTCCTCTGGCTCACACTGCACCTACCACACACATGGAGACGAAAGCACACGCACCCCAAGTGCCCTTGGACACTCATGAGTTCCCTTGCCCATCAATCCGTCACCCAGTCTGGAAACCTCGGGGTGAATGAGTGACATGTCTGAGGATGGCCTTTCAGCGCTCTGGACACTGTAGCCTTTCACCATGCACCCACCGTTCTGAGCCCTGATTGTTGTGAATAACTGCTAAATGGTGCCTTTCTCACCAGTGATCACACAAACGACTGCAATTCGACATTCCAGAGTGATACAATATGGGCGCTGAGACCAGGGCCATGAAGCGGAAGTGCTCGCTGGATGATCCTTCCGCTGTGGCCTCCCGAAAGAAAGCGCCAACGGCAGTTACAACGAATGCAGTGAAGCCAAAGGCAGCAACGCTGAAGCCAACAACAAGGAAAACATCACCAACATGTCCACTGATACAGACACTCCGCCAGTACGGCCTCCTGGAGTCCATCATCTCTTGCCTGTTCCCAAGCGATCTGCTCGCCCTCGCACTATCGTGCAAGACTACGTACAACGCAATATTTCCTCATCCTGGAAGCTTCGACAACTTGCTCAGCAGAATGCCTTGCTGCGGCAACGGCATCGCGGTCCGGCAACGTATGCACCATAAATCGACCTTCTTCTACGCTTACCAATGTACCGAATTTGCGCAATGTCGCACCGCTTCTGGCCGCCAAAACATCGAATCACACCCCTGCATCAGCTGCAGAGTTACCACTTGCGACGAATGTCGCATCCATTGCGTCTACCAATCTATCTACGAGACGCCTACCAACCCTGAAGACCTTCCTAACTTCTCTGGCTTTGTGTTGTTGGACCCGTTCGAAGTCGCCATCCTCAGTCCGCACCACCTCCCTTCCAAATTGCTTCTCAGTGAAGCTGCTCACCTGCCTCCGTGGCGAGATAGAGCAACAAATGCCGCAGCAGGGCCATACCACGACCAAGGTTTCCTCGACATGCCTCTAGAGTTCGATCAGCCTGGCACACCAGAGAAGATCAGCGATGTACTCGATGTGGATCTTGGGCTCAACTCGCTGACAAAATGGTCCGGGAACTCGCAATTTGGTTTCCCGTCACCAGTTCTCCGCTCACTGTGCGCTTTAGCCGAGAAGCGAAAACTATCTCTATGCGAGTACTGCTTCGCAGAGGCGCTGAAAGGCTACACAGCTCTTAGCCCCAAATTACCAAAACTGTCTTGGCTCAGCCACCAGGTCGACCCCCATGGCAAAGTCTTGAATGATTGTCACTGCTCGCTACGCAGCCGTGTCTTGGACCGATGGCAGTGCGTGAACTGCTATGAAAGCGAAGAGTCGACCATTGAAGGTATCCACAGTATAGCGTCGAGGCCAGATTCATGGCAGTGTCGATGTGGTCTGAATGTGAAAAGGACGGTGTGTATGTGGTGCTGGGGTGAGATTGTCGAGGGAAGGGACGAGCATGAGCGAGTATACCCAAGAGAATACGCACGTATCAGGGCAGAACGTGGGGACTCATCTGAAGAGGAGTAGGCGCTGAAGCGGAACGGCCAGACTCCCAATAGTGAGGAGCATCAAGTATGCTACCAGGGCAGAGGAGAGGGTGTACGTAGGCGGCAATACCCCGGTCGGTGCTCTGTACAACGTGAGTGTAAGACTCAGCTCATTGCTATGTAAACATCACATGTATTAGTCCTAGTGACAACGTCTTGAGCGGCTTCCGATTCGGATTTATTACAGTTCCTCAGCTGTGAACCATGTGGCTATATCCTGATCCCATCGAGCGGATACCGACTGGTCGCAGCGAGGAGCAAGGCTTGTCAGAGCGCCCTACATCTCTCGTGATCGTAACTAACAGGTGCCAAGACGCGTCCGAAACACGACCCTGGAGGAAAGCGGCGTACTCAAATGCGCTGGTACTTTGACAGCAGCTCTCCAGTGCACCACCTACATATCCTGGTTTCTGTCTTCGTCTTCTCTGTTATCGTAGTCGATTCGACCACTGGCGTCCACTCGGCGTTGTTAGCTGTTGCGGTATCAATCGTCCTGTACGAGGCCTGATTGCTGCTGCTCAGATTAGTCTGGACTAGCATGTTTCAAAACAGGTATATATTGTCTTCTCTCAGCTAGATAGCAACTCAGCGCAGTATTCCATCCACTCCACGCCGCCACATTAGCAAACTTTTACATGTGCAGCATTTGTCTGAGTCATTGTTCGTTGAAGGTAACAGCATTGTTGACAAGCTTCAGTCTAGAGAAAGCAAGCGACTGCATTTGTAGTCGTGAAAACACCGTGTATGGATGACCTGGTGAAACGATTTTGAATAGCGTAAGCTCAACACAAAGAAAAGCTGTCGGACTTGAGTACATAGTCACGCACCTGGTAGCACAGCTATCTATGGTAAGGGTAAGGCCTCAATCGGGACACCAGTGGCCATTCTCGAATGATGTGTCAACGTGGCTGCACTCAGAAGGAAAGCCTACGTGAACAAACTGATAGGTAAGAGCGTAGATTGTTGTGGCAGTAACATATGCGTGCAGAGAGTAATTATGGAAGATCACGTGGGAGGTTGACAGAGCAAGAGCAGGCGTGTCTAGACTGATAAAAAGAGCAACAGCGAAGAGGCAATAACAAGTAGGCAAACGCGCCTAATAACAGCATGTGACCCAAATACTTTACACCCAATATTTCAGGTACGTTATTTCTTCAGATCTCCATTTCTCATTTATATGCTACTGCGCATACACCATCGCGTCGTACAACATCAACTTCAACCTTAACCTTAACCTTGGCCTCCACCTCTTTCCCCTTTACCGCATCTCCTCTCTGAATCTGAATTTACAATCCATGTCTGTCTAAGAAATCGTAGATGAGTTGGAAACCGGCAGTCGCATTATTGTGCAGGGGCAAGGCATGACCAGTGTTGGGCTGGATAGCCACCTCAATAGCACTAGCATTAGGATAAGTTTGCGCCAACGCTGTCATATTAGCCACTCCTTTGCAATCTCCTCGACATATGTAAAAGTCGAATTCTGGCAATAAGTATTGCACTGGCCCTTTAAAAGAAGGACCGTAGTTTCCGATAAGCCAAAAGGCTGATGCAAACTCGCCAATTGGGACTGGCTGCTTGATATCGACAGCGTAATCAAGCAGCTCTGGAGTGAACGCGGTTTTGGGGTCGCCGCCGAAGAAGATGTTCTGGATTCCGGACTTCTGGCAAACAACATAACCGCTAGGTCGCTCGTATGAAGGAGAGCCTGTGGCGGCGTATTCAACGCTGAATGATGTGGATCCTGCGCTTCCAAGATACGGGCTGAGAAGGTAACCAGTGATAATCGCCCCATCAGTCAGACTACCATAGTTGGCAATGAATGCGGAGGTTAGGAAGGACCCAAAACTATGGCCGACATGTACGACCTTGGAAGGGAATTCCAGCTCATTGAATGCTGGGAGGGCATCCTGGGACTTTTCTGCAAGGTCGTATAGTGTGCCGTTACGAGCCATTAAGGTGATTTGTCGAAGAATTTCCATCTCCAATGGAGCTTGGACAACGTTGTATGCGTCCGGGTGATTAGATTGACCAGTTCCCAAACGATCGTATGTAAGGATAGAATACCCGGCTTTGAGTGTGGCCTCAACATAAGAGTGTTCCTCTGGCTTATATGTGGAGTCCCAGTATCGTGAGTCGTAATGAACTCCGTGAGTGGCGATTTGGAGTACTCCGTTCTTTCCAGAAGACTTCGGGACACAGAGCTGGGCGTGTATATTGAAGGTGTCAGACGTGGTTGTATTTGTGATGATGTTCTGCACGCCATGTGGTGTGCTCCAAGTGGCATCGAAGATTGCCCAAGCCGTTGCTTCGATATCGTCGTTCACTTGGGGTATGTCGTAGATTGCGCTCGGTGCAGTAGCGAACACTGGAATGTCTAGCTGCACGCAGTAGCCGCTAGGTCGGTGGGAGGATTGGACTAGCGAGGCCAAAGCAATATTGGAAAAGAGCCATGAGGCTGCTGTGAGACGACCGGCCATTGTTGTGCAAGTAGCGATAATGAAGATGTGATGAGAGTTCGATGCAGATGTACATATGAATGAAGAGATAGGGTGAGCTTTATATACATGCGGTCTGGCAGTGCAGCCTCACTGTTTGATATCATTGACATTGCCAAGGGGGTGCATTCGACTCATCCACTTCTGTTTCGGCTGGTCTTATTTGATGAGAAGGATACGGCTGAGGAAGTTAGGGCGCAGCAGGCGACGTACAGCTGACATGCTGCGAGTGACCGTCAGCTCGAATATAGTATGACATTAACAAATGTCACCTTATATGACCTGAAGACTGTGTTGACACTGAGTAGTACGTAGATGCACTCGCTGGCTGAGCGTGAAGTCTTGCAATAACAGTAGAACTCACGCGAGAAAGGGTAGTTCGTGAAGGTAATATCTTCAACCTCTTCTGCTCACAAAAATTCGTTCTACCAATGGACAATAGGTTCGATAGCGACCGGTATGCTTTGGTCGCTTGCAGTCATTCAACAGCGGAAGGTCAGATCGAGGACGCTAAATCGACAGGGGGCGTATCTGTGACCAGGGGCGTATTCTTTAGCGAATGGACCCACAAGTCAGCGGCTGGGTCGCTTAGCCACAAGCCACTTGGCCCGAAATGTCGTAGTCCGTAAGTGCGAATATGGAAGGCATCGGATACAACCACGAGCCCACCAGGAATACTCGAATCAATCATGGAGTGGCTCTTCACCGGTACCGCGTAGGTCAGACATTTCCAGCACTGCCTCATTCTTTGATGCAAAAGGGCGGCCATGAAAGGCATAAAAGGTCAGGTCAAACTTTGCTTCCACTACTCGAATCACAAACATCATCACTATCATCTTTTCAAGCGAACTCATGTCTTCTATCTAAGCACCATTGACCTTAATTCCTCAAGCCATAATTTCCCCGAGAGATCTTTATAACCATTATACCTCAAACGATCGAATCCATCTCCGAACCGTCGAACGCCCTGGTCTTTTCTCCATGGCTTCGGTTGTTGTCGCCCTTGGTGTCATTGTCTACTTCTCGGCCAAGAAGGTGCACGATCACAGAGAAAAGAAGCGCGAGCTGAAAGCTCAAGAATTTCTGTCACACGACATGACTGAGAAAATGGCGACGAGCGATGAACTCAGCAACCATCTTGAAACCGACGACAACCTCCCGGCTTACCGCAGAGAGCCGCGGCTACCACGCTACACGGAGGATGAGCAACCCACGACCGTTGTTAGCAAAAAGCGCAACGCGCTTCTTGGTTCCTTTCGATTTTAGGGATTTTAGTCAATTTGAGAGAGAAAGATGTATCATAGACACATAGCAAACGAGTGGATTATGTTTGTTTGGATTACGAGACTTCATATGACTGGAGTGACACGCGAATGATAGACCCAATAGATACTTTGCTTGCAGTTTCGACGCTTTCGCCCGGTGTTCGTTTGAAGAAACCTTGGAAGGTGACCATGACTACACTCAAATTCGTCCACATTCTGTGGTACATGTGCAGACTATGGGTATGGCTGGGAATCCAAAGCCATATTTTTTGACATGCTTACTATTTGAGGTGAGGGGAGTCTATATACAACCTTTGATGTCTTGCAGCGTACGTAACATAGTCCCTGGCCACCACTGTGTTTGATCATCACATTCCGGCCACAGTCGCCTCACAAGCTGAGTTCCATATCTATTCACCATACCAGTAAGCGTCACCAACGGCAACATCCCAATCCACCACGACTCCTCTTCCACCAAGAACATAAGTACGGACCAGTGCGCATATATATCGAGCGCAAGCGCTTGCTTCTGTGTCAAATCCGATGCGATGCAGTCGGGTGGTGCACCAGCGGGATTCTCGAGCCGCTGGTCGAGGAGAGGAAGGACGAGGTCGAGATACCCTTGGGGAATCTGGGCGAAGAAGGAGAGCAGCAGGCGTGTCAGTGGTTCGGTCGGTAGTAGGACTATGCCTTTGACTTCGCATGGCCGGCTCACGAAGGAACGGAGCCAGGGAGCTATGTGCGTTGAGGATGCCGCATCAGCCTGGACGTATTCCGATTGCGACGGTGTGGCCATGGAGAAGGCACTGCTTCTTATCTGCTCGAGGATACTGAAAGCGGTCTTGCAGGCTGATATAGTGTGATCGAGTGGATCGCTTCCGTTGGGAACGAGGGAATCTAGGCGCACTTGAAGCTTTGAAAATGCATCTCGACTACTGGTAACAATCATTGCGGTCATGACATGATTATGTGATGGATGTAGAGCCTTTGACATAAGACTGGCTACTGGCATCACTGATATCGTGTCTCGGTCAAGAGCCATCGGTACAGGAGGCTCGCAGCTTATTCCTAAGTCGCCTGAAAGAAGCGTTTCAAGCATAATTCGCACCCCTCTAACCAATATTATCACATCCCTTGGAGTTGACAAGAGTGGACCATGCGATTTTTGCGTTCCGCTGCTGCTTGAGATCCAGTGATTGATCTGCTGACTTGCAGCAGCAAATGGCACTAATATTAAAGTGCTAGTCAAAAGATTGCCTGAATCCGGTGTGCCAGACTTTGAGATTGATTCTCGAATTCGTTCGCTCGCCTCGTTGTAGTGCTGATAGCCACTGAGCAGGATTTGATGGACTGATTCTGTTTTAGGAGGGGGGTTTTTGGAGATCGTGTTCCACGCTAAGTGGACTGCAGAGACTGCAAGAATAGAGTGATAAACGGCTGCGCTCTGCTGAGCCAGCGTCGGCATCCCGGACTGCAACAAGCTATAGCCGCTTCGGCAAACACCCATATTGGGACTCACATGCCGTAAATAGTGGTAATATAGATCGGTATCAGATGGGCTGCTTGGAAATTTTGAAATAGTACGATATCCGTCTGTGTCCACATGTGGTGATTCCGGGTGTGATGATAGTGGAATTAGATTTGGAGGCGGCGAAATACTCGAAGTTGCTCCCACAGGGCTGATTGGTAACCTCGGTATATAAGATCCATCTCTTCCATTTATCTCTGCGGAAGGTACTGCTGATAAATACAAGCATTTTATGAGACCCAAGATGCATCGCGTGCACGATGGCCTTGACTCGTCGCACTAGAGAAAATATCAGCTCAATGGTTACATGGCACTCACTGGGTAGTATATACACACCTTCTTTCTGCGACGCTTGCACTCGAGGCATCCATCTCTCGACTTTTGATGATGCCTCCTGGTTTTTCTACCTGTCTCTCGACTGGGTACCCCAGATGTCATGGTTTTGGAGCTGATAACATCGAAATGGCGGCGCAGCCCTGGAGACGTCAGCTTTATCATGAAGCATGTGAGGCTGAGTCGCCGTATTCCGATTGGATAAGGGTCTACATCACGCGTGAGAATTTGGAATCGCTTCGAACGACAGACAAGACTCCAATTGGCTGAGCACATCCCGTAACACGAAATCTTATTCTTGCAAAATGTCGCACAGATCTAACATCTCTCATCGTCGTGTGTCTCTACTTGTAGTTGCCGTCCCCACATCGCGAGCTTGCTAGACTTCTAAAGTAGTTGAACAATTGTGCAGCCTTTGCATTCCGTGTACGGGTGCACCGAGGGATTTGAGGAGGTTATGCACAAGCTGCAACCACATTCACTCCACGGTCCTCCCACCACCTGCGCAAGCCCACACTCTATCCTTCCGGAGCAAAGTCTTTATCAATAAGCCTTTGTTCAAGAATCCTCGGCGTCCTCGAGTGTATCCGGCATCCTTTTTACTTTGCTTTTCGATGCACCAGAAGCATGTCCAGTGGTCCAGTAGATGCTTTTTCACAGTACATGAGCAGTCGGCGGATGTAGCAGAGGCAGCAAAAGGACCATTGGCTACCAGACACTCGTTGATCTTCTTTTCAGCCACAACACGTCCCTCGCCGCCGCGAAAATAACAATTCATGCACATTTAGCGTTTGCGCATGTCTGTAAACTTCTTGAAGGGTCCAGAGGTGATGTCCATGTGCCACAGGTTAAGACCTCGACAGTCTTTGTAGATCTTCCACTTGAGCAGAGTTCTCCGGCCGGTGATGCTGCTGTAATATCGCAAGCTGGTTAACTTGATTTCCGTGGAGAAGTCTGCATAGCTTAGGGACTGGCCATGGCCTAGTCTGAGAGACACTCAGCCTGACGTGAACCCCTTGATTGCACTAGAACCAATAATGTAATCGACGTACCTATTTGAAATTCGCCTGCGTTCTGTAACAGGATCGGCTTGACGATTCCAAATTGTCTGGTAAACGATGTGAGCCCGGCAATTCTCACAACACTGGATTCCGCACCGGCTGCAGTGCTGCGTGAGGACGAAATCGTTGTATCGACTACACGATATATGGTGGAGATTCGACCAGGGTTGGCTTGTAAGCAACGGATCAAGCAAAAAAGACATATCAGCAGCTTCCTGATCCTGTGTCCGTCGCAGACGGTCCGGGCTTTGAGTTTATCCAGGATTGCTTGTTTGCCGCTGACAGCAAGCCATCATGTCCTGGATGTTGAAGCTAGTTTGAAGAGATCCAGTGTAGAGAGGTAGCCGGTGAGCAGGCAAAAGACTTCATAGAGAGCGATACACCCCTCAAATTTTGAGAGCTCGTGCGGTGGGAGTGGCATGCTAATAGTGCTCGGTGCGGCTGCGCCGCGAGATGGTAACGACTCGACTGCTCCTATTTCTGATGTTCTCTGTATTGTTGAAAGATAGAAAATCGAAAAGGAGACGAGTGTATGGGCTTGAGAACTCGGTACCTTGAATATCAGGGTTTAACGTAGCGAGATCAGAGCCATACATCACTTACGAGGCAATTTTGGATCTCAACAATGCTCTCAGATTGATCGAGACTGTATAGCTTTTCTGTTTGCATGGTGCTCGAGGTGCAGTTGAACGTCTTCGTGACTCATTCTCGACGCTGTTCTGGTGTGTAAAAAGAGATTTGACCTGCGAAGAATAATGCAATCGAGGTAAGGGCTACAATTGTGAATGTCAGAGCAACCTGGAGGAATCATTAGCTCATACCTGTGCTGAATAGGACATGTCACTAGTGAGTATACCTTCGAGTTGTCATCCCACCATTCTGAAGTCTCAAGGTGCCTCGTAGCAGACCACACATGCAGAAACATGCCTACGATCATACTGATTGTAGCTGTTGTTAGAAACATGACAGGCATCTGCCATGTAAAGACTTGAAGCAGACTGGGTGCTCGGCGACCTGTCTTCTTGGAATACTTTCGTTCGCCATTCGTCTTAGCCAGCAGCCTTCGAATGCCATCCAGACCGTCGCGGTGGGCGGAAAGGCGATGGAGTCGCACGGTCTGATCAGCCGCCGTCAAGATACTGAACAGTGACAAGATGATGCCGCAGTACCATGCTGTCCTGATGGGCCACGGTGATTCACGTCCACTGGGCAGCACCTGAGGCCAGCTGCCTGTCGATGTGAGCACCCCTGCCAAGAGCGCAGCGACAACACCAATGAAGCTCAACTCGCTGAGTTTATTGTCTCTCCATTTAATGGTAAGCTCGTCCTTCTCTTTTGCATCTTCAGTGTTGAGCAGGATCTCAATGGGATCGTAGGTCGCTGCATCAGGCGCGTAGATGCCACCACCGAAGAAGTGCAAGACCATCCCTAAAGATGAATGGTTCTCAGCAGGTTTCGCAGCTTCAGATGAGCTCCTTAGCATCGGTGAACGTTCGTCTGCAGAACCACCGCCCTCAACGTCGGAGTCATACGTCATTGTTCGGATCGAATTTCGGTAGTACTGGCGGGGAGATTCTGAACACCAGAATGCAATATGGGCTGCAAGTGATATAGAGGTGGGTAACGCTGCATGCGTGGAGAGCGAGAAACTGCGAATTGTTGTCGTGTTATGTACAGTACGACGATACCTGCGGTGGGCGCTGGGTGCGTGACCGATGACCCGTCATGACGCTTGCTCGGCGCGTCTGCGCTCCTGCCTTGCCCTGCCCAAGTGCACACCCGAAGTCAACAACAGCTGGCGAAACGACTCACGATCAGTTGATTCGATTCCGACGAGTCACCGAGGTCACTGAAATGCCGCCAGTCGAAATGCGGTTGAAAAGAGGGTCGAAAAGCGGCCGGTGTGTGCTACTCCGGGCCGTCTTCGCTACGCCGAGACGCTGTGGAGCGCTCCACAGGGTGATGACGTGCCATTAAGAGAACGGCTACTTGTCAATATTGCTCGATTAGGCTGAAACACTGAAACAGCGAAAATGTCGAGTCCTCAGCAAAAAAAGAAGCATCTGTACGTCAGTACCGACAAGCACCGGTGGTGGAAAGAGGCGGTGGTTTATCAGGTAGGCTGAGATGATCAGTCAGACAGCCAAATCACTCACGTGAACTACAGGTATACCCTGCGTCGTTCAAGGACACCAATGGTGATGGCTGGGGAGATGTGCCCGGTATTACAGAAAAACTCGACTACCTGAAAGACTTGGGTGTCGATGTTATCTGGGTCTCGCCAATTTACAAGAGCCCGCAGGCTGACATGGGCTACGACATTGCCGATTACGAAGACATTGACCCAAGCTACGGAACGTTGCAAGATGTCGACAACCTGATCAAAGAGATCAAGAAGCGTGACATGAAGCTCGTCATGGACCTCGTTGTGAACCACACATCTGAGGAGCACGCCTGGTTCCTCGACTCGCGATCTTCCAAGGAATCGTCAAAGCGAGACTGGTATATCTGGAAGCCCGCGAAGTACGACGCAGATGGAAACCGTCAGCCACCGAACAACTGGGCCCAAATTCTTGGCGAGGCCAACTCTGCATGGACATGGGACGAGAAGACCCAGGAATACTACCTTTCGCTCTTCACGCCTGAGCAACCAGACCTGAACTGGGAGAATCCTGCAGTACGAGAGGCTGTTCACGATGTGCTTCGCTTCTGGCTGGATCGCGGTGTTTCTGGCTTCCGCATGGATGTGATCAACCTGATCTCGAAAGTGCAATCTTTCGGCGATGCTGAAATCAAGGTCGAGGACAATAAGTATCAGCCAGGCGACAAGTTTTATGCCAACGGGCCCCGGTTGCACGAGTTTCTCAAGGAGATCAACCGCAAGGTTTTGTCGAAGTACGACACCCTTACAGTCGGTGAGATGCCGTTCGTCCGAGATGAAGACGAGATCATTCGTGTTGTCGGTGCTGAGAACGAGGAACTCAACATGATCTTCGCTTTCGACATCGTGGATATCGACAACGTGCCCGGCGACTTCAAGTACACGCTTCACCCTTGGGATGCGCGCGATCTCAAAGAGATCATCAATCGTTTGCAACGCCTCATGCTGGAGCGAGACGGGTGGAATTCGATCTTCATTGAGAATCACGACCAGCCTCGCAGCGTCAGCAGGTATACAGACGACAGCGACGAGTTCCGTGAGTATGGCGCCAGGTTGTTGTGTTTGATGCAGACTACCCTCGCTGGCACCATGTACGTCTACCAAGGTGAAGAGATCGGCATGCGCAACGTTCCTCCAAGCTGGGAGCCGTCCGAGTACAAGGATATCGAGAGTGTCAACTTCTTCAAGAAGTAAGTTTCATTCATCACGCATCAATTTTGGAACCACGGCTAACTCCACCCAGGTATCAGGACATGTATTCCGGCAATGAAGAGAAGCAAGCTCTAGCACGCAAGATTATGCAGAAGAAATCACGCGACAACGCACGTACACCCGTCCAATGGACCGCCGAACCCCATGCTGGGTTCACATCAGCCAATGCCAAACCCTGGATGCGCGTAAATGATGACTACAAAACCGTCAATGCCAAGGCACAGCTGGACAATGCCAATCCCTCACCAGGCTACCTATCCGTTCACGCCTTCTGGAAGCGCGGTCTCGAATATCGAAAGGAAAACAAAGACGTCTTCGTGTACGGTGATTTCGAGGTGCTGGATCTGGAAGACAAGAAGGTCGTTGCGTACAAGCGCTGGAGTGAGAAGAACGCTTTTGTCACGGTGCTTAACTTCAGCGGCGAGAATGTTGCTTGGGACAAACTGGGTGATCTCAAGGTCAAGAAGTGGGTTGCTGGTAATTATGATGAGACGGAGATCGATAGCAAGGCGAAGAGTGGAACGCTTGACTTGAGGCCTTGGGAGGCGCTTCTGGGTTTGGTAGAGTAAGCTGCCTCTGACGTTATAGGAGAAGCCCAACCCGTTCAAAGGCCTTCAAGTTCAGGACAAGTCCTATAGAACATCTGCAGACCAGGGATCCACACGTGGTGCGGGAGCGCGCTAGAGATGCAAGGAACGATCACGGTTGGTATGTTGCCGGTCCGGTAAAATCGCGCTAATCGTCTCCACCATTTCACCGTCGTGCTATCTTGCCTCGCATTACAGTGCTTTTTCGACATCCTTAATTAGTAAAGATTTCTAGCTCTCATGGTTTCCATGAAACTGCCATACTCCAAAAGCCCAAGTGTGCTCGCTCTTCTAAGTTGCGCTAATACAAATTGGGTCACGCTAAAACGCACGAGGCTTGGCGCGTCGCTCTCACTAGACCTCACAAACATCTTCTACATCAAGCTGGTACATTCTTTCTCATTTTACGGTTTGTATTCCATAGCTTCGAGCAATACATGTCTCTTCCTTATCGCTCGCTCAACGAGTCTTATTCTCCAAACTAGTGTTCATCGTTCGTCATGCCATCAAGCCGTACTTCTCCTGAGAGCAACAATACCAACACCCTCTTCCATCAGCCGGGAGACCCATCAGAACGCACATCCTTCCTCGGAAACATATGAGTGTTAAACGTCTCCAGCCTAGGTGGGCTTGCAACACGCGTCGGTGCCTTCTTCGTACGAGTAGCTCTCAGATCCTCCATCGAGCTCTCCGACGACAGGTTGCCAAGAGCAGCGCGAATGTTTTCCTTGGAAACGATGCGCATAATCTCGTGGGAGCTCGCCTCCTCATCTAACAGCTGCTCGGATCTCTGACCTCGCTTCGAGGCCCAGCGCTCAGGACTCTTTGCAGGGATAGGCGGTGCGAATGCGGACGTAGCTTTCGAGGGGCCAGAAGGCGAATTTTGGTAACCTAGCCATGCAACTTGTTTTGGTGGCGAATTGCCTGGCCATGGGACAGCCTTGGGCTTTGGTGGAGAGTCGTTGCGGTACGTGTCGTTCGATGCAACGCGCAGCTGACTGACATATGGTGGCGGGACTCTGATGGGGGCAGGCAGGCGACTGTGTGGCTTTGACGGAGCCTTGTCACTTTCGATGGACCGACCACCGGCGTTGAAATTCCTGGCGTGGAGGTTCGATAAGCTAATCTCCTCCTGGTAGCCGTTGCCTTCGTAGCTCGGATGACGAGCATCTGAGTACGACTTCTTCTCTTGCAGCAACTCATCTGGAATCGGTTCGTCGTATCTGCTAGTGCCTTTCTTCAGCGGACGTGGAATGGCACTCAGCGCACCCATGGGAGACCAGATGTCGTCCTCGAAGTCGGCACTCTGCCGCTGCATCTCCCCCAGGAAACCATCAAGAACACTCCCATTAGATGGGCTCGAGCTGCGATCAGTCATATACACGCGTTGCTCAGATGCCCTGTGTGTGAGCGGCTCTGGGCGTGGCAATCGTGGCGCAGGCAAGGGCCTTGCACAACCCTCGTTGGGCTGTTTTTGCAGCGCCGTGTCGACTTCCCTTGATGGCTGGGTCTTCTGTTCGGGAACATCGTCAGGAATGTTAATATGTCGAGTAACGCCGTGGAGGGGACTCTTTAGCTCCTGTGCGGTGCAGTCAGTGACACGTATTCCATCACGAAGCACAGAGGTACTGCACGCTGACTCACTTCTTTCTGAAGCTTGGGGACATAGGAGTATATGCCGTACGGGATCATGGGAGCCTTGGGCGTATCCGGCGTCTTTGGACGTGTGGGCGAAAAAGGAGATTGAGGCTCAGATCTACCAAAGCGGCTGTTGCCAATGTTCATCGACAGCGATCGACAAATGCTGTCGGAGTAACGCTTGATGGGGCTGCGACTGCGCATGTCCTTCGACGGCGACTTGGTGAGCGACCTGTCAAGAGCGTTATGCCTTGACTGTTGCACAACCTGTGGTTGATATTTGGTTACATACTGCACTGTCTCTGACTTCGCGATCGTCTTTCGGCGTGCTGCGCGCACTCGCTGCTCCTCCAGCCACTCTTCCATCTTCTGCTTGAACCTCGGGCGCTCGACTAGACCTCCGTATTGCGGGTATACGTTGCGCAGTTCCTTCTCAGTTTCGTCGTAGTTCTTCTTCGTCAAAACAGTTTGGCTGGCGCCACGGAGGTGTGAGGGTCTGGAAACCATGCGGAACGGCGTCGGTGAAGTGACAACACCGTCAGGCATGGTGATGTTCCCCTCTGGAAAGGCAAGGCGGCTCGGGCACCTGTCCTCGATGAACAGCGCCAGTCGACCATAGTGCCTCCTACCCTTCACGCTGTACGAAGCGCGCACAGCCCTGATGATGGGAACGAACACCTCTTCCCAAGCGGTGCAGATGTTCCGGAGCTCGAAGTACCGAAGGCCAAACGGACTGTACGTCTTCCCTACACAAAATGTTTGCAACAACCAGGCATACAGATGCTTCTCGAACTCTGCAGGACCCCACTCACTCTTATCAATCTCGAAGTAAGCAACAGGCTTCTCGGTGCGCGGATCGTGGCGGCGCAGACCCTCGTCGAATTGGGTGTAGAACCAGAGGATGTCGAGGCGCGTGATCCCACTCGGCTCAGCGGCGCGCGATTTATTGACGAGAAGGCAAGAGTCGCGGAACGCCGCCCATGGCGCGAGGAAGGCAGTCGTGGCGAGGAAGTGCGCTTCCAGGCCGGCTAAATCGGTGAGGTTGAGGAGTGTAAGGGCGAGCTTGAGGTCGGGCGGGATCTTGTCCTTGTCAGTGCGAGAGAACATATCACGCAGGTTTGCGGTGCTGGTCGGTGTGGGCGCGTGCGGCTTCTTGGGGCTTGCAAAAGTCGAGGATAGGTGCGATGATTGGGAAGGAAAGATCAGAGAGGGAGAGACGCCACTGTTGGAAGGGCTTACGCGAAGGCTCACAGTGAAAGAGAGTCATGCGTAACAGCCCACTGCGTCAAATTTGCATTCACCTCAACCAACTGACATCCTGACAGAGGAGAAGCAACAAATGCCAGATCTCGGGCATGAGCTTCGTATGCATGCGGTATTGGCGCTTTCGATATGCATATTTATTCACCGTAGGCAGTTTTGAGGCGATCTATACAAGGTACTTGATCTGATTCTTCTTTCAAGCACTTGACAATCTCTCTACAAGTTTTTACCTTGTACAATAACGACTTTCAAAGCGTACACAGCCTTTGAGAACCATCTTGTTGATGCTTGCGACTGACTCGGCACGGCGATGAAGAGAGGTACAGTAAGAGAGAGTGCTTGCCGCAAATGATGATTTGGCTGACATCCGCAAGAACAGATTGCTGAAGCGTCAGGCGACAGATGACCCTGCAACCGCGAATAACACAATCACACTTCATTAAACAGGCTTGACCCTAAGGCCGATGCAGGATGTGAGTTCATCACTCTTAGAACAGTTCAATAGCTAACAGACTTGCAGTGTCGTCCAAACGTACAAAGCTCAATGATACGGTAGATCAAGCATGCACCAACATCATTCGGAGTGTGATACTGACGAATCCAGGTGACAGTAATGGCGACGCTGCTATAACGAACACACCGAAGACATCACCGCGCTCGAAAAGGGGCCCGCAGAACTGAAAGATAGTACCGACCTTGAAAAGTAGATCGCTGAGCAGGCAGAGGAGATTAGAAAGCTCAAAGACCAACTGCAGAGCCGCAGCAACCTCGTGGCTGGCGTACGAACTTGTTGCGGTATATGTATGGACCCACAAGCCCTGACCCACACGGCAGTGGCTATACTGGGTTAGCACGTTACTGGGCATGTATATATCGTCGTCTCCTAGCTAGTCAACAACTCAGCGCAGTATTCCATCGACCCGATAGTCCTACATTATCGTTTACCATAGCTATCAGTATTCTACAGCGGTCCGCACCGCTACAGAACTCATCGTGACGCGTTGTTGGCTGGAAGGAGAGATCTTCGAAAGCAGCTACAGAAGGCACAAGATGCGGTCGAAGAAGAAAGATAAAGCCGCGAGGAGCAGAAATTGAGACTCGAGGCGGAAAGGAAGCTTAAGAAGTATGTGGATGCTCAGAAGAAGATGGCAGCGCAGTTTGCGTTGGCCTAACGCAAGACGTGACCCACGTAAAATTGTCCTGGGATGCAGACAAACATGGTCCGGGAGTTGGGTGATACACACTGGAGGAAAGACGGATTCTCTTGGGTTCGGCGAGATTGAACATGCATAGAGAGTCTCTTACTATGGTAGCATACACATACAGCATGCCTCATACCGGGAATCGATAGGCACTGTGCTATGTATTATTATCCTCTCCTCTGCCTCCTTATATGTACGTAGGCCTTGATTGCATCATCGAAGTCTGAGTTTGAGAGCGTCTCCGACCCTGTTCCAGTAAGATCGCTCGGTCTTCTTGTTCAATGCTGCATACGCTACAGCAAAGATAACCCATATCTCGAAGCACGCACCGATGACCAATAATACTATAATCATTGGATGCACGATGACCATCTTATCGTAGTTGATCGACGTCGCAACCCAAGTATTAGATATGGAAACTGGAAAGGGTAATCAGAGGCTTTACGGGTATCGCAGAGTTGAATAATGTCCGAGAGAGCTCTGCTTGAGGTTTTTGGATGCAAATATAGGACAGCAGCGGAAGGTATGGTGATCTATGTCAAAGGATGGTACTTCAAGTGCGTGCTTCAATGATATACCCTTCGTAGGCCGCAAAATCCTCAGCTCCTCCAGCCCCTCTACAAGGAACGGAGAGCTGGACTCAGGCACCCCGGGTGCCGACTCGTGAAAATATGTGATCAGGCCTACTATGTTTGGTCAGCTCGTCTCTCGGTTGGTGACAATGAACCATGGTCCAGTAGCAAACCCGATGTGTTTTACCCTTCGACCGAGGTCCCTCCTCGGATTTCGACCCTAACCTGCGTCATTCGAACTCTCAAAATATTCCATGTCATCCTCAGCTTCAAAGCACACAAGTAAAACACTGCTGTAAACACATTCAAACATCCCAGGCCTGTTTACAATTCGAGATGGGCCATGCATCATCAGAAACCACAAAATTTCCTTCACGTTCCACGGAAGAGTCGGACGACTGGGCTCGCTTGCTTGAACAGAGTGGAAGCGCGTCCAGCATTCAACAACAAACATGGCTCCACCGTCCTACCGCTTCCGATGACATAGAAACCTTGCCTCCACACTCACCGTTAAACTCCACAAGACCTGCCACGGAAGACGAAACACCAACACGTCCTGTTACACCAATCCGCATCGCTATAAAGGACCTATACTGGGAATCGGCCATCGATGAAGATCTTTTGACCTCAAAGCCACCTTTTGCTCCATCGATAGCACACGCACGGCTCTGTCTGATACTTGAAGAATCAGACAAGACTGTCTTCGCAGGCAAACCAAAATGTGCCGTGTGTTCCACGGACTTCACGCCCGCGAATGTCCATCAACGTGTCGAGCATTTCAATACGTGCTGGAAAAAGCTTCGGAAAGCTGCAACCGAAAATGCTGGCATGACCGAACATCCGGATCCGTCACGGCTTGTTCTTCAACAATCGAATCCGCAGTGCCTAGAAAGTGCACCCACGACCAGAACGAACAACTTCTGCACCTTATGCTCGCTCCCTCTTGGCAAACTATCCTCCACCGACGCATTCGAGCACCGTATCCTCTGCCAACGCGCTCTCGCCACCCAACCAACCGTATGCCCACGCTGCGATGCAAGCTTCACCACCAATGAGGTTGACTGGAATGAACTACATATCGCAGAGCACATTCACAACTGCTCCACCCACCCAGGCGACGAAGGCTTCCAGTCTACGCAAGAAGTCTGGACCGAACGCCGCTTCACTCGGAAGGATTCTGCGAACTGCGCCCTATGCTCACAATCGCTGGAGCCCCTGGACGATGTGATGGCATTCCACCATCGTCGCAGCTGTCTGGAACGAAAGAGGCCTGTCTATTGTCCGGTGTGCTTCGACCCCCTCCCAATAATTACTGTTGGAGGAAAATGGAAGCCGGAAGACATTCTTTGGCACATTCACCAATGCCAGCGTGGCAAAAAGCTGTCAGTAATTGATAAGGATGATTTTGACATTCTGGAAGCGCGGTGCTTTGCCCGCATACAGAGCGTCTGGAGGATGTTCAGTCGAAATGTTGGCAGTGTAATTGGGCCCAGGAAGGGCTGGACGTTCCGCGAGCACCAACACTCCTACCGCAGCAAGATGGAAGCGGGTCGAGACAATACAGCGGGACTATACTCAACACCAAGCTCGAAGCTGCGGAACGTTGCGACGCACGCTGAAGACGGCGGAATCAGGATTGTGCAGAGTGTGAAAAGTAGAAGAGCTGTATGGAGCAGCATCGAGCGATTCCGTCGGTCAGCCCACTCAGTATACAAAATGCTTGAGCATAGGAGAATGATCAGCTGTACGAAGAGTGAGTATCAGACGGATGAAGTCGTGTACGATTGGGACAAGAACCGAACGATTACGACAATCGATGGACAAGATCACGCGATGCTTTGTGGTGATCTAGTCGCTAAAAGCACTGGAGGATCGAGTGTAAGTCTGAAGGTATGGAGTACCTTCATGAAACCGTCAACCCCGGAAGAAGAAGACGATCGTGGGCGTCCGCGAATCCGCACTCGAAAGTCAGGACGAGCGAGCCGGGTATCATCTCGCGAACGTAGAAGGCATCTAGCCGTGGACAAAGCAACGAAGGCAGGGATTCGAGTACCTCCAGGCTTCGAATTGCGCAGCCTAGGGCTGCACTAGAGCCACATGAGAAGTTGGATGTTGAAAATGATCAAAGGTTGTTTCCCTCCCAAAAGTAGACAGCTTTCGTATCTGAGCTTTCGGTGCGCGGAGGAGGGTAGCGATGAAGATGGAGATGCGAGTGAAGGTGAGGGGAAAAGGGGTGTGCACGTCCGACACGTTATGGGTTGTTTCGAAAAGACCAGGTACACCCCGTGACCTGAGCAATGCGAGCTAACCATTCTTTAACATCACCAAGACATAGTCTTCTACCTCTAGATTCGACAGGACTATGCAAAAGTCGACGTAAGGTAGTTCTATACAGGGGCTTGCATAGTATCTCATGTGCGCATACGTGCACACCCTGTTTGATGAGAGATGTGATGTGAACTGTCGATTGAGTAATATCGAGGAGGACGAATACCTACAGTGCGGAAACTGTTGAAGGGTTGAGATATTGATTGATCTGAAGAGCTATGGCAAGGATTGATCGGGACTATGTAGTAGAAGGGAATAGCAGTGAAAGGGTGGGGAAGCAAACTGAACTAACCGAATGAGGTGGACAATCAGTGCAGCGGACAGTTCGCAAACACTGCAACGGACCGCTGGTGAACAGAAACAGGCGCTTCGGCTTTCGCATTGCGTGGTGCGTTTGTGTTCGGGTGCGTGGATCGTGAGTGATCGGTACGCGTGTGCGGAAATATTGAAGGATTGAACTGAGGTTGTATTGAACTAAGCTGTGTGTGTTTAAATATATTGTGGTATCGATTGAGACCCTATTACCCTGGTATAGACTGTTCTGGACTAGCATGTTCCAGGGCCAGTATATAGTCGGCTTCTCCTCATGTCGGTATTCTCATGGCAGGTGAGGTACGGCAGGCAGTAGCACTCTAAACCGTAACAGTTTGCCATCTTCATCCCGCTTCTCAACATGTCGCAACTGCAAAGATTGCGCACACTCAGGGCAAGCGGTCAAATACCCTTGGTAATGATGAAAACATCATCACATCGAGGTTCGGACCATAAGATATCGTGCGCAGCGTTTTACTGGAACTGCCGCGAAGTTGAAGGGTGTGGTGCTTCCGGTATCACAAGTACCAAGGTATGGCAGGAGCCTGGACGCCTGGCCGAACTCGCCGCACATGCCAGTCAGCGGCGATGGGAACAAGGCTCGCAGGCTGGGCCACCGTCAGGTCAGCTACAAAGCGAAAGCAAGGTCAATTGAACATTTCAGGCGCAATTTGTTGTATTGAAGATGACGTTGAAGGTGGTTGAGGTAAGACGCTCTTGTCCCACCTGCATTGTCTTCCCCGCAGTACGTCAGTATCCGAGGTTGCTTCTGCAGCACATCAACTCTCAGGGCGTAGTATACCGCGCTCAGTGTCGCTTTTGTTCCGAAAACATCGACATACTTCACATCACCAAAACTATCGATCCATCGCCATCATGTCCAACCAGCAAACAGTCCAAACTAAAGGCATCTACCATGGCCTGCCAGTCTATCCTTCTGCGGTCACAGGTCTCACGGCAATCATCACCGGCGCAAATGGGATATCGGGAAACTACATGCTACGGGTCCTTGCTGAAGCTCCGGAGCGATGGACAAAGATATACTGCTTGTCGCGACGCCCACCTGCGATTCCAGACGGATTGCCAGCACAGGCCGAGCACATCGCCCTTGACTTCCTGAAAGAGCCAGAAGAAATAGCCAAAGTATTGAAAGAGAAGGGTGTGAAGGCTGATTACGTGTTCTTCTACAGCTATGTGCAAGTCAAACCAAAGGAAGGTGGAGGACTGTGGAGCGATGCAGAGGAGATGTGCAAGGTAAACAGTGAGTCTGACTTCCATCAAAACCTTTGGCAATATCAAATGCCGCCAGAGCTACGAAGTGGTGACTGATCTTGCATAGGCGCACTGCTGCGTAACTTTTGCTCCGCCCTTCCTCTCGCTTCAATCACACCCAAACGTATCATGCTGCAGACCGGCGCCAAAAACTACGGTGTTCATCTTGGGCCTTCAGCCATTCCACAAGAAGAAAGCGCGCCTCGAGTCACGCTTGAACCCAACTTCTACTACCCACAAGAAGACTTCCTCTGGTCGTTCTGTGCCGAGCATGGCATAGACTGGAACATTTGTATGCCAGCTGGCATCCTGGGTGCCGTGCCAGATGCAGCTATGAATCTGGTATTCCCATTGGGCGTGTATGCAACCGTGCAGAAGCATCTTGGTGAGAAGCTTGAGTTCCCGTCAGACCTGCAGGCCTGGGAAGCCAATCGGTGCATGAGCAGTAGCAAGATGAATGGTTACATGGAAGAGTGGGCAGTTTTGACTGAAGCAGCAAAGAATGAGAAGTTCAACACCATGGATGGCACCACTTTCACGTGGGGCAACCACTGGCCCAAGCTTGCCAGAAATTACGGCATCGATCACGAGCTTCCGAGTATGGATGACAGCGTGTATACCGTGGTCAAAAGTAAACATGACCCACCGCCACGAGGGTTCGGGCCGCCAGCAACATACCGCATTCGTTTCAGACTAGTGGACTGGGCGCGGCAAGAGAAGGTACAGAAAGCATGGGCAGAGCTTACAGCAAAGTACGGTCTCGTTACTGGTGACCTACAGGACATGGACATCGATCGGATCTTTGGCTTCACAGATGGGAGTCTCATGGGCACACCTTTGGATCTCACAATGAATAAAGCGAGGAAGATGGGGTGGCATGGATTTGTTGATTCGAATGACGCGATCAAAGAAGTGCTCAGAGAGTTCGTGAATCTCAAAATGTTACCACCGCTGCTCGATTAGCAGGTCAAAGTACGTCGTAACGAAGCCAATTACTGGTTATGAATACTAGCTGAGCACCTGAGCAGGATAGTTCTGGATGAATGTTGTCATTGACCGTATTGACATCTAATGTGCTGTGACTGTCTCAACTTGCACAGTAGTCTGCCCCTTCTCTGCAATGGAGTGACCATGAACTAACACGAATTCTGCAACGTTATCTTAGCTGGGGTGCGTAGCAGACTACCCTCGTCAAGTGTGTTACAAGTCAGGTATATATAGTCGTCTTCTCCTAGCTAGATAGCAACTCAGCGCAGTATTCCATCAACTCGATAGCCCTACATTGTCGTTCACCGTAGCGATCAGTGTACTACAGTGGCGCATGCCGCCACAAATGTAATGAGCTTCTAAGGTCTGCCAATGGTCGTGCAAACAAACTCAAGGTCTCTGGTGTTCGAGGCTCTTACCTCTGCCTGGAATTGAACGCAGGCTTGTGAGAGACCAGTAATCGCAATGGTTTCGACACTAGTCTAACCTATCTTGTGCAAGTATCATCCTCTCGGAATGAGAGCAACGACTCTTTCTCCAATTATTGGGGTAGTCCCCGGATAGGGGCATTGACAGTTGATTTGACCCCTAGAGACTGTGTTGCGTCTACCTCGTAGCTGCGCACCGTGTCCACTTTGACTGGGCCGGAACTCCAGCTTCTCAGTGAGGTAGTTCTTGGACCGGCCTTTGTGAAGAAAGCTCGACAGTCGGTGAGTTCGCATCAACTTCGTAACTGCACAAGGTATCGCGGCGCAGCTCTTGCTGGCCAAATGGCGGGTAGAGTTCTTGCTGAGTGGTTCTAGCCTCAGCCTGCCGCCGTTTTCGCCGCTCCAGAAACAGCAGACCCAAGGTCACAAGCAATGATGCCCCGAGCCCAGCACTCACACCAATTTGCGCTCTTTGAGTGCTGGAAGATCTCAGGTCTGGCAAGTCGCATGTGGTGCTCGATGGAGTCGAAGTGGCCGACAAATAAGGTCCCGTGGGTAGCAATGATGGAATAGAGATGTTATCCATATTCCATGGTCGTTGCACCGCGTACTCGTGTGTTAAATTGCCGATGGTGAATTTGTCCGAACTGCAACACGAGGCAGCGCCCTGGCCCGCCCCGCAGCAGGCTTCCCAAGTTTTATCCGGTTTGACGTCGCATATAGTGATAGTTATATCATCGCCTATCTTTCCTGACGTAAGATGTCAGCAATGCAGGACATTCGATTTGAAGGGAACGGCCATCAATAAACTAGCGAATGGATTTTGGACATACCTTCGCAGTATTTGTAGTATTTTGGACAGCCACTCGGAATAGTCGTACTGTTGAACCAGTCCTTGGCTGTGCATGAACCGATATACATAGGCCCGTCGCTACTCAAGCATAGCGTGTCTCCCAAGCATGTAGAGCCGATTCCACAACAGTGCGATATTGCTTTGACGGAAGGAGGATAGCAAGGGTAATATCCCGGTTGGACATGGTTGTAGGTGTAATAGCAGGGGCGTGAGTCAATTTCAGCATCAATCCTGCGAACAAAATGAAGGTGAAGACACAAAATCGAGAGCGACATCCGCCCAAGACTAGAGCTTGGTCGCCGTACGCACATGTCATGATATCCAGGCATCTTTGTGGTCAGCCTCGAGTAAACTGAAGAGAACGCTGGGGGAGAAAAGCCCGTTTAGTACGATAAGACATGCGTTCGCCGTTCCATGGCGGGCTTAAGTTCGAGCGGAACTGAACTGGTCGCATCAGAAGCAGAAGTGTATGCATGATGCTCCACCATTATATATGTGCTGGAGTGCATCTGGCCAGGCTGCAGTTCGCGCTTGAGTACCGTTGCGTTCCGGTGAACTTTGAGTTCCCATTTGATGGTGTAACCTTGTGGGACGTTGATAGCCAATGCGTATCGAAGATAAGCGAAGTATTCAAGACGATGAACCGGTGCAGCGTAGGCGAGCGCTCTAGCCTGCTTCAGTGACTATTGCGCGGCCCTTTTCAGCGAAACCCATCGCTTTTAAGAACTGACATGGTCCGTTGGAGCAATACGTAATAGCAGTCAGTTGCAGAAACAATAAAGCCACCGCCAGCAGAGTAGGCAGGTCACTTCTTGGGCATGGTCACCCATTGCTGAGCTTCCATGTCAAAGCCTGCCTCGCCCCAGGGCTTTTTGCTCCAGAATTGCTGAGTCGTGGTCTTGACGCGAGGTGTCAATGGCGTATACGGTCGACGAATACGGTCGCCTTGTGCAATCAAGAGTTGCTCGTGGGCGGTAGCAAGTTGGTGATCCTCTACAGCCTTGCCATGGACGAAGTACTGCACTCGGACAACACAGCCCCGCGCAAGGCGGCTTTCGACAAGGTCCCACAGCATGCCCAATGTGACATTTTGCCGACTTTGATCCCGATGGCCCCAACCATTTGCAGCTGCACCATCTCGATTGCACACTCTGCGGGCAATCCGTGATCCAACGCTCCCGGTAATCGACCGGTCGTGCATAAATTCGTGCCACCAGTCGATGTGATTTATGAGGGGGCTGCGACACCAGCATTTTACGCCATGAGGCTTCTTGTCGTGCAAATGCACAACGACTCGGCGCATGCATCGAAGTGTGCTGCGCCCAAGGGAACAGAGTAAGATCCGAAAGCGTGCAACTGGAGCCGAACTCCAGACGCGTCACGACATCCTCCGGCAAGCCTCGTTCCGGTGAATCTGGAAAGAGAATAAGTGCGAAATACGAATATACCATCGGATTGAGCCTGTAATTGAGTCTTTCACCTCAATGTGTTTCAAGAAAAGCTGTTCCTGTAGCGACTTGGATCTTGAGATGATGCCCTTCCAGTTGCGGCACACCATGGTGCAGTTCAGCAAAGCATGTGTAGAGCATCGGTTGAGGAACATGTCGACAAGCTCTGTAATCGAAAAGAGTCGATTGCAGGCAGCGGAGGGGGACGTGTTTAATTTCTTTGAATTAGACATAGCGAGACTAGAGGAGCTTTGAGTAACGAGAAACAGGTATTTGGGGAACGTTCAAAAAGTACATGAATTGTCTTCAGCGAACACAACAGGACCGAAGACATCTAGCCGCCGGTTCGGTAGTAGTGATCCTGCTGCATAACCTTTGTCTGAGGCTATCTTCGCGACGCATCGTCAACGAACTCGAGGGCGTTGTTTGAAACGGTTTCTGGAGTATAGAGGTCTCGTGTGCCATGTGTGTTAGTGCGGTGCTCTTTCTCGTTCTAATAAGCGCCTGCTCCCCTAGCTGCACCGCAGATACGCCATGTAAGAAGACTCTGCCACCAGGGGGTGCAGTAATTCCTGTCCCCTCGCTTCGATGAGGTAATTTTAACCCTAAACCATACATGTGAAGAGTAAGGTCTGATCGCTTCTTCTTCTTCTGTGAACGAACATTGCTATCAGCCAAGCGTTTCTTGTATCTCCTGAGTATTCTCTTTCCTTAAAAGCGTTCAGTAGGACCCAAGTGTGACTCGTCGGTAGAGTGTACCGCGTGCCAATAGTTCAGTATAGTATGATCCTCATGATCCCATCCATACTGTACTCTCAGTTTCTTATTGATCTCAAGAAAGTCATCAGTACATGCAGCAACATAAAGATGAGCGTCTTCTCTCACTGACAAATTATATTGGAGAGAGCAAGGAGCAAGGTGAACATCCATCTGAGCTGCGTGTATACTTAAGGGAACCTTACGATTGTGATTTTGCTCACCATCAATAAGTGCTTGAATCTTCTCTGACGGTACTGTGAAGGGACGACCAAGTTTACTTCGTCTTTTAGCTGCTGCACACTCCCTCACCCTTCTATCATCTCCCCAGTAAGCTCGATCCTTCACCCATCAACTTCCGGCACGTGCAGAGATGCCATGTTCATCAGCTATCTGATTGAGTGCAGGAGCATTTGGCGGCTCGTTACCCCCATATGTCGCCGTCGACGCGAGTCACCCCTCTCTTCTTCCTCCCTTCCCCCTTTGAGCAACGTGATCCGATACCACTGCCCTTTCCAGGACGACGACACCTGATCACGAACTTTCACTCAGCTTACTACTTCTACAAAGACCTCCCCTTCACATCGCAACAATACTGGATCAACGAACTCCACAGATCGCCCCGTGAACCAAACTACACGTCCATCTCGTATGCAGCGTAGCTGTATTATCCTGTGACGTACTTGCTCTGCGAGAACGACGACGGGTTGCCGCTCGCGGTGCAGAAGATGCTGGTGGACAGGGTGAAGAGTCAAGGTGTGCAGTTCACCGAAGAAATGTGCGAGGCGGGGCGTAGTCGGTATCTGATTATGCCAGGGAGAGTTCTAGAGGTTGTAGCGAGAGCACTGCAAGACGTGTGCAAATGAGACTTCATTGCAGGTACCACTGATACGTCAGGCTGGGCGTTAGTTGCGTAATCAAATGTCGATGCGAACGAGTACAACCGAGGAACAATATAGCATTGAATATGGCTTGCATGCACTATGATCTATCAAACTTTCTCCTTCTCGTCACCTACGATACGCATCTCTATAGGCTGAATATCGTCCTCACTAAACATGCGGCCCTTATGGCTCAGCGCCTGTTGGACCGTCGCATATACAGCAGTGACCCTCTTGCGCTCCTCATTACTCTTCTCGATCTCACTTACATCCTGCACCGCCCATCCGAACCTCGCAAACCTTAGCGCAACGCGCTCATTCAACCCCACGAGTCTCAACTGCGTATTCTTACCGCCGAATTTCTCGATGTCGGCCTTCAGATCCTTCAAAGCTGTGAGGCCGGTGGTATCGATGTTATGCATGCCGCTCAAATCTAGCACGACGATGCGGATCTGCACCGGTTCCTCGACAATCTTCGCCTTAGTCCTGAGTCTCGCGGCACGCTTGTCACCTGCGACACTCCAGTTGCGTTCCTTTTGGGCTTCGACTGTGACGACCTGGCCCGAGTTGTGCGTCTGGATGGCATCAAGGCACTGATTCTTGATGTAGTATGCGTTGAAGAAGAGCATCGACTGGTGGATGCGGAAGACTTGAGTATTGAGGGGCACGACAGTGCTGTTCGGGTTGGCGAAGCCGGCGTCGAGTGTAGTGATGCGGCGTACGCGATGGAACGCTTGGAAGAGGAGGTGGTAGCAGATGCTGAAGCCTACCGCTGTACCAATACCGACTTCAGACGAAACGAAGAGGGTCAGCCAGAAAGCAAGCATCGAGGCGATGAAATCCACGAGGGAAGTCTTCCAGTAGCCGTAGAAAACCTTGGGTGGGATGACAATGTGCCAGACAGCCGTGACAATGATGGCAGCGAGCGTGGCTTTGGGGATCCAGTAAAGTGCTGGGCTGAGCTTGAAGATGGACAGGATCACTACACCGCCGGCGATGACGCCGTAGGCGGGGGACTTGACGCCCGAGTCGGAGTTGACGGCTGTGCGAGACATAGCGCCGCCGACGGACATGGAGGAGAAGAAGGAGTTGAAGAAGTTTGTGGTGCCCAGGTAGACGAGCTCCTGTGCGGCATCGGTGATGTAGTTGTTCTTGCGGCCGAATGCTTTGGCAATGGCCAAGTGCTCGAGAGCAGCAGCGATGAAAGGGGCGATGGAGCGAGGGAAGACCTTTTTGATCAGTTCGCCATCGGGCATCTTTGGCGTCTCGATGCCGTTGGACTTGACCTTGCTCAATGCCCACACGGGGTCATCATCCCTGTTCTTGTTGATGCCGTATGACATGCCCGTGAACAGAATCAGCACGACAGCACTACGTCCAAGCGCTAGCAGCCAGACAGCTTTGCTCTTCTTGCCCCAGCGTTGACCCATCTTCTGCATCAGCACGAGGATGAGGATACCACCGAGACCGATGCCGGTGGTTGCACCATCCCATTGCGGTATCTTGGCGAATATATCGTGGATGATGTTCGCAGTGCCAGACCTGACGGTAATGCCGAAGAGTGAAGGAATCTGCCCAAGCATAATGACAATGGCGGCAGCGGAGATGAAGCCACTTAGTACCGGCACCGAGATGAACTCGAGAAGAAACCCAAGCTTGAGCAGACCGATAGCGAGCGAGTATATGCCAACAGACATGGCAACTGCAGAGGCAATGGCTTGGGCTGAGTAACCCTCATGGACTACATCGGCAACGATCTCGGCGGTGAGCAGCCCCATAAGGGATGTCGGACCAGTCGATAGATCTGTACGTGGTCAGAAGTTGGCCATCAAGAGGCTTCGAACACATATACCCTTGGATGTACCCATAATGAAGACAAGAAAGTTGGGTAGCCAACTAGACATCAGACCGTACTCGCCTGGAATGGTTGCAATCTTGGCGTATGCAAGTGACTGGGGAATCAACAGCACACCGACTGTGATGCCAGCGAGAGTGTCATTCAGCAGCCATCGTGGGTTGTACCTTGGGAGCCAGTGTACAACAGGAACTCGCTCAACGAGATACTGGGCAGCGACAGAGGGGGCTGCACGAACGGCCTTGCCGCCATAGCGAATAGTACGGTTGATGGTGATGTCTGTAGACAGAGCATGTGAGATGCGGCCAGGCATACGTTTGAAGTAATCCATGATGGTGACCAGCCACGTGGATGTGTAGAAAAGATTTGGAAGAAACGAGATGAGGTCAAAACAACAGTGAAGACGACCACTGTATAAATGCTGTCTTTGAGCTTCCAAGAGAGTATGTAGCACGATGTCCAGGGTCGAGATGCTATGAGGCGTACCCCACAAGGAGGGGTGCTGGCGAGCGTCAGGGGTTGGAGAGGAGGGGGGTTGATATCGCACCTACAGGATGAGTGGGCGCTACACCATCCTCTGCCGACGCAACATGGGTATATGTACGAGGCTCCAAGTGAGTGCCAGTCACACGGAACTACCAATGGTACTTGATGGGAGGTAGCGTGCCGAAGACAGCGCGTCGAATTAGGAAGTAAGCTGCATCGAACAGCTTGAAACGCCACCATCTGCCTTCCATGTGTGCATCCGAATCATGAGGTGTTAGGCACTAAGGACCAGGACATCGATGCGCGTCGTTCTTACTTCTCGGTAAGCAGGTGCAGCGAATAGGACGCGCTACTCGAACGCGCTACTCGAACGGAGTGTGAGTGAGAAGTAGATAGCAGTTGCATAGGGTCAGCATGGTTGCATGTGTTGCTAAGCATAGCTAAGACGACACCGACGCCGTGCAATCTTGGCCGCAATCTGTCAAAACACGCTGCTGGGTCGAGCTGCGATCTCTTCTGTGAGGAAGGAGATGATCTTGACAAGGGCCGAACAGTCGTTTTGGAGCACGCAGTTGTCGGTAAGGAGCAGCCTTCCGCAGGGCTTTACCCCGCATTATTCACACGACAGCTAGCTGCCGTCAGCCTCCCGCGCAACGACACTCGTTATGGCCGGACGCGAGCGTATCGAATTAAGCTTTAGGACAAGCTCCAGCGGCGATTGGCCAAGCATCCTTGTCGAATATCTCCCGCGCGGAACGTGCGTCGTTCCAAGGCGGTTTGGCAGCATCGATGCAGAAACAAGTTGTGCTGATCACACAGCTGGTAACGGCAGAATTCGGCAGTTGTGGGTCGTTTGATATCGATCCCAAGCTTGCGCCGTCACTGGCTGGAACAGTATGCGTTGCGCGGAAAGCACAGAGGCACGTGGTAGAGTAATTCCAGGTGGCGATCTTGCAGATTGGCGTTGACGACGAGATGCGGTGCTTGTGACGACTGTCGATGATAGAACACTGAAACGGCTGGTGGCAGTGTTGTTCAGGTCGGCACATCGTCCACACTCGATGCGGTTGCCGAAGTGTTACCAATGCGCTGTTCGGTGAATGAAATGATAAGAGGATCACGGTGACCCACAAACCGCGTGGAACGACGAATGAGAGACTGTGGGTAATTCAGGGTGGTGAGAAAGAGTTGAAGGCGATGTTGAAGATTGCTCCTCATCTTGCGGCTCGTATCTTTGCGATGCTGGCATCTGCATGCACCGACCTAAAACTGAGTCGAATCACCATTGACCATACAGCCAGCTGCCTCATCTGTAAAGAAGCCGCGAGTATCTGTACCCGTCCTGTAAACAACGCGTCGACGGAATGCATCCAATGGGAGCTGCCGATATGCCATGCGTGAGATCGTAGACGCTTAGCCGTTTTGGAAGGTGTTTGTCACCCGTCACCCGTCACTACCTTGTACGCGTCTAAGTAAGAACAGGCAAGAGAGGGGACGACGGGCCGGCTGCATTGCAGTGAACAGCAACAACGAGAGTAAGCCGAACTTATTGGATGAAAAGTCGGTGCCGAAGTTGCGCAGGCTTTTCTCCAGCTTCACCGAGCGACAGCCGGCCTTGATGGTTCCGGAGTTTGAGCAGCTGACAAGGCATTGGGCCGCCACTGTATGCTGAGAACGCTTCGCACTGGCGGCTTGACGGCTGAAGCAGTCGACAAGGCCAGGAGAAGGGCGTTATCGCAAGAGCCAAGCCACTGTAGACCAAACTCAAACCTAGCACGGAGCCAGAACTGGAAAGCCGAGTGTGTCTTGGAGACAAGCCACTGGCTCTCACACAGCCGTCAAATGCGAGGAGAAAAGCCATCTGGACAGTTGCCACCCATACCTCGAGGTCAAGACCGAAAACTTGCTCCAGATGAGATAGTCGCTCAGCCATTTAGTGCGGTGTACGGCTCGGCGTTGATCACTGTTCTGGGTGCGACAACATGTCTGAACAGCGCCATGCGAACGCAGCTTTGAGGCCAGGCAGTCTTGATCGTCGTGTAATGAGGTGTTAGTCGCAGGACACCCACCCAAGACAAAGCAGTGATCAGCCAGAACGGCTTCGTCGACATGCGGTAGTAGAAGCGACTGCCGGACGTATGCCCTCTTGGAAGTCTGGACCCATCGTGAAGGGAAGACGCCAACGGTCGATTGTTGGACAGCAGCCCATTCGCGGTTGCGATCGCCAGGTATGCATGAGGTGAGTTGCACGGTACTGTGGGCTGTTGAAGCTCCGTTGGTGTTGTAGCATGGCAATTGGTTCCTTCAGTTGGAGTCAATTTCTGCAGTCGAACATGTCGACGGTATGAGTGCGATAGGGCGCAATCTTGAGACGGGACGCCGAATTCTGTGAAGCTGCTAGCAGATGGAATGCATGGTTTCGTAGGGACACAGCCCAACTGGCGTGACGACGCCGAAGGACTTGAAGTTGCCAAGCCAAAAGGAAAGCCGCCATCCATGTTGATGCTCCGAAGGATGCCGCCCGCCGCAGCGATCCTTCACGGCGGCACACGCGTGGGGACCATGTCAAGATGAATACAACGACAAGAGAGAGCAAGCATGACACAAGACACGAGACACAAGACACGACACACGACACACGACACACAAGACACGAGACAGAGACACGAGACACAAGAGTAAGAACGGGTGAGAATCCTAAAGGAGACACAAGAAAACAAACGGACACAGAAGGCTCGAGAGGAGAGATGCGAGCAGAGAGGCGTGCTTTGGAGCGAGTGGAGAGCGAAGGCGGATCGTCGGAGGTGCACGACAGCTCCGGCAGAAGGCGCTAGGCGCCATGGCTCGAAATTTGTCGACCAACGTCACTGCGCGACAGCCTTCCCCACGCGCAAGGCCTGCCCATGGTATGAACAAACGCAATGGCCAAGAAGAAGAAGAAGAGCGCGCAGCCAGACTCGAACGGCGAGGCCAGCACGGCGGCGACCAATGGCAGCGCATCAACGCCGAAGCAGCCGGCGGGCGAGCCGTCGACGTCGGCACTGATCATCTGTCGCAACAAGTAGGTCAGGGCGACAAGGACCTGTAGACATGGTGCGTATGCTTATAGTGGTTGAAGGCACTGGCGCTACATCTCGTCCTTCCACGGGCCGTGGCTGCAGCTCCCGCCTGAGGTGCTGGAGTCGCTCGCGCACAGCAACTACCTCTCGCCGCGCCCGCGCCCGATCGACCCGGCCGTCTTCTACGACCTGGTCAAGATCCGCAAGCACGTCGAGGAGGCGACCAACCTGGCCGTGCGCGCGACGAGCGGTCTGACGAGCGGCGCCCTCAGCAGCAGCAGCCTGCATGGCAACGGCCTGCTGGGACCGGCCGCCGCGCTGGGCATGGGCTTCGGCGGGGGCGGGGGGAAGCTGAGCCGCGAGCGGAAGCACCGCATGCGCGAGCTGGCGACGAGCAAGCTGAGCGCGGCGTACCATTTGGACGAGATCGCGGCGAGCGTTGCGACGATGCAGAGCGCGAGCACCCTCGAGGACGTCGCCCAGCTGGTCCTGCAGCGGAACCCCAGCGACGTCGACGCCAAGTACGTGCACTTCTTCCACGAGAAGATCCCGAGCCGGATGATGGCCCAGTGCACGCCGCTGGACACGCTGAACGACATCGTCGCCGAGCGGCCGACAGACGGGAGCGCGCTGCGGACACGCGCCCTGACGCGCATCTTCAAAGCCGACTACGCCAACTGCGCCAAAGACCTGACCGACGCCCTGGCCACGGCGCGCTGCCTCACCGCCCAGCACCGCAACGCCGACGACCAGCTCGTCCTGGCCAAGACGCACCAGGAGCAGTCCGCCCGCGACTGGCGCACCGAGGTCAAGATCGCCGACGACGACCAGCCGAGCTCGCTCGAGGCGCAGCTGCTCTTCCACCGCGCCGGCGTCTACCTGACCATCGCCTGCGGACATGTCCACGCCGCACTGGACGGGCTGAAGGAGCAGGAGGACGCCAAGGCCGCGCGCGACGCACGCCTCGCAGCCGGCGAAGAGCCCGCCCCCGAGACGGCGGAGGAGGCAGCGGGGAGACTCTTCCGCGCAGAAAGCCGCAAGCAGGTCCGCCAGAACGCCAAGCGCGCACTGAGGGACTACACGGCCTTCCTGTCGCACTTCGACTACACGCCCGGCGTCTCGGCCGAGGCTGCCGACGAATTCCTGCGCCGCTTCAGCAACGCGCCCAGCCAGACGAACGGCAGTCACGGCAGCCGCGGCAGCCACGGCAACTACGACACCAAGCTCGACCGCTTGCTGGAGGAATCTTCGGCGCCTCCAGCGTCGCCTGTCTCGGAGGCTCTTACGCCCTACCGCAAACCCCCCGCCGCCGACCGCTCGTGGCCCAAACTCCCGCCTCCGCCCGTGTTCGCTGTCAGCCAACTCTTCGACGCCGTCCCACCCGCCGCTTTACCGCCCTACCCGCCCGCGCCTCAAACGCCCCCATCTCCGATCCCCAGCAACGAGAGCCTGACATACCACCCCCTGCTCCCGGACGCCCTGCACTCTCTCCTCCTCGTGCACGCACTCCTCCAAACACCGCCGAAAGAACTGCTGCGGCACGCGCACAACGCAGCGCGGCTGGCAAGACTGCTCGATGGATATCCCATCTTTCTCGCCGCGCGGAGTCCGGCGCGGAGCGACTGGGTGGAGGTGCTGAGGCGAGGCGGGAACTGGGTGGGTTTGCTGCGCTCGTGGGAGTCTCTGTGCAGATCGAGTCCGCCGCCAGGTCAGAGCGTGGAGGCGAGTGGACAGGGGCAAGTGGCGAGGGCAGGAGCACGGAATGCAGGGGGAGCGGGAAGCGGGGAGACCAAGGAGCAGAGGAGGGAAAGGCAGAAACACGAAGCCATCCTCGAAGCGCTGGCAGATGAACGCGTCGTCGACGAGGAGAGCTTCCAGCGCGCCGTCAGGGCGCGCGAGAAGCGCTTCCGCGACGACGAGAAAGCAGAAGCGGCCATGGAAGCCTCCGCCGCATCATCGCCCACGTCCGCATCCGCCGGCTCGAATGGCACAGAGAACGCGCCTACACCACCAAAGCGCTGGGCGCAAGAGGAAGACGCCCGCGAGTACCCGATCAGCACCGAGCGAGCGGAAGCCATCTCGCGCTGGGTCAGGGATGCACCCGCCCTCACGTCGCAAAACAACACTGGCACGAAGAAGAAGCGCAGAAAAGGCACTGCGAAGAAGCCCGGTCTGTCAAAAGCGAGTAGTACTGGCTTGGCGGGCAGTGTTGCCAGCCTTAACGTTGATGAGGAGGTTGAGTAGTTACCTGGCTGTGCACGGGATATTGCACCTGTCGCGCGTCTCGGATATCATCTCATCTTACACGGGATTGCATATGTCGCGGGCCTCGGATATCATCTCATCTTGCAGCGATATGCAATTGAATCGCCTCTGGCCTACTTTGAGATGTTGCAAGCATCTGGGTCAGATTCAAAAGAAAAGTGGACATTGATCATCATCTCGTTGCAGTCATTGATTTGTGTTGACGTACAGCCACCTCATGTCAAGCCGAAAGATCTCGTGCGCCTGACCTCCATCACAACGAACATACGCACCCAGATGATACCCTTACCCAACGCCACACGAGCAATGTCATCGCGAAAATGACCACTCAGAGTTGCTGGTCACCACGTGCTGCCAGCCCTCTCCATACGCATCGAAACCGTCGCCCAACGCATCAACTTCATCCTGCACCCTCTGCCAGGCTGCCGCAGCTTCAGAGCCTGTGACATGCCACTCGTTGGTCAGATCAGCCTCGCTGATGCTGAAATCCTTGTCCGGATCTTCCTCACTCTTATCACCGCTCAGGTCATGCGGCTTGTCGTCCGACGGGCCACGGTTTAGCAGATCCTTCAGATCTCGCCTGTTTGCCGCCAGCCAGTATGCTCGGTGAAAGCGCTTCTCCGTAGCTTTTTCCGCGTCGAAAGTCCACTTGTGCTTCTCCTCAAGGAATCCTGCCTGAACGCACTGGGCTAGGAGCGATCGCTGGTCGGAAGCCAACGTCGTCCAGTGGATCTCATTGTGCCGGTACCAGTGGTATCCATATGCACCGATGGTGATCGTTGAGTCTGGAGTAGGTTCGTGTTTAAATGGGTTTGCTGCGTTGTGAAGGACGAGCAGGGAGTGGCGGCCGCCATCCTTGATGAAACCCTGTGATACATGAGAGAGGTGGCGGTCGTGATATTCGGATTGCAGCGTAGTTGCGAAAAGCGCCTGGAGCCAACGCTCCGCGAAGTCGTAGCCTTTTGGCAAAAGTTCGTAATGGTACACTGACCACTTGTAATCTTCGTACTTGCTGACGATGGGCTGAGGTAGCTCATCGCGCGTTGGAGGCAGCTCAACGACGGTTGGATTGCACACTGCCATTTGGGGCTGCAGGTAACCGAGCGTTGTGCTAGCGGAAAGCGTATCATCATACGGGCTCTGATGTGTTGTGGTAGCAGTCGCAGGTCGTAGCTTTCGAAGTATTTCAGGTACTACTGCTGGCGTGACCTTGCGTCTCTTAGTGGGACCAATTGCTTTAGGTCTGGAGGGCTTGGGTGTGGGCAACGGCATATCTGCCGGCGTTTGTGCTTCCAGCATGCCTGCCGCAATGGTATGTCTACGTGCTTCGGCCTTTCGGCAGTATGCCTCTTGCCTGCGTCGGGTGGCGGCGTCCGGCCGCCTTCGAGAAGTCTTCGCAGATGCTGTCACCAAGTCAGTATGAGTGTATCGCGATCTAAAGACTATTTTCGTACTTACTTGCCAAGTTGTCGGTACGCCATTCTTGAATGGGTGGCATCGAAGGGGGTTGGCCATGGTGGTCGATCAAGGTGGGAGACGATGCGATTGACGAAGCTCGGCGTGACTGAGAGGGATGAAGAGGAGGCGAATACTGCAAGTTTAGAGGTTGGACGTAAGGCGCTTGATAGGTGGCGGCGTAGTCTGGCAATTGCGGTTGCCGTCGATAAACGGGTGAACGATCCCACGCCGGAGTCAAGAAGCCGGGCAGGGCCGGTTGTAACTGATCATTGACTGGCCAATCATCTTGACTACCTCCAGTACCATCAGTGTTCCATATCGTCGAGCCATTCGCATTGACAATGTCCGGGCTTGAGGCGAGGTACTCGCGAGTCCGCGGCAGGAGGTTGTGGAGGCTTGAGGGTAGTTCCTGTGGAATATGGCTGATTCATTTCAGCTGCCGTTGGTGGAAGAGGAGGGCCATTTACTTACGTGGAGATGGGACGATCGGCACGTGGCAACAGCTTTTGCAAGCCATTGTTGCGGAGTGGTGGAGTTGGTAGGCGACGCTCTGCGTACTGGCACGTGATTTGGTGAGAAATCTGGCCGATCTCCCATGGCTCAGGTAGGTATATGGTTTCATTGACGGGATCGACGTGGTCAATGAAGCCATGCGCCTCAGGTGGTGGGCTCAATGCATGATGTGCAGTGAAAGCATGTCCATTAGGCAGTGGCACTAGGCTGGGTGGCAAGTGCTGCCAGGCACCGTAATTTTGAGCAGGTTCGATTGGGTGATTGGCAAGTGCGTCTGCATTCACCTCATCCGACGTCACATGGAGCAAACGTTGGTGGGCGGCGCCAAGATAGTCGTTGGGGATATACATCGGACGGCAAAGAGCGTGATGGTAGCAATCCAATGGCCGAGTTCGTACTTCGCATGGTTGATACAGCTGCGAAGAGGCGAGCTGTAGGTTTTATAGACGGTGCAGGCGGGGTTGTTGCCTTGGCGAGAGTGAAGGGGAAGGAGCGGTCTGCAAGGTGAGAGAAAGAGCCTGCGAAAACGCGCGCAAAAGCGAGCGAAGCAGCAGCTATCCGTCTCTTGTTACTCTGATTGGAAGACTGAGCGGGCCCACAGAAGATGAAGCCGGTTGTTCGCTCAATCGAGAAGTAGAGCAAACGGACGGCTCTAGTGAAGGGACGAGCTGAGACGGTACATGTACTCTCAAAACAGGCAGAGCTACCCGCAGATACCCATAGTTTGAGCATAGACAGCATGGATGAGAAAGGCACGATCGAACTTCGACAGCGATGAGAGATATAAAAGAACTGGCAGGGCTGGGGTGACTGACGCATGGAACATGCTTGGTGGAACGGGTACCTGCAGTAGCGCAGCAGCGCGTGAGGAGTGGAGTCATCTCGTTCTAAAGTTGGTCTTTGTGAACGATACACATGACCTGTCAACGAAAAAACAAGACACTGTCTCAGCCTCAACTGGGTTCGCGCATGACTCTGAAGCGAATCTCGCTGCCCCCAGCGACCTCTTCATATCGTTCTAGCTCTTGGAAGTCCCTGCGGTTCATTGAAGTCCCGAAGTACTGGAGGAGTTGCAATCGAACGGGATAATGCGAGGAAGTCATGCAATTGTTGAGCTGTTCCATGCCGCCCATGGTTTCCGCGCGCCTGTTATCCTACTTTTCCCAGGTATCCATGCCTACGCTTAAACGCCAAATGTTCAATGCTACTTGCGAGTCGTGGTTGCTAGCAGTGGCAACCTTAGACAACACGCTTGACCTGGGGCACATATTAGTGTTGACGGGTGCAGTATGATTTGACAGACTCACCTCGAAGAACCTCTTCAACCACCAGACCTGGAACCCGCCATTTGCGCTGAGTACAAGGAGCTGGAAAATGCTCCACCACTTGACTCGCGCATTGGTGCTCTCAGCGGTATTCCTGTGTGTCCTCTCGCGAACGACAATGTAGCCCTGCTCATCCTTGACCTGCGAAACGAGTTCTGACAGCTGGCGCACTGCATTTCTGTCAGTATACCATATTTCCACACTCCCACACGGTATCTACGTACCCTCCTTCTCCAGGGGATCCTGCGGCGCCTCCGATTCAGACACGTAAACAACGCCGTGAACGTTGAACGAGACCTCCTTTGTGTTTGCGCCCCAGTGCTCGTTGTTGAAGCAGTATGTGTATTTGCCGTCTTCCGCTGCGTCGAAGGAGTGGTCGCCAGAGGACACGCCGCGCTCGTGGACTTGGTAGCTGCGAGATGGTGTCTCAATCTACACGCTCATTGTCAGCCATTGGCCATTCCAACAGCCACAGCTGATGTTGAAAGTTCCATGCATACCCAAAAGTCAATCTCCAAGTTTCCACTACCACCAAACTCCCTATCGCCGACCTGGAAGGTGACTGTCATCTTGTCGTCCTTGTGCAGCTGCTCGTGGAAGCATTCGCGCTGGTGCGCCTTCATCTGAATGTTGTGCGCCGACGTGAGGGAGAGCAGGCCACTCGCCGCAGCGAAGAGACCGTAGGACGAAAACAGCATCTTTACGGTGGGTCTGAGTAGCTGCTGTGTTGTTGCAAAGGGATGGTGTTGTTGCAACTCGCCAAGCAGACCCCCGAGATGCCAGCTGTTGCCCGCAATTTGAATGGCCTGTGCACCCTTCTCTATCTCGCCCGCGCCAACGTTCCTCCCCTGACGTTCAGTTTCCATCATGATATTTTGCCAGCCTCGTCGCCTATCAACACTAAATCTCTCCGGATGAAGAACATTCAACGCCTGGTCTGTATGGCTCTTCTATAACCGATATTGGTACCAAGTTCGATGATGGTTGCTCCCCAAATCCGAGATGTTCCCAATTAAAACGAGCATTATCCTGAAAGTCACCGTGACTGGCTTTAAGAATTGACATTCAAGCAATGTAGAATGGATCAGCTCCTCTCTTAATCTCCAGATGATGTCTGGAAGTTCTGCTATGTCTCTTCCGCTCCTTTGGATCTCACCTCTATCACATCAACTCTTCTTATTCAGTTGATTGCCACTATCTTAACTGAATTTCTACGCAGCGCTACGTGCTTAGTGTCCTTCTGAATCCTGCTTCACCGCGTCCCGTAAAGTTGGAGTGCTTTTCGACACCGTTCGTCAATGACTTCCGCGTCAAAAATCCACAATGGGCTCTCCTTCACTTCACCTGGCTGCCAAGACAAGTATGCCCCACCAAATAGGTGCAACGGAACTCCAACCCCCTACGCAGCAGCATCGCAGTCGATGCCAATCAACTGTCTGCTCAATCTTCACACAACATAGCCCAGCATGGCCGACGTAAGCGGGCCACCCAGGCGCGTGTCCATGGCCTACATTCTCGGATTCAGCAATAAGCCCTTCAAAGATGGAGGACCGCCTGCCCCACCGCCGCCGCCTCCACCTCGTCACCCCGGCGCATTCAAGCAGATGGTAAGCGCCCACTGCGTTGCCATCCAGGAGTCGCACTGACTATGAACAGGTCACTACACCCGGCGGCGTCATTGAGTGGGCTGCCAGTGATGGTCGTCGCGGCAGGCTCACAGGACCGGGCAAGCCACGTCTGACCGCTACCAACCTCGCGCAGGTGCCTGAAAGCAAGGTGTCGGTTAAAGCAGCATCAAAGAAGGATGCCGCTGAGGACGACATCGGTGGTTTGCTCGGCGGCGGCGACCTTTTTGGTGATGGGCCTGCTGCACCAGCCACTGATAAAGTCGCAGAAGATGACAAGCCCGCCGACAGCGGCTGGACCAAGGAGCAAGACGACAAGCTCTTAGAATTGAGAGCCGAGAATCCAAGTGGCCCTTGGGTTGACACCGCCAAAGAGCTGGACAAGAAAGAACACGAGTGCAAGAACCGCTTCAAGCAGATCAAGCCAAAGGACTGGAAGCCAAACAATGCCAAAGGTGGAGGCGGCAGCAAGCAGAAGCAAGGCAAGCAGAAGGGACAGAAAAACCAAAACCAGGGCGAGCAGAAGGAAGACGATAAGAAGGAAGACGGTAAGAAGGAAGACGACAAGAAGGAAGACGATAAGAACGACGACGACAAGAAGAATGAAAATGCTACCAAAGGCTTTAAGGCTGACGACAGCGGCAACGCATGGCCTGGCGCTAGTGACGGCGGATGGGGCAATACGGACACCAACGGGGCCACCCAATACAACGGTGGCGGGTGGAATACTGGTGACATACCTGCATGGCCTGGCGCAGAAGACACGTCTGATGACAAGAAGGAAGACGGTTTCAATGCCGACAACAACGGGTGGGGCGGTGGAGGTTGGGACAACGGTGGGGGCAACAACGGCAGCAACAACACTTCCAATGACAAGACGTCCAACAAAGGCTCCTCTCACAAAGACTCTTCTTCTCAAAAGGACGCCAAACCACAGTCCAATAAGGCCGCCTCGCAGACAGGATCCAAGCAGCATTCCACCCGCGAACCCGAGAAGCCATCCGCATCAGCGCCCACTGAATATGAACTCAAGCCCGACTCGACCTTTTCCGCCGACGACTTGCGTCTCATTGCGAGAATTCTACAGCAGGACTGTCAAATGGTGTGGAACAGGGTAAGCTGGAGGTTCAAGGACAAGACTGGGAGGAACCTGCATCCGGATGTGTTCGAGAAGAAGATTACGGGCAAGATTGACGACAGGAGCAGCGAGCATGGCAGGAGATGATAGTTGTGCGGCGCAACGTCATTGTAGCTTGCGAGGCGGATATTGACAGCTCAAATGCGCCGCTTTCGAGCAATTCGCGCTCGTACGTGAGTCTGTACTGTACACAGGTTGAGAGGAGTGAGAGACAAACACCCCACCTTTCGGCATTTTCCGCTGCGCCCACCACATGTCTAATCACTTCGGATGCCCCAAGTCTTGAGAAAGCTTGATCGTTGACACAAAACAGGTATACACTTCGATTGTCGACCTAGGCTCTCGCCGACGTTCCTGGTCTACCCGACGATGTTACATAGCTCCGACGAAAAAGCTCAGATGTAGGATTGATCTATATCTGATAAGATGAGATCGATGAATTGTCCCACTCGAGCTGCGCGTTCAAGCAATCAGGAGCAATGTACAGAGAGCTTCAACTTGTGTGCCTGACATGCCGCCCAGATCCTGACCAAGTGGGAAAAAATTCTGCAGACTAAGCTTTGTACAGCACTCTTGTCCTGGCACAAGGTCCCCGAGACACAGTTGCCTTTACTACCCACTCTTTTAAGACCAGTGGGAAGATACACCAGCGACTAGCAACCCCTGTTAGACCCAGGGAGTTTCGATTACCAACCGCTGTGCCTTTCGTAGGGCTGTTCGTTATGCTCATGATTCTTCTTTCGGTCTGTACTCACAGATGTCCTGCGTTTAGAGATTGTGTTTGAACTGACTTCCAAGAGGTCTTCCTATGCTATTCAAAAGCCCCGTTGTACAGAATTTGCTTATCGAGTACCTACCCACCGCTATTGCAACTAATCAATCGGTCGTTATGTTTGTTGCAACCTCTAGAGGAGCTTTGCAGGTTGAGAGCCACAGCAGCTAGGTCGATTGGCTTGAACTACGACTCGCTCCTACCTCAGTTGACCTTTCTTGAGGCAGCGCGAGCTGATGATGTTGTCCTAGTCTCCGTTTGCGCAATGTCTTTGCTTTCGAACCTCCTGGTCACCGCGTTTGCTGGACAGTTCTTTTCTTCGTCGATACCCATTACCAGAATGGCATCACTTAGTCCACCTCTCCAGCCACGGTTTGTGAGCATCAAAGGCTCGTCTGGTCCAACGTGGAATGGCAATCCCTTTACGGTGCCATGCATACCTTCTGGTGCGTACCAAGGCGGTACAGGCGAAGATCATTTCCTAATTGCGGACTCCAGTTACACTCGCAATACTTCTCTACCATTCTGAGTCGATCATCAAGCGATGTACTTGGAAGAACGTCTCATGTTTGTCACCCTGTCTTCATCATCTCCGAATCATCCTAGAGGCCTACATCATGGTCTCAATCCTCGGTACCTCCGTCGCCCCGGCCGCTATCTCCCACATATGCAAGTCGTCTCACGTCGTTTAGGTTACACGTAAACTGTTCAACCTTCATGGAGGTAGACTTGCCGGTTTCAACCCTCAAGAGCACACCCGATCGCTTCTGCCAAACCACTAACTCTTAGCACTTATCGAGAAAGCTGATCATCATTACTATATCGTGGAGTCCTTACCAGAAATAAACGGTCTGTGCTCGATTTTGTTTCATCCCTTTTGTGAATATGTATCGAGACAGTTGTTACGAAAATCAATGAGACCTCCATCATAATTATTAGTCTGTGCGCTCATCACAGAAATGAGTTCAACCCCGTTTCTGTTTATCTGTCTGTGTACTTGTGATACTAACAAGTCAACCCTCTAGCACGTTCGTTTCTTGCTGTGTGCACTCTTTTTTGAAACGAAACCCAGTAAATACTTTGCATGTTTGACAGCCTTTGCGTATCTGTGCTTGGAGTGCAGACTATCCTATACGAGTTGAGACTGGAGCATTCTGATCCTGTCGAAGATGAGATGGGAGAGGGCAGGCCTCCAGCCGATCAGCAGGACAAGAAATCGGACCCCTCAGACCAAGCCCCTAACATACCTCCAGCCGTGAATCAATCAACCGCGACACCTACGATAGGCCTACATTTCCGTACCTTAGTTCCAATTGTATCACCAGGAGCTTCCCGTATCAGCAATTTATTTCAACTAGAAATAGGACAGATGACCTTAGAAGAAGGGGATGAAGACAATGAACATGGAGAAGAGGTGATTGTAGAGATCCTCAACCTTGTACACCTAAAGAGGAGAGTATTCCGCAGACCAACATTGCACAAATTCAACCTCGGACAAGAGTATTTCGATGTGATAGTATAGGATGGAACTACAAGAGATATTCTTGTGACATTGCATGGAGTATATCAGTTTTATGGTACAAGGAGGAGGATGCATTTTCGGGGCCTCAGCTGGTATGCACCAAACTGCTGGAAAGGGCTAGGATTACCTTTATATGAAAAATGAGCCACTGTGCCAGACAGTGGTGTACGGATTCCAGTATGCATACAACGCGTACAGGGACACGCTAGCGAGACGGCTAGCTGCAAGTGACTAAAGGTATGGACTATTTGTTTATGGTTGGTGGTATTCACTGGAGAGCATCAGCAATCGGGGATACGATTCCCCGGCGGGGTAAGGACGATGCACTGAAGAGGCTGCGTAAAAACGGCTGTGTTTCCTGTTTGAGCGGGTAGCGAGGTTGAATGCACGCGAGCATGAATTCTAGAGGGCAGTCTATAGAGGGAGAGGATTCCCGTGCAGGTGTGTTTACAGTGGATGAAGATAATACTCTATGTTTTCCAAAGAAATATTGCTGACGGAGTATAGGGGTACCTGGTGGTCAGGGTCCTTGGCTCCAACAAAGCGGCGCGGCTGGGTACAGCGAGCCTCCCGATACAGGACTGGAAAGGAGCACGGAGAGGATAGTCAGGATGTTGTCACGCACGGCACCAGGGGAGGTGGTGCAGCTTCCCTCGGTTGGGTGGCAGGCTAAGTTCGTTGGGAGTCATGTCGAAGGTGGGCGAGAAGCCCTGTTTGGGAGATCGAAGTTGCGTTAACCGGACAATAGCGCTTGGTGACTTAGCGGTGTCTGTAACGTGCGAGGTGTCGCAGCAGTTTGGAGTGCGGTGGTGGCTGACGAAGGAAAGCGGGAGGCTTCCTTTGCTTTGTTCGCAAGCGGCGAAAGAATTGGCTGCTGCGCAGAGTGGGTTTGCACTTCAAATTTTCAATCTCTTCAAGCGCTTCTTTGATACCTGTCATGGTTGCTGAGATATTGTGTGTTGAAGTATAGGTGTGTTTTAGTGATCGCGGTCAGCACGCGAATCCGGTCGGCACGCGCACGGACACGGTAGCGTTGTTTACAGCTACTCACATATACATACTGTCCGTAGCTTCACCCAATACAACCTCAGTTGAATCCGTCAATATTTCTGCACATGTGTACTGATCACTCACGATCTACCGCGACACGCGACACATGGTGAGGTGATGCTATATTTTGGCGACGGATCGTTTTGCTGCGGGCAATGTGCCCCGCGGTCAGCCGTAAGGCAGGGAAATGATGCTCAAGAAAACAATACAGAACTGGTACAGCTGACAGAGCTCCTGCGAAAGCTCTGACCTAATGTAGCCTCGTTTCAGTATATATTTGCGTCTCACGGCTCCATAGGTTGCCGTAATCACGCAAAGCTCCGCAACTTGCGTGCTCTCCGAGGAGATTGTTGTCACAATGTGCGGTGTCAGGATGATGCACCTACACTAATCATGACCTTACCTTGAATTTAGGTGAGTAAGCCACATGTGACCTGTACTTGCCGTTCCACAGCAGGCCGGCCGCTGCTTGGTGTGGACCTCCATTCATAAGGGATACATTAATCCTTACGTTGGCGGGAAGGTCTGGCTGCATGAGGCTGCTTCTATAAATCCCGCCTGAAGCAGGTTTGATACAAATCTTCTGTGTTCAACGCATCCAGCTTCATCATAGGCTTCCGCCAAGTCAGGCCACCAACACCATTCGCAGAATGTCGACAAGTAACCTTGGTAACGATTCATCTCCTGATGTCCCACTGCAGCCAACACATTGCTAATCTCAATATCCAGAGAGTCTCCGTTTCCCTATTGCCCGGGCAGCGAAATCTAATGAGCCACCTAAAGAGTTAATTCAGCTGCAGGACACGTGTCCATTAGCAAAATTGCAGCTCTTTGACGGAACGCCGACATGGATTGCAACGAAGCACAAGGACATCTGCCAGCTGTTGAGTACCAAGGGTTTATCTAACGTGAGTACCATATCATCCTGGGGATCAGGCAATCTGGATCTACATCCTAAGACAGCTTATAGGAGCGGTACAGTCAGCCAGGCTACCCGGAGCTTTACCCTAGCGGGAAAAAGGCTACCGCTGAGACACCAACTTTTGTGCACTTGGATGACCCTAAGCACGCCGAACAAAGGTATAAACAGGATTATTTTATCTTCTGTATAGTTCAATGACTTACTGAATAAGGGCTATGATCGAGGAGCTGTTCACACGGGAAAGAATTGCGGCACTGCGTCCCGAAATACAACGAATCGTCGACCACGTTCTGGACGCTATCGTTGAAAAGGGCTGTGCCCAAGGTCCAGTAGATCTTGTCGAAGACTTCGCGACGCCGATTCCGACTCGGATCATATACGGTATCCTCGGGGTCCCAGAAAAGGATATCCCTGAGCTTTCGAAGGCTAGTGCGATCCGCTTATCTACGAGCGGCTCAGCCACCGATGCTGGAGACAAACATCTCCATGATTACATGAGTGCGCTAGTGGACAAACGCATCCAAGCTCCTGGCGATCCTAAAGACGATCTCATCAGTAAACTCGTTGTCGAGCAATACAGACCAGGGCATGTCACACGAGACGATATACAGAGGTTGGCCTACCTTGTCCTGGTAGCCGGCAACGCCGCCGTTATCAGTTCGATCAGTCTTGGAGTCCTTACCCTCCTGCAGAATCCCGAACAGTTAAACGTTCTAAAAGAAGATTCCAGCACCGCTACTGCTGTTGCAGTGACTGAGGAAGTTCTTCGTTACCACACCCCGTCGTCGTTGAACAGCAGAAGGGTGGCCAAGCAGGACACTATTGTAGGCGGAAAGGTGAGGACATCTTTCGATGGCTTTCATAGTTTAGCTTTCTCATAGATACTCACTATGTCGCAGATCATCAAAGCAGGCGAGGGCATCGTGGGTGCCGTACAAGCAGGAAATCGCGATCCCGACATGTTTACGAACCCCCACAATTTTGACATTCGACGCGACATCGACCCGGACAAGAACCTTGCATTTGGATATGGTCCGCACAGATGCCAAGCGCAGTGGCTCTCCAGAGTAGAGTTGGAAGTGGCGTTCGGTGAGTTCCGTCTATCTTTGTGACATTCGATGATCTAGCGTAATAACGGCAAGCAGCCACGCTCTTCAAGAGGCTGCCAAAGCTGAGACTTGCCGTCCAGCCCGAGGATCTAGAGTATACGTCAGCGACTCAGAATGTCGGCGTCTCGCACTTGCCTGTGTATTTTTGAGTCGCATTGGACGACAATGTCTCCATGCAAGGGATCTAACGGAGAATGCAAGTTCACGGTGTTCGTTTGAGGTCATTCACGCCTTGAGTATCGTATCTATATATGTTTAGAAGAGGCCTTGATGTGGTCGACATGTTTACAATGGTTCGAAATTGGGTGATCTGCTTGAGTTAGGGGATATCAGAAAAGTGTTTGCAGCACAAGCGGACACGTTATAGCACGGAAATGTCAAGGCCGAGGGTTACCCAGAGCAATGTCATAGCAGGCACGTGAGAACTGTTTTCGCGTCTATGCAGTGCATAAACATGTCAGCATTTCGCTATTCCATGTCAAACGCTCCATGGCGGGAGGAATTTGGATTAGATACTGACCAGGACCCGCCTGCCGACATTGTGGCTCATTTCGTCGATGCCAGTTCCTGGGGAAACGAGGGGATATTGCCAGCAAGGTCAATTGCGTATACAGCGGATCACAAACGAACTCGTATTTCGTCAGTTGTAGCGCAACCCTTGGGGAACGGGATTGACATTGCATAAATTTATAAACCACCATGGAGGTTACTGTTACGATCAAGGAGCAACTCGCACAACAACACTGAACGAACAGGACTACGCAACGATACAAGAGGAGCCAAGGAACTGTATTATCGATCGACCCGAGCAGTGAGGCCGCGTCGGCGATACTCAGTATGATCATCAATCTCAGTCAAGCAACTCGAGCAAGTTAGGCCGCGTCAGTATACTTGGTACGAGCAGTATACTCAGCACGGTCAGTATACTAAACACGAGCAGTATACTCGGTACGATCAGTATACTAAACACGAGCAGTATACTCGGTACGATCAGTATACTCAATACCGAGCGATCTGAGCAAACCCTCCTGCTAAAGTATATAACAAGTAGACACGCTGCCCTTATGGCATTGTGTTCAACCTCATCAATCAACTTTGTTATTGGAATCTCAACTGCTCTCGAGCCAGACAGTATACTCTGTACTACTCATTGCAACCAGTTGCCATGGTCTTTGACTAGACGACTACCTGACTATTACGAAGGTTATTACAACCCGCCCGGATAGTCTACCCCTGACCACCCGAGCTTTGCTTAGGTGACTGTCAACCCCTATGGCTTTCTGTACCTCTGCTCATCCCCAAGAACCAATCGAATAGTGTCTACGAGCTTTGCTTATGGCACGAATCGCAACAGTTACACATAGGTCTAGGGCTATTGTTCGACATGAGTACCACACGAACGGCCTGGCGATCAATTCCTCTGAGTGCTGAGAGTCAAACATTTATTGGGAGGACTCTATCAACAGCGCTCAGGATTCATGGACATAGAGAAGCGAAGCGGACCCACGCAGCCAAGCAGTCAGGCTACATATAGCGCACCGATTTCTATGATTCGAATTATGTGGTGGCGATAGCAGTCCTACCTCGATACGAAAATCCGTACTATCCACTGTCTGTTTTATGAATGGGTAAATGTGGTGAGGGTTAGGAAAAAAAGTTGGGGGCTTGGAAGAGCGGATTCAGGGTCAGGGTTAGGACAACTTTGAGGGAAAAAAAAATTTGCATTTAAGGTTTGTATCTATAGAGCAATGCAGCAAAAATCAAATACAATCTTCTGCATTGCAATGCAAGTTGTCATTGTTGAGCTATTTGTGTTGGAAGGTGGTGAATGCTGAACTGTATTTGGGGTTGACTTGGAATGCGCTAGACTGGAAGAATGGATTCAGGGTCAGGGTTAGGACAGCCATTGGGCTTGTGGACCCTGCGTCTCCACTGGTCTGAGGGAATGCCCTCAATATCACATGCACACTTAATGCTGAATCTTGATTAATCCTGGATCTTCATTTGCTTTACTCTTTATTCCATGCCTTGAGTGCTCAACTGATCGCATGTATATATAGCCAATTCAAGTGCTCAACAAAGTGCTTCAACCAGGCCAAAGGGTCGTACCCAACACCCGGCTGTAAAAAGTTTAGACCATAGCTGCACCTAGGTTAAGCAAGATACCAAGACTATCGACTGTGGCGTTCCAAGCATCCAGTTTCAGCCTATTTGAACCTACATCGCTTTGTCTGCAAGCATCAATGAGGTCTCCGAAATGTTCCAGACCCATCCGCGGCATGGTTTTATACAATTCATATTCCAACTGCCACCCCAAACGTGTCCTTGCCCCCCAAAGTGAATTAGGGGCAGGAAGAGGGATTTCTCGGAAGCTCTCGAATGTGTCGCAAGGTACACCAATCTTGATGTGAACCATGTGAGCGATCAAAAGCCAAACAACTACTGTTCTGCGATGACTTGGTCAGCAGAGATGGGATGCATTAGAGGCAGGATTAGACGCCCTTACCTCCGTCTAGATTCAGCGAAGACCCAATCTTCCCAGCTGGAACTTGGGTACATTCTCTCGTCCAGGAAAAATGGCTGATTGCAAATTTTCTTGAAACTTTCACAAAGGTTCTGACGCATCAGATGAAGTCCCGATTATGGAGCGAGTTCTCCTACCTGATAAGTGACTAGTATCTCCAGATTCAAGTCTGGTTCAGCCTTTGAATTGTCGATAACTCTCATCATGATGTATATGAGCTGAGCTTGTATAGCTGCAAGAAGGTCGTGCTTCGAAATTAGGCGCTGTTCGGTCTACACAGGATTAGCGGGAGAGCATACAGAAATGGGAGTCCGCCGATCAAACCTTTTTGGACGTGGAACTTTGTTCTGATTGGATCAGGCGCCATAGAAATGGCTTAGTCTCGAGGTTATGAGACACAAATACTTGTGCCACACCCATGCAATTGACTAATGGCTCAGGTAGAGCAGGCTCCATAGCACTCATTGGGCGATACCAGTGTCCGTGTATGAAAGGAGGGAATGTCTCTCTACGAAGCATCATCTGTGGAAAAGCACGAAGCATCTGCATGGCTACACTCGCGGTGCAATTTTTCACAGGGTCGGACCTTGATATTGGAGACAGAAAGTCTGAATTTGGTGAGACGCATGTACGTCGGACAGCAGCTGGGGCATATTCACCTTGACAAGGATCACGCTCAAACCAGGAAAATTCGGCGAGCGCAAGATCTCCTGTGTAAGGATTGGCGTCGAGGTCGCGATTGCCACGGAGAAATGACTCAGTCGGCATATCCTCAGAAGCAGGATCAGAAAGATGGAGCGAATTGCTCTTGGGGCTTTGCAAAAGAATGTCATCGAGCGCATCCCAGCCCATGCCGATCTGTGTTAGGCCGAACGCATACATATCGCTCGAATTCCCGCTCATGCTGCTATCAGTCGACAAGACCGGTGTAAAGGCCTGCGTTACGTTTTGCGGTTGGCCATCATTAGCGACCTGGCCGCCGTTTGAAGCAGCCATAGTAGCCGTAGCTGTAGCTGTAGCCATGTCGTACACACAGTCGAGGTTCTTACTGAGGCATCGCGAGCATCGGGGCTGCAAGTCGCACTTTACTTTGGCCAGATTGCAAGCTCGGCATGCCCTAGCACGAGTTCGAGGCCGATTCTGGGTACGCCGACAGTATAGCACGTGTCGTTTGTACGACGTTTCTGGGAAGAAATTAGCAATGGGGAATTGTGGTGCTACTGGAGAACAACCTTTCAAAAATGGTTTGCGGCAAAAGCCACATAATCGCATGGACCCAGGCGATGAAGTTGGAAAAGACAAATCTAGTCCAAAATTCATGCAGGGCATAGACAATGATGTCGGGGAAGAGATTCAAGATTGGTTTTGGTCTTGCATTAATTACCCTGAGTCTGAGCCTGATAGGAATGGTGGAAGGATCGTTTGTTGTGCGTTCGGCCAAATTGGCCGTTGGTAGATATCGGGACAAATTAGCCGCTAGCTCGTAACCAATTTGGCCGGGGAATAAGTCACGTGATGCAGCTCCCAATGTGCCCATATACCTTTCTTGCTTTCAGAATACAGTAGTATACAGGACCTCTATTGACCTCTACTGTCTTTCTATACTCAGATTGAGCCGACGTCCACTGCCTTCCATACTACTTAAATACTCTCTACGCTTATTTTGTAGACTGGGCTTCACCACACTTCTGTTTCCTCTTTACTGGATCTACTTGAGTCATCATGAATGATCCAAAAAGCCCTGAATATGCAGTCGAGAAGGACCCGGGACTCCACTCCAGTGCAAGTACGCAAGAATCTAGAACCGATCCGACGTCGCCAACGCTGCCTGGCACGCCTCTGCAACAGGAAGAAGAGAAAGAATCCAGCCCCAAATCTAGCCCAAGGACCGTACATGGCTGGAAATGGGCTGCTGCAGTTATGTCTCTCTATATTGGAGCACTAATCTACGGGCTCGATGGTACTATAGCTGCAGACATCCAATCCGCTGTCATCGAACAATTTGACGAAGTCGAGAAACTCACGTGGATTGGAACTGCTTTCCCTCTTGGCTCCCTGTGCGCTATATTACCTGGGTAAGTTGAGCCTCCTACATGACTGCAGTCAACAAGATGAAGCTGATTTGATATTGAAAGGGCGGCCTTGTATACTATCTGCAATCTCAAGATAATGTTCATCGGGAGCATTGTACTTTTCGAAGCCGCTTCTGCGCTTTGTGGAGCAGCATCTACCATAGACGCTCTTATCATTGGCAGAGCAATTGCCGGTGTCGGCGGGACTGGTATCTTCCTTGGGTACGTCGGTTCTATGAAGCATATGACAAAAGCTCTGCTAACATCCGGTCAGTATCCTTAACTACATCTCCCTCTGTACAACCGAACAAGAACGTGGTCGCTATATCTCGGGCATTGGCGTAGTTTGGGGATCGGGTGCTGTACTTGGCCCCGTGGTAGGAGGGGCGTTCGCTACGTCTTCTGCAACATGGCGATGGGCGTTCTACATCAATCTGTGAGTTGACATGAAATGTCCCGTTATGCTTCTTGCTGAGTTAAACTTCAAGTGTCGTTGCCGGGATCTGTGCACCGGTGTACATCTTCTATCTCCCCCCAGTCAAGCCGCATGGCACTGCCGACTTACCCATCCTCCAAAAGCTTAGAGCTCTCGACTGGACTGGTTTCATCGGCGGCACCGGAGCGGCAGTGACACTCATTATGGTTTTGACCTTTGCAGGCTCAAGTTGGGGCTGGAACGACGGCCATACAATCGCAACATTTGTCGTCTCCGGAGCGCTGTTCATACTGGTTTTCCTCCAGCAGCACTTTTCCCTATTCACAACTCCTGAAATGCGCATGTTTCCCCCGCGCCATATCCTCCTGAACAGCACACAGACGCTGCTGAACATCAACACTGCCATGGCTGCCACCAACCTCTACGTCCCTGTCTACTATATTCCCGTCTATTTTGCCTTCACACAAGGCGATTCACAATTGATGGCTGCTGTCCGCCTACTCCCATTTATCTGCTTTCTAGCGGTATTGAACATGGCCTCAGGTTCCCTTCTCCCCAGAGTCAATTACTAGTAAGCTCTCGTATTCGCTTGAGTATCTTCACAAGCTAACTGCTTCAGTTGGGCATTATATCTGATCGGTGGAGTCCTCATGACAATTGGAAGTGCTACAATGTTCACAGTCACACCCAACACCCCCATAGAAAACGTCTATGGTTATAGCATCATACTCGGGGCTGGCACTGGGTTGGTCTTCAATCTTGGCTTCACGATTTCTGGTATCACTATCATGGCGGAGACGGGCAATGGTCTGGATCTCCAACTGGTCATCTCCATGCAGAATCTTTCTCAACTTGGGTTCCAGACGATCAGCTTGCTCATCGGAGGCCAGATCTTTCAAAGCCTCTCGATGAAAAACCTCACGCACGTGCTCAGCGGGTTAGGGCTCTCCCAGGCAGAAATCAGGAGTGCCATTGCAGGAACTCGTAGCGCCGTGTTCACGCGTCTGAGCCCTTCTCTCCAGGAAGAAGCAATCATGGCCATCACAAATGCCATGAGCCGAGTTTATATTCTCAGCATAGCGGCTAGCGCTATCACAACCATTTGTGCAATGCTGATGAAGAAGGAGAAGCTTTTCCCAACCACGGGAGAGAGGACGGTGATTGCAGACGGAGCTTGAAGTTCTTCAAAGTCCTCGTGGAGTTTATGCTAGTAGGTGCTATGCTTTATTGTCGGTCCTGAACACGGCACATGCGGCACATGTGCTCGTGAAAATGGATGCTCCCACAGTTTGAAACCCGGATGGTCGCTCAGATCGGGCCTGTCTCCATAGTGTGATTAACAAGTTAGACATGCACATGTCGCTGAAAGAGGAAAGTGGGAGTCATGATAGGCACTTTGTCACGGTTTAGAGTGCTCCTGCCTGTCAAACCTCACCTGCCATGAGAGTGACTGCCACGTCACACTAGCGTTGTTTACAGCTACTCAACTATATATACTGTTCGTAGCTTCACTCAATACAACCTCAGTACAATCTTCAACTTCTTCCCTTTGCGTACAGTTCACTGAACTCCAACAGATACCGAGACTTTGGTGATAACAGGGATCTCCATCCCAATTGGATTTTAATCTCGTCAAGTGTTACGGGTTGGGGTATCTCCTTGTCACGGTTAAGTTGCCTGCTTGCAGTTGGCCGCATGGGCGCTTATTTACTGATTGGTTGCTATGTTGCACAACTACATGTTGCAAGCTACACAGCATCAACGTAGACATTTTGTGGAAGGGTTGAGATGATTGACTTGATTCGTCTGTCCGTGAGCTATGGCGAGGATTGATTGGGACTATGGAAGAGTGCATATATGTGAGAGGGGGCCAGCTGGGGATACCACCTGCTCTCTGAGATAGATGAATTGGTAGAAGAGAGGTTCAGGCTTGTTGAAGATAGGAGTGTAGAAGAGACTAAACGTGGGGATATTACAAGTAGGGTAAAGGATAAATGATAAAGGAGGGATCAAGTATGGGAATACCACAAACCCACCAACCCTTGCCAGGTTCCACGGCCGATTGCAAGCTGGACATTGGCTTCGTAGATGATGAGAGCGCTCACGTCAACTCCAAGCATCACTAGTCACGCATTCTCGTGCTGGGAGAGCTCAAGAGCAACAAGCTGGCCGACCAAGCGTCCAAGGCGTGGCTAGACCTGGGCCGGTATGTGAGGGAGATGCTTGCTGCTCAAGACAGCCGCCGCTTCGTTCTTGGATTCACGCTGTGTGGATCGCTCATGCGGCTGTGGAGCTTTGATTGACTGGGGGGCATTGTCTCCAAGCAGTTTGACATCAATGAGGACGGCCTGCAGTTTGTGTCTGCAGTGTTGGGGTTTCTCTGGATGAACAAGGAGTAGCTGGGCTTCGATCCAACCATCATTACAGCCGGAAACAAGCGGTACATCAAGATTGAGCGGGACAACGGCAAAGAGCACCTTGTCATTGACAAGGTGATATAGCGAGTAGCTTGTGTCGCCGGTTGAGCAACAACTTGCTGGAGAGTGCACTGGGAAGACAATCCTGACACTTTGCTTGTAGTCAAAGACTCTTGGCAGTACCTGGAGCGCAAAGAAGAGGGTGAGCTACTACTTGAAGCAACCAAGAAGGATGTGGTGAGCGTCGCTAGGTACTTCCACCACAAGATGGTCCATGTCCGTGATCAAGATGACAATATCCGCACAAATGTCCGCAAAGGCCTGGACATAATAATAGCGGAAAACTATGCGCCAAGGAAGCAGATGCCGCCGCCGAGCACCACTGAGCAGCGGGCTTCACGAAGAGATGGAATCAGCAGTCTTGCTAGGCAGAAGCGATCCTCGAGTTGCACGGACACACCACTGCCACCTAGCAAGCGCACTTGCTCAAGCTCTCCAACGAAACCAGCCATTGCAAACCGCGTCCATCGCTGCATAATTGTGCATGACTATGAGAAGCCCATCTACAGAGAAAGCTCCCAAAACAGTCTGCTTGCTGCATTCAAACAATGTATCATAGGGTACAAGTCCTTACATACACGAGCGGGCATGCTTCAACGCAGCATCTCACCAAACAACCTCCTGGTGAACGAAGACAAGGGCAACTTGTCATGGCCCGCATTACTGATGGACCTCGACCTTGCAATCAAGGAGCAACGTGAGCAGGCCTCTGGAGCGTGCAGGAAGACCGGCATGCGAGCTTTCAAGGCCATTGGAGTGCTTTTAGACGACGAACAGCACTTGTTCATGCATGATCTCAAGTCGTTCTTCTGGGTGCTGTTCTGGATCTGCATTCACTATGACGGACAGCAAGAGAGGATTGTTCCACGATTTGACAAGTGGAACTATCTTGATGCTGAAGAACTAGCTAGCCCTAGATGGACTGCTCGCTATATACAAGGTCTGTACAACAAATAAAACTCTTGTTTCTCACAAGCTTACGCAATTTGAACTAAAGTAAGGGGAGAATCGAGAGTAGCATTGTGACACGCTTGGTTGGGTCAAGTTCCAAACGGCCACGCCTTCTCCCAGGCTTCTCTTTCAGGTATATTGGTGGCAAATGTACTGATGATCTGATCCTTCATCTGTGACAAAGCGTCCAGAGCCTCGTCGTACTGATCCGACTTCACAATACCCTGCTCTGGAAATAGTTCTCCCAAGCTGTCTTTTATCAAACGCATCACTTCCATACCTCGTACTACGCCTTCGACATCAGCCTCGAACTCTTCTCGTTCTTTATCTGAAAAGGCGAAAGGATAAGTCGAGTCTTTGTCCGCCGAGAAGTCATTCCAAGTTGACTCTAGCTCAGCTATCTGTGAGAGATAGGTCGCCTCGCCATCGATAAGGAGATTGCGTGCTAACACTAGAAGCAGATACTTCTGCGTATGTTGGAATTGGAGTGCAGTATAAAGCCGTGGGTTTTGGTGATTCGTGAGGGTGTTGTACAGTGAACAGAGGGATTGCTGTAGATATACCGTATCAGCATGCTCTCTTGCAAACGACTCCAGTTTGTCCAAGTCCTTCCGTGGCTGTGGTCGCTCCAGACCGTTGATGGGTGGGCCAATATAGTCAATAATATGAGGCTGGCGGGCGTGGAAGTAAAGCGGAGATGTTTCTGTTGACTGCCAATCTATAAGACCCACAACTTTAGTAGGCTCAGAAGGGTCGACGAAAATGTTAGCAACGTGTAAGTCGTCGTGCCAGAGATGGGCTGACGAGAGTTTTTGATCTGTCGGGAGCAGATATTGTATCATGTCAAGATAACAGTGCAAGGCCTTCAACTTCTTAGCTTTTGTTGGTCGAAAGGTTCCTGGGCCGCACAGGGTTATCGGAGACTTAGGTAAGTCGGAAATCTGGCTGATGCAGGCTATTTCACGCTGTCCGATTGCGACATGATATGCTTCTAAAGAGTTCCCTTATTTTGTTAGTTAAACAGTCTTTTTCTTCTTCAGTCGCAAAACTTACAGGGCCCTCTGTCGAAGTTGATTGCCGCTCTGCCGCCATCGAAGGTTTCGCGTGATGTTGACGGGCCAACAGCAAAACTCTCGTTTGTGATATGATCGCCATTTGCGTCGATGTAGAGTGGTTCGCTACTGAGCGGGTCTTTCAGATCCTTCGAGAAATAGAGGCTTCCATACTTCGTGAAGGAGACTGACGTCCAGGCCTTTTGAAAAGCAGCGATGGCCTTGACAACAGTAAATCTATCTTTTATATTCATGCTTGGCCAGACGTGTTCTAACTCGATTCCCGAGACCCTTTCCATGATGATGTATTCTGCACCAACCGGAGTCTCGTCGGCCTGGGAACACCAGGCTAGAACTTTGGGGACAGGAGTTCCAAGAACGTTTCGTGCCTGAGGTGTGTTAATCAAACGCACAAGCGCAAAGCCTAACAGGGAAAACTTACGAAACTCATTGTCGCAACTTCGCTTGCCGTGGTAAAATGAGGTAAACCAGCATTCGGGTTGGGGACTTTGGCTACAACTCGAGAGCCGTCGTCCATAGTAAGCAGCATACTCTTGTTGTACATGCCGTCAGGATACTTCGCGACACTGACACATGCTTTTGCCCCAACAGCCTCAGCAGCACAGCGAGCAAGTTCATTGACGTTGAAGCGCACATAGCGCTGCGCCATTTCGTGCTTCTCATTGCAAATGAAGCGGCCTCGAGTGTAATTGAATAGATCTTCACCATATTTGAGATCTGGATGAATTAGCAACACAACTATTGTTTCTGGCTTTGGATGCATCTACCAGGAAGCAACGCTCGTGGGAGCTGTTGAGGATGAACGTGCTGATTTGTCATAGTTCTGCGGCTTTCTTTACGAAGGAGCTAGTATTTATTGAGTTGACACTTTTGGCCCGTGTGCGCCCCCATCACGCATGCCCAACACTATAGATTCTATACTATTGCAGCCCCCCACACCTATTAAACATGCCTATTTCACGTCGCAAAAACTTCAAGTACAAGGAGAACAAGGTTGTGAAGCCTCCCAAGACTGGGCGCACTGAATTAACTGTGGTTGAGCGCGCGTTTGCAGTGGGGGCTATCACAGGATTGCGGGGTGGCTATGCCTCTGTTGGAGACCTGGCCAACGCCATGGGCCGCACCACGACTGCATTGTCAAACCTGATAAATAGGGTAGAAAAGAAGCGTGCGAACATAGACGGCTTCTTGTGGGACTCAATTTTGTACAACAACGAACTGGGTCGTGGTCGGCCAACGCTCCTATCCCAGGATCAGAAGGATCACATCATTAGGATTGTCACCTCCTCCCAGGAGAACCGCGAGAAGGAGCCTTGGCAGGCAGTCAGAAGAGGTGATTTCAATGAGGTTATACCCAAAATGAGCATTGAAACCTTCCAGAATGTGATGTATGAGGCTGGGTATGCTCGGAGGAAGCCTGGGTGGAAACCAAGCCTCACAACTGAACAAGAGGAGGAGCGATTAGAGTGGGCACTTGCCCATAACCCTGATCTTCACAAGGAGTATGATAACCTTGGCTACGACTTTACTAAGGTGGTGTTTACCGATGAAACACCAGCTCGAATTGGTGAAGAACGAGGCATGATAAGGACATGGTGCACTGCTGAAGAGAAGTGGGACAACAATGTCAAACACGATCGCAACACCAAGAACTGTTGCCTACAGTTCTATGCCTCATTTCGGTACAATCACAAAGGTCCTTGTCATGTATATTACCCAGAAACAAAGGCAGAGAAGGAATTGGCAGCAGCCCACATCAAGAGGTTGAATCAGGACCAGAAAACACGTGACAACAAGCTTCAAATCCAGGCACGCAGAGCCCTTAACCACCTTGAAGAGGCTGATATCAATCGTCGATACAACACCAGGAAGAAGCAGTATGTGCCATCAAAGATGGATTACAAGCGTGGGGAGCGTGCACATGGAGGAGTCGATGGATACCGACATCGTGAAGGTGCCCTCAAGAAGGTTGTCCCATGGATCAATTCACTCAAAAAGAAGGGGATACCTTGTATACTACAACAGGATGGGGCTCCTGCTCACAAGACACGTATTTCTAACGATTACCTTATTATTGAGGATATTGAAAGACTGTGGTGGCCAGGCCACTCACCCGAGGTCAACGCAATTGAGCATGCCTGGCCATGGATTCGACGGCATGTGACTCATGAATTCACTCCTTCTTGTGATGCCAAGGAGTGTGAGGATCAGTGGGTGAAGCAATGGGAAGCCCTGCCTATTGAAACAATCAATCGGTGGGTGATGCAGATTCCTGAGCAGGTAAGACGGATTATACGTGCAGGGGGCAAAAACAACTTCCATGGGTAGCTACAACACCAAAAAAGAGTCAGGACAGCTCAAATGTATGTAATTCAAAAGCTTCACCATGTCATATTATCCCCAAATGGCATGTGCTTGTTGTTTTGGTGGGAATTACTATGAGTGTGGTGAACGATTGTCATGTTTGGGTCTGCGCGCTCACGGGTCAACTCAATAAATACTAGCTCCTTCGTA